TTAATATCTCCGTTTCTACTGTGAATTGGAAGTCGAGCTTTATGGTCAAAGTACGGTTGATATAGAACTTTATTGCAAAAGAGCGTTCCTGTATTTTGAGACCTTTGGGAGATATCGAAGGTTAAATATGCTATCAATGTGGTTCGCTTATAACTTCCATTTATCTCAAGGGAGCTTCTCGGGAACATTCCGTTAGAAAGGTTAGTCCGCGATAAAAAGTTTCTTGCGATCTGTGGCCGCTGTTGTTTAAAGTTAAATTGCAGCAACAGTATTGTTATCGGTCATCCCTGAGACCGGCTGCTAACATCCATTTGTGACGTCTGCCTTTGCGATTACCGATAAATTCAGTTTTCTTGATTGGTCGCGCGATTTCAAGTGGCCATATTATATGGCGAGAATATATGGCAATATATGGGAATAATATATGGTAATAATATACGGCAACAAAATATGGCAACAATATATGGCAACAATATATGGCAACAATATATGGCAATAGAATAATATAGGACAATAATTCATGGAATATATTTTTCGTTACAAGAGTCAATGCAAATTTGCGGCATGCACAATGTAATAATAAAAGTAATAATAAAGTAATAATAAAAGTTCTTTCTGCGAGCTTTGAGTCAGACACTCACCAATGATGATATTGATGATGTCTGTTGCATCCAACCAGATCCACCAATGTCCGCCCATGTCCGCTGCCGCTCTCCATGTCGCGCAATATCCATCTTGCAGCTCGTCCCACGGTGATCGCTACACTTTCATCACACTTCCGCGACGCGGTCGATACGCGGTATTAGAACGGCGATATTTACATCAATTAACGAACGTTTTACTCGCCATCGGTGGAAACTTTTTGCGCGCTGCGAAACGGACTCTATAAACTCGATCGGCGAGGAGTAAGAACCGTGTGAAAATTTATTGACTCGTCCAACGGATTTTTACGGTGCTTTTCGCGATTGCGTCTGAAAAGTCGCGAAAATGTGGGATTATCGATATCTACGAGTGAAATATTCGCGACGCGAATGCACGCGAGGAAAGATTAGACAATCAGAAACCGGTCCCCCTTTGGGGGGGGGGAGCGCAAAGAGAAAGGAGCGGGGCAAAGTTTTCACGCATTATAGCTCTGTCACGACGAAGCTTATGTTCACGATACTTTGGCGAAATGAGAATTTAAGTTTTCTTTGTTAGCAACGCGAGTAAAAACGCGTATATTGACAACCGCGGTCACGATATTCAAAGGCACGCGAGCGAGGATACCTCAAGCTCGGCGTGCGCTGGCGCAATTTCTACGCGCATTATACGCTACTCGAGACAATAGGGATTGTGATGAATGAACAATATTGCCAAATAATTCTACAGCCTGTTTTGCAAATAAAAGAAAAGTAGCTAACGATATCGGCATTTAGGTATGAATATATTTTATACGGACAATTGAATATTGTCAAATAATTAAATCGTTAAGTAATTCTGCGGCCCGCTTGAAAAATAAAAATAAAGCAGCTGATATCGGTGTCGCGTTTGTACATATGAATATTCTCTTATTCAGATGACTGAACATCAAAAGAGAATCATTCAGTATTTTAAATCTTGTATGTAATGCAGGCTATCGATCAAGTAATCCCCTGATTGTTTCGAGCAATGTATTTTATTCAACGTCACAAATACACACATGCAAGTATCTATTTGCAATTCGCATTGACTCGAACGATATTTTATTTTATTAGTCCCACACATTCGTCATGCAGAATTTTGTTTCTCTTTTCATTTTGACTCACCGAAACGACTTGCAGTCAGAGCCGGCCACGTTCCGCTTCAACTCTGTAACAAAAAATTCACATTTGCTCATCAGATTTGACCAACGAGTGCGGGCGAGTAAAAGAGTAGTTTACCCTCTGCGATCGTAATTCAAGTCGAGCCGGAAATTATATCCCAGCTCTAGATCGCCAAGGGTCAAACAGAGGACTATAGTAAACTTGTAAACTTACCTTCAAGCCGACTCTGCTTCGCCCGAACCGGATCCTCCGGTGCGGCATCCGCGTCCACCGGATTGCTGTTGCTTTCCGCAACAACTGAAACAGAAAAATCATTTTCCCGGTTGATAACCTGCGGTGGAGAGAGAATATCTTTGATCGGGACCAATCGAAAATACGGATATATTTTGATACGGAATTATCTTTATATTTTTGTTCCAACATTGAAAATTTAAATGGGACTTGAAGCTTTCAAGAGAGCTGATGAGGAACAAGTTACAAAGGCAAAGATCGTAAAGAGTTGAACACAGATGTGTAGGAAACTTGTAAACTTTACCTTCCGGCCGACCCTGCTCTGCCCGAACCGGATCCTCCGGTGCGGCATCCGCGTCCGCCGGACTTGCTTCCCGCAACGTCTGGAACAAAAATTTACCATTCTTGGTTGGTAAGCTGCGGTAGAGAAAAAATGGTTGGTCGGGATGAGTGGAGAATATTCGCTACGATTTTTTTTCTTTATTGATATTGAATGTCTAGATAGGAGCTCTTGAAAGAGCTGACGAAAGAAAATGACAATAAGAAGCGGAGACAACAGTTGTGTGCTCTCGAAAATATTCTTTTACGGATGGACATTTAAATTCAGATCCCGTAACAAGAGTAAACAAACTTGAAAGAAACGCTGACCGAAAACAAAAAAGGTCGCAGTCTAAGAAGCGATATGACGTTAAATATTCTACACAAGACCAATATTCTCACACAGGAATTGGGAATGATTCAGAATGTTTGATTGAGAACATGATGAATTCGAGATCCACGTCCATGGACCGTTATCCGTCTCTGTCTGGATCAATATCTTTTGTATACAACAACGCAATAAATAGATAGACAGACAGAGATTGACGAGAGTAATTGCAAATTCATAAAGTGATGATTACTAGTCGGATGATGACGGATTGTGAATGCCGAGCGCGAAATTCCGACTTCTTATTCCCGGAAAATTCATCAAACGTACGCTCTCGTTATCGGAGACCTCCCGCGTAATAAATGATTCCACATACCTCGAAACGTGACGTATCGTTGCCGGCGTTCTGCTTCTCGACTGCTGAAGTCCTTCGGATTTCACTCGCTCACGCTTCTAATGCTGATACTCGCGATTCGATCGTGCAGTTAATGAATGAGATGCCGACGCGATGCCGATTGAGTATCTCGAGGACCGACGAGATATATTTCTTTTAATTACACGAGACGGAAGTGACGAGAGCGTCGCGCACAGCTGCTGCTGATGGAATGAGATCGAATACATGAGGTGCGCGAGTATTATAATACGAAGGGCAAAAAGTGTCGTCGCTCGCGAGCCGATCAACACAATCGGCGCGATGTAAACATTGCGGGCCTCGGCGGCGGTTGAAGCAAGAGAGACTTGCCTTTGAGCGTCTCTTGTTTTCTCGAAGGTTCCGGGACAACGAGGGGAATGCGAGGCCTTTCAACTGTACGCGACATTGATGCACTCTATTGATTACTGAAAATAAAGAAAATTACTCTGTCGAAGCATCGGACATTTGTTGGCTTTATGTTAATTAAAGAGGAATGTATACGATTAGAAAATGTGTTAGCAACTAATTGTACAAAGTGTAAGTTGTTGTGACGCCGTTTTCAGAGAATAATTAAAGGTCATGGTAGCGTTAAAGAATGGAATTTCATCCTATGCGAATTTAGTCGCGCTCTTATTAAATATTAGTCCTGTATAAAATGTCGTATTTAAAAGTATTGTTTCGCATTCACGAGATTTTGTCGTGAATTCTGCTCTCAGATTGGATCGCGGGTGAATACTTTTTAATGCGACGGGGAATAGAACGTGAAAATCTTGTATGCCTCTGAATCCGAAAACGATTAGGAGAAGAAGTGAATATTTTTCAATACGAAAGTTCGCATTTAAAAATTATCGATTGCGATTGAATACAAGGCATATTTGAAACGAATTGAATCCTTGTTAATGCGAAGCATTCACTACTGCCATCTCGCATTTAGCGCGGTGAAATTTAATGGGAACTAATACTTTTTATTTTCCCTTTCTTCGGATCAGAAAGCAGAATTCAGACGTATTCAAAATGTCAATACTTTTTAATATGTTTCAGTTCGACATTTTATACAGGGAGATTATCCGCTGCGGGCAATAACTCTTCTACTTTTCATTTAATATTCAATGATGATAAATAACATTTAATTGCATTCGTTTGGCTTTTTTTATTTCGAAAATAAGAAAATATATACCGGGGTGAGATTTTACCAATGACAACATTAACGTGATTTTCTTTGATGCTTTTTTTAAAAGTTCAAATATTTCGTCGACTCGCGGGATATTTATAATCGGAGTCTCGTCACGTTAATTACGTGAATAACACGTGCTCCTCCGAGCGGATCGAATGCTCACCGACGGCCACTGTCAGTGCCACGAGCGAATGTCCGGAGCGGACGGGATGCTGAATTAAAAAACAAGACGAAGTGAACGGGACGCGGACAACGATACATCATGCGTCTCCATGCATGTCAAATTGTTTATTATAGAAGAGACTTTGATACGGCAATATATATTCGAAGATTTAACATTTAATACGTACTTTTATTTTTTCTGCTCCTCCCCCCCTCTCTCCCGCTCTTTTTAGACCACACGGGCATAGTCTGGCATAGAGATGGCAACTGTCATTGCAGCACGGACATAAACCGTCTGAAAGTGGATATAGCATGGACTTCCACCATATGCAGATTTTACCACCGAGACCTGAAAGTTGATGTACTATCGTAGTTCCCCTCTCAAAATGGATGCAGATGGCGTCCTTTCCCAGTGCGGAAAGTCGGTGTCGCAGAAAATGTCGTATTGGTCGCTCTCAGGTTACTCTCTGCCTTGAGAGTGTTACTGCTCCGCCTGCGGAGCACGCCTGCGCAGTCAGCGGCTCACAACGAAAGGCGAGAAATTAAATATACACGTTGAGACATAATGGGTGCATTCAGTGGCCACGTTCAGTAGAACAAAGTGATCAGGAAGCGCTTAGTGATTATTGTCTGTGATTGGAGCATTCTTTTAGATTCTTCATAGATCCAGAAGTATTTATCAATCAGGAACGAGATTCAGTGGAAAATCTAGTAATGTTGTCCAACTGTTGAATCTGCTGAATGCAGCCGCTGGCTTAATATACGCGACACAAACTATGGGTCTATTCTTTATAGCTGCACTGCTGAATTAGTGCAATAAGAATGAGAAAAAATATAGTTGTCTCATTTTAACCTATTGCACTAGTTCAGTAATGCAGCTATAAAGAACAGACCTTATGTATTTTCAATACTGACAGTTGATTTCGGAACGCAGCCATAGTGAACGCAATCATAGTTGTTTATTCATGAACGATAAAAATCTGCCTTCATAATTGGTAGGTCTGATACGGGCTTTAGACGCTTGTAGTGAAGATTGAGGGAAAGAGAAAGAGAGAAAAAGAGAGAGTGAAAGAAAGATAAAAGTGAAAGAAAGAGAATAAACAATAAAAAAATAAATAAGATTTTATAAGTTATAACAAACATGTTAAAATGTATTTGTTATATTAGTTTATAAAAGTTTTTATGAATATTAAAATGAAAAGTTGAAAAATATAGAAGTGGAAAGAGGAAAAGTGATACTATCTTGACCTGAATAGGCATTTATATTTATAGGAAAGAAGAAAATAAAGAGACAATATGATGGATGCACGAAGACGCGAAAGAGAATTGATAGGATTACGTGGGGTTTCTGGAGCTTGGAGTAAATCTCCTACGCGAATAGAATAGTATGTATTTTTGCTTAATTTTGTATCTAACCTAATCATTCTGATCTAAGGTAAAATTAAAAATGCTTCAAATATACTTGCTGCTTTTGATCTTGTGAAAATGTATTAATTAAACTTATTCTTATTTCTAAACAAGAATTTGAAATATATTTTGATACTGGTAAATAGTACTCAAAACAATATTAAAAATCTATGTGTTCTAGGTATAGAATATATATATATAATAATTTAGCTATCAAAAGATACAATGTTTTGAATTGCTCTTCTACTTTTAGTAGCTCAGATGAAGAGAACGAAGATCTAACTAAACACAATGGTGACATCTCACCAAAGGATGGCAAGAGAAAGAAACATGATATGAAGAAAAAGGTATTTAAATTAATTTCATATGTAATACAATATGGCATGTAATGTCAATAGATACCCAAATTGAATAAGATACTTGTAATATTGTTTTGTATCAAGAAATAATACATTAATGAATATACTTTTTTAGAAAAGTAAAAAATTAAAAAGAGAGAAGAAAGAAAGAAAGGCAAAAAAGGAGAAGGAGAAAAAAAGGAAGAAGAAAAAAAAGAAAGCAAAGAAGGAAACAGAAAGTAGTTCTGATGATAGCAGCAGTAGCGGTGATGAAGAAGTTTGGGTAGAAAAAACATTAATTACCAATAAGATAAAATCCAAAAAGGGTTCTAGTTCAGATGATAGTGGAGATGACGATGTAGTTGGACCTGCACCTAAACCACATGTGACTTTATCTGCAAAAGATTTTGGTAAAGCATTATTGCCAGGTGAAGGTGCAGCAATGGCAGCTTATGTAGCTGAAGGCAAACGTATACCTAGGAGAGGAGAAATTGGTTTGACTTCAGAAGAGATTGCAGCTTATGAATCTGTTGGCTATGTCATGAGTGGTAGTAGGTAAGCTATATAAAATTATGCTGCTAACTATTACAGTCTAACAATGTATCAATTAATAATATTTTTTTGAATATCTTACTTCTTTAAAGACATCGTCGCATGGAAGCAGTTCGTATTCGTAAGGAGAACCAGATCTATTCTGCTGATGAGAAACGTGCTTTGGCAATGTTCAGCAAGGAAGAACGGCAGAAGCGAGAGAATCGTATATTGGGACAATTCAGGGAGATGGTTAACCAGAAGCTGGCACAGGAGCAGAAGAATAAGTGAATTCTATTTGTACAAATCTTGACGTGCAGATTTTTTGTCCTTTGTACATAAAAAGATACAACTTCTGTATTTGTTATATTATGTAAATATTAATTTAATCCAAGTAGTCACGATATATTCATATAGATAGTCATCAAGACATATGATTATCTCAATATAACTATATTTTATTCTTATAAGATACTAAGAAATTATATATATGTGTATGTTTCATTGATATAGCAACAATAATTCCTCTTCTTTATTCAAGCCTTTTGTTTATTCTCCCAATCCATCCAACCTCCAGTATAATTATATACACTGTAAAATAAATAAATATTTCAATTATAAATATTTAAACTGTTGTAATATTGTTTTAAAAGGTTTACTATACTTGTAGCCTAATTTCTGCATCTCTTGCTGTACCATGCCACTCCTCTTGCCAGACCGGCAACTGAATATAATTTTTGTTAGTTTAGTAGGCTTAGATTTGCCATATCTTTCCATAAAATCTTCTTCTGATAGATTTTGCAATGTGTTAGAAACATTGTCCACTGAATAAACATATTTCATTATTTGTATGCTATTTATATTATTTTATAATTGTTAATATGTTATAAATCATCTGTTATTAGTATTTATATATTGTTAATATTGGCTGAAATATTAGATAAGATAGAAAACTAAATACAATGAAAGATTCCTACTTGGAACATGAATACTGCCTGGTAATTTGCCAGTTTCGTTTATTTCTGATTGTTCCCTGACATCAATGATTAAAATACTATTGTCCTTTTGTGCTTCTAGCAGCTGTTCATAGTTAATATTAAATTTTTCATCTTGTCTGCTCATTGTTGTGGTGCTTATTTCTCGACAAAATAAATTTAAGAAATACAAACTCGATGTCACTAAAAATTTATCGATTATTTTAAACATTCTGCAATAAGAATTTGTCAAAAGTTTCTTTATATAATAAACAAGATAAAAGAAATATTTATAATTGATGCAGTGATGTCTATTTCTGAATTCTACTCTTGGACAAAATACGCACGACTATTTGTTAAGCGATCAAATATAATTTCTGAAGATTGTCGATAACTTAATTTACTTATTAATACATGTCTATTTTTACAAGAGGTGACTAATAATACGAAATTTTTGCAAAAGTGACGTGAAAATCTGGTGTACATTTTGTGTATAATAGATATAATATCACCAGTCTTGAGATAGAGAGCGCAACTGTCAGATCTACGGTCAGTGGACATACGAGTGCAATAACGGGAAGATAAGAAGTGGAGGAAAATCCTGAAAATCTTTCGAAAATCGCTTAAAAAGTGAAAATAATTCCTAAGCACTGTTTTAGGAGTCTTACCTCTAATATTGACAAATTTATGCTCGATCGACCCGTTTTTACATAAAACGAAAGAAACTGAAAGAAAAAAGGTTGCTCCGCCCAGCGAAACAAGATATTAATCGTAAGGGCCAGAACACAGACTTCTGCATAACGCATAATACACAACGCATAAGGGAATCAACCAATCAGAGTTCTTCATTTCCCTCCCAGGATAGAAATGAAGAACTCTGATTTGTTAATTCTCTTATGCGTTGTGTATTATACGTTATGCAGAAGTCTGTGCTCTGGCCCTTAAAGTTGATGACTATCTAAAGCCAGTGGCATACGGTACTTGTTTTCGTGCTGGATTGCTTGCTGGATGAAAATACTGCGTTCTGATTGATACTTTTCCGAAGATGGATGGAAATGCACCAATCAGAACGCAGTATTTTCATCCAGCAAGCAATTCAGCACGAAAACAAGCACCGTGTACCGCTGGCTTAAGTCAGGAAATCTATCATACCGACAATATATAGCGGCATGAGTAAAGCTAAGACTCCATGCATGCGGTGAGCTCCGGCAAACGGCTGCGATGACCAATCAGGAGGGAGGCGCAAGTCCGGTTGCGGCAAGCTCCGGCATGCGTCTGTCTCCTGATTGGTCACCGCAGCATTTGCCGCAGCTCACCGCATGCATGGAGTCTTAGCTTATGCGCTCTATAGCTACATGCGCATACTCTGTGGCCGCATGAAGAAAGAGCGCGAATTGATCGATTTTATAGATATTATCTCTTGTATTTACAAGGACGAATAATTAATTCATTGCATTTAAGCACACGTTATCAGGCTAATATTATGTACATACATCGTACGACAAATTTGTCGGACGTTCCAATTGGTTGAATTTTTAGAGTGCCTAACTTTCTCTACGCACTCTAGAAATTCTCTATCTGAATAAATTGGAGGTGAGGCCCCTACTGTATAATTACCACTATACTGATATAAATAATTGACAAACATTTCTTATCAAAATATGTTGCATCTATTTTTCATTATTCATAAAATGTTCCAAAAGCAATTAAACATCGTTCGCGTTCCGAAACTCGTTAAAAATAAAATAATATGTCGGAACTGTTGCTTGTTGAAAAGCGCATTTTAGGATTCTGCTGGAGGCAGGTGGTAGCGCAGTCTGACGAGGAATGCGGTAACTAGTTCTTTTTATTTCTCATGTACGGAGGAGTAGAGTATACTAATTTATCGAAAATAATCGTGATTTTCGGTTTCTTTTTCACGATTTCACATCGAGTAAGTAGCTAGACAAGAAAATAGCAGGCGTAGACAAAATGTCATTGTGATGCGTCGTGTTGCATAGCACCGAATATGTAAATTTTATGGGCACGATTGTATGACCAGTGGCAGATACACCCTGAAGACGACGACGACGACGACAACGACGACGACGACGACGACGACGACGACGACGACGACGACGACGACGACGACCACGACAACGACGACGACGACGACGACGACGACGACGACGACGACGACGACGACGACGACGACGACGACGACGACGACGACGACGACGACGACGACGACAACGACAACGACAAGACGACGGCGACGATGATGATAATGATAGTGATGATGATTATAACTGTATAATAATTACAATTATAACGTTATAATTATTATTATGATATGTCCCATTGTTTATTTGTATGGCTATAATTGCAAAAAGCTATAGAAGCTTCAAGTATGCCATGGAATTTTATAGTAGAATTTAATGAGTTCATGATGGTGCAGTCTATATTTCGAATCTATACCTTTTGTGTCTCATAATCTAGTCTTTGTAACATATAAAATGGTTTATTCTTCTCAGACAAAGTACAAGTTACGTAAATGAGGCAGCTGCAAAAATGAGTTCCCTGCAACAAGGAAACAGGTTCCTACCATTCTCAAATAATAATTTACAGAGGAAACAATTGTCTATGCAAGGTAAACTTAATGAACATAATAATAAACTTAATGCTTATAATGCTTATGTGTTATGCTTGGTATTTATTTCAATATCTTTTTTTTTATAGGTGGTCTTCCCCAGAGTTTGAGTGGTAGTGATACTGATGTTTCCACATCTAATGAAAATCTAAGCAATGAGGAAAGATATGTCATAAGACATACAGCACGGCAGGAACCCCAAGGTCAGGAAAATCAACAACAGAGCCCTTCTAGATCTTCCAGTCATAAAGAGAACATACCAAATATTCAGGTATGCATAATATGAATATTCTAAGCATTCTAAGATATATATACATGTATATGTATGTATAACAATTGTATATATAAATATGGATATTACTATAGTAATTTGGAGAATTTGGAGAATTAAAATATCTTCTTGTTACTTAGGGCAATTTGCACAACAGAAATAGTTTGAAAGATAGTTTGAATGGATCAAACAGAAATAGTTTAAAGGAGAGCTTGAATGGTTCCAATCGTAATAGCTTAAAGGATAGTATCAATGGATCCAATCGAAATAGTTTGAAGGATAACTTGAGCAATCGTACCAGTGTTGGTTCCAATAGGAGCAGCCTAGATGTTTCAACAAGTTCTTACAATACACTGATTATACATAATGCTAACGATGAAAACACATGGGTCCCTTCTACAAGGTAAATGCCATTTTAAATGGTTCTTTTAATAAAAATGCTTATTTATTGTATATTTAACAATCATATATTGGCATATACATAGGCTGACAGGTATAGTAAGAGAGCATGGAGATATGGGTTACTTGTATTGTGATGGCAGTGGCAAGGGCCATTCCAGCAGTCCTACAATGCAGTCTTTGTCCAATCTGCAGCACGAGGAATATACTCATGAACAATCTGGTGGCGGAGGTTGCCAAGAAATCACAGATATTCCGGATGATTATCTCAATCAATCCCAGGTGAAATTGACCTACTAATTAGTAAATCAAAAAGTAGCATTATAACATTCTTATAAACATGTAAAATTTAATATTAGTAATTGCTTTGGTATGATGCAATTTGATGATATTAAGACAAAATGAAACTGATTAAATTGTGTATAATTGGACAAGTAGTTAAATTTAACATTTTATTCTACAGGTTTTAAAGCATCTTGCGAAGGAAGTGAAGATACCATCATACAATAACAATGGGGGAAGTATAGAGATGAGGATAAGAGAAGGCGACAGGGGAAAGCAGAACGACAATGAGTTCGAAGACAGATCGCCTCCGTCCTACATATCCACGTTGTTACCGTTGAAAAACAAACACAGACTCCTCGGACCGACGGAGAAATTAACTATATCGAGATCACAGCCTGATTTGTCTAGAATCAATAAAGCGGACATCGATAATTACAATCTCCGAGTGACATCCCCGCGGTACTTACATTTTCCGCGTGCTGCACGCATGTTAGGGACCTAGAATATTCGTTGTGATATCTAATTCTCGATTGCTGCTTCAGTAAGATCTTTTTTTGCTACTAATGATATTCTAAAGACAATTATGTACAGTTTAATTGTCAATAAGAATTAATTTTTTACTTTTACGTTCAAAACTAATAAGTTGTCTAGAAAGTTCTCAAATATTTTATTTTGAACAGACTAGCACATTTTTGTCTAAGAATTCTAATTGCTTTACAGATGAACATTTAACTGTTTTAGACCGTTTATTAGACTGACGTCTAATTGCTTCATAAACAGAATGTATTAACATAAAATTATCCCCGAATGTTTCTAGACCTCAAACCAAGGGACGCGAAGAAATAGAGAGGGAGACGGGTGAGGTGTGGCCGCCATCGGAGATGATTCAGATATTGATTCAGGAGAATAGCGCATTAAAGCTAGATTTGAATCGTTGCTACAACAAGGTCGCTAAGTCGCAAAAATTGGAGCAAGAGATAGCGAAAGTACATCGCGCTCATGAAGAACTCGCGGCATCGTGCGAGCGACGAGAGAAACTGGAGCGCGCTGCTAGATCGAGGCTACAGAATGATTGCAAACGATTGATCGAATTGAATCGCGCGTTAAGAGACCAGATCGACTTGTTGTCCGCGCGTACGGACAGTCCGCCGATCGTCGAGTCCATGCGAAAGGAGCTGACGCAACGGGAGCTGCTCATCGGACAGCTCATCACTCAGAGTACGATATCGATTCGCACTATAGATTTCTACGGAGGGTGGTATATAAAATCTTGACGACTTGTCTCGGCAGTTTCGCTTTTTAGAATAATGTTGAGTGGAAAAAAAGAATTTGTCTAAAATTGGGATCGCAAGCTGTGGACACCCTAAGTGAAGATTTTAAGAATCTCTGCATGAGCGCGCATAATGTCCTCTTGTGTAGCAATTATATGAGTCCTTCTTTTAGATAAAGAATTGGCTGCTGCGAAGGAGAGACAGGAAATCGAGCTAGCCGCGCAACGTGCCACTCTGCAGGAACAACGCAAGCATATTGAAATTCTCGACAATGCGTTGAGTAACGCACAGCGTAATGTTGTACGACTCGAGGATGAGGTGAGTTTGATGTCGAATTTATACGTATAATAAATCCACATAATCACAGGTGTTGATCGTAACGCAAAATATTTCTCGTTCGTACGCAGTGTCGCAAGAAGCAAGTGTATGTGGAGAGAGTGGGTCAGCTTCAGCGAGCTTTGTCTTCGCTTCAGGCGTCTAGCGATAGACGAGAAGAAACCGAAAGACAACTGAGAGGTCAGCTCGAGAGAGAATTACGCGAAGGTGGTGGTGCTGGTGGTGCCAACGGCAATGAGCAGACGCCGAACGTCGAAACGATCGCGGACTTTAAACGACGGTTGCGCGAACGGGATGAGAAAATCATGTCACTCGAAGGTGACGTCGCAAAATGGGAGCAACGGTATCTTGAGGAAAGTGCACTGAGGCAGGCGGCTATCGACGCAGCCAGTCTCCCAAAGTGAGTGAAGACTCATTATATGTTGGAACTTGGCGACATTTGTTCCATCCGTCTTATTGTCTATATCGTGTATCGTTTCATGTTTGTCGAATCAGAGACGCGAAGATCGCCGCACTGGAGAAGACGAGTCAAGACGCGGAGAAACTAATCGCTGAGGCTCGTTCAGAAAAGATGAGACACATGGACGAGGTACACGTCGCGCAGAAGAAACTGGCCGATCTGGAATCTAGGTGAGGGATATTTGTCAACCTCGATCTGGACAGTTAACTATTTATAATCGTTCTGAAGTTAAGAATATAATCTAAAAATTGTTCTATCAACAGAATGAAAGATTTAGAATCCAAATTGGCAGAAAGGGACGCTATGATCAGGGTGCTTCAGAAACACACGTATGATAAAGATAGCAGTTGTAGTAGCGGCGTAGGCAGTTATCCCGCCGCACACTCATCTCACTCGAGTACATCGGCGGATCATCATACCGCGTTGACAAGTACGTCGGAACTTGGTAAGCGGAGTCACAAATTTGTTTGCCTTCTTCTTCTGTCGAAGAGTATTTAAACCTTACCTGAAAAAGAAATTGTATACATGATGTAAAAACGTATTAAGATATACTCTTGAAAAAATTATATATATCTTACTATATATCTACTTATATATTTTTATATTATATATGTCTTATTGTACTAATTTTTTATTTTTTTCCAAAGTGAGCAGTGTGCTCGGCGGTGGTAGTGGGTACGGCAGCACTGCTTCTTACGGCGTTACTGACAGTTATAAATATAGAAAACAAGGCAGCTTTGAGCAAACTAATAAGAGTCTCGATGATCAACTGAAAGAACTAGACTCTCAGCTACTTAGCAAGGTAGGCAGAATTATCAAGGTGCAGTGTCATATATAATCGCATCATATGTCATTAATTTAAGAACGAATCATTACATCATCGAGTCTCGTCGGCACTTCGCACACCACGATCTGTTATTATAGATATTTATAGATATATGTCATTATTTATATACATATATATACATATATATATATATACATGTATACATATACATATACACACATATATGTGTGTGTGTGTGTGTGTGTGTGTGTGCGCGCGCTCGGACTTTAATTTGTTGTTTATATTAATATTTATCTTTTTTTTATCAATAGAGATATGTTAATTTTCGGATGATCGTATTTTGAGTTCTTTAGCATCTTTTTAATAGTCGCCGCTGATCATGAAAATATTACAGATCACACGTTCGAAGGTATTCTTGTGTTGGTGTTATATGACTGGAGTACCTTTTGGAAGCCTGTTATGAGAATAGTCGGTGTGTGCACGTTCGATAAATAGGAAATCGAAATCTCAGATGGAAAATTTGTTTTATTCTGTTCTAGTCGAACGAAGAAATCGAGACGGTCATTTGATTGTCTCGTCCGAGAAACCTCACACACCGACTATTCTTTGATTGGAATTACTCGATTAACGTTTAATTCCATAACCTTGTGTGTGTGATTTTTAACATAGTCTAATTAATTTCATTTTTTTTTTCTTTTATTTGTTGAGGAATATGTTTAAGTAATTAGTGACACGTGTTACTCTTACACAAGTGTGTGTGCTATAATGCCATAAATGTCATTTCTTTTTTATATCTTAATTCTTTCCTAAAGCGATGTTGTGTGCCATTCGTTTGTCAAGATAGAAGATAGAGCAAATAACAAAATAGATCTCAAGTTTTAATTAATCCATTTCTTCTTTTTTTAATTCTAATTTCTCTCCAATGACCATACCGAGAAGATTAATCCTCCTCTCCTCCTGATCCCAAAGTGTCCCTGAATGTGCATGTGCTGGTTTTTTTACGGCGAGCACTAACCCCTTTTCCAGGTCCCGGCCTCTCCTCTCTTGCCAACCCGTACGTTCTCTTCTCTTGTTTCAGCGGGCACTTTGCTGTTTTCCAGGATTCTCTAATCCAGGCACTGCGTCGCGAAAAGGAAAAATACCCAAGCCACTACTGGCGGGTGTAGATAGCACAGGTACTTCGAGCACCGCCTCGAGCAAAAGCCGACTGTTGGACGACTCGTCCGGTACAGAGCACGCCGTGGTGTCGCCGAGCATAATCGAGCTGGCCAGTGCGGCGGCCAGGCTGAAGGGCACGATTACCAGGCTGTCGGACGGCAAACAAGCGGGTGAGGACATGATGTTACTGGAGAAGCAGGGTAGGAGCTCGCAACGGCAACGGATGCAGGAGGGTGAGCCGCGTCGCGCTGGCAGTCTACCACCTAGTTCGTTACCGCGACCACCGCGGGCTCTCAAGTCCACGGCGAACTCGCGCTACTGCCGTCTGAGCGACACGGAGACACGTAAGAAGTCCGATCCCGGTCCGGTAAGTCTGGACTCTTCGTCGGCCGCGGCTACTATAACGACGACCACGACGACGATGAGTGCTAGCGGCTCCAAGACCGTACGCGATTCCAACAATTGCAGCAGCATCGAGTACGGTAGATTCGACGCGAAGACGTCGCGCAAGAAGAAATCGACGACTGCGACGACGACGTCGGCGGGGAGTGTGGTAGAAAGCTTTGTGACGAACAATCTGAAGAAATCATCACCCGTAATGACTACGGCGACCGTAGCGGCGAGCAGTGCTGCCGGTAACGGTGGCGGCGGTAGCCATGAGTACGAGAGACTGCAGTCGGACAGTGGTGCGATCGCAGGCCGCAAGAAGTCGACCATCGTCGGCAACGGCAACAACACGGAAATAGTCAAGCACAGAGAGATCCAGAGTCGCTCGTTCATACCGCCACCGTCGCGTCGCATCGGCGAGTACGGCCGCTTGAGCGACGGTGACTCCCCGTCGTCATCCGCGGTGAAGGCTGGCACGCTGAGAAAAGCCGGACAAGTGGTGGGCGGTGGATCCTCGCGGGCGCAGAGCACCGGCAGCACCGTAAGCAGCAAGAGCGGCGGCGCACGCGACTCCGGTGGCACCGCCAGCAGCGAGGCCTCCACCGCCTCCTTGCCGCCAGTGAAAGCTAGGTCGATACCGCGTCCCAACAACTATCGCATCCAGTTCTGAAAATTCGGACCGCGCGCATCGTCTCGAGCGAGCGGTACACATGGAAAGTACATACAGGAAGGTCCGCGCACAGGGAACACGCGATGATGCGTGTCCTTGAATCGGGTTCACGTCGTCTCGGCTATGTCTTCTCGTACGTCGTTCATCACATGTATCCCGCGTTCAATTCAGGAATGGCCATAACGACGGAACGACGAAGTTGTCACGATCGCTGATCGCGGACGACCGAACGCAAACCACGGATTTGTTAAATTAACGTAGCGATAGTGTATGACCTAGTCATTACCAAAGTAACTTCCGAGAAGGGTGTAGGGAAAGAAAGAATTGTCTTTCTCGTGCTCGCGTTTCACATGCTCGCGCTTAAAGCGCGGCCCCTTTAACGACAAGATGAGACGATATGTACATATCGCTCTCGTGTGCGAAGTGCCTTCTCATGCGCGATCTCTGCGAATCTTGTTCTCACAGAGAAAGGATACACGTCCTCCCGCTTCTCCTTTTTTCGATATACATGAAGAAGAGAAAAGCGCCAGTGCAGAAGAGTTTGCGAAAAGGAAAGAAAAGGGGACAATGTCCGTCGCTAGTCTGTGTACAAATAATCATATTTCTTCCCGATCGACCCGATCGCGCAGTTCATACGCCTTCGACGGTTCTCGAGAGCTCCGAATTGGTAATTAGGTCTAGGTTCCGATAAGACTGAACAATTGGATACTGTGTGACGTTGCACTTCATCTATTTGTCCTCGCAAGTTATTTCTGTTCTCGCCTGTTCCTGTTTTCTTCTCTCTCGTTTCGTTCTTACGCGGTATTACGCGCGCGCTCTTTTTACCCGACAGACGATAGTTCTCTTCGTGTAACTTCATCGTATAAAACGTAATCCCTTTGTAGAATCACATAGATATGTTACTCTATAGTACGTACGTAATTCGTATCTCTTTTAATCGCGCTCTTTAAAGTTATTTTTGTTAGAGTTCTTGTAGATATTCGTATAGAAACTACGACGCAAACAGAGAACGCCAAAGTATAAAACTATTATACGCGTGAATGCGCTGCGTTTTTTATAACCGATATATATATATATATATATATCTCGTTTCTTAATATGATTTACTGTATTTATTTGTGCTATATATTTTGGAATTAGCTGTCTCTAATATTATTACGTACACGCATACGCGTTTGATGTTGATACTTGTTTTTCTCCGGTATATATGATAATTTCTACGTATGGCGTGCGGCTAATTGAATTACTCTTCAAATTGTGACATAGGACATTCGATTGATCACGCGAATCATACGTTAATCGTGTGTGGGAAAACATGGCCGAAGTTAGTTTGGGCCTGTGTGCGTAGTGCCACAAAAGATTCTGAATCGCCGGGAAAAGCCCTCGCAAAGCGGAGATGTATGTTCTCTCCTTCCGGAGTGACTTAAATTTATGCAAATCGTACGAATCGCGTCATAATTCGAAGATCGCTTATCGTTGAGACAGCGGATGCCAGGATGCGATTCGAAAGATTGGCGATTATCATAGGTGATGATGTTGATAATCTTGCATTCGATTGACGTTGATGTAATATGGCTTCTTTCCACATGCAAGAATACCAAATGTAACGTCACCAAAGAAATAGAGCGTTCCGCAAGACGCTACTTTATTGAGCGTCGAACTACAAGTTGAGCTACTACGTAGTAACAGCTAAATGCCGCACCACGTATCCAAATATCGTTCCTCATGATATTTTCCTAAGATATTTTTTCTCCCCGGTAGCAGCGTGCTTCCGTTGCTTTTGCTTTCGCGCGTGAAACTACAAGCGCGATTATAAGACGAAAGTGTGATTTCTTGAAGTTGAAAAAACTCACGGCAGTGTTCGAATACATACATATATATATATATATATATATATATATATATATATATAATTATAAACGCCGTACCGAATCGTCGTTTCGCTCTCTATTTTTGATACAGCCGTTCGCTCTATGGACGAACATCATTCTTCGTTATAAGGAAAAGAATAAGAATCTACACACGGCCGATATGTTAATAATAATAATCCGTCGTAGGTTTATACTTCATAACGAATTTCAAGTCTGTGGTTTCGATAGCTTTACTGCGCCGGTACCCAGTAAGCAGATCTTTTTTCTCCCGTAGGAGATTCTGTAAGAGAATCGACTGCGTCGATCGATGTGGGAGGGACAGAGAGAGAGAGAGAGAGAGAGAGAGAGAGAGAGAGAGAGAGAGAGAGAGAGAGAGAGAGAGAGAGAGAGAGAGAGAGAGAGAGAAAGAGAGAGCGTGTCCGTCAAACGATGCTCGTGACATTTAAAACACAGGTCGTTGACTGGTGTATATCGTTTTGTGACATTTTGTACTCGAATGAAGAGATTGCTGACGAGTTACTCGATGTAAAGAAAGGTTTGAAATACAGCCCCTCTTGTAAAATATGTCTCGTTCATTTCGTTATCGCTCGATATAGCGTTCAGGATATCTGCGTGATCACGTGTCGCCTCTCTGTCAACTTATCAATTAATTTATTTATATCTTGCTTTCTCTTTATATAAAAACTATTTGAAGACCATTTAATTCGTAACAAATAACATTATCTTGCGATAAGATAAAAACTATAAAAGGATAAAGATCTCACAGATAAGCCGAACGTCGCCGGGATATTCTATTCTACGATGATGAATATTAAGATCTCATCTCACTCGACGTTTAGTGAAAATCAATAATTTTTATATATTATGCGCATTAACAGTCCTGTAAATTGCACCGCATACGATTCACACTAATGACAAGAAAGGTGTTTGCTATTCGCAAGCGCCTCGCTCGAGTAAAAAAACATTGTCGTTAGCTGCTTTCGTTAGCTTATTGCACCTAGCTATGAACGTTCCCGTCAGCGACCCCTTAATCCTAAACAGTATAAAATAGTCTTAAAATGCTATTGTTAATACGCGTGCAACAATCGTTTCGTATAAGTACGCTTATAATGATTCGGTGAATGTTTTAATTCGTTCATTAAGAGAATACTTCTCTATAAAGAGAATATATAATGATCGTAGAATTATACATAATTTAGAATATAATTTATAAAAATAATATATCTCATATGCGCGCTAACTACATCTGTATCATATTACTTGCAGAAACTAATCACATATTATTTACAGCATTATATTTCCATGCATTAGAAAAATAAACTTGCATGAAATTGAGCGCACGCACATGCGTGTGTATATGTATACATACATACATACATATGTGTATATAAGAGAAAATATATATCATGCTTGAGAGTTTTTACACAAAACTTTTATAACATCTTTACCGAATTGAAATTTAATGATGCTTCGTACATCTCATGATCTCACTTATAATCCGATACTTTTGAAGAACCATGAAATTTCTGAATCCTCTGAATGAAATTCAAACATCTAGATGACGAGTTCTATAAAATTTTCGGATTAAATCTTATAGCTATTAAATAAAACTAACAAGTATCATAAAAACTTTCTTTCTCGATATTACTTTTAATCATACTTTCGAATATTATACCGTTCTTATAACTCGAAGATTCTGTATATTTGATTTGCACACGAGAAATGGTAACAGATAGAACTTTTTGTCGCTCGAATGAAGAATGCACGGTGATCTGTAATAACAATAAGAGGATGATTGTGAAGTTTCAATAGTGAAGCAATGAGAGATGTAAGAGAGTGATAGTAATCAAATTCTCGAAATATTTATATATATAAAAAGCGAGTGTCCGAGACTGTATATACTGTTTAGGGTCAAGGTTAGCTGTCACCGGAGGAATCATCAATCGGCGACACGGCTACGCTACTTCGCCAAAATTCTTGTGACCAGTGTCCTTGGCGTGCTGCTGCGCCGCCATTTGTCCGTTCAGTCTGATTTTACAGTCATTGCAGATCAGCGTGAACTTCTGCACATCTGTGAATTGACGACTCGATTTCGCTTCTCGCGCGAGCTCCGCAGCTTCCAACAGCATCCTTTCGTCCTCAGTGGGAAAGATTGTTTGAATACAGCCACTCTGAATCAACGAATTAGAAAGTTCAAGAGTAAATTTTACACGCGATGTCGCGATTAACGCGATTCGTAGATATATAAATTATTTATGAAGCACTTCGCATCGTTATTGCACTTATTTAAGGAATTTTATAGACTATTTATGGAAACTTACATCCAGCGGCTCTAAGTAAAGCGGATCGTAATGAATTCCGTCGAATATAAGAAAGACTCTCTGAGTATAATGCTGATCCTCGCCGAACCTATTAATGATTGCGTTAATGCTGTCGATCACTGCAATTTCCAAGCCATAAAATTTGGATAGAATCGACAACTCGATGGCGCCGCCCCACGAGTCGGACTTGAGGATCCACTTGCAGTACTCTGCATTGGGTCTACCCAAAAATGCCTCTGAATATTCCTCTGGGTCAGCTGCTACTGCATTAGCTATAATCTCTCTCATGAAGCTGGCGCAACTAGTGTCGACCTTTCCTGAAAGAGTGCACACAGCTGCAACCATTATCACTGCTGTACAGCTTCTAAGCATAATCTCTGTTGTCTTGCTAATTTGGTTTCTTCTTGGGTATCTTGATTATCGTGGTATCTTCAGGTACTTGCTTACCATTCAGCACATAGCCCACACTAGTGAAAAGACAGGAATTGTCGGCAGGCACGACTTTCTTCATCAATACACCAGGAGCATCCACAAAGCTCTCTTGATCAACTATGTGTGATCGGCTATAATTATCGAATCTTTGTTCCTCTCCATTGAACATGATCTGCACATTAAAAGTAGAGTTCTTAATATGATTATAAATGAATGCTTCCTTTTATATTTTAAAGAAATAGTAGTAAAAAAAATATTCTATAAAATTGATCTTAACTTAATAAAATCAAACTTTAGTTTATTACACAGTAAAGCCAATTTGACTAATTATTTCATTCAATGTCACTCTCTTGATTACATTCCAATATTAAAATATTAAATTCCAACTATTCATCTTGGTATATCTTTAAACTTTTTTACTTTATAACGTAGAAACATTGGATACAAACAATGTATAAGAAAATTTTGTAAGCTACCAAACTGTATAAACATGATAACTGCAAAGGAAAACAGACCCGCTTCTCCTCAACAATCAAGGTATCCCCGGAGACAATGCCGATGCGCTCGATCGCGATATCGGCATCCAGGTCGACGGGCTTCGGTGGGAAGCCGACAAGCACCTGAAGAGCGGCGACGGGTACCCCAGTGAGCTCAGCGAGTTTCGTCTTTAACTGGAACGCCTTGTCCTGAGGAGTAAGGCCATTGACGACCTTCTGGCCCGATTTTGTTTTCACTCGAAGCACGAAACCTGCCATAGCGATCTATCAAGACCGTGCACGATTCGTGGAGTTAGCGTCGATCAGCTGTTCCGTGTACCCCACGGGACTTTTATCCACCACCACCTCCTCGTCGTCGTTGTTCTCTTCGTCGTCACAGCTGAACGATCAATCATGAGCATTCACAAGGATACATTGTTAGTCTGATAACCGTGGTAGCGCCAGCGATAACTAACAACGGGTCATCGCACGAGCGACCGAAAACGGAGCAACCCAGGGATATAAGACTTTGACGGGTGATACAATTCGACTCCTCTTTTGTACGAGAATCGATTGTTTGATCGATTGTCTGTCCCGCCGTTGATTTGTACTACACAAGTACTATTGGTTCCCGAAATTCCGTTACGAGCCGCCACCGCTTTTACCGACCAAGGTCCGTAAATAGAGGAACAAAGTTAGGTCCTCTCATCCACTTCACACAGTCTGGCTCGAAAATGGTGGCGACCGTGGCTCAGCTGATTAACCACATACTGTCAGGTCAAAAATTATTTTCGTTTTTTGCAATTCTTTGTACTACAGTTGGCGGCATTGTAGTTGTTTTTCATCTGAAAATTCTCACTGGTATTTTGGAATGTGCTTAAAATATGTTTTACTTCTGATTACATCTTAAACTATGTTTTAATTACTCCATTCACTCACACACTAAACCATAATACTACATGTACATAGTATCACGTATGTACACCAACACAGATTCTCTGGCTCCAAAATGGCGGCTGTGAGAGGACCTAATTTTGTTCTGTTCCTCTATTTACGGACCTTGTTACCGACCAATCGAGGTACGCGACAACAAGCGTGAAGCAGTAAGTATTACACGCGATCGGTTCTCGCAGTCAAGTCGCACGATTTTTCCTACAAGAACTGTCGCTTTTATTGAAATTGGTGTGTATACACGAGTGGCACAGTGCTTTATGTAGATTTACGCCTTACCGTATAATACTGCGGTTCGAGTAATGAGCGAATCGAGCGCGTTTACGCGCTCCAAGAGATGTTTCTTCTAATAGTCTCTACTGGTCCGGTGCATAATTTTCTCTATGTATATCTACTGTAATATGTATATGCATATATACACTTGCATATGCATATATACATACGCAAGGTGTCCCGTCAAACTGTTTGTCCCTTCTATCAAGAGGAGATTAAGAATTAAATTTAACTGAGAATTTAATTAAAATTTTATCTTTTAGATAAAATCGCACACTCCACGGTTCACCCCACGTACGCATATACAGCGCACTAATATGCTATCTCACGTACGTATCTCTATGTATAATATAGTATAAAATTAACATATAGGAGATATTCAGAATCCTCTGGCAAACTTCCACAACATCGCACACCGAGACATTCGTAACTCGTTTCCATCGAAAGGACACGTTCGGCGAAAGTGAACAATGCAAGACACTCGCACTCGTATCACAAAAGTGGGTTTGGAAGTTTGACAATAAAGTTTTGAAATGTCCTACATAATGTATATGCACATGCACATACACACACGCATACGCACACACATACTACATACATACACACATACATACATATATATCGAAGCAAATGTATCGAAGAGAGAAAGAGCGCGGAGATGTCGCGATACATAATATATACAAAGGGCCTTATTCTGAACATGTAGCAAATGCATCAATAAGTTTATTTTTACTTAAATGAAAGTCACATATAAACTTGTCTCAACTTTAAAAACAGAAAGGTATATTTGGCGTTCGTTATGTGTTCAGAATACGGAACAAGATTGATGGGAATTCTCTTCGTGAAAAGTAAAAGCGATGGAGTCGTTTGAGACGTGGATGTCTGAAAATCGATGTTTCTTTGCGTTCGCGCGATATTATAGTACCTGTTCATTTATTTATTTCTTTGTCTTTACCTAGAATGAAAAGAGTCATTGTGTATATGTGTGTGTGTGTGTATGTGTGTCACACACAACATCAAATTGCACGTGTACTGCGACGCTATCCTCATCGTCGCTTTTAGAATATTGCTTCTGAATACCACAAATGCGACTTCAGACTTTCCTCTAGCGCCACATACACGTCTTTCTTATGCTCTATATATTATACAAATCTTATGCATATAATAAATAAATATATATGTATATATTTGTATATCTAGAGATACACACATTGGTATCGAGATACTTTCCGTCCCTAAATGCGACCGAGCTGTAAACATAAACTATCGCGCGCATTGGTTATCATGTAAATCAATTGGAAACTTTAAGTAATCGTTAACGACGATATATGTATTATTTTACAATATATAATGATATATAAAAATAATATATCTTGCTAGAAGATACATATATGAAGAGACAAAACAATTTCTCGTACGCGATATTTCAAGTCTGAATAATAAATGATGGGAACTCTCTTTTCTCTTGAACGGGAGACGCGAACGTATATTTTTTTTTTGACACTGGAATATCCCACATGTCAAAAAGGCAGTATATTTGTTATATCTTCCGCCGCAAATTGTAGGTTCTCGTCTGGCAGATTATCTTTTCATATTTTTTCTCTCTTTCTATATATATATATATATTTATGTATACATTTTTTAAATCTACGAACCCTGACCTGTGTTCTCTTCATTAGTAACTACACGGTTTATACTTCAACATCATTCAATTAATTAATCTCATTAGTCGTAATAATTCTGAAATATATGATCTTCGCACTTTTTGTTTTCGGCTTTCTAATCTCTCTCTCTCTCTCTCTCTCTCTCTCTCTCTCTCTCTCTCTCTCTCTCTCTCTCTCTCTCTCTCTCTCTCTCTCTCTCTCTCTCTCTCTCTCCCCCCCTCTCTCCCCCTCTCCCTCCCTCCCATCCTCTCTCCCTTCTCCTCCCCTCTCTCTCCCTCTCTCTCTCTCTCTCTCTCTCTCTCTCTCTCTCTCTCTCTCTCTCTCTCTCTCTCTCTCTCTCTCTCTCTCTCTCTCTCTCTCTCTCTCTTTCTTTCTATATATATATATATTTATATATATATTTTTTTTATATTCATATTTATATATTTATCTTTGTTAGAATAACTCGCGAGGAATACAGCTCGCCTCCATTTCTTCTTATCTAGCAGTTTCTAAAATAATTATCGCTATGTGTGAACGTATTAGCGAACATGTATATCTTCAGGTAATAGCATTTAGAGGATAGGTTTCGCACTTCACCAGAGTGCCATGTTTCGGGATTCACTTTCCGTCCTGATGACGACATGTTTAAAAGTATTACCTAGGTCGAGAAACTCGTGTGTGTGCGTGCGTGCGTGCGTGCGTGCGTGCGTGTGTGTGTGTGTGTGTGTGTGTGTGCGCGCGCGCGCGCGCGTATGTGTGTGTGTGTATACGTGCGTGCACGCGCAGAAGATAATAAGAAGTAACAATGTACAACATATAATATAATTAACAAATATATATATAAGATTACATCGAAACAAATATGTCAATAATATTGAAAACAGAAGACATTCGGTGGGTAGATTCGTTTCGATCCGAAGTTCACGATAAATGACACGTATGTGCACATACGGTCGAGAAGTTTCGCGTCGAGTGAACGGGAAAGAAGCGTAGCGAAATACTTGGATTCGCCACGCTCGCGAACGTTATATGGCACCTGGGGAGATTTATATCGAATAAAGTTATTATTGGACGGTGAAGCACAGAATAGCGTCGCTAGACAGTTGTTTCCCGGTCTACGTGAATGTACTCCACGAAGCCGGGCTGCTGATGTCAGGACGCCGCCCCAAGAAGTGTCTCCTCCGTCGGTGCTCGTCGTGGCTTATTGCTCTTCTTCGTTCCCTTGTAATGAAGTCTCTTTGTGCGAGTTTTGGATCTGTAGAGACACGGGGAATGAATGCCAGAGTTAAAATCGGTTTTATAACAATGTTATTTAGTAATTCAATTATATTAATCATAACAAATTATATTAACCCTTTGCACTCGGATGTCCTCTCTGAGGGAACATCGTAAGTTTCCGCGAGATGGCCCCGAGTGCAAAGGGTTAATTATATTTAAACTTATATATATCATTTTGCAAAATGAGAATTTATACATTTTGTAAGACTGGAACTTTAAAAAGCATCTGTATTTTAAATCTGCTCATCGTTAAAATGTTAAAATGATCTGCCGCTCTGAATCTTTCCTGAAGATATTTTATTCAAACAATTTCAGGAGTGAGACTTCCAACTATAAATCGAAGGACAAAGAAGCAAGGTTGCGTCTTCAACGCAACACGCGTGTGTCGTTACCTGCTAATAAGAATAGTGAATAGGCACGCGAAGGCAGTGACAATTCCGGCGACGCCGGCCACCACGAGCCACATGGTGGGTGGCAGTAGTCCGAGCAGTCTCGCGCCGTTACCGCAGTTGGCCTCGTCGTGACCAGAGGGGCAATGAGCCCGACCGTCGCACCAGAGACTCGCGGCGATGCATGCACCCAGCTCCGGACACTTGTGCGGGCAGTCGCCATGCGGCACGGTTTCGTTCTCGATCCCGCCTCTCTCAGGAAGACGTAGCTGTCGGCGCAGCGCAGCACGGCTCTTGGAGATTTCTAGCCACGAGGCAGCTGCTTGACCGGACTCCCGCGCTATGAAGTCCAGCAACAAAGCAGGTGGTCGGGGAGGGCCTGGTCGCTTACCCTCGCTGCTGCCCAACCACTCCTCGGAGAACACATGCACGGTAAACTCACGAGCACCCGGTTCGGCCGGGCATATCACCTTTAGCAGCCTCGGCGGCCATCCGGAGTATAGGAGGATCCGATTGGTGGTCGGGCACTTGACCTGGTCAGACGCTGGGGCGTCAGCGGTAGCGAGAGGCGGTTCCAACGGTAGGAACCAACCCCAGGTGAGGACAAAGAGTGAGCGATTCTCGCGAGCCTCCACCAGCCACGGGAGACCCTCGCAGTAAATGTCCGGTCTCGATAAGGGAGGAGTCACGAATCTCAGTTCACCACCTGCGGCACGAATCAACGATGAAGTCAATCTCTTTCAACAGGCAATTATTTCTTCATCTTTTTTTTGTAGGTTTCGTCGTAATTACCTTCGCCACGAATCCGTTGTTTCCGCGGACACTCCGGCACGCGGATGAGCTCGAAGCTGGCGTAGAAAAAAAGCGTCTCAAAGTCTTCGTACGGTGCCTGTTGATCCACGGAGAAAGTGATCTCGAGAGCTCTACTGGATGAGACGTAGATAAGCGGCAAGTGCGATGTATTGTCGCACAGACACGCCCGCGCGAGTTTCACGTCTCGCCACGGCGCCTCATAGATGATCAGACGCGCCTCCCTGGATCCCGCCTCCTGGACGCAGCGTGGTCGACCAGTGTGCGGGTCTGGATCGCTCACGCATATGGTAGACTCACCCAAGCTGACGTTGTGCAGCGTCAAGCGAATTCTTTCACCGCTGCCGGCTTCAATACGATACCTGCAGTCCAACTTGCTGGAACCACCGCGACCGAATAAGCGTACGTCACGCGGCGACATCACTTCTCCAAAGCGCGCTTTGCGCCATATTCGACTGCAGATACCGTCGCCCCAAGGTTCGCCAGCTTGGAGAGTGGAAACGAACTCGTACTGCGCCTAGAATGTAGCAGAAATTGGTGTGTCGTACACATTTTATTAATACATCTTACAAGGAAGGAAGTGTGTGTTTCCGATTTCAACGAAAGTTGTCATGTTTGTGGAATAGCCAAAAAGAAGAGACTCAGATTTTTTTTATCGACAATGGTTCAGGTTTAAGGGATGAAACTGCCCCTCAAAATTTCATTCCCTTTATATTATCTCGATAATTATTACAAATAGGAAAAAAACTTTTTAAAGAAAAATTGTACAGTTTTTTATGCCGCACAATTTTTGTTCGTCGAAATTGAAGACGCACACTCCGTGGATGTTTCTTGTTAGATATTTTTTAGATATCTTAAATATTAACATTATTATATTATATGTATATCTTATTTATGTATATTTTATTATATGTATATTTATGTCCTCTTTAATCTTAAGTATCTCCGATTTTTTTTCTGATTGATTCGATTTGGAGATTTGTTTTGAGTTGCAATTTCTTATGATCGCCAAATTAAACTACTCTCTATAAAACTCAAGATGAAATTTAAAAAATTATTTCGTCTAGATATAATATATGCCCTTTCGAAAAAGACAATATCCTTCTTTGCTATTTTTAGTGGCAGAAACAGTATTCAAAATGTTCAAGTATACTTACGTGGAAATTGACCGGGTGGAGTGCGGTTCCCAGTATAGTCTCCATGCGTAGTGTCAAGCTCGGCGCAATCGTCAGGTAACTCTCGTCCTCGGTGCACGGTCTCGTGCTCCTGGTGATGTTTCGTAGCGCCGCGTGCGCGCACAGCTTGGGTGTGTCGTCGCACAAACTAGCTATCGGCTGGCCGCTGTTCGGTGCACCGTCCCAGAAAATGAGCTTTACCGCGCACGTTGGGTCCGACTGTGCACTCGCGTTGTTCTCGCCGTTGCTGGTGAAGTCACGCTGCGAGTACGACGAGAAGTAGATCCAGACGCGATCCCCAGTGACGCCTTTGATGTTCCACGTGCAGCTGGAGCTGGGTGGCAAGGCGTGCAACGGCGCGCGTATGCTTCCGCTTCTCTTACTGGTACCGTTGACGAAGAAATGGCAGCCTTGCGCACCCTTGGCATAATCCAAGCCGTCCGAGTCGACGTAGATAACACGCAGCTCGAGCTCGAGTCGCAAGGCAGATGCGCCCAGCGCTATAGCCGTCGGCGAGCTGCGGAATTCCACCTGCATGGCTGGTCCACGTGCGGTTACCTGCGGCAACGGGCCGCCGCAGTAGATTAGAAGAATAGGATCTTCGGTGCGCGCGCCGTCGCGGAAGATCAGACGATCCTTCTCTGCGGGACAGTCCTGCCAGACGCTGAGGCTCGTGTTGACGGTGCTGAGCCCAACCGGACCAGTGGGTGTACTCTTCACTGATATCATGGCGTGCTTGCAGGTAGGCACCTCCTTCTGGCGCACAGTGATGAGGCAGCTGGCATTGCGCGGATATTCGCCCGGATAATTCGGACTCTGCAGCCGGCATTGTTTCAGGTGGCACTCGTAGAAGTTGCGCGAACAATATGTACCGGGTACAGGCGAACCCCTCTCGATCGGCAGCTCCGGCTTGCCAAGGCGTGCGACTGCTTCATTGCGTGCGACGAAGCGGTAACGCAAACGGAACTCGAATGGCACCGTCGACGGTGCGTGGAACAGCCTTATGGACGCGGTGACGGTGCTGGTCTCGCTATAATAGGTAGCACGATCCTCGCCTACGCCGCACCACGAGCCACCGGTGAAGTGTCGACCCAACTCCGCTAACTGCAGCGAGCCCTCCGGACAGCTGGTGAAGTAGTTGTCGGCGTTCGGGTCGACGCGACCCACGCTGAAGGCGTCCCACAACAGCTGCACTAGCTCGCCGTAACCTTGGCCGGCGGCGGTGAACGTCAGGTGGCAAAGGAATGGCAATCGCTCCTCGGCCGGTCGCGGCAGGTCCAACTTGTACGTGCGACCCTCGCGGCCGTGATACGTGCGGTTGCACGGTGTGCACATCGCCGGCTCATCGCTACCGTCGCCGCAGTCATCCTCGCCATTGCAGTACGCGTCTATCGGCACGCAGCGGCCGTCGTTGCACCTCAGTTCGGCCAGGCCGCAGGTACCACCGCCGCCACCGCCGACGCCGCCGACGACGCCGACGCCGACACCGACGCCGCCACCCCCGGTACCGCTGACACCGACGCCGTACGACACGTCGATCAACAACAGCGAGACGAGACCGACGAGGCTCAGTCGAAAGAGTCTGACATCGTCGATGCCCCCTCCGGCATCAGCTATCTCCTGTGAAATGAAAGCGAGACGATTTACGTCCTGAGATTGTCCATCACTTTGCCCAACCGCCACCTCATTCTGTTTCTTCGTCTACTGTGCTTGAAAGAAGACAGCAAAAGAAGACGGCAAATCAAGATGCTCCAATTTAGCAAGCCGATCGACAACTTGCTCGTTCATTTTCGGCAAGTTGTACGTATTTCGACGAAGATAAACGAGCGAAAGAGAATGTGGAAAATGTTCGACTGAACTCTTGTGCAACACAAAAGAGATTGATGACGATAACGCGCGGTGGTGACGACGCGTTGTAACACAAATGCAGCGAGTCTTGCACGTTAATCGCGTTGTTAATGTCAAACCGCCTGAAGTGGTCGAGATTTAAATCGATCGATTCGACAGCGACGACGACGACGACGACGACGACGACGACGACGACGACGACGCGCCCGCTAGCGTCGTCGAGCAGCCGTCACAAACACCTGTTTTAAATCTCGCTGAGTGTGCCAATTGTTAGAGACGAGCGATGCGATGCAGTCCCGAAACCTTATCATTAACGAGCAAAATAACGATAATGTTCGTTCGTCAATTACCATAATAGTTCGTCAGTGAAACGAGCATCACAGTGACAATTCCGACATAGAGGTGAGCCGAACCGCCGAGGACGAGGAGACGGTGCGCGGCATCGTGTGAAGCAGCAGACGAAGAAGAGAGTCCGGGGGAGGAGGAGGAGATACGCGCGGCCTCGGAGCGGCGGGAGTCGCAGTTAGCGAACGACGACGGTGATCGTCGTGATCGTCGAAAACATCCCCGGTTCGCTCATGGCACTGCGAGATCGGACGTGAGACTGGTCGATCTTGCCGATCGACAGCGAGCGTGACACGCCGGAAAACCCCGCCTACGCGCCTCTCTTCTCGCGCTGCTGCGATTTACTCCCGCTGCATCGCACGCTGAGGAGCGCGCCGTGCACGCCCCGGAGGTCGATGCGCAACTGCACACACCACATACTTTTCCCGGAGGGAAGCCGCGCTGCAGGCCATATACTGGGGCAAAGCAGGGGTAGACGGGGCTGAGCTCGGGGAGAGCCTGGCTGCTAGGCGCCTCAATGCATCGATCGGCTCTCGCTCTCGTCTTTCTCCCTCCGTCACCCTCTCTCTCTCTCTCTCTCTCTCTCTCTCTCTCTCTCTCTCTCTCTCTCTCTCTCTCTCTCTCTCTCTCTCTCTCTCTCTCTCTCTCTCTCTTCTCTCTCTTCTCTCTCTCTCTCTCTCTCTCTCTCTCTCCCGTCCTCTATCTCTTCATCCGTCTGCCATCCCCTGTGAAGCGAGAATTGACACCGGTATAATTCTGCCGAGCTCAATCTTCGATGACGATGGTGTGCGAGGAGAGGCTCCTCGCACGTCGGTCGTCGTGCTATTGTCGCGAGTCAGCACTTCGGAGGATACGCCTCGTCGATGGGTGCGAGTCTCTGCAACATCGGAGAATGCAAACAAACCTGCGTTAAATAACATTCACTTGAGTAGTCACGTCAGAAGATTCGGTATACGCCGAAAAGCGAAGAATGCAGAAACGATTGGCGCGGCGAACTCCGCGCTCAATCACATTGTCCCCTTCTTTTCCTTTTTTTCTTTCGAAAACTTCCCAAATAGACAGAAAGATATCTTTTAGATTTCTAAAAGATATCTTGCAATGTCTTGAGATATCTTACATTTTTCCCGAAGAAATATCTTTTAGGGATCTAAATGTTAAAGATATCTTTCAAGACATCTTTTAGATGTCTATAGATATCTTTTAAAAATTCTAGATAAAGATATCTTCAACAAAATCTATTTAAATATCTTTTAGATAACTTCTAGACATCTTTTAGAAATGTCTTGAAGATATCTTTCATAAGATATCTTTTAGATGTCTACAAGATATCGATGTTTACTGGGTTGCAGCTTTTCGTCTGTCGTCCACCACACGGTCGACCGTCTCTCACCTTAGCTTCTGCTCCTCTTCCTCTCCTCTCCTCTCATCTCCTCCTCCTCCTCCTCCGCCGCCAACGTTCCACTTCAAACGGGTCACTGAAGATCGAGGAGTTCGCGATGTGTACGCTCGTGTAGTATGCCTGTAGATGTTGAATTTTGAAATTTCGCGTCCAATATTTACGCTCACGCGTGATTCGGCCTAAGTTACCGGGCCTTTTTGCGCTAGTCGATCGCACCGCGCTGTATATTTCAAAGCTTCGCCGTCCGTACTTCTGCCTTACGGTCTGTTATATTTGCTCCACTTTCGGTGTTACCACAGGAACTTGGAGAGCCGCCGATGGTGGCACGCATCGATCAGGACTCCGGGCTACTTTCGCGACGAGGAGGAGCGCGATCTAGCGCAGGCGGGGGATTCACGAGGCGCTGGGAGTTCGATTGGAGTTCGATTGGATCGAACGGCCGCCACTCGAACTTTGACCTCAACAATTCGGGCGAAATGAGTCGAGCTCCAAGCACTGGAGCAGAGCGAAGCGGAATTTTCATTAATGCATCTTTCATCCGTCCGTACGCTGAAAATCGAAATCTTCGGAAGCGTCAGCGAGCCGCAAGAATCACGACGTTCACCTTCCCCGCGGCTGCCGTCGTCGTCGTCGTCCTATCGCGCGTCACACGGGCGCGCTTACTCGGATTCCGCTTATCGGAATTTTTGCGCTCTACTAACCGCCCTCCGGTTACACACACACACTCTCTCTCTCTCTCTCTCTCTCTCTCTCTCTCTCTCTCTCTCTCTCTCTCTCTCTTCGCTGAAGCATCGTTGACCGTGTTTGCAAAAACATGCTACTTTCTTACTCGCCGGCGGTCGAAAATCCGCTTTAATTACATTCACAACGGCGCAACATCGTCGCGCTCGGCGAGCGAAGATCAGGCAGAGATAAGTGAACCCTCGACGATTGTTTCACATCGATTCGAGGATCTCCCGCCGGAAGTGGAGATTAACGGCACTTCCTTTCTCTCTCTCTCTCTCTCTTTCTCTCGGCAGGATTGTATCTATACGCAGACCGCTCGAAATTCGCGCACAGGCAAGCCGGAACGCCGCAACAGGACAAATTACCGAGAGAATAGAAGCACACCCCAACTGTATTGTGTTATATTAACGAGCGGATTTAATTTCATACTCTCGAGGATTGACTCGTTATTTGAACGAAAAGTAAGGTGAGTTTGATTCGTTACTTTCAATTGAGATTAATCGGAAATCAACTTTGCAGGGGCTTCGAACTCTTCGCCGCTGTCATGCGTGAAAGTATGGACGAGGAGAACAACGACGACGACGACGCATCCGGAGCGAAGCGTGTCGAGGACGTCGTCATCGCTCAACGTCGCTGTCCCTAATATATGTGTGTATAACCAGTGGCGCGTACATCGTGGCATAGCCTTGCAACGACGATGATGATGGGGCTATCGAACGCGAGTGCACACCCTCTTGTCGAGAGTGCGCGCCAAAGGGAAGATTGGCAGCACTCTTATCGCGTTATCAGTGGCCACTACAGCACCGTTGCTGCCGCCGCAGCTTGTTTGGTCGTTCCCCTTTTCTTCTCATCGATTATCGATCTCGCCCGATTATCTCTCGCCGCTTATTATAAACAATTCATCGTCAAGCATGACGCTTTATCAATTAATCCTAGGATGCATGAGGATACTGTTGTGTATTATTATATACGACGTCCCCCGTCATCTTCCGTTAGATTTTGCGTCTTCTTCCAAGCGACTTCTGGAGGAAGCTACTTCCCCCGTTGAATGCTCTTTCAGTGTTCAGTTTAGATTCATCACTTTTCCGCATTATTCGATTATTCACCGTCGAGACTCGTGCGCCGAGCGGCGAATTTTTATCAAGCGACTGATTTGTATCGTGCGATCGACCGTTTAACTCAGTTACAGTGCGAATCCTACGTGTAATGTGAGAGTGATTGTATGTTACACAGGGTATTCCCATAGCTCGCGATTTTAATTTTACAACGAGGAGAAACCCCTCGCGATAAATATAAAGTCGGTCGTTTTTGCGCGAGAATTAAAGCCGCGAGCGAGAGTTATGAGGCATCCTGTGTACACTTGTCAGTCTCAACTATTGTACGCTGTGTGGACAAAATAATCTATTTTTACACGGGAAGAATACAGAAAGACGAATGAGCGGGTGAGCGCGCAGGTACCCCTTGGGGATACAAGCTTTCAGGTCTCATGCATCTCACGTGCATTTACTTGACTGTAGTTTTTTAACTCGCAATAAACTCGTACCACTCGTGCTTTGTGAGATTGGTATATGTGTATGCGTGTAAGTGTACTACGTACATGCAGGAGGCACGACTAAATATTAAATGCACAGATGCACACATAACGCACGTTCATTTGCAAGGCAGACTATGACATGTATTTCGCTCAAGTTTTTCGTCTTTGGCAAGCATGATGCGGTTGAATCATGCTATGCAACTATAAACAAAAAGGAACGCTCGTAAAGTATTACATTCTTACCTTGTTGATACTGCACTCCGTAGAAGTATTCCATATTATGTTAACAATATCTACCGATCTTATCTATTATTTATCGTCAAGAAACTTCATAAAATCGCAGGTCAATTACATTAACAAGCTGACAAAATATATTATGACGAAATATATTAGCTTTCACTAATAATCGTTTTCGACCACTCGAGACACGTTACCTGCTATTTAATTGTGCTAATGAAATAAGATTCATCTGTTTTTTTATCGAGTCGTATTATTTAAAATTTAAAAGAAACGCCTCTTAGTTTAGACGCTAGATTTAGTTAGACGCTAGTTATAATTTATTAAAATATGATATTCAAAATATTACTCAATAATAAAACTAACGAACATTTGAGAAATATTATTATTATAGTTGACTAATTTGATCTTAAAACACAGATGGCACATCAATCAATCTGTAGAGCGGTATTGAGTAAAATACCGGCGCGCATGGCCGCTTCTAAGTTTCTGTTTCTATTTACTTTATTGGAACACGTGTGTACACAGCACCAGTCGTAACCTTATCTTTCGTTTTTAACCTATATATTTATAAAGAATAATAATGGCGTTAAAACATAAATTAATCAGAAAACGAAAGCAAGAAGAAAATAATGATGCACAAGTATGTACCGGCGAAAAGAATATTGGACTCTGCTGTTACAAAGTAACATAAGTAACTTAAACTAGTAAATACGAATAAAAAGTTGTTTTATCAAGTTTGATGAAATTTAATGTTATATGTTTTGATACTCTCAATGTAAATATAAGTGTTGATGTCATTATATATAATTATAATATATTCAATTGGATGTGATTCTCTAATCTTGCTAAATAAGATTTTTAGAGAATAATCTTTCGTATGTTTACACGTTAGCCCAAATGGGCCAACAGGCAACGAATATTTGCTACTCGAGGGATCAATCACAGGCATCGACATCTCATGGAAGACTTGAAAACACTTATGCCACATCATCGACCTGAATGCAAAATGGAACGTACCAAAACATTGCAAATGGTAAATGAAATGTGCAAGATGAAGAATTGCAATAAAGTTGTCCTGTTTGAAGGCCAGCTGAAGCAGGATCTTTATATGTGAATTGCTAATGTACCTAATGGTCCAACTATAAAATTCCTTGTGGAAAACAGTATATATTCTATTTATTTATATTAAAAATTTGCAAGACAGAATTGGAAAATAATTGTATCTAACATTTTACACAGTTTACACAATGGGAGAACTGAAAATGACTGGAAACTGTTTGAAAGGATCTCGACCATTACTCTCATTTGATCAATCTTTTGTCAAACATGCACATTATAATCTCTTGAAGGAATTATTGACACAAATATTTGAGCTATCATATCATCATCCAAAAAGTCAACTATTCCATGATCATATATACATGTTTAGTTTTCTGGACAATAGAATATGGTTCTGAAATTTTCAAATTTTAACTGAAGATGGTGCATTGACTGAAATTGGGCCAAGATTTGTACTCAATCCTGTCAAGGTATTTGCTGGAAGTTTTGCTAGTGATATTTTGTGGGATAATCCCCATTATATTTCCCCTGCTAAGGTATCGTAAAATTTTCTATTTCAAGAATAAGTTATGATTAAATTACTTCTCTTATCATTGTATTATTAACATTGTATTATAATGTATAAAATTTAATGTATAATCTATTATAATGTATAAAATTTCAGTATCGGCAATCATCGAAATGAGCAGCTAGAAAATATAAAAACAGGATAGAACAGAAAATGGCATAAGAAGTAAATAAGCCTGAACGATCTTATGCTCTTAATCCCATGGATAAGATATTGTAAGAATTTTTGTTAGTTATTGTAGAAAAAAATTAAAAATATTTTTTTTTCTTTATTTGCCACTAATGTACTTGTGTACTTGTACACTTGTATCATTTTACAATAAATGATTCTTTTGATGTTCACTTTTCACTTATATATAATTTTACTTATACTCTACGCGCTCGGACAGCAGTCTTCCTTAACTTCCTTAACGGTACTGACGAAAAAGCTAATCGTGCTGCATGCAAGTCCTATATATAATATTGGGACTTACTGGATTTAGGAAAAACCTGTTAGTCATCTTAATATTGAAGCCTATTGTTTGATTTTCCCAGGTACACGTATCTTTTCCTAGAGTTAAATGAACAAAGGTCTAAGTACAATATGGCAATGACTTCTATTGCTAAGACAAATATAAGAAAATCCTAATCAGAGCGACCCTTGTTGAATCGTAGGTGTACGAATTTATCTATTTGATATAACTAAAGTGAATAACGCACACAATATTTAAAGGTGATGTATTAGAAAAAGCATTAGAAGTGCAAGAAAAGTTTGAAGTGACAATAAAATGTTTACAAAGGAGAAAACAGATAAAGAAGTCAGTCAATTAAAAGGTGATGAAACGAAAACAGTTGCAAAAAAGAAAATGAAATTGTCATGGAAATACATAAATTATAATATTAGAATATATATTTGTATAATAATAGATTGTATTTTCTTTATAGCTATATATTTTCCGAATTATCTTGTAACCTTTTTTTTCTTTCTTTAAAGATCAAAGAAGTGTAAAATTCCAACGAAACTTGAATCTCAGAATGGTGCTTCTTGGAAAAGATACTTGTATCTATAGGTGCGGAAATAGTCTGTCAAAAGAACCGGATAGACATTGAAACCAGTCTTATAATAAACGTAACAAGAACTATATTTATAGCAACATAACTGTGAATATACGAACGGAAGGTACGACCGACACAAAAGCCCCTTTCGGCATTATCTTAATTCGCGGAAATGTCCTTTCATCGAATATATAGTACACTTTCACTGCATAACATACACCCTAAGGAGTTAAGTCTATACATATAATATTAATCTGCGTGAATATGTGTATATAATAAAATTTCTCATCATACGTACAAAATATTAAATTTTTATTTTATTCAATATTTAATCCATAGTTGCATCGTCGTATTGCGTGTACGAGACGTGGTGTCACATGAACAATTAGATCGTCCGAAAATTTCTGGCACTATAATTTCGGAATAAATATTAAGCATACATAAAGAGCGAATTAATAATCTGCACAACAATAATTTCCTGAAAGAATCTTTCACATAGCAGTGTGAGAGTTGTACATTAAAACGGTGAAGAATGCCGAAACGTAGTAAAGAATACCACTCGTCGCTAGTTTAAAACGCATAACGCGTACGTATATCTTCCAGCTTCTTCGACACCTCAGAGGGAGTTCTCTCGAGATCGCCTGAGATACTCTTCTGCTTTGCGGGTTCGATGGAATTGAATTGCTCACAAAGATCGCCATCAATTACATTTTTTACGGGATAGTAGTATGATCTGAAAGACAGATGATCTCTGCCGCAGAGCGGCGGATGTTCGGATCTCATGTGCATCTCGAGATGCTGAAAGAAGTCGTGATCCTCGTGACTAGTAAATGGCACGAGAACGCCCACTGTTCCGCTCAGAGTCGTATAGACTAAACTTTCAGAACCACCGGGTATGAGAGTCGCCTTTTGCAATGACATCACTGTCTCACCAACGTGAAAACAAGCTACTGTGTCAGCCTTCTGGCTTGCGCCATTCAACAATCCTCGGTCCCACAGAGCTTTATTACCCGTGGGATCTTCATCCACGTCATCGTTAATGCCAGTAGCTAATCGTATCTGTCGAGAGAAAAAGGGAAAAACATAAGTAATACGACAAATTCAATTTCATGCTAGAACAGTTACATTGATTCTAAATCTCTCTCATGGATAGACTCTTACATCATAACGGATTTACATCGATTGTGGCTGATTAACAAGAAGTACAAAGTTGCTTGCGCTTCTTTGTACTTATCTCAAATATTATATCTAAAATTTCATGAATCTCGATAGAATTTCATCCCAAATATTGGATTATGGTAGAGACGATTCTCACAAGGTTACCGAAAAAATTGAAAGACAACTTACCACAGCTATGTTTCCGAATTTATCAGCGGTGGCGACGGTGTCATAATCCAACACGCACGTCGTCGTGATCCATCTGGGGTGTGTGTCATCCGCAAAAACGATAAGTTGATTCTCCTGGCGTTTGTATCTCACGGCATACACGGACTCCTGTACGTCGCTGACGTAAATCCGTTGACCAATGGCGTTGATAGACACCACGGCGTTCGGAATGTGTTTGTTTTCGCATTTTCGCAGTAATTTCTTTTTACCCATATCGTAAAGCCGCAACATTCTTCCTACTCCCACTAATACCCGGCCCTGATATGGACAAATGGCCAAGGGAACCTCGTCCAACGGAGATTTGTGCAGAAGCTCGAGGTTCGTACATTCCGAATTTACTCTGTGACACGAGACAATCGTTTTTGGTCATTTAGCTTGGTTATATTTCACGGAAGATGAGAGCACTTGCTGATATATATCTTTGATATCAATTAACCATTTCCACAGGCAATTCCACAAAATATAAAATTACAATTCTTGTCATTTAACTGCGTGTATACTTCATCTTATTTAAAAGTATTGCGAAGTTAATAACTTACTTGTACGTATATAGAAATCCACCGTTGCTGACCCTAGGATTCAATTGAAAGTCTTTTGCAACTCCGACTATGAGAAATAGCTGATCTCCTTGATTGGCGAATTTCACGAGACATAAACTATAAAAAGAGAGAGAGAAAAAGAGAGAGAGAGAAAAAGAGAGAGAGAGAGAGAGAGAGAGAGAGCTGGTTAATACAGAATTCCTCCGTCACTAGTTACTAGTAGACTGTAAAAAATGTCTTTTCGTTGCTTACCAAAGAGCAGCCAAGTTTTGCTCAAAGCGATGCACTTCAAATGTTTGACCTGTAGTAGGTGCCATTATTCTTAATGAAGATGCCCAGAGACCGGGACCCGCTCTCGGGGCACCGAAAACAGCTTCGTTTGGTTCTTCCGATAGAAATGCTTCCGCCAATTCTCTAGCGACGGCAGCTTCATCAGCACCAGCAGCTTCTTGCATCTCTTCGGCCATTTGCAATCTTCTTTGTTGTTTCGTTTCATCGGTATAGGCATTGTGCTCAGTCTCGATGACTACTAGATGCGCGGAATCAGCGTGTATCGCGAACTTTCGCGGTGTGTATTCCAGAGGAAAGCTCACTTGATTGAACACTGCACCCAGCTTCTCCAAAGCCAAAATTCTAAGAGTATTCGTCGATATAGCGACGATACCTTCCGGGCACTGTTCAGAACTGAAACCCGACGCAAATTCTAGGCTCTCGTATGAAAGTGGGGTTAGATGAAAGCGATTCTGATAATAATAACTGAGCCACGATCTGCTGCTCATTGCCAATACTGCTTGATTGCCTTGCATTCGTATTCTAAAAAGTTTCACCGGTCGGGAACCCAAGTAACGTGTTCTCGTATCTGCGAGGTCACCGGAAATGGGATCCAACACGGTTCTGAGCAACACACCGTTTTGTAAGCCTGGAACGAAGATAATAATATACAAGATAGAAGCATCGAACGTACGCAAATGTAGTCGGAGACGATTATTTAGCCAGCAACACTAAGCAACGGTAAGACTCACCTATGTTTAAGTACAAACTGGACTGTTGAGGTGCCGAATCTTCAGAATTGTCGGCATCTTTAACACCCATCTCCACGATACACAAACTTTCCGCGGCCGCTGGCAATGCTTGCATGCTTCTCGGTGCTAAACAATCTGACGGGTCCAACGAAATTATTCTTACAGTATTGTCCTGCAGTCCAACGGCTAGGAACCACGATCGTTGTTCACCCACGGCCACGTTACCAAGAGCCATACACATAACTTCTGAAGGCATCTTTTTTCTTTCTGTGTACTCGTTCAATTGGCCGGTCTGAAAATAAGCGTTAACAATCAATCAGTCGACGACAATCATCAATAGTGTAAGAGTCTCGTGGCATCTTGTTCGCTCTTCATCGATTTCAACTGCCAAGCAGCAGTCGACTACGCAAAAATGAAGAGTGATTTTGCTCTTCGCATGTTTTACATCTCCGGGGGTATAAATCATATGTCCTCGGAGAGAACAATTAATGCGAGTGTCAATTGATGATTACGTTGGAAAAGCTATGGAAAATTTATTGCGGATACGTACGGGATCCATTTCGAAGTAAACCAGTTCGCCCCCGGTCAAGGCGATAACTACTTGACGCTGATTAACGGCACATTTGACGATAGTCTTTTTGCCGGGTGCCTTCCACTCGTTCACGCGCTTATCCGCACGAATATGGCGTATACCGTCTGGATAAACCTGAAAGTGAATCATCGTGTTTGATAAAAATCTCGCAAGTAAATCTCAAAATTAGTAATAAAGTAAATTAATATTAGTCAATAATAATAAAGTACATTATCGTCATTATTGATAAAGTGTACCGCTCATAGCGGTGTTTCATACATATATCAACCCAAAAGATTTAATTTTATCGATACTACTGGTGACTATGGTCACTCATTGATATTTTGCATTGGTTCACAATTTTAAATCTAAATAAAGAATCCACTTGGGCTTATTGCGAAACATTTTCCATCTATTTGCACTAGTAACACGAAACGAAAAAGCGCAGTAAGAAAGTGCATTGTTATAAAAATGATAAACGACAAACCCATTACTGTTGTAAATCCTGTGATGTAGGTTTATGTGCATATCCTCATTTTGAAACTTTTCAGATAAAATTATATTATTAGACAATTTTTTTGAATTTGAATAATTTAAAATACATTATATTGTAATATCTCATTCCTTTACGAACAATTTATCATTATATACGAATAATTTGCATTATTTTACCGAATATCAAATGTTATATCTAGTCCACGGTAAAATGCGCGTTCGCGTTGTAACTGGCCCGTACTGTAGAATCTTATTCGCGATTCGAATATCCGTACTGCGGAAGCATACTCGCGAACGACATCATAGCTGTATTGAAAGGGTTAAATAATGAAATTGTCGGGCCCGTGTTACCAGGAAAGTTCGTACGAAATCGGAACGTTCCAACGATGCATATAAGCCCTAATTATACTGTAGCACTCATTTAATACGACCGGCACGTGGTCAACCAAGTGCTGGAGATACCATAGTGCATCAAACAATTTGGAATACAATTTGACAGTGAGAAAAAGGTCAACAATATTCTAAACGCGATTTCTTTACTTAATTGTTCTGAACTAACTAAAGTAACATTCGCAATGATCATTACATCATGTTACACACATGTTACAATCGCGTTCAGCTTCAATCTTTTGTGGTTCTTATCTCTTTCTCATGACTTTCTTGTATCGTAGTAATGCGATTTTTCTCTAAAAATATCAGTTCAGTATACCTGCACTAATGCGTCCTCGCCCAAAGCGGAGCAACTCAAGGTTGGTGTTGTACCGAGAAAACCAGAATCCGTCACTTCCTCGACAGTTTCTCCGATACTGAGTACAAGCGTAGCATTCACGAAGGACACTATGATGTATGCATCATATTCCTCTGCAATCAAAATCAGAAAGCTAATTCTCAGTACGTCGAAAAGTGTGAACGAGCATTGAATCGCGTATTTTTCTTTTTTCTTTTTTACTCTAATTTGCATAGAATATTATGATACTAGATGTCTTCGAACAAAACTGCGCACACGCTCTCATGTCGGGCACGGAAAGAGTTGATGAGCTTTTTTTTTGTTTCTTTTTTAGTCGAGCGAATCGACTCTTGCTCGTGCCAATTTCGTAAGTCCTTACCTTTCGGTCATTCACAGTTCTGTGGGTCAACCAATAGCGTACTGGCATCCTGAAAGAGAGAACTGGTGTTTGATAAGAGTGTATCAAGCCACCAGGTTCATTAATATCGTTTATTAAAAACCGATGCCATTTTTTTCGTTTTTCTCTTTTAAAGCGATCTATAATTGTTCTTTTCATCTATAATTGTTTCTTTTTTGACTTTGTATACTAAGTACTAATATCTTTACCCTCCAAAGCTTTGCTCAAATTTGCTACGCTTGACCGTTTCGATCGGCTTTATTTTTCATAAAAATAAAGGACAATAGAACGAGACAACGAAAGTCTGCGATATTTTTAGTGCTGACTATAAAGATCTTAGAAGTCGGTTCGCAGTGACATAGAAAAAGTTTTTGAAGATAAGAGAGAAGTGTATGAAGATTCTGTCTCAACGAAAAGAGGAGAAAACAAACCCGATCGTCAAGCTAATTCATCGGTTGTCGAAGTAAGCAATTCGAGTGAAAACATGCAAACATTTTGTATATGTAAAAATATTTTTTGACTAACCATCAACTCTTCTTTTCACAGTCCATACAGCATTTGGATTACCGGGCAATTCGCTCACGGCCATCTCGGAAACCTCAAGTCCATGACGTAACACTCGTAGAGTGGATCGTGGCCCTCTACCGCAAGCGATATACAACTGCGGCGTATCTTCGTTCGCCAGATCTGCCACCTGCATCGATAAGAGATAATCAACATATTTTCCCTCAGATATACTTTAGATAATACTTTAGTCTCTGCATTATTGTTTTAATTTAAAAACAAAATTTTATATAAATATAAAATTTTAACCATAAAATATTTAAAACCTAAATTTAAAATCATAGTTCTCTATAAACTTCTTGGAAATTTAACTCAATGAGTCTGAGAGCAAAAATCAAAAACTTTTTTTAATAAATCATAAAAAACAAAGTTCTTTCTAAACAGATACTTGTCCCTCTTAGAGTTCACTTCGAGTTGCAAAAACAAAGCGAAGGCGACTAAGAGTATTTCGATATTGCACTTTATGACAAAAGAAAAGCAATGCAGGAACAACATCTCTTTTCACTGAAAAGTGCCAAGTCCAATTGAAATTATTATTTAGTATCAGTATGTCACCTGGCAAGCCATTATAGGTGAGAGACTGTCCATTTCGTCTACTAACACCAAATTTCGTAGTGGTCGCGGTGCAAAGAAAAAAGTATCGCCTTCTTCTAGTGGCATCGCAGAGCTAAATTCAGGTTCATCATCATCATCACCAAGATGAGCTATTTGATACAAATAACTAAAAATAAAAAAAATTGTATTTAATATATTATATGGTTTAGTTTTCTTACATATATATATATTTATATGAAATATAGAATGAGTACTAACTGGTTTCCAAATTCTGAAGCGACAAATAAAAATCCTGTCTTCAGGACACACATACTCGCAGCTACAGGTACAGTGTCAAAATATTTCAATTTGATCTCCGTTACCATGTCATCATCAGTTTCGAGCGTGATCTTGAATATATCACCTTGTTCAGTCTGTGCGAGGAAGAAAAACATACTTTTTGTTTTGTGTGTGGCCGAACAAACAAATATCATGCCTCTCTCTGGATCGTCCAGGTCGTTTCGTCGACGTGGTATAGGACAGCGAATGTCGTGTTGGTCGCCCAGATTTTTGTAAGTAAGATAGTTTTCAGAACAAATAAGAACACCACTAGGACCATCGTTACCACCAGGAACCGATACGAGGAAATTTGCGTGTTCCTCGAGTGGTTCGCTGTATTTTCGCACTACGTGATTTAAGCCAAGATCGAGCTCATACAGTGTCAATGTTTGCTGTGTCTTTACCGCAGCATCTCCGGTAGGGTCGCTATCTGCTTCCTACAATTAATAATTGGCACTTTTACATAAAAAGACATTAGATATGCATATACTTTGCACAATATTGAGAGTACCATCATTAATATGAGAATTTAATCAATATTAATCAGTTGAAACACGGATCATTACAATAATCATGTGGTACATAATAACAAAATATTTGTCAATAATAAATCTTATGAATTTACCTCATAATCAATCTCTAGACATGCAAACATAGGATTTTCAAAACCAACATCTACACCAACGGTATGGTATACCAAGGTATTGCTTTTGTGTGCTTCTAATGGTGAAGAAATTGTTAAACGTGCTTCAGCATCTCTGTTAAGGATGTATACAAGTTTCTGCTTTTCAATAGCACCTAAAACAATAAATGTAACGAGTATAACATTGAGTATTCATTTTGTTACAATTGTAATCCTCTTTCCTGATAAAAGCAGTATACCATCATTATTAATAGGAGATATAATCAACATTAATCAGATGAAACACGAAAATAATCATATGATATACAATAAATTGTATTTTTTTAAAATTATCTATATATTTTATTTATAAAAATTATCTATAAATTCTATTTTTTTTAAATTATCTATATACTTTATTTATAAAAATTATCTATCTAATATTATTAGATAAAAATATAGTGAAAATATATAGTACCTATCATAACTGCTCTGCCCTTAGGATCAATAGCCAAATATTGACCAGGTACAATACGTCTACATCCACTCTTTCCAAAAGTTTCTTGATGTACCTTTTCAAAGATGTTCTTTGCAGGTATATATTCCAGAATCACTATACGTCCAGAATCAGAACCAACAACAATATAATCTTTCGTTCCACCAGTTAGCCTAAATGCCATCAAAGATCTTACAATGCCAAACACTTCAACAGTTAGTAATGTATGTACTTTCCCTGTGTTTGGATCCGGTCTTAGTAGTTCTAACGACTTGCCACGAGAGACCAAAATCTCTTGCATCTTACTGCCTGAGAAGTTGCCATGGACTGCATGAGTGATGCCCGTAGCACGTTGAAGAGTTAAATTATACAGATACATCTTGGTTTTGCTCTCTTACGTCAATTTCTCAAGCAATAAACGAATTATTTGGAATTATGTTCTTCGTGAAGACTCGCGAGCGTCCATGCTACAAAAAGAAAATGCTGAGAATACGAAATTGGACATAGCGCGAAGCTCTCGCGTTTTGATCAAATTTGTTCTCCCTTTTTGTGATTTTATGCAAGTCTTCTCTTACGTATTCTCTCGAAATATTTGCATATAATCAGATACATACGTCAATCATCGAAGTAATTATACTACGTTTAAAATACAGTTAAACGGAAAACTAAAAAGAAATACAAAAGCGGAAGAATATTGGTAATATTCTCTTACCTCAATCAGGCATTCAACGTGATAATGCTCGACGATGTCTTGAGATTCCTATCGTGATTAAAAGATGCGGCGGAAATTCGCCGCGACTATCGTTACGAGAGAACAGAACGCTTTCCCAGACATTCACCACGACAATTTACCGGAAACGATACACGCCGCCGGTACTTACGCCATTTTACACATTTATGAAAACGTCATATCCGGTACGAGCGCAATTCATCGGGCTGCGTTCCGATATTCACTGCCAGCACTAAAAATCTATAGTATACGTGACACAAACTATGTATTTTCAGTACTGGCAGTAAATATCGGAACGCTGCCTCAGCCTATTCTATTGGTTTGTTCTTTTTAGCTGTATTGCGGAACTAGTGCAATAAGTTAGAATGAGACAACTACATTTTTTCTCACTTTAACTTATTGCACCAGTTCAGTAGTGCAGCTAAAAAGAACAGACCAGATGGTTTATTCTTTTCCAGCTGCACTGCTAAACTGGTGCAATGAGTTAGAGTGAAAAAAATATAGTTGTCTCACTTTAACTTATTGCATCAATTCAGCAATGCAACAGAGAAAAACAGAAGCAGACTTCTACCATTTGGCTCGGCTAAAAGCGGCCCATGACCCCTCTCCTTCTTTTCTCTGCTAAAAGTTTCTAAAAGGGAACTAAAAGCAGAGAGGCCGTAAGATATCTATAGGATCTAAAACAGCGGACATTTGTATATCCTCAAGATATTGCAGTATCTCAGAATGATGTCTGCCGGACGTCCTTGAGATAAAGTATATTGTGTGGGATACAGTTTCGTACATGAAAATGTAAGAAACTATTTAAATTGGCTAAAAATGACCCAACTTTGGGCTATTCACAAACAAGGAGGTCGACCCGCTGTCGAGTCGCATCGCTTGACAGTTGAAGGCCTGGTCTACAATACGTGTTGTAAGCTGTAAGCCGTAAGAACTGACCAATTATAGCCGATTATTTTTGTAATAATCGACTGTGATTCGCCAATTCTTACGGCTTACAACTTACGACACGTATTGTAGACCAGGCCGAAGAGGCCCGGCTGCCTCGCCGTTGAATCACTCTACTTCGATTTATCGATAGAAATGGTGGCGGTTCATATAGCGATGCTTTCGGAACTAGGACTTGCGAATGAGACAGAAATTGAAGGGTGCTCGTGAAGTACGACGGGCGCCTTTTTTCGTCTCTCGGCGGGGTAAAGGGAGCAGGGTGAACTCACGCGCATCGGCACATCGATGTAAATCGCTCCGATTGTCAAAAGGAGAGCGAGTCGGTCGTGTCGTGGCGTCGATTGCTTAAAGAATTGGTTCGCGCGCGTTTCACACGACGCAGCTCAACGAAGGCTTCTCGAAGTTGCGCGACGGCGAGCTCGGTGTACTCCCCGAGAAGAATCGGCAAGCTGGACACTCGCGATCGGCGACTAGCGTGCGCGCGGACGAGGATGAGGAGGAAGTGAGATGCGCGAGAGACGAGCGGCGGAGAGTGACTCGCGACGGTACGTAAGCCGCATCTCTTGACGTTTCTCTCCTGTCTCTGGACTTTCACACGGAAGGACGAAGCACGCTACGTTCTGATCGTCGCGATGCCGATTCTGTCGTGCGACGCGATCATCCTCGGCCGTTTGCGCCGCCGAGACAGCGGCACGCGGTGATACGGCGATCGGCCGATCGCGAGTACGAGCTGTCGTCCTCCGCGTAATCATCCGCGACGCTTGCTTCTCACTAGTGAGGGAGGATCTCGTCTCTCGGTGGACCACTGCACCTACGCGCATCGATGTTCTTGCCGGACCGTTCCTGAGAGCCCTACGGGTAATGGACAGCGCTGTCTCATGATATTTGTGACAATAATGTAACGTTGACATGTAACGTTTACAATTTGAGATTGATTAAATTTAGTGAAATAAAAGAAACTTGGATTTTTATTGAATTAATGGAATTGATGGAATTGTTGAGTTTAAAAATTGAAGCTGAAATTTGAGTTGAATTAAATCAAATTCCACTGGATTAGAAATTTAATTGGATCAAAATGTATCAAAATAGAATTTCAATATATGTCTTTATTTATGACAACAATGTAATATACTTGACATAACGTTAAAATTTGAGGTTGATCAAATTTAGCAAAATAGAACAGAACTTGGGTTTTCATTAAATTAATGGGATTGTTGAATTTAGAAATTGAATTACGTGAAATCAAGATTGAATATAATTAAATCAGATTCTACTGGATTGAAAATTGAATTATATAAAATTAAATTAAAAATGACATTTTAATGTAATCCTTAAAGTTTCCAATATGTTTCTAAACTTTTCTGTAGAAATGACAATTTTGGTATATTGAAAATAAATTGTTTAACACATAAATTGGTATCTTATATAGCTATATACACATGAAATGGGTAGCGCTTGGTGGCAGTGCGCTGCGTGTCTGAGAGCCCAGGAAGAAGACATCTGTGAGCTGCAGCTGAATCACTGTAATCTCTATGATGTACCACCTGATGTGTTCATTTACGAAAGAACGTTGGAAAAATTATATCTTGATGCCAATAGAGTGAGTGTACCTCTATTGCTCAGTTAATGTACTATTCTGTATAAAATGATACCTAATGTTTCCTGTTTCTTCTAGATAAAAGATCTTCCTAGGCCACTATTTCAGTGCCACGAGTTGAGAGTACTTTCACTCAGCGATAATGAAGTTAGTACGTTACCACCCGCCATAGCGTCGTTAATCAATCTGGAATACTTGGACCTCAGCAAAAACAGTTAGTATATCTTGATATCTTACCTGCCATCGTTATATCTTCTATCTCCAAATATCGCATACATACATATGTATCTCTCTTCCAGGTATAAAAGAGTTACCGGATAGTATAAAAGAATGCAAAAGTCTCCGCTCTATAGATATCAGTGTTAATCCCTTCGAACGTTTCCCGGATGCTATCACGCATATCGTCGGTCTGCGCGAGCTCTACATAAACGACGCGTACATAGAATATCTGCCGGCTAACTTCGGACGACTGTCAGCCTTAAAGACGCTCGAGCTGCGGGAGAACAACATGATGACATTGCCTAAGAGTATGAGCCGTTTGGTAAACTTACAGAGGCTCGACATCGGCAACAATGACTTCACAGAGCTGGTAAGACTTCTCACGAGCGTACGATCAACGTTCGAATTACAATTCCGCTTGAACTCAAGTCACTTTGAACTGATTTCGAAGACTACAATGTTGTCATTTATCTCTCACCTCAAAATATGATTCATCGAAACTCCCTGATTTTCTCAGAACATCCTGCATGCGTATTTGACGCGAGACACATCCGTGTCTCTCGATCCATGCAGGCTATGAGTGTCCGATTCGCTCTACTGTATTACTACTGTCTGACAGCCTGAAGTCGTTGGGGATCTCATCAATCTCACCGAGCTGTGGATAGATGGCAACGATATCAGGCGTATCCCGGGTAACATCGAGCAGTTGTACCGCTTGAATCACTTCGACTGCACGATGAACGCCATTCACACGCTGCCGATGGAGATACGCGGTTGGCGGGACATTTCAATCATGAATCTGTCCTCGAACGAGATGTACGAGTTGCCGGATACGCTATGCTATCTACGCACGGTCGTGACACTCAAGATCGACGACAATCAATTGAACGCACTGCCGAACGACATCGGCCAGATGTCGAGCTTAGAGGAGCTTATAGTCACTAAGAATTTCCTCGAGTACTTGCCGTCTTCGATAGGACTGCTGCGCAAGCTGCACTGTCTGAACGCGGACAATAATTATTTGCGCGCGCTACCGGCCGAGATCGGCAGCTGCACCGCGCTCTCTCTGCTCTCCCTGCGATCGAACAATCTAACGCGCGTGCCGCCCGAACTCGGCCACTTGTCCTCCCTGCGTGTGCTCAATCTCGTCAATAACTGCATCAAGTTTCTACCGGTCTCCATGCTGAATCTGAGCAACCTTAAGGCCCTGTGGCTCAGCGACAATCAGAGCCAGCCGCTGGTGCCGCTGCAGCAAGAGTTCAACTGCGAGGAGGACATGATGGTGCTGAGCTGCTTCATGCTGCCTCAGAAGCCACGGCAGGACCTGGAGCGTAAGCGTCTCTCTCTCTCATCTGTCTCAGCCTCTTCTTCTCTCATTTTTTTTTCTAATTCTCATAGTTTCATACTTCAATCACCTCGTACAATCTATACTTTCGATCTTAACGATGAACGCAATATTTCTTCACGCTGCTAGTGGATAACGAGCAAGAGGACGAGGAATGAAATGGTGAGAGATATATAAATGTCGGGCAGACCAATACCAAAATAAAAAAATCGATTGCGCTCCAATCTTAGTTTGATGCGTTGCGGAAAATGTGAAATTGAGGAGATTCACTCATTTCACGTGTTCTCTATTTTTTTTATATACTTAAATTGTAATGTATGAGTCGTGCGTATAGAAAGGACAAACTGGCAAATTTGTTACGCAATACAAGAAAGATCAAGGATGATTTCAAAATATGAATTGTTCGTCCACAGAAATGGCGCAATCCGCAGGACCGATTTCGAGTTCAATCATTGGAACAGGCAAGAGAATCTGTTTTGCTGCTGAGGTAGATTCCGAAGTCCCCAGGCAACTTCATCGAGCACCAACCCCTTATCCCAAGGAGTTACGCAACCTCGCTAGGCATGCGCGTAACTTGCATCACCAATCCATTCACGATCAAAGAGTGAGTAAAGTGATCGTTCGTTAAGCGACACGCCAGCGACATGACGATTTCGTTTCTCTGAGGCCAATTTTCGCTTTGCTTCTTATTAACGTTTTGCCTCGCACCCTCCGCAGAGTGCGCCTTCGTCTACCATCACCACTGTGGATCGTCACACGGCTAAGAGCTGCAACAAGAGCAACCGAGTCGCTGAGCCCGGTGCGGAACACTCGGTGTCCGAGGAGTCGTCTGACGAAGCGAACAAGACCGTGCTGGCGAAAGAGAAGAGCCCCGACATTCGCGAGGCGAAATACATCCGCAACCCTACGTCCGATTACCTGGTCAAAGCGCCGACGGTCGCCGATTACGTCAACTCCACGTGGAAACCGGACGAGTACTCCAAGGCGAATACAGCAAGGATAGTGGAGTCCGAGAAGTTTATAGAACCCTACAAGACTATCTACGCAGATGCAGACGGCAAGTATCGCGAGCAGATGAGGACGAGCATCTCGAAGCCGTGTGACGTTCCGCCGGTTCCACCTCCGTATCACATCGCGGCGGCGTTTTCCAAGAAAGCCGCCCTCTTCCAGCAGTTTAACAATCGTACGTTATCGTGTTGAATTTGGCAATGTTTAGCTCCCGATGATAGAAAAGAGTCTTGCTACGCGAGAAAAAGAACTTGAAAAACTTGGATGAAATTCTGAAACTTCATTTAAGGATATAAATGAGCGATACGCGTTAGTAGAAAGTGCTTTACAATTTTTCTTTTATATGAGGTTATTTTATTTTTTTATTTGTCATTGAAAGAAATCCGTTGATGCCTGTTCAGTCTACAGACTGCATGTTGCGAATTAAAGATTGAAGGTGCTTCAGGAAGACTGAGAGAATCTAACGCGAGTCTAATGCGAGTCCTCGTCTTTTTCCAGCGATGGAACCGGACCCGCGGGTAGCTTCACCCTCGTCACCCTTCAATTCATCCTCGAATTCGGCCGCGACGTTTCCGGACATACCATCGAAGACAAATCTGGACGCGAGCGCAGAAGCGACGAAGGCCGAGGAGTACACGTCCGCGCCGGATGATCATCATCGGGCTACCTTCGCCGACTCGAACGCGTCGACGGGTAACACGGGGACGGATTCCATCGAACATTCTCAAACCACGGACCAATCCTACACACCGGTGTCGGAGGGCGCCGACTCCGCCGAGCAGGTGTGCGAGAACGATCGTACCTTCAAGCCGAGCAAAATTCCCATTCTCAAGGCGAAGCACATGGAAAACGCGGCCAACACGTCGAACAGCGATACCTCGGTAAGGCGGCCGAGTCCCGCAGCGGAGGAGTACGACGCGAGCAAGACGTCGTTGAACGCGTATTCCGGTATACCGACGTCGCCGGTCACGGGCAAGAAGTATCGCAGTCCGTTGTCGACGCCGGCCAAGTCGCTCGATCGCTCAAGGAAGATGACGAACGGGAGCGTCGCGAACAACAATTCCTGCGAAATCCCTGACTCGCCGGACGCGCCGAACATCTTGAGTCGGCCGAACGTCGTCATCGCGAAGAGCATCGTCATCGAGGAATCGAGTGTCACGCCTCCCGCTATCGTCGTCGTTAAAAGCGAGGCCAACTCCGACCGAGACACGCCGAATTTCAACAGCAAACCCTCGGGCGACGCAAGCAACGCCGAGTCGAAGGAGCAGGCGAGCCCCGCGTTGAACGAGACGCTTCATTCGGAGAGAAAGCCGAGGTTCAAGTGGATGTTCGGTCCTCACAAGAATGCCAACGTGGTGAGTATTGGTCGTCCGAGAAAACAACAGGGATGTAGAGTGTGAAGAATTGTTGACAATTTTCCAAGCAAACGAGCATCGATGAATGTTCGTTTTGTCGCCTGGAAATTCGCTGATGCGAGTTTTCTCCGGAATTTTTGTCTATCTGAATAACGGGTGTTTCGCGCTTCTTCAGCTGCCTGTTCAGGTAAAGAAGAACCCAGGCCTCGGTTTCAGCATAGCCGGCGGAGTAGCGGGCGCGGAAACCGTAAGTAGATTCGGGTAACTAGAGCGTTCTTTTCTTCCCGAGGAAGGAAGAGTGAGCGAGAATATTCACTCTTTTCCTTCGTCTAGGGAATAATCGTGACGAAAGTGAATCCCGATGGGCCAGCTCAAGGTACTCTTCGGCCGGGAGATAAGATCTTAGAGGTAGACGGTATTGACTTCACCAAATCTGATCATAATAACGCTGTTGCCGTTCTTCGAGCTACCGGTGCCGTTGTGTCTATGATGATAAGTCGCCACCAATGATTGTAAGTTATTGGAGAACTTTTTTCTAATTCTTTTAGATGATGTACGATCGCTTTACATACTTCAGACTGAATACATTTTATATATATATAGCTCTAAAATACGTATATATATGTATATGTGTGTATACATATATGCATATACATATATATATACACACACACGCATACATATATTTAAATATATTCTTTAATCAAATCCGCAAGAAAAAAGAGAGAACAAATCGATATACGTACGTTGTAACGCGTCACATAACACACACATACATGCGTTCGTGAGAAAGAATGAAAGAAATATATATATATATATATACATATTTATATTATATATATATATATATTTGTGTCGGCTAAGATTATAAACAAGTTAGGTTACTATCGATCGTTCTACAATTAATGCAGGACATGAAACGTGATCCCCGTGCTAGGATATAAACGATAGAATGTTATTTTTAACGACTTTCGTCTCGTTCGCGGGCGGATCGAGTGTGATTACGCGGCGCCGCCCCTTCCCCGTGGCACAATAGCTCCTCCGATATTGCTAGAACAATAACGTCTTTCCCGAATCTCTAACTCTAGGATACGCGGCGTCACGTCATGACGATGATGTGTGTTGATATATATATATATATATATATATATATATATATATATATATATATATATATATATAATAGTTTTCATTTACACCTATACTCTCGCGTGCTCTCCCCGTCGAGAGAGCCGACAATGTGCCAGAAACAAAGTACTATTTATTATCCATATACATAACGTATGAAGAAAAGATTATATATATACTATATGCATATATATATTATATAAACAGATTTATATCTGTAAAAGTTGAGCGAGGCTCCCACAGACTTCAGCGATGTAAATAAGTCTCTTTCTCTCGCTCTCTCTTTCCCGATTGTTTCTCACAAAGAGTTGGCTGGGAAAAAAGGAAAATGGAACAAAGGGATCTCCACGTGTCGCCACCGTGAGAAACGCGTCGCGCTCATCATCCGTCGTGACTGAATTCATTTTTCACACGTACCAAGGAGCGCTCTCTATTACGTTGTTGACTGTATAGTAGTTGTTATTGCATTATACGGCAAAGCTATAAATTTTATCTTGTTCGACTGTTCGAGTACCCGGGAAAAGGGTAACGCATGCGAGCGCGTTGAATCAATAATAACGAATTTGGGCGCTTTCGTCTGTGGGAGCCTCGCGCCGCTCTTGTGTATAGGAGAGGAAAAGAAAACAAAAAATATTCTTCTATGTGCCGTACTTATATTATCGATAACGTTTATACTCGTGTGTCGGTGTCCTCAGCCGTGTTTAACAGTTCGCGCGCGCACCGCGCGGACTGCCTCGCTGCGGACTACCTACTTTTTTGACTTCACCTTTCTCAGAGCACCGTCGATCGTCGATTTCGAGCACGTCGTTTGATCCTTGAGCACCCTGCTGTTCTGTGACCAGCCTGAAATTGATTCAGCAGAAAGACACTCGTATATATACGGATAATCTACATTCGCATGACCAGCCAAATCGTTTTCTTCAGATCAAATTGGAAACGAAAGATTTGAACTGAAAATCAAGATTATCAATCCTTGATATTGCAACTGCTAAGTGTGATTCATCACACGGCGCAGTTCCAACATGATTGTTTAATTGTATCAATAATTACGTTTCCGTGACAATCATTACGAAACGTAACATCAGCACCGACGTCGAAACGATTTGATGCTGTCCGTGTAAACGCGGACCACGAGTGTTGTTAAACGGATTTTGAGTTGTCGCGTAAACATACAAGATAATATTCGACTCGTTGACACTCATGATGAATGATTATTTCGCATTTACTTCCACGCTGCTTCAGCAACTTCCGATGCAATCACGTCTGCGATAATAGACTAAGTGTGAATTTTATAAAAAAAAAGAAGAAGTGCTTAAGGTTCGAACGTTTCGTGCTGTACACACACACACACACACAAACATATATACATACAGTGCGTTTCATACCTTTTTGTAAGTAGCGTTGTTTAGTTTTTTTTATCGTTAACATTGTTAGATAACTATCGACTCCCCAGTCCATGAGACGTCTTTCGGTAGTGACGCGACTGACTCTAAACGGAGTCCGGCGAATTTCCCGCGGATGATTGTTTGCGATTCCGTTTCGAATCGCGTCCCGCACGAGGGACGCGCCGTGTAGAAAGCACATTTCCCTGCGTTGACACGCTCGTCATGGCAGCCGAGCGTGACATCGCATCGCACAGTCGACAAGTGAGACCGCGTTCTCTCGCATGTCACGCCGCAATTCAAGGCAAGGGTGATAAGAAGCGAAGGTAAGAGAGAGGGGGGGGGAGAGAGAGAGAGAGAGAGAGAGAGAGAGAGAAGATACGGAGCGAAGAGCGAAAGAAGCGGAATGGAAGAGACTGAAGGAGACTTATGCGGTAGCACAAATGAAATGTTATTCCGTTATACAACTTGCGTTCATATATGTAACGAGCTTATTATCCGAGTTATGAGTCCACAGGCGGTGTGTGAGCGAAAGACTACCTACCGGACGTGCCGGAGGTGTGCCGCATCTTTTCCCCAGCCGGTCGTCTCCCTCCGTCGAGAGCAGGAAGTCGGGATTTCCTTCCGTCGGGCGGACGCGCGACCGGCTGATCTCTCATTGCTGAAGCGTCGGTCGGCGTAATGAGACTCTGTCGAGTTGTGATAGACCGCTCGCAGACGGAGAGAAAAGATCCGGGACATCTCCTCATGTGATACGACTTCGTAGTGGGGTCGGATACCCGGAAGACGGAGCGATGCGTGAAGATGGAGTATCATTGTTGCTAATTTAATGTCTGTATTCGTAATCTTTGTTCGGTGTTACGTACGATAAGATTTTACGGTAAGTTACGGGTGTGCGGAGCGAGTCAGAAGAGCCGCGTTGTATTTTCGATTTTCAAGAGAGAGAGAGAGAGAGAGAGAGAGTGAGTGTGCGTGTATCACAATAGGGTAATTTCTAAGCACCTAGTCACGTGTTGAGACAGAAAGAGAGAGAGAGAGAGAGAGAGAGAGAGAGAGAGAGAGAGAGAGAGAGAGAGAGAGAGAGAGAGAGAGAGAGAAAGGGAGAACGATAACAGAGAGACAAACGTGTTATTGCCCTTCGGCTATTTGATTTCTCGTCGACGGTGTATCTCCGATATCTGCGCGATTGGCGTCATCTATTAGTAACTCCGTGTAATCTCTCCAGGTCAAGTGGCATCGTCGTGGTCGACGACGACTCGAGCTTCCGATTTAAAATCTACCAGTAGTTCTCTATAGACTTTTCTTCTACTCTTCTCGTTTCCTCCTTTAATTTATACATGTAGAAAAACTCTTGCGCGTGCGCATGATTTTCCAGCCCGTTGGCTCGTTGTTCTTGTCCTCTGCGAAGTTTCGTCGCCGCCAACGCTGTTGCATTTAATCGATCGATTCCGTAGTCGGAACGTAGTGAAGAGAATGATCGTGTATGAGAGAGAGAGAGAGAGAGAGAGGGGGAGGCAGATAAAAGAGAAAACGGTATAGCTAGAAGAGACAGAATACGTATGTATAGAGTACGTATCGCCGATGGAAGAATCGCCACTCTTATGGACCACAAGCACACATATTGTACTCTTTTCTACTATTTCTAACTAAACAGACTGACTACCTTTTTGGATACCTATTGCGTACTTGAGCGACGCTTCGCGTCGTCTGCGTTGAGAATGATTAGGAAATCCTGTGGATTGGGAGCGTGTGATCGGAAAATCTTCAAGTTGTACCCATGAGTGTATATTATAAGAGATTACCTGTTGCGTATCTAAGCGAAACGAGAAAAGCAATCAAGTGGTCGTATCTTCGCGATCTTTTTGCCATACGCCCTTGTAATCCTTAATTCGTTTTGTTTCCCTCTCGTCCTTTCGATCACTTTTCTCAGGTGCGACCCGAACGTTGCTTTTTGTTCTTTTTCTCGTCAGCGGCATATGGCATGATGCCAGAATGGTCTTTCTTTTTCTTCTTCCCGTTGCGTTTACCTTTATACCTCCGAGTCATTCGACGAGCGAGGCGATTGGCGTTGATTGTCGTCGCGTTCTTTCCCGGTGTTGTTGATCGTCTCCAACGTTTTCAACCCGATGATATCTGCGTCTCGCGGTACAACCACTTCGTTAGCATACTGTACGTTTCATTACGGTTGCCGTGACCGGATGATAATTTACCACGTGTATAGTTTGTAAAACACCGATCGATGTACAAAGAAATACTCACGTTCTACGTTCGGACGTCGTCTTCTGATCATTACTGTGCATTTTTGAATATGTTAGCGGAAGATGTCTGACCTTCAAACGAGAAGTCCTAGTTGGTTGTGCAGCAATAAATAAATTAATATTTACGTAAAAAGCTAGTTCAATGGTTTATTGCCGAAGCTTTATACAAACGATCGTTCGCACTCTCGATTATCCCCGAGGAAGTAGAAAATCTTTACAATTATAAGAAATCTTGGTTATTATACCTAGCTGTCATAAGTTGTCGTAAAAGTGTTCTCTTGCCTAAAGTAATACATTATCTTCTCCCGACTTGTCTCTGTTTGGTGCGAATGATCACGAGCGTACTCGCTGTGTTTTCACCCGCTGGACATCCTCATGCATTCTGAATGCTTCTCCGCAAGCGCGTCTCTTTCATGCACCGATCAGCAGTAGCTGCGGATTCTCCACGTAGTGCTTCCACAAATTGGAGAACTCTGCCACCATGACGCCGTCGATCACACGATGATCCGCGGCCCAGCTAACTGCCATCACATCCGCCGCCACCACGTTGCCTTCGTCGTCAAAGCGCGGTATCTTCTGCGCTCGCCCGAACGCGCCGATCGTCACTTGCGGCGGCGAGATCACCGGCTTCGTGTACGTCCCGCCAATCTGATTGTCATCGGATGATTTATAAGTATCTCGAATTTCTTGGGGTAGAATTTCAACCGAAAATAGAATCGCTCGAGCGATTCCACTCGAAATTGAAGAGTAAATCTGATGTGTTTCACTTTAAGAATCTACTCTAAGTTTAGATAAAACTTTTATTTCTGCACGTCTCCACGTGGACGACTTCACCATCGCTTCGAGTGAATTTCCTTTTCGAGTGAGATTTCCCCCGGGAAATTTAGAATATAAATTTACTGTTTTATTTTTTATATATCATGTGTGATTTTTCAGGGCAGGAGCCTTAATAATTAACTTCTCGTTAACGGACAACATCGAGACAAATATAACTCACCGCGCCTATGTTTGACAAGGAGAAAGTCGTGTCGGTCAAGTCGCCGAGCGATATCGCCGTCTTCTTGCCGAGCTCCTGAAGCCTGTTCAGTTCCTTCGCGATCTCGAGTATGCTCAGGTTCTGCACGTTCTTGATGTTCGGCACCACCAGACCATCCGACGTGTCCATGGCTACTCCGATGTTGTGATTGTCTATGACATGCAACGTCTGATCCGCTTCGTTGAGCCAGGCGTTCAGTGTGGGATACCGATGTAGCGCTCTCGAGGACGCCTTGATGAAGAACGGCATGAGAGTCAGCGAAATGTCCAGCTTCCTCAGCTCATCTTTCAACTCATTTCGGCAGCGCATCACTCGGTTCACGTTGCACTCGTCACTGTACACGAAGTGCGGTATGGTCTGGAGAAAACCCGCAAACTCGTTAGTGACACCTGCGAGATTTGTTGAATACGTTTAACGAGAGAACGTGCAGTCACGAAGGAGTCGTTAGTTGCGAGATCGAATTTAAGCAGAACCGCTGTGAGTAGAATCAAGTGTGAAATAAGAAACGTTGCTGCGATTAATATTGAGATGCAAAGAGTCATGTCTCACGCGTGAAGCGTACGATCGAGATTCCATCGTTTTGAAATCTCCGAATCAACGAGTGTAATTAATAAAGCAATAAATTCTGCTTGAATAGGTAGATCCCACGAGTCCAGAAGCTGAAGAATAAAATTTATGGCATATTCCTCTGGCTGAGATAGTAGAAGCGAACGTTTACCACACCACGAGACTTACCAGAGACTTTGTCATGCTCTTCCACATGTATTTCGTGTACCCTTTCAATCCAACCGTCTTGCCTGTCACATTTCCAAACGTCTGCTTCGGAGCTTCCTGCTTGGTTGGTTGACTCACATCTTCAGCGGTCTTCTGCAGATGCGCCAGTATGTCCTCCTTCAGTACTCTTCCTCCTTTACCGGTCGCCTCCACGTCCTTCAAATTCACTTTGTTTTCCATAGCTATTCTCCTCACCGCCGGGGTCGCCAAGACCTTCTGCAAGATGTGATCCACCGAGTCCGTGCTGTCCGTCTTCTCATCCTTGTCCAAAGTGCCCATGTCGCTCTTCTCCGCGTCTTTTTCGACGGTGCTCGTCGAGTCATCATCTATCTCAATGTCCAACAACGGTTCGCCCACCAAGGCGACGTCGTCTACTTTGTAACGAAGATTCTTGATGAGGCCATCGTAGCGACTCGTAATCGTCACCGACGCCTTGTCACTTTGCACCTCACAGATATTATCAAATTGTCTGACCCGGTCACCGGGCTTTACAAACCTGAAATAACGCGCGCATGAGCGCGCTGTCGTGATTACATCGTACACCGACAATATTCGTCGACCCAGAAGAACAAGATCGCTTTGTCCGGTTGTAACAGGTACATTCTGTTCAGTCGTTTGTCCCTCTCATTTTTTAAACATTCAATTCAAGATCTCGCATCCTACAAAGTTTTATTCTCGATGTTAGGATCTAATTTTAAGATTTCTGTGAGTTCTCACTTCAATTTAAGGTCTCTTAGGATCTCAAATTGAGGCGAGTCTCTTCAGATTCAAGAAATTCCGAGCTCACAGGAGAAATATTTTCAGTTCGACCGGACGAAACTGGCTCGTTCCTCTGAATGGAACATTTAAACGCAAGCGTTTAAATGTCAAAAACATACCATTCTTTCACCGTAACGTCTCGAATTCCTTCACCAATGTCCGACAGTTTGAACGGCACCACGACGCCGGAGCGGATCAAGCTGGTCGACAGGAATCGACATATTGGCTCGTGTGATCTCTTGACCTGCACACAAACGTGAACGACTCAGCCGACCACTACGCGACCAGCATGAATAGTCTGGATTTGAGTAAGTGACCAGGCGGTTCTGCTCAATAAGAGCATCTGGATCAAAGGTAGGATGATCTCGCAAAGTGGGGCACGAAAAACGAGCCATCCCAGTTTCTTCGACAATTGCGTCACCGACACGAACCGATTCGTACGGTACGTCGCTGGCATATGGCGCTTTGGAAAAACATCGGTCCTGCTGCGGTTACGGTAGCCGACGAGCACGTGCATTCTCGTACGGGCTTGAAGAATGCTCTACTCACCAGTCGTGAGATGGGTAGTAATCTCCAGGAGAGAGCCATTGACCGCCTTGTCCAGGATAAAAAAGATGACGAATATGACGTACGTACTGGCAGCACACAACTGGTGCGCGCTGTTATCGCACTCGCGCGTGCCGCTTGGAGTATGTTTATTCACGAGATGACCAGGCGACTCAGATGATTATGCAATCCAGCCAATATCAGCATCAATAATAGCGTGACGTCGCAAACGATTCGCGCGTATCTCGAAAAATTTTCGCTATTGGTCACCAGAGCCGCTTTAATTTATTTGTTTGCATCGAGCCGACACCGAATGATTCGACGGAAAACAGTCACGCACAAGTAGACACGTGCATCAAGAGAACGCCGAATCCTTCTTGTCTTCAAGAGAGACACACACGTCACGTGCGTTCAACCGGCGAACTTTTACTGACTGATACGCAGGCCGACTCGCTGACGCTGGAATCTTCCGCCCCGGACAAGCCTGTTGTTCTCTGGCGTCGTACACTTGCTTTGATAGTTTGAAGAACTTCTTTCCCGGCACGACCGATACTCCACGAGAGAAGATATTTTTTTGGAAATTATATTTTTTTGAAAAAGTAATTTTTCTTGTAATTATACGGTCTCCTGAATGGAACAGAAAATTACGGTGACGTGAAGATCATTATGAAAATTTCCTTCTCGACCATTTTCTCATGATTTTGACGTTATCGCGTATATTTTCCGTGCTACCTGCTGCGTTCCGAAATGTATTGAGAGAAGAATGTTGGAATCGTATCGAAAGCAAGTGCACACTGCGACGGGCGAGGACAATGCAAGCGGTGAATGAAGCACGCACGACTCGGTGAACTTTCAGATCAAATTGCTGTAACATTGTTGTCTCTGGTGACACGCGCTTGTTTTCTGATCGGTGGCCAAACGCCACCGATGTAGAGTCGCTGTTTCATTCAACAATTTCAGAGCCGCGGCCCAGTCAACATGATAATATCATCAGTAGACAACCTATATGAATTTGAACGTCGCGCTTCACGCAAAAGTTAGTTTGCATCCATTACATCGAAATCTCATTCCTTTTTCAATAACATGATGACAATTGCAACACTGTGATACAACATTATTAAAATAAATCGATTATGCTCTTATCATTTCTGAGCTCGTGGCTGAATGTGTCGATTGGGAACGCACGAATACTTGGGTACGTTCGGTAGACGAACACTCAACACCGGAGACTCACACATACTTGTTGACTGTTAGGCCAGTTTAAAATCGGACTTCTCGTCAGAGACTCAGGTAGTTCTAAGACCGAAAATTCAACGGCCTAAGCCTTTATGAGTCACGCACACTCAACTAGCCGCTCTCTAAATGTGCCTCAAGTCAGTTCCGATTTTGCGATCTTCAAGGTCACATATATACTTTGGGACACATCGTCGTACTCATACATCCCTTTTGAGAACTACATGCCTCACCACTACAATTTACAAGTAAGTCTAACATCTTACGCACTTATCGGATTGAATTTTCGGGATTGACAACGGACGGCAGGTCGAAATAAATCGCACTCGGCGCGCTATTCAACAATTACTTTATTCCAACTCAACGTCTCTCTCTCTCTCTCTCTCTCTCTCTCTCTCTCTCTCTCTCTCTCTCTCTCTCTCTCTCTCTCTCTCTCTCTCTCTCTCTCTCTCTCTCTCTCTCTCTCCCTCTCTCTCTCTCTCTCTCTCTCTCTCTCTCTCTCTCTCTCTCTCTCTCTCTCTCTCTTACCGCGTATTATATAATAAAAAAGATATTCATTTTTCCTTTGTACCTCGCTTTGGCTTCGGCGGCCGTGAATAGAGGGGGGGGAGAGGGGAGTCGGTCGATTTAATCGCCGATACGATAATGACGCTCTTCTTACATACGAAAAAGGGGAGGGAGAAGAAGGGGAGAACCTGAGAAACAATTGAGTAGTAAAACACAATACTGTCGTGTACTGTCGATACTCCGGGAGAGGATTGCTCCGATATAATTGCACGCTTGCTTCAAGTCGATTTATTTATTGTCCACTGTGTGTACGATTATCTCGTCGAAAGGCGCTCTCATGGGACGTTCGAATAACCACGAACGTTAAGGAAAAAGAAAAAAACGGAAAAAAGGGAACAAAGAGAGAAGAGGGAGTAACGCGCGAAATTACACTTACACTTCTAATGAAGGTCGGTACTTATCGAATGAGAGGTGCCTGGCCTAGAGTTAGTGGATTGCTCGGTAATATATTTGCCCGATAAATGCGCGCACATACGAACACACATGCACACACACACACACACATACACATGCATCTATGCTGCGGCTGTACGTGTTTTGTGTTTTCTGTATGTGTGTTACGTGTATCCGTACGTTTGCTCGCGTGGGTACGTGTATGTATACTTTATACGCAAGGACAACAGTAACAATAACGACAACAGTGACCGTGATAACGATTGATGATCTCGACGTTTCTCTCTCTCTCTTTCTCTCTCTCTCTCTCTCTCTCTCTCTCTCTCTCTCTCTCTCTCTCTCTCTCTAGCATACATACGCGCACTTTCTCTCTTTTTCTTTCCCTCTTTCGTACATTTCGATTGACAGTAGATGCGAACGATAACGATAACTTCGAATCGAGGCATCCAACGTCCTCGCTATAATATCGCGTCTCGGTATAGGCGGACGCACATCGGCATCGTCCAATTGCCGATTCCGTTCGAATTACGAAGCCCATGATGTTTGTTTGTTTCTGCCCTGGGCCTATAATTGCGCCACTTGCTCGTTATTCGTCTTGCTGGATGTCAGTGAAATCTCGGTGACTCCCACGGACGTCCGTACTGCCGCCGTCAAGGCGCTCTGCAGTGGCACGTTCTCGCTGGTCGTCAATTCGCAGCCTGTGTCTGCAAAATCGTTACAATTTCATTAGTTAAATGTGAGTCAACAAAGGTAGCGAAGGTGGAGTTAATTAACATGCAAGTAATGATGTTGTTGGTGGATGAATGTGCAAAACGCGTTCGCGCTTGGCTCTCTCTCTCTCTCTCTCTCTCTCTCTCTCTCTCTTTCTCTTTCTCTTTCAGGGAATGTTTCCCGAGTTTCTCACGAGATGTGGCATCCTCCGATTGCGGTAAAATAATTGAATTTTACATTTGATATTTTTCCGTCTCAAAATTCCGCGAGTTGTTCCGTCAGTTGGCCATCAAGCAACATTAATCGTTGCTAAATAATTTTGTCACATTGATTATCTATCCAACGGCTAGTACCGAAGCTCAACACTGACACTATCGTTTTAATTTTATCGTACCATTGCCGATGTTTGCAAAAAAATTTAATAAAGTCCCAGCATCACGCGATTCTTCCGGATTTAACGTTAAATCCCTTTGGAAGACGACAAACCGCTCTATAGTCGTGATTAATTTACAAATGAAAGTTCGCGAGGATTAACGAAAGAGGGTGAAAGAGGAATCGGGGAGAGCCGGAGGTATTAACGCGGCCGTGTATTTTAACGTACGCACGAGGAACGTATTACGCGGCGCAGAGTCCCTCTTGGGTACTCCTCCATCGCTCTTCAAATATTAGCACGTACCGCTACGGTAAAACGATCGAGGCTGGCACAGCTGGGTGCTAGTTTTCGCATGACTTTTCCGTATAACTCAGGATGACTGAGGGAATGATTGATAGCTCTGCGTGCTCGCGAGCGAACGGAAGTTTCATTCAATAATTCGCCGGTAATATAACTATCGCGAGACGCTACGCAACTCCGCGCACATACGCTCTGCATAATTGTATTTCCGAATAATATCCAGCCGTTCTTCGGAGCAGCGCTCGCTCTCGGAGAAACCCGGAAAGTGGCTGTCACGTTAATGCTTGGCGCGGAGAAAATGTCAAAGGAAGAGGAAGTGAGAGCGCATATGGAACACGTAGCGCGGCACTTAGCCGCCCTTTACCGCCGAGTCGTCCGAGCATTAACATAATATATCGCCAGCGCGATGTGAATAATTGAATTTTACATCAAGCTTTTCTCTCTCTCTCTCTCTTTCTTTTCTCGCGTCGCTGACCAGACGGTGAAACCGCCGGCAGCGGATCACGCAACCGCGGCGCGTTCCCATCCGCGACGGCGGCGGTGCGCGGAGACAACGTCGCGTCGTATCGCCGAAATAATTCCCTTCGAATAATCCACCTGTGAATCCGTATGCGAGAGCACAAAGCACTTGCGGCGGCTGGCGCGTATTAACTTAATAATTCAGCGCCGCTTACGGCGAATCATCCCGACGACGGCCCTCCCATTAGCGCGAACGCGCGTGCTCTGTAATCCTGCGTAATTGCGTAGCGCTGGGCCGTGCCGCGTAACCAGCCGGTTAATCATGAGAAATAGCAACAATTGCGTGATTTCCATACGGCCGGAATACCAACGATATCAATATCCACGATTGATAACGACATCGAGGGGCCGCGCGACGAAACGGACGCGAATAAAGCGCGGCGCATCCTTTCCTCGAAGAGAGCGAGAGAAAAACAGAGGAGAGGGTGTGGTGGGACGGATGCGTTTCGAATGAAGCGTTTAATAAACTAAAAGCTTTCATTCCGCGGTAAAATGCACCCCTTCTCTCTCTCTCCCTCTTCCTCTCCGCCGCCCCATCCCCTTCTCCGCCGTCGACCCCCTCGTTTCCCGATTGCCCCAGATCCCGGTCAGAAAGTTACATCGCCGCGCGTTACTATCGAATATCATGCCATCGCGTCCGTCCGTGTATCGATTACTTTCTTCCGCGAGAGCGAGAGCGCCGAGCGGCGCGGCTGCGACCAGACAATTTTGCGACTTCGCAAAACCTGTATCACGGAGGCGTCGGATTTCTCGATACGAATCGCAATCAAGGTCGGATAAGCTGCGAACAAGCCGCGCGCGGCCTCCTTACGGCCGTCTCGAAAGAAGAAGTGCCCCTTTGACGCTGCTCTGTCAGGGAAGTTCGTAAGGTTTCACGTACTGTGTTTCTTCGTACTCCGCTCTTCGTCTGAGACGCATTCTGGTCGATTGAAAAGACTATGATTGCGATATTAAAAAATTTTGATTAAATCACGACTGTAGGATTTGAAAGTCTCGAACTTAGTAATTGTTCATCGATACGAATTCGCGTTTCAGTCGATTTGGACTTCAGGAAATGTTCCAAGTTGAAAAGAGACCCGCTCTTATTTCTCTGTTATCTTCCAAATTTGAACAAAATTCGACAAACTAAAAAAAGCTCCGTTTAAAGAATGTAGTTATGCTCTCGATTATGCTCCTCGAAAAAATTTTTCTCGTGATGCTGGACGAGAAATGCTGCTCTCAACATTCACGATAAAATCACCGCAGCCATTTCGAAAGGCTGATCCACCGTGAAAAGATCTCACCAACTTCCTCCGTGCATCATTACTTGACGGAAAGAAAAGCAAGCGGCTGAGCTGTATCGCAGATCGAAGCCGAAACGATCATTGCCGATCATCGCGGTCTCACATTTTGATACGGAGGACGCACCGGCGCCGCTGCTCTGCTTTTTGAACGTGCTGCCCATGTAGACCTTGCCGCGGATATTTTTGTCCGGTTGGAAGGCGATGATGTAGACCTTGGGCGAGTAGAGACAGACCAAGGTGACGGACGCGCTCAGGCTGATCGCCACGCAGAGCGTCGTGATTTGCGTCTCGTGCGCGTTCCCGGTACCGAAGTAGATCGGCACGAAGGCCAGCCAAATGATGCACGTGGTATACATGGTGAAGCCGATGAACTTGCTTTCGTTGAAGTTCTCGGGGATCTTGCGCGTCTTCACCGCGTAGATGGTCGAGATGAGGATCAGGATGGCGTTGTACAGCTGGGAGAACAGGAAGCTCATATCCTGGATGTTGCACTTGAGGATCACCTGCCTGCGGTCGGGGTAGAAGAACCTGGTGCCGGGCGGCTCGACGATCATCCAGACTAGCGTGAGCACCACCTAGAATCGGAACGGAGTCTTTCTCCCTCTCGATAGACTAAGCACGAGGTAATATCAAAGTGCTCGACGACGACGACGACGACGACGACCGATTAGGATCAATTAACAAAGTGCGCGAATCGACCATAATTCAGTAATCGATTGCGAAGACTCACGATCAACGGGAGCCTCGCTACGCGAAACTGCGCATCTGAGAAGTTTATTCGAAAGGAAGCACGGATTCTTTTTAATTACATTATTGAAAAGTTAACTCGCACGCGAGACAGTTTGATTGGCCTCGGTTTGCTGCAAGATAAATAGTCAGTTAACTATTTCGAGAAGCGACGGTGCAATTTACTGGCAGACGCGTTTGTCTCGCGGACAAAGATTTAAATTTGGATGCGCGCATATACGGCGCTCCAGTTACCTGAAAAATTTTATGACGAGATTCCTGGAGGGTACGGTCGTGTTGGAAACGAAATGATATACCTAGTCGCTCGAGAGACACACGGTTTGTTTTCCCGTGCGCGCTCAAAGCTCAAAGCGCTAGTAGCCTTGTGCAATAACGCCGAGACGTAGTCTCTCGTCGTCGCCCTGGCAAAATCACGGCGTCTTTCGCTTCGTAAGATCGCAGCGAGTGTTGCAGAAACGAGCAGCGTCCGGGAAATTGGAGTCGATTTGACTTTATGATGAGAAGGCGAGGAGAAGATTAAGGAGACGAAGAAGATCAAACGACGCCCGAGGACTTGGGCTTCGCGACAGACGCTCGTTGCTCCCCTGAAGTGGCAACTTCAGTCTAAATCGGATCAGCTTGCGAGAGAATGTCACTCACCTGAAAGGCGATCAGCGCGGCCGCGATGCAGACCTGCGAAGTGGGGCTGATGTATCGCGGCCTGACGGCGGACCTCGAGGCGGAGTGGAAGATCCTGGCGATCCTGTTGGTCTTGGTAAGCAGGGCGCCGTAAACGGCGCTGAAGCTGACGCCGACGCCGAAGCGCTGAAGCACGCAGGTTGCCGTGGTAGGCGTTGCCAGCAGCAGGAAGGTGTTCAAATAGCAGACGAGCACGCCGGCCAACAGGATCACGGTCAATTCTCGTCCGGATGCTCTCACCACCGGGGTGTCCCGGTGCTGGAAGAGCAAGCAGGCCACTGCCAGGGTCGCCACGATGCCCAAGCAGGAGATCACTGCCGGCGCGATGGCGAAAGCGCTGGTCCATCTATCAAAAGTTGAGGCGAATGTATCTTTCATGTTCGCCACTTTTATTTATTGTTGTGCTAATCTTCCACAACTTCTCTCACCCAGAAGTTTTGAATAATTCAACTATAAATCTCGACATATCAATACTTATATTTCTACAGCTCTTTATCAGTTTCAATTGCTTCGTTAATTAATTTGTTACAATTCGTCTTGGCAGTAGGTAATTCCTTTCTCCCAACGTTCTAGCTTTCGGCTTTCAGACACGTTACAATCGTTCAAAAACGCAATCATTGCGCGCATCTCCGTTTTACAAAAATGAAGATCCGAGGCCTCTGGGAAATCAAAGAAACAATTGTAATTTAATTAAAATTCTCTGACCGTTTCATCATTATGGCCGTACGCTTCCCCGTTGTGTATATATGACTGTAAATGTGCAACAATTGCGATGGAAAGCTACCCGGAGCTCCGCAACAGCGAGGTTGCTCTGTAACTCGAGGCGAAGAAGAGAGTCCGGGGAGTTGCGCGCAAATGAATCTTTCCCGAATGCGCGGACGAGCTTTGTGATATTCGCAGTAATAATCGCGAGCCGCAGGGCGTCCTGATTATTATCGCATCGAATACCAAAGGCCGTGCACGCGCAAAACATTATCTCACTTATCTCGCTGCGCTTTTACGTCAATAGCTTCGATCGGCTTGGCAACGGTCGACAACGGTGATGCTGATGCGCCCCACATCGCCCGCATCTTGAGTCAACACGAGAGAGATATCGTATGGTCACACACCTGATATGCTTGATCGGCAGCTGGTAGCATCCCCTCTTGTCGGAATGCGGCCAGAAGCCCGGGCCGCAGTCCACGCAGGTATACTCGTCGTAGACGAACTCGTACGCCTCGCATTGGTCGCATACCCAGCAACAAGTGTCACCCTGTTGCTTCTTTATCATACCTGGCTCGCAGGGCAGGGAGCACGCGGAGATCGGTATGTCCTTCGTGCCCCGCGCCCACACCATCTCTTCGGTGCGAATGTCCAGAGAATTGTACCACTTGCCCACCACCTGTCGACAGCGTTTGGCACACGTGACAGATCGGCGGTTCCCCAGACGCCACCCCCTCCGCGCCACCCCCCCTCCGCCATCTCGCGCTCGAGAAACGATAATTTCATTCACGATCTGGAAGCTGGTCAAGTTCTCCCCGAAAGAGTCTTCAATTAATCGCGCGCGTGCACGAGAGGCAGAGAAGAGAGAGAGAGAGAGAGAGAGAGAGAGAGAGAGAAAGACGGTGGAGGAGAGAGAAAGAGAGCAAAGGAGAGCAAGTCTGATCTCTCGTCTTGACACAACTCAAGAGTCTCGTTTTACCTCCGCGATTCTCACAGGGGTAGATGCTTTCGCCTGAAGTTTAATTTCCCTCTCTTCTTCTCTCCGAAGTACCGCCGCGCGGCTTTAATTGCTCGGGCAAAAGAGGCAGAGTTCCTCGCGCGTTTGCCTTCGATTCCGCGTTTTCGTCATCGATCGAAACGCAAGGAGCTTTATAAGCTTTACACGTGTGTCTTTAAGCGACGGGCGCTTTAAGAGAGGGGCTGGCAAAAATCGAACTTTGCGAAAAGTTAGACCTCTCTTGAAAAGAGGGAGTTTCCTCTCCGACCTTCCCGCCTCTCCCTCCCTCTCTTTTTTCCTGCATGTGCCAAAGGGAGAGAGGGAGGGAGGGAGGGAGGGAAGGAGGGAGGGAGGGAGAGAGAGAGAGAGAGAGAGAGAGAGAGAGAGAGAGAGAGAGGGAGGGAGTTTCAATTGAATTCATCGTCGCGCCAGGAGACAATCGTTCAATTATATACATCGACGATAATGCAGCCGTGTCACGGCGATCGCTGAATGAGCCTTACCCGATAGTGATAGCCGTTCGCCCCATTGTGACTCGTCGCTTTTCGGAAATTGAGAATCTCGTATCTCGCCAGGCCGTCACCGTGCTCGTCGAACTTCACCTCACTGCCGGCAGAGTCTGCAAAACGAGTCCATAAACTATGGATTTCCGTTCGGGACACGGAAGCTCCAGGAGAAGACGATTCCCGCACACTCCTCGCAGCCACCTCGCGCCCTGACCGTCATCGACGCGCCGTCTTCGAGGTCGAATTAGCGATCGAGCCGGGAGACAAGCGCTCTCAAGGGCGAAAATGTGAGATCGTGTCGAGCCTGAACGAACGAACGAGGATCCGTCGCGATGTAGAATTTTTCACGTGGTATTTTTACGGTGGTATGTTTTTTGATAAAGGAATTCTTTATCGGATATCCCTATTTTTCCGGAGTACCTCCGTCGATTACACACACGTTCCATTCGAGCGGACGAATGAACGAACGAATGAACGAATGACTGACTGACTGATCGATGAGTTCGATCGTTTAACAAAATGCCTGTAAATTGTGAGTTTCATCGCGCACGAGTTGCGGAACGATTCACGCTACCGCGTCATCGCCGCCGCGTTCTTCCCTCCTCGTCAAATCCGAGTGAGCGATTCCGGCGAAATAATAGCTGCCGCGCGATGTGATGATGCAAAAAGTCGTTCATGGATCTAGGGAATAAAGAACGTGTTGCATCGCGCGACGCGGAATTTTCTACGTGTATTTTTACAGTGAGAGGAAAAGGGATAGGGGGAGAAGGAGAGAGATTTATCGGATATCTGCCCCGAATATCTCTGTCGACTGCACTCTATTCGACTTCCACTCGACGAGCGATCGACAGTTGGAAAACTTAACACATTTAACGACACGTTCGCACGCCGGCCTCTGTCAAATTTGGGGCGTAAATAAACGTCGACTCGTCCTGCAAAACTCACTCGGGTGACCATTTAAAAAAAGCTCAGGATAAGGGCCGGGAGTGTCCCTCTCCCTGCGCGTTCCCTATGCGAGCACGATATCGTTGCGACGCGTGTGCACGCGCGTACATTGAAATAAATCGATAAAAGGAGAGGGAGAGAGAAAGAAAGAGAGAGAGAGAGAGAGAGAGAGAGAGAGAGAGAGAGAGAGAAAGAGAGAGAGGAACTGGACATATCCGTCTGATCCGATTCGAGATATCATGCGAACGCAGTGTGTCACGGCACATACCATCACCGTGACCTCGCACACGTCGAAAAAACGAATGGAGAAAAGGAGAGAAAAAACGAGTTTCCGTATCGAGCGAGGACAGGGTAGTGTGTTTCCAGACGACGTGATAATTAGCCGAATTAAACGAGACGCATCCTTGGAATTCCATCGGTGCATCAGAACTTCGACGATATTAAAAGCAATCGACCAAGCCGAGTCGCAGGGTGTCGCATGATCACTCGCAAATATCGGAAGCCTCCGCGTTAAGTCGAGGTTGACTTCACCCCTACGAAATCGTCGAGGCATTTTACTGTCCTGTCTTTGAATAATTGACGATTGAAAGTAAGAGGCGAAGTAAGTTTAAGCGGATAAAATGGATAACTAGAGCGACAATGTGTTCTCTCTCTCTCTCTCTCTCTCTCTCTCTCTCTCTCTCTCTCTCTCTCTCTCTCTCTCTCTCTCAGTTGATTCCGAAGGGCTCCGCGGAAGTTTCCATTTGCTGCTCGCGAGGTCGTGTGGAAACCAAAAAGTTGCATTGAACGATAATATTCCTCGTCTTCGATCCATAATTAGCGCGCTGATCGCCACCGTGGTAACCAATCCAACCGACGCTGCAATATTGTATTTCATTAATTTACGTAGCCAATGACACAAATAATAAAATATAAAACGTAACAACAACATTATGTGCGTGTGGGTGCTTGTAACAGATTAGCATTGGAACTACCAAGCGGTAAAACGTGACTGACTTGCAGTTTCTTAGAAAAATTCCTTCGAAATCATATAATGATGTATTTCATATTTTTAACGGACTTTGAATAAAAGTAGAAAGAATGTAAACCAAGATTGTTGTCCTTGCGTAACGTATCTTTTCGAAAACGTGTCACTTCGACCGCTTGACATAAATAGCGAGTTTCCGCTCGGTAGAAATAGGTCGCGCTAATTGTCGGTAGTTCTAGTGTTAAATATATAACCATTGAAGAGAACCGATGAAACGAGTTAATGAATACCTGCATCGCGAGTTGCATATTTGGCGATTCCGAGTTGAGTTTAACATTGAGGTAATCAGTGGAGACTAGCGTTGGCAGTCAACGTGCTAATAGTCGTCGTTTGAAGCACGTTTCACGTAATGTGCTCGAATTTGAGTTTGGAGTTTAGACGTGGCTTCCTCGGCGAAGTCGCGATTGCAAATATAACAACGCCACGCGCGCCGTACGACTCAAGCAAAAAAGTCCAATCCAACTCTAAATTCGAATCTCATACGGGGAACAAGTTTCAAATCCTGACTGCTAACACGCGTCTTCGTTGAGTTGAAGAGTCGTGTGAATCGACGCTTTCTGCCACCAGCGCTAATTACTTTCCCTCAGGGATAATTCACAATATCGCACATTTGTCTCGCGATGCGACATGAAGCGAAATGAAAATCGCACGAGGACGCGCTCGCTTATCGCGCGTTCGCAGGGCTACGTGAGCGGCGTTGCTGAAGACACTCGGCGGTGTCCCGGAACACTATTCCTTCAATAATACCCGGAACAAAGAGGCTGCTAAAAGGAGGCGGGATAGCATGATAGAAAAGAGAAAAAGAGCGAAAGAGGAGGAGAGAGAAAGAGAGAGAGAGAGAGAGAGAGAGAGAGAAAGAGAGAGAGGGAGGGAAAAACGACGCACAAAGGCGCAAACAATCGGCGGCGCGCAGCAGCTCGCTCCGTTCGATTATTCGCACGGAGGTTTTATTATGAGAGCGGACTCCCGGCTCGTTCGCATTCGCTCGCGAATGATTCACTCACCCACAAAGGACACGTTCAGCAGATAATTCCTATAGAACGCGCCGCGGTCGTAGTTGGCCATCGGCGCGCACAGGCCTTCGCTGCGACCGCATAGGTCGCGGCGCAGATTGTTGAGCGCCAAGGCGAACGCGTAGACCGCGTCGACGACGAACTGCACCTTCGACTCCTGCTCGTAGCCGCTCGCGGCAGTCAGCCTGAGATTGGACGGGCACACGGTGATACTCTGGTTCGCCGAGTTACCCCGCCAGTAACCTGCTGTGGCTTGCTGTTGGCTGCTACGCTCCATGGCGAACACGTTCTTCTGTAAGGTGCAGCCGAACACCTCCTCCCAATACTCGCCGAACCAAGGGTTCCGCCGGTTGTTTTCGGGAGTAAGCGACGCCATGTATTCGTCGAAGCCGGGGATGTTCTCCGACTGCAGCTCCACGGTGATGGCGCCCTCGGCTTCCTCCTCCAGGCCCTCCACGAGCTTGCCTTGCCGGCCCCAGCCGTCGCTGGCCAGCCACTGGAACGATTGGCTGAGGTTCGAGCGTCGGGCCGCCTCGAGGATGCCGCGAGCGTCCTCCGCCCGGGTGAACAAGACGATCGTGCGGGCGTTCGGTTTCTTGTTTAGCCGTTGGATGATGTCGTCGAATACCTTGTCGTCCGCGGCGCTCGGCACCTTCAGCGCCGCAGCGATGCACACGTTGCGCTCGGTGGCCTCGCGCGTGAACACCTCGATGCCATATTCGCCGTAGCTGCCCTCGGAGTACACCGTCGACACGTACGACCAGTTGGCGCTCTTCACCACGTCCACCAACGCGATCGACTGGAACGTGTCCGGCGGTACCGTCCGCGCGAAGTAGTCGAACCTGAGGAGCGAGCGACGAGAACGTGAAGAGTAGTAGATCAATAGGTGAATCTCATGAGAACCGATTTGTTCAATCACCCTCAGTATGTTGCAGAATTGATGTCAGGGTCTGTGTCATGTGAGGGAATTGACTCCTCGTTTCCGTTGTCTTACGTCCCTATGATGTTATTAAACGTATAATTATTCTTTATCGACTGTGTTACGTTTCTGCTACGTTTTCTCATCGTGTATTTCCCCGAGCCGCCGAGTTGCGGCTTGTCGTATCTCATGGTTGCAGGGATTACCCGCTGAGTACGTAAATGATTATTTATTTGTGTGCTCATGTCGGGACGAGAGAGGCAGCCGGGAACACGAAGCAATTTCGTATAATAATGAGAATGATTTAACGTCGATTCGGGTCGACGTTATTTGCGGTCGATCGGCGGGTGGTTTTCACGAACCTACGATCGCTCGTCCATCGTCGTAGGGGAGAAGGAATGTTCACGGTCGATCGTTATTCGACGGGCGAGCACTTACGGTAAATTGTAACTGTTGCAGGGCGGAAAAATGATTGAAGAGTCGTTCGTTTGGTTAAATTACACGGAAAACGCCTCGGGCCGTTTCGAGCCGTGGAACGGCGCGGAGTCTTCTTCAACTCGAGGAAGTTCAGCTTCACTTAACGATAACAAACGAGGTACCATTTGCGTGTCGTTAAACAAACGACCTCGCTGTGTGTGACTGTTGATCGACCTACACTGAATACGTACGATATATAATTTGTAGCTCTTAAACAACATCCGATTCAGGTCAAGTCGACTTGTGATTCATTAAAAATCATACAGACTGGAGACACATAATAATTTGATAGAATTATAAAAATTTCATTCAAAACATTCATTTAAATATTAAACTATATGAAGCTGTATAAGATGTTCTAATGTACAACATGTATACGAATAATATACACATATACATATAAATATATTAAAAGAGGTGAAGGCATTTTCTAAATTGGAATAAAACAGCCGGTAAATTTTCATCATAAAAGACCCGATCGAGATTGTTCGACATTCATCAAGTTTCATCGAGCGAACGCGGCAAATCTTTCGCAACGCTCCTCGATACTTCCAATTATAAGATCAGCTGTGGTCTATGGAAGATGGTCTACCTGGTCTTGTCGCTAAGCGCCTTCGCGGTGGAAGCCGGCGATATCTGCGGTATGTGGAAGAGCCTCAGCAGGTTCGCCACCTGCAACGACACCGAGCTGTAGGAGCCGCCGATCACCCCGAAGATGGGCCCAGCGCTGGCGGTCCGCTTCACTCTCGGCGTCGACTTGTCCGCGCACTCCAGCACGCTGATGTCTATATTGGAGAGCGAGGCGCGCACGAAGTGCAGACTCTGATTGAGCGCGTACGTCTCGCGGCCGCATGTGTCGAGGATGTGCACGCCCAGCGTGACGCCCGGCAGTATATTGTTCGCGTGATTGATCTGATCAACGGCGAACAGCATCGCCTCGAGACGCTGCATGCCGCGGTGATAAATGCTGGGCCCGCAGGCACTGCTGCCGCCCTTCTCGTGCACCGGGAATAATCCACCCAACACGATGTCACCGGATATCAACACCGCCTCCCGCTCGCTGTGCATCCTCGACTGCACCGGCAATCGCTGCAGCGTGATCAGGAGCAGCAACGGCCAAGGCACACGCTGGTGCATCTTAAGTGGCTGCTGAGAACGCTGCGTGCGTTCTCCTTCGCTCGACACGATCTCTCTCTCTCCCTCTCTCTTTCTCTCTGTCTGAACACGCGACACAAGGACTCTCGATCGTCCTCCTTGTCCCAAGTGTGTCTTCGCCGCGATCGTCGCCTCTTACGTGCGTCGCATATACACCTGGGTGACGGCCCTCGTGTCGTCCTCGCCTACTTCGATGTATAAATCCGCCAGTTCTTCAGCGAATAATTCAGTCCGGTCTACGATCTTGCTATATGTCCGACATGTCGTCTCCTCGAGCGTGTGTTGGTCAGAGTTTCTCGCGACGAGGTTCTCGCGAATGATTGGGAATATCTTTCGACGACATGGGCTCGTGGTTGCGTTGAACAGGGCTGTCCGTCGTTTCGTCGATCTTGTCGATCGCGCGACGCGAATTTTTCCGCGGTGGGCATCCCTTCGAGGTAGAACGAAGAGGCCGAAGAGCTCTTGCGGGAATCGTTACTGATCTGCCGATCGTTTTCGCACCACTCTCGGACGCTTCTCTTCTTTCACTATTTTTTTTTTTCTCTCTCTCTCTCTCTCTCTCTCTCTCCCCCGCTCTCTCTCTCTCTCTCTCTCTCTCTCTCTCTCTCTCTCTCTCTCTCTCTCTTTCTCTTTCCCGTCTCTCCCGTTTTCTCGGATTTTCTCGTGCTGAGAAAACTGTCTTTTTCTGTTCCTTATTTATCGGACGACTGGACGCCAGTCGGAAGAAGATGAGGAATTCCCGAGGGAGACTTCGAAGCGACGATGTGATTACCGAACGTGATTTCTCCGGGCGCTTCTGTTGCTCCAATAAACGAGCCGAGATCGAGACGGTCGGTTATCTCCGACGTTCAAGCTCAGGTTTCGGTGGAATCGTCCGGCGTCGTCATCGGCCTCGGCGTCGGCGTCGGCCTCGACGTCGTCGTGGCCATGCGAGAGCGCGGTCGGTTCTGCTTCGTCCGTCAGATTTCCGATACGTTAAACGGACTTGATTTCACGAGCGAGTTTAACGAGCGCGATTTGCTGGCGCTGGCGATAACTGCGGTAGTGATGTCGGTGACGTTGATGGTGTCGGCGGCGATGATGGTAACGATGCTGGCGACGGTAGTGGTGATGATGATGGCAACTGCGGCCGCGTCCCGCCTTTAAATCCGAAAGCCTGGCATGGCAGAATCTTGCTTCGAATTTCAAAGTGACGACCCAGTTGGACTCAGTAGCTCCACTTCGCTGCCGATCGTCTTCATTTCCCACGCTCCTGGGCCCGAGGTTGAGGCAGCCGCATGGCTCGATCGACGGTCCGCGGGAATCCTGCAAAATTCCGCAAACAGTCGCAAGCGTAGCCTGAGGTTTCGCCTTGATCTGTGTCACGTGCCGTTGTCGTATATACAAGTCTATGCGCCCGGATCTAACGGGCCGTTCGTCACGCGCGGATTCTCCGATCGAAGCCGGTCCACCCCGGTTGAAGTACTGCACGCGCGAAGCTGAAGATTCGAGATCTAACCCACCCCGTATGTGGTATTCCTCTCTCTTTCTCTCTCTCTCTCTCTCTTTTTCTCGAGTCGTTCGACCGAATAAACACCGTCAAAATTAACCCGTTAACCTCGGCATTTCTATTTGACAAACGGCTCATGTGCATATTTTTCCTCTGCTGAATTCCTCTGCGGAAATTCTGCTGAAAACGCAACCCGCGTGCGTGTATGTGTGTGTGCATGTGAGATGAGTCTTCTTTGAGACACTTTACGTCGCTTTCTAACGCGACTCCCTGGCGACCTTTGAAAATCATCAGCTCGATAAATGTTGGACGTCGGGTGTCGAGCGCGGGAGATATCGGGAAGAAATTAATTCCGCCGCTGGGTGGTCGGGGTAGAAGAAGAACGCTTATACCCCGTCAGCACAACGTCGAGATATCGCAGAAACCACGAGCGCTCCTTTTTGCGGCACGCACTTTGTCCGCGCGACTTCGATATTTGCTATCTACTCCATTCCCGGAGCGCCCATCGATCTGTTGTTTTTCAAAGTTTAAGGATTCGCGCGAGGGAAGAGCGATACGCGAAGTCGAAGCGAGCTTTAACCTCCCTCATCTCTGGCGCGAAGACAAATACACGCGCGCTCTCTCGGCCGGGTCGCGCTTATTTATTTATTTATCTATTCGGCGCGCTGCACGAGCGAGCGGAATATTCTCGCTGTAAATCACCCTCGGCCAAGAGTAACGCGGCGTTACGCGGATCAAACTTGCCGGATGCATCATCGCGTTGTCACCACGCGACGTCTGCGATCTCGTGCCTTACACGCGGCTCCTCCCTCCTGCAGGTAAATCACGCATCACGAGGTGCACGACGGCTACGGAGAATTATCGGGCGTATCGCTGTGATCCGCAAGCTAGGATGGGGTAATGTAAATAGACCTTCGTAGATACTGGAAGGATACAGAGCGGACGGAGGAAGAGAAGGAGGAGAAAAAGCACGTCGGCCGCGAGATCTCTCCCATATAACACAAAAGTTGCAGCAATATTGCTGCAACGTTGCTGTAATATTATAATATTGCAACAATGTTGCAACAATGCTGCTGCAACTTTTGTGCTGTATGGGCTCTCTCCCGAAGGAAAATCATCGACGTGATGGAGGCAACTTCCGCGTACGAACGCGCCCGCGCGCGCTACAGGGTGGCGTACGTGTATCGGCTCCGTGTATCCGCTTTTCGGACTAATAATTTTGCGGACAACTTCCGGTCTGTGATTGCCCAGGAAACTGCTAATGCACGTACGCCCTACATACACACACGCACACACACACACGTACACGCACGTACACATGCATTCACACGGCATCGGTCGTTTGGTATTACGGCATATCGGCGAGGCAAGGGCGAGATAGAGAAGAGAGACGAATGGGAGAGGGTGAACGCGCAAGGGCAAGGGCGCGAGTACCCGTATATATACCTCTAAATATGTATAATATATTGTGGACGCGATATCGAAATTGCCTCGATATCCCCGGTAATCGCTCGACTTGACTTGGAAACGCGCAGACGGGAAACGAGGGAGGTCTCTTCCCGCTGCTTCCTCTCCCTTTCGAGGTATAACCGCGTGGAAATAACGTGGGGATAGCGACGCGAGAGGAAAGCGCGCACCCTGAGATTGCTTCCGGCCGCTCGTTCTGTGCACCATCGTCGCTAATCGAGGAGAGCGTCCTTAGCGTCACGTTAGACGAGAGCGATCGGCTATCTCTCTCTCTCTCTCTCTCTCTCTCTCTCTCTCTCTCTCTCTCTCTCTCTCTCTCTCTCTCTCTCTCTCTCTCACAGGACGTCGTAACGAGAACAGAAATCAATGATGACGATTTTCGTGATTTTCCGTCCAGGCTGATCAGCCGAACAGCGCGGATTAATACGACCGACCACCGACATGTCGAACCATGATACGCACTTCACTCCCTTTGACCGTGCAACTTCCCATGCCTGGTACGCTTTTACATATTTAACGAGGTTAATGGAAAAGCGTTCTGCCTGCATTAAAGAAATAAAATTGATAAAAATGTGATAGTTTAATCTCTACTTTATGACCGGCCGAGACTCATAAGTCACGTTATAATTAGCTTTCCATCGGGATTTAATAGAACGTTCCGTCAATATTGGCTCGTCGTGAAAATCAAGTAAACGCGCGAGGGAGAGTATTAGAAGTCATTTAGAAACATTTTCAAGTTTCACCTGCTGAAATGTTTCGCAAGTACAAACTTTTCGATGCATATCAATACATCGTTTCCCCCGGATATAACTTTTTATATTTATATTTATCCTTCCCTATTTATGTCGTGAGTAGATGATAAAGGAAACTTTTATATTCCGCCGAGTAAATGTTAAGAAGAGGGGAGAAAAAGAGATATGTGAGAATATAACGAGGGGGGAGAGAACTCTCTTAACGAAAAGAACAATAGTTTCGAGTGTAACTCCGGCACGTTACAGAACAGATATACGGACTTCCCGGTATAACTCGATTAACATTTCCCGTAATTTAATGGAGTTAACGATTGGTGTTCATACCGATAACTGCCATGTCCCGGTGAAATTCCTCATCCTGGTGAGAACATCGATCCATCCAGAGTCCGGCGATCCTGCGGGAGCCTTGGCAATAGATCTTGAGAGCCTCGCACAGTCGGAGGGTAATTTCCACGACAAATCGACCGAAACGACTCCTCGCGAGCCTGATTCGCTTTTTTAAATCGCCTCGAGTTCTCTCGCGACAGGCGAACCGCGTTCCACCGGATCTCTTTCAATGTTCCTCGCGGATATTTCTAATCGGAACTCGCCTCTGCATAAGCAGCCGTGGCGCGCGTTAATTACTGCCGATCGATTCTCGCAAGGCGAGAAACAACGACAACTCGTTGCCGCGCTGGCCGTTCTCCGTCGACCGATCCTCCGTCGGCGACTTTCCCTCTCTTTTCGCGTTTCGTTCCTCACTTTCGCTGCGTTTCGTCGCCGCTGCTAATCTGTCGTCGCGCGCTTTACGCCTGCCGGGCGATCTCCGTTGCCAATCTTCTGATCAGCCGGATCAGCGGTGAGACACACTGCTCTTATCGTCATTGTCCGTTAATCCTCAGGAATGAGAGGACTATCGTTCGCATCGTAGCGAGACGGGGTTTCGTTTAGCGCGCTCGCTTTTCCCGCTTTCCTGACAGCCGATCTCGTCCAGTAGCACGCGAGGATCGTTTCTCGTGAAGGTGAATCTTCACGAGCAAGACCTAAACTACGTTCTTGTCACGGTATGAGAATTCGCAGATTCGAGAGAGAAAGAAGAAGGGGAGAGACGAAGATGAGAGAGCGAGAGCGAGAGAGAGAGAGAGAGAGAGAGAGAGAGAGAGAGAGAGAGAGAGAAAAGAGGGAGAGGATCGTTTTAAACGGCTCGATGTAACTCGGAGACACCCTACGTGTCGCGCTTTTACCCCGCACTCCCCGCGACGATGATCGACGACTCCGCTGAGGTTAAGTCGACGACAAATCGCAACGAGTTCCAGGGAGAGCTTCCAGGACGAGCTAGTGCCCGTCCTACGTGTGGATGGATCGTCTTCTTCTCTGTGTCCGGACGCGCGCGAGGGACTCGCAGCGACAGCCGACGAGGGTGGTGCACGACAACGATGTCGCGGTTGCCGCCACAGCACGACTGGCCGAAGGGGCCGAACCAACGAGCGGGCTACCAAACCACCCCTTCTCGCGTTCTCCACCCCGTCTCGTGAGCCACCCTTTCTCATCCCTCTCTCGTGTTCGCATTCTCTCTCTCTCTCTCTCTCTCTTTCTTTCTCTCTCTCTCTCTCTCTCTCTCTCTCTCTCTCTCTGTCTCTCTCTCGCTCTCGCTCTCACACTTCTCTCAACCCCGCTTTGCTCCGTTCCATTCTCGGTTCCGCTCGGTTCCACCCGTATCCTCCACTTGGTCTCTCTCTCTCTCTTTCTCTCTCGCTCTCTTACACTCTCGGCCGTTGCCGACAGTGCCGTATCAGTGTGCAATTTTCCGCACGGCGCGAATTTTTCAGCAATTTCCCGGCTCTTAAATGGAGTAGAGCAAAGGGGTCGGCGAATTTTTGCGTGAAATCTCGGAGCTAAAAGGCATGTCTCTCCGGCTGGTTCGCTCGCCGGTTCGCTGGCTCGATTTCTTCCTCTTTCATGAGCCCATGCTCTTTTTCCACTTGTCCGTCTCGCTCGAGTCGTCATCCGGTAGCAGCATAAGAGTCCGCTGGCAAGCGACGCACTCGAGTGTTCCTAGCGTTGTGTCGTGGACGGCAACGTCGTTAAGATTTTCCTTTCACCTCGTGCGGGATCTCTCGCGTTAGGGTACAACCTTCCGTGAAACTCTCAACGTTTGAGACAAGGTGGAATTGCGAGAATTTCGCTGATCCGTTCTACGTCGCGCTCCTGCGCCGGGGAAGTTGGAGTACAAATCGAATCAATTACCGTTCCTTTGTCGCGAAAGCGACCGCAGTAGTCTGCGAGATGCCCGTCGTGTTATCGCGCTGCGAAATGAGAGATTTAATTGTGATGGAACTCTCGCTCGTTGTGTATTTATTTCAGATCCATTACTTACTCGCGTCTCTTCTCGGATCACGGAGACATGAATTATAGAAAAGGTGTAACGTGATCGCTTTCTCGATGTCCTTTTCCGTGTAGATTCCACTCGATTAGCGAAATTACGTCCCACGAGCGAACAAGCGATCTCTCACGGAACGAATTTCGCTTTAATAATAAAGCCAGCAGGATCTCTCTTTCTCTCTCTCTCTCTCTCTCTCTCTCTCTCTCTCTCTCTCTCTCTCGACGGGGGAGACATCCGAAGCGGGAGACCGACATGCACGTCGCATATAGCTGCATGTGTACACGCGAATCCCCGAATCTTTTTTCGAAAGCTCCAAAAAACACCGAAGTCTGTCACAGCTGCCGAGTTTCCGCTCGATTTCATAGTCCCGCTCCCGACGTCACGTCATTGTGTTTCAGATAGGGACGTCATGCTCCCTGCGAAGGCAATAGGGATAAGTCATTTTATTGATCCGGCTTAACATCACGACTACCTGTCTCCGAGTTTTCCGCCTGCGAACAAAATGTATATATATATATACATGCTGCTCTCGTGGCACGGTATCGCAACAAGGCGTGAATACACGGCGACATAACGCGGATAATGAAAATGTCAATAGCAATGGAACGATCCACGCGATAGCGCGCCTTCGTTCGTCATATGCGACGGGATACATGCGGTTAGGATGTTCCTGGTTAAATATTTGGATATACTCGTGCCACGACGACGTTGCTGGCAGCTCCATTCATCCCTTTCGTTTCGCCTTATCGAGTGGAAAGTTCGATTAGAATCGCGCCACGCCAAATACACGGGGTGTCACGCCGACATGCGACCTCAGCATTACCGACATTATGGACATTGTCTGGGTAGATTTGCGGTCGATCCTGAACATTTCGTCAAAACATTTCTACCAAAACATTTCTGCCAATCCCGGGGGAGTCGTTTTGTTCGTTTTTCAACTTTCCGTTTCCAACATCGCGTGACTTTGCGATTAAACTGCGAAATGGAACTTTGTCCTAAGGTCGGTTGAAAGTTAGCCGAGGAATGGAATTTTCACCATGTTGATTCCAAAATCCTTGCTTTTTCGAGCGCTCACTTCTGATTACAAAGTTTGGAGAGCAGAGCCGACTCCAAGCTGTTGAAGAACCTGAAATCAAGATCGCGTTTTTATTCGATTTCAAAATTTGGAAAGACTTCTTTATCGACGTACTGTACGCGGCTATACGATGGTATGTACACACGATCGGTCAATTGAAAATAATCACGGCAAGGCAAGAACGGCAGGTTCTTCGTGACGGCTTAATATTCTTTGCTGCGACATTCATCCTAATTATGGCGCGCCGTCGATATTCTCGCGCGACCCAATTCCGGTTTCGCTTAAAGTATGCATATATGTATCGATGTAAAAACGTGTAGCGGAGAAACGAAATGGTGATGGAAAATTATACGAGCTTCCCAAGAATAGGCACATATACGTGCGGATATTTCACGTGCTCGCTTATACCGAGTGTCCCGTGAATTATGGCGTTAATGTTAATGTGTGGGGTAATTACGGGCGAAGTTAAAATAGCATTTGACAAATTCTCTGACAAATTTGAACTCGGTGCTTCCAAAGTAGAAACGTCCGAGCGTCCGTGGTATTCAAATTACGGAGGATTGAGAAAGAGATGATGGACTTGTCGTGAAGCTTCAGTGAGAGCTACCAGCGGATGACAGAGTTTTCTAATTCACGTCACGTTTTCTAATTAATTCCGCGAGCGAACTTCGCTTCGCTTCGAAATAAATTCTTACCAGTCTAATGATACAAACTACTTATATAGAATTAGTTCGCTCCAGTTTAAAGATCAAGTTACGCAAGGTTGTGTTACGAAGATATGTGATGTCGAAAAATTTGCGGAGAATCATATGATAAATGCGTGACGATTATGCTTCCTCGATGAAAACATCGAGGGAGAATTGATGCTTTGAGTCGTTCGTAGGATCTGTTAAGACACGATCGCGAGTTCTGGAGCACTCGGGAAAAGCGTGCAGGGATTACAATAAAATAGAAAAATTTGATGTATGTGTATGTGTGTATGTGTACACATACATACATACCTATATACATACATACATACATGTATATATACATATATATATATAGAACACGAAGGGAGCGAGCATGCCTGGCGGCGTTTCGTGATGCTGCGACTCCTTCGTCCGCGTTAACTGAAATAGCTTCGCGCTTCGAGCGAAAAGAAGGGAAACGAAGTGAGTTCTTTCTCCGCGCAGCGTTCTCTCTCTTTCTCTCCCTCTCTCTCTCTCTCTCTCTCTCTCTCTCTCTCTCTCTCTCTCTCTCTCTCTCTCTCTCTCTGCTCTGCTCTGCTACCCTCTTTCTCCGTGTCCATTGTTGCGCCGTTCGCATTTGCCATGCCGCGTTCCATTTCCCTCCGTCAATCTTCCTCCGTATAATCCCTCGTAATATGCGCGTGCGATTCCCCTTTCGCGAATTTCTTCGCGAACCTATACCTCGCTAAACGCCAATCAGCAAATTGTTCACGCTAATTGCTAATGCTAATTATGCGAGCTAATGCGCGCATAACGTATATTCTGCTGCATATTCTGGAAAAGCGGGCAATGCAATTTGCATCTTTTGCAAAAACTCCTCGCAACGTTGAATGCGCGTTTCAATGACGAAAGCTAATGAAGCGACGAATGCGAAGTATTGCCAGCTATTTTCCATGCTTAATTGTACATAAAAAACGAGCGCGATATACGGCTCATGTTTCCAGCCGAGTGACAGCCTTTCGCGGTAGCTCTTCGTGATTGCGCGCATCGGATTCGCGGGCGCAAACGTCAATCGTGCGAATTATACTGCGCCGTGGAATACAAAGCGCTCGCGCGCGGTAATCAATGAAGCGAAGCCGGAACTTTTACGGGGCTTATTAGTTATGCTGCGATGAATCGCACATGCCAGCCCTCCGCCGTGCCCGTCATTTCGACGGCGAGATGCGATGTGCGCCTCGTTTTCCTGTCCTCTTTCTCTCGTTTCCACCCTTTTCGCAGTCTTTGCACGTCCCTTCGCTGCGCTACGATTAAAAATCCGCTTCCATCTCCCTCTTTCGCCCCACTCTTTTAGCTGCCCAATGTGAATTTCCTTGTGCTTGAAATGAACCAAGTGCGCAGCAGACGAAAGGAAGCACTCGCACATTCCTCATCCTCCGTGAGATAATTTTACGGAAGGAAGGAAACTGTCGTTGTGCAGTTCACTTTCCTTCGTCATGTTAATGCGTACGAGACCGCAGCTCAATCCGATAGATGACAATCGCTTTGCAACGACGTTCTCCTCTTTGACGTGGATTTATTTCGACGAGTATGAATGTCGTGAATATTCCCTTGATCTGCTTGTATACTTGGCATTTTCAAGGAAAGGAGAGAAAAAGCAGGAAGAGGAGGAAAAGAGGAGAGAATTATGCGGAAGCAATGAGGAAACCTGCAGTTAAGAAGAATCACAAACGTTAGAGCGGATCGATAAAAATATACTCGCGTGTCTGCCTGCATTACAGGCCCCTGAAAAGGCGTAGCGCGTTATCAAAGATAACCCGCAATTATTTATCCGCGCGGAACATTAATTCCTACTCTGGCGATAAATGGCGATAGCACGCGACGCATAATCGATAATTCGGGCAATTTCGCTCTCCTACTTCTCCCTTTCTCTCTTTCCACCTTTCCGCTGCTTGTTATTGATTCTCTATACAGATAGTGGAGAAAATCTTCGTTAGACTCCCGATCTGGTGTTGTTAAAAAATTGCGTTAAAAAAGTAACAAGGGAACAATCCCGATCGCTTTGTAAGTGAGACTTTGTTCACAGCGTTTCCCCATTACTCACGGCTACGTTTCAGAAGCAGCACATAGCACCTGCCGCTCATCGTTAACGGGATCCAACTCAGCTCGGGATGATCTCGGGATCTCGGAGGATTCCGCGATTTTTCGGGCCATGGGCCAGGACGTGTCGTCCCATCGATTGCCGGAAAATAAAGAGGCTGTTAATTAAGCCGTTGACCTATATCGCGTATCATTTTTAATCCGTATTCTCCGGATCGCCGGCCGATCGATATATTGTACGTTAATTATTAACCGCTCCCGATCCGCTATTACTCTGGGGCGTCACTTATTATGCAACAGATCCGTTATAAACGTACGACGGTCGATTCGTTTACCGACACCAACGTATCCGTCGGACACCGAGGATCGGCCTTAAGCCGCACCACCAACATAACCACCAACCTAATTAAGACCCCGGCGATGACCCCGCGCTGGGATCATCGTCTCCGCGATGGGATGAAATTTTTATTCTAAAGAGAGAATCGATGTCCCTCGTTTAACCGCCGCGAGAATGACGGATTCCATGCTAGTTTGCGATGCAAATTTTTCAGCGCAGTTCAATTCCTCCGCTCGATGGCCTTGATTGAAATTGATCAGGTTGTAGACGATTGTATCAAGCGGGGTAAATCTTCTCGCGATTACTGTTATCCTTTTTTATCACGGATACGTGCAGTCGGTGAGTGCGCATGTTGAAAAAAGGGAAAGTTTTCCGTAATGTTCTTTTTCCGCGCAAAAGTACAATTGACAGTGTGGAAGCGACAGAAGTACAATTGATTCCTCACGTCGTGACGAGTCGACGTGGTGCGTTGAAGTAAATAATAATTAATAGCTCAGTTTAATGTCTTACCTTGCGCGATAACATGTACCCACTGACGATCGATTATTTCAAATCCGAGAGGGTTCCCCGATGAAACTAATCGGGCGATCGAACCCCACGCTCGTTAGGGCCAATAACCCTAAGATGGGATACACGATTCGGAAGGCGGGCGTAGACCACATATCCTAAAATAACATGACAAAATGACAAGGGAGTCTGTTTAACAAAAAGATGTGAGAACAAGGGTCAAATAAATAGGACGATCCTCTTATTGATCTACCTAGGAACGTTTCTATAGTAGCGAAGGGAAAACCTGTCACGTGATTACGCGCGCTTTGAATCTCCAATCCTCTCGTTTTCTCCCCCTTCCCCTCCACCCTCTCTCACTCCTCTCTCTCCCGCTGTCTGTCTCTCTGTCATTCGTTTTCCAAAAAAAGCCCGTGTATGTAATAATACTCGTATAAATAGTGCACGGAGCTTTGACTCACCAGGCTTTTCCCGTATTAACCTTGAGATGGAAATAACTCGGCGTCGTTCGCGCGTGTGTCCAATGCTCGCGATAAGATAACCTCGAAATCGTATTCATCATTTATGTTGGTAAAAATAAATTTGATCAGAATGAAAAGGTAATGAATGTAGGTAAATAGAAAGAAAGAGAGAGAGAGAGAGAGAGAGTACCGCGGAAATTTATTGCAAATACAAAAATACAAGAACATCGCGGAAAATACAGTTGCGAACAAACCACTCGAAATAGTATGCGATATTATCGATCTCTTTTATTGAAAATAAAACGTTACGTCAACAAAGTGTCACAAATCTCAGATAATAGTCGCGATATCTAACGCGTATTTATGCCGCAAGTGTATTGCGCTATATAAAAGAGAATTATATGAATTATATAATAAATTATTATTTTCTGTAATATAAAAAAATCAATATTACGTCATGAGATATTTGACGTGTCACAAATGATCATAGAACAAAGATAGATTACCGCTTTTTGTGCTCGTAACAGGTGATTCGCAATCAACCGTTCAAACTTGTTCAAACATGCTCGTAATGCAACCGTTTCAAAATGGCGGTACCGCTTCGAGTATCCTCTAATATACAGAATGTAAATGCGCTGCTGTTCAATGCATTCACAATCGGCGGTCGAATTGTCCCGTGGCACTCGAGCAGCGCGTTTTCTCATTTACTCGGCTGATCTTCCAGCGGACGAGAGAACGGCAAGAATCGAAGCTCGCGTGTCACGAAACCGCTGTGTGAACGCGGATGCAACGGGCAGCACCAACGCAGCCGATCGCGAACGCCTACGGCTACACGATTAACGCATTCGTCCGAGAAATGCCGAAACTTGATGCCGAATGCCGGTGGATGCGCTTGACGGCATTAATGCCGTCAAGCGCATCCACCTCTGCAACCAGCCTGATTCCACCTTTCCGCGGCATCGATGCGTAACGAACGAAATCGTAACGGTCGATTAATCGTAAGCGTGGCGCTTCGCACACCGCCGCTCCGCGCGCCACCGTGGTGGCGCTGCCGGCGACGGTCGGTGATCGCTTTAAAATCCGGCGGCGCGACGCCGCAGAACGCGCTCTCAGCTCTCACCGTTCCGTTTGCGCGTGCTTCTCGATACTGCAATCGTTGTTCCGTCGTGTTCGTGACGGTTGCGTGGTTAACCGCTCGTGATGCAACGTTTCTAACCTCCGTGACGACGCCGTCGATCCGTTCGACTTCGCGGTCAGCAGGTTGACAGTCGTAGAACGGTCTGGCGGAGAACTCTGGCACCTGCGCTAGGTTCGCGGTGGGCCGATGCATCGCTGTATGTGCGTGTGCATCGCGAAGTAACGCGTAATCGGGTTACGCGGTCGATCCGACGATGCCCCTCGGTGTTTTGTGAAAATTTGTCGTGGTCACGTGCGCAGAAAATGTAACTGCCATTCTCGCTTGTCGACGACAGGATATCGTTGACGCGGTTTCGTTGTCCACAAGCGTGATACCTCCCCCCTCTTTGGGAAAAATGAACGGCCAGGTGCAGTCGTCGAGGGAGAGGTTAGGTGAGTGGAGCGTCGTTCGCTGGTAGCGTTCATTGTCTCGGCTCCAGAAAATAATTAAGATGCTTCTCGTTGCGGAATTGTCAGTGATAAATATATTGCGAAACGACAGCGTGATAAGACGGATGGATTACGCGAATTTTTCAACGGCATTGTTTCCGATTCGTATTGACGAACGTTCTAATCGCTCCTTACTATGCTTGCCTGGTCACGCGATTATTTTGCAATGTTCACTGCGCCAATCGGAGAAACAATGCGGACGAGTTGATGGGCGATTTAAGGTACATCGATGGATACTTTAATAGGCACTATTTAAAGCTACTCAAAGGGCACTCTTCGAAGGTGCACCTGTGTGTGCAAGTTGTTAGATTGTTAGCTGTTGTTATCGCCACTTTGTTGACCGCCACGGTTAATTTGACTTCATTAGCGTATGTTGGTAAAAGCCAAATAATGCTGGCTCCGCATGTGCACGCCGTATCCATTGTAAACAAGATAAGAGTGCAAGGTGTATTCAATGGCCCTGTCAGCATGTATTTACTTTTATGATTTATTATAACAGCAGCATTGGACTACCGTGTCAACCGTCGTGCTCCATTATCTCGCAAATTCCGTGTTTTTCCAGACATTTTCTCAGATGCCAAACTGACGATATATCCTTGGATTCACAAATTTAAGGTTTCTGAAAATCCCAACGAATACGATCACTGGAAATCAATATGTTGTTATTAGACATGTATGAACCATACTATATCGAATCACCAAATTTTCCAGTCTTCTAAATAAAGTTTTCCAAATTCTCTATCTAAGAAACAACAAGCTGGTGGAATTAATTCAAAATTGTTCTGTGTTGTTGAGAGAGTCGGTATGATTTAGCTGTAACTGAATAAAAGATATTTTTTCATGGAACTGTGCTATACATATATTGTTTTTCTTGGGATCACCATCTCAAGATGAATCATAAATGGTGAAGTAAAGTTCGGCCAAAAGATCAGCACCTGTATTATATTATTTATTGAACATTAAGACTATGCTCTATCATCGTTACCATTGCGATATTTGCAATGTAATGCTACAAATATAACATCCAGATGTGCCAGGAATAGAACACAGTTGAACAGGTGTTATGTCATTTCAGACAGTTTTAGCTCTGACACAATGGACTTATTCAGGATGTTCGGCACTGACCGCGTCCCCGCTATCCCCATCTCGGATGCAGAGATACCGTTGGACGACAGTACAGAAGTCCCTACAGAAGTCGACAGTAAGGTGAAAACGAAATTGCTCTCTATGTGGAATAACGTTAAGTACGGTTCGTATCTCGTCTAGATACTTCGCGAAGTCGTGGCAGAGCACGGGCTCCAGATGTACTGAACGTTTCTTTCCTTTCTCGGTCGCAGGATGGACCATGAAGATGAAAGCGAATTTCTCTAAAGAATCTCCCGTTTGGTTGTTGGGCCAATGTTACTTGAAAAAGTCTGAGGATCCTCTGGAGAACGCTTCAGAGGCTCTGGAGCCAGAAGGAACTGGCAGCCAGGTTTCTTTGGCGATGGATGCTACCAATTTTGAAAATACCATAGAGGAATTCAAGAGGGATTTCGCATCGCGTCTATGGCTCACGTATAGACGGGAATTTCCAATTCTGAACGGTTCCACATTCACCACGGACTGCGGCTGGGGCTGTATGTTACGCAGCGGTCAGATGATGCTGGCGCAAGCGTTGGTCTGTCATTTCCTCGGACGTGGTAAGTATTCCTATTTTCCGATTCTACCTTAAATTGCTACGAGAGACTTATAATTTATTTCTTCACAAAGTTCTATTTCAGATAAAGTTTGTGGATTACGTCACCTTGTGGAGAACAAGTTGAAACGAAGAGAATGTGCATTCGTATTCATATTGATAGAAACTCATGTTACTCTGTCCAGAATGGAAATGGCGGCCGGAGCAATCTATCGAGAACACTCAACAAATGCGAGACGACTCCAACCACCGTATGATCATCAAGTGGTTTGCGGATCAGTCAAAGCCTGAGTCACCATTCTCTATACACAGGCTTGTGTCTCTCGGCGCCTCGACGGGGAAACGAGCGGGCGATTGGTACGGTCCTAATTCTGTCGCGCATCTTCTAAGTCAAGCTGTGGAACGCACTGGTGAGCTTCCCAACAGCAAGCTCAGTCGACTGGCGGTATATGTTGCTCAAGATTGTGCAGGTATTGGCGATACATACGGTGTATGTATAAACGAATTAGCATGATATAAAATATAATTGTTATGCAACGCATTCCAAGTTACCTACGGTAAAAGTCAAGATGTATTATAGATATAACCTAACAGTCGATATATTTCAGTATATATGCAAGATGTCGAGGAGGTATGTCGTACTTCCGACGGTGGATGGAAGTCTTTGATACTACTAGTACCTTTAATGCTTGGCACTGACAAACTGAACCCCGTTTACGCACCGTGTGTGACGTCGTTGTTAACATTGGACGCGTGTATCGGCGTTATCGGCGGTCGACCCCGACATTCGCTCTATTTCATCGGCTATCAGGACGATAAACTGATTCACCTGGATCCGCATTATTGTCAGGAGACTGTCGATGTGTCGAAGGAGAACTTCCCATTGACTAGTTTTCACTGCACGTCGCCGAGGAAGATGTTGCTCTCGAAGATGGATCCCAGCTGCTGCGTGGGTTTCTATTTCCCGAACAGAGAATCGCTCACCGACTTCATGGAGACGATTCATTCAGTGAGTACGATAGTTTTTGACACGTGCGAATTTTCTGTGGACTTTATACATGTACGTTAATGGAATTCAAGTGAATGCATTCGTCTCTTCTTATTGTACGTGTATCTATTCAAGGAGTAAAACGATGATAAAATTGCAAAATTTAAAAATGTCACGACTCATGTTTACGGAGTTATTGTGGTTTAGAAGATAAAAATATGACTTGGACAAAGGAATAGAGGGTTAAGAAGAGACGCAAATGAATTAGGAAAAAGAAGATAAAGTGCGATAAGATACAAGGACAGTTTACATAACTAATATTTCTGTGTTACAGTTTGTGATACCGTCGAATCAGAAGACTGACTACCCGATGTTCCTTTTCTGCGAAGGAAGCAAAAAGGATCTACAGCAGGGTATCGAAGTCGACGAATGTCTTCTAGCTTCGACAAGTTCCTTCGACGATCACGAGACATTGGAGGATGACTTGTGCGAGTGCGAAAAGTTTGAGCTGCTACAGTAGTGAAATGACGAGAAATCAACAGATAAACTTAAACACAGCGGTCGCGCGCTTGCTCGAATATCGGCGGGAAATGTTAGTCTTGAATATCTCTATTACATCTCTACTTGTTCGTCCACTATTCGCGACAAATACTACTTTTTTTTCGTATATTCGCTCCTTTAGCGCATGTAGGAAAACGTGAAGCAACACATGAGCCGAATGTCGCCACTTAGAGCGTTAAAATCACGTCGATTTTAGAAACAACAGCGTCGCGTTTCACGCGATCAGGAGATAAAATTCGAATTTACGCAGTAACTAGTTTTATCGTTACATACGAAATTAAAAGAAGAAATTCAAGGCAGACACTTGAGCAAAATTGATCTCCGGCAAGAAGTTAACCGACCGTTCAGCTGACAGGTCATTTCTCGATGGTATAATGTATATATGTATACGAGATTATATAAGAATGCACAATTTTTCTCATTCTGGTTTACATGTTGATCTCAAAATTTATAGATTGCTTGATCGATCGTTGGTATTAATGTTCAACTTGATAAGACTTGATCGCATCCACGTGTCAAGCGTAAGCGAGTATTTATTTTTCTTAGGAGTTCAGGTGTGACGCGTTTTTCTTTCTTTTTTTTTTTTTCATGACTTGCAGCATGCGTCAGGATTTCGTTAAATCACCCAGATACTTAACGATACTTAATAATTTTAAATTTTAATTTGCGAATTCTCTCTAATGTATGTAACAACGATCGAGTGGATCATGCAGGAGCTATCTACTCGGTAATCAAGTCTGATTTATTTAGAGGAGTTTAATAAAGCGCTAATTTATTTATTTATTTATTATTATACGTAATTGGGCGCTAAGTGATTTCAGCGTTGAAAACCGAGCGGGAGGTTCGGGGAGTGCGAGTGTGTGGTATATACAAGCTGAGGCATCTAATACAGGATACACCTAAATATTTCGAGGAATTTCGACGATCTTAAAGTCTCGAGAACAATAATTTTAAGCGAATTTTTGTCCCTATTAACCACAGCCGTCCCTGCGAACTATAAAACTTTATACTTGACCGTATTTTCGTATTGTGTCAGAGGCAACAGAAATATTTAGGTATATTCTTTTGGATGTATCTCATCCTGTATATGTATATATATATATATATTATATATTTATATACGTATGTGTATGCGTATATATTGTACTCATACTGTTGAAAATGTACACAATATCAAATATTGTTGTTATATCTCTCTTACATCAATAACGCAATACGCACGGAATAAAGTGAGGGAAATGTATGGCAATTATATGTTCGTGAGTACACTTCTCGTGAATCAACGCGAACGATAATTGTCACTTTGTACTATATACTTTGAACTTTGGCTAAGCAGCGGCAAGATTCGCGCAAACTCACTTGTAAAAAAATAGAAAAAAGAAAGAAAGAAAACATCACACGATAAACCGCGAATGAATTACACTACGATATTTCGTTTAGATTATCTTTCATCTATCGAAGACATTTGCTATTATTGTCGATATGTCGGAGTTGGCTGTCTTTGGTGTGTATTTTACAGCTTAACGCGATGGCGCGCGTGTGCGTACGAAAGTGCGTCGCGAGCGAAATACGCGCAGCGTATTTTTGGCCGTTGTAACCGCAGTCGTTGCCGCCAGACATGTTCCTGCTCATTACGTAGAGATCATACACAGTGTGTGTAAATCGAATCGGCCTTGGATAGATCCAAGCGGATCTGCTTACTTTAATTTTTAGATGCGAGAATATATAAGAATATTCAATGTATTAGAGGTATTGGAAAGTCTTTTCGTATTTTAAAACCTTCAATTTCCGTGGTTATAGTACGAGTTCTTAATTTTAATCCAGAATTAATCTAAATTCCAGACTAGTTAACAACATTTCTTTATTGTGTATATCAACTTTTATCAAGATCGAACTTACTCTTTGAAAATAGCAGCGTTTGGACCAAATAAAAAACACGGAAAAACGAAAAGACTATCCCTAATAAAATTGGAATTGAGAGATGCAACTTCTAGATACGAGAATATAAAAGAATCTTTGGGCATCAGAATGGATAGTAAAATATCTCTCATAGGCTGTATCTAAGAGTTCAATAGATCCAGACGTATTGAATCTATGTGACCATTCGATTTGCTCAAATGTTAGAAATGTTGCGCCACGAAATCCTTGATCGCCGGCCACATTTCGTTGGTGGTGTTACCGCGGAATTCTTTCAGTATCCTAATATCTCGATAAAACTGCACGACCGGTTCAGTCTTGGTCGCGTAATCTTGTAGCCTCTTCTGTACGACTTCCGGCTTGTCATCCTCTCTCTGACTTAACGGCTCACCGGTTACATCGTCTTTACCCTGTAACGTGAGTGACGCCCATTCAATCTCTACCGCGCATTAAGCCGTCTAATTGTTAGACGGTAAACATAAAGTTCAATGTTAAACGCGTCATATGAATGTAGCAAATAAGAACAAAGTCGATGCTGGGTTCTCCTTTTGAACTGGAACCGCGTTATTATCGAGCTCTTGGATTGTGTAACTCGTACCGGCACTCGTGGATCGTTGAAGCCGATGTTGTAGACCCTACCGCTGGGCAGGTGGACCCATCTATTCTTCACCCTGTCCAGTATGACGGAAGTTGGTACCACGAGGTTCAACACAACACTGATCGGATGCAGTCTCTGCAGCTGCTCCGCCTGGGCCAACGTCCTCGGGAATCCTACGTCGATGCCAAGATATGCATTCGCATTTAGTTTACTCATATAGAAAGCGAGAGATAGCCAGGATATTGTTCATGGTGATTGATACGTGATACCGGCTGTACAGTCAACCAACTGCACGCGCGAAATTGGTAGCAAGAATCGGCGCCGGTATAACTTCGCAGAGTTTATATTTCTAGGCCGGTTGTTCCAACTTCTCGGTAAGTTGACTGATGGTTAAATCATATGTTTATTTTTGTTTTCCTTGAATTTAAACGAAGACAGACATATGATTATTATACATAATATGATTAACTATCAGTTAACTTACCGCGAATTTGGAAAACCGACCCTATGTTTGAATATTTTGATAAAGATCATCATCCTTTTATTCTCTCTCTCTCTCTCTCTCTCTCTCTCTCTCTATATATATATATATATATATATATATATATAACTTTTGTTCTAAGGCCATGCTTAGGTTGATGGAAAAATAAACATGGACAACGCGACATTGTCTACCTGCCAAAAATAATGTGTAGTTTCGTTGTTACGAGAACCATATTCAACGGCCACGAAGACCGACAAGGGGCTATTGTGTTTTTACTCGCAAATTTCGTCCTGAGTTATTGATTCAATCCTTGGCTTCGATTCTCGCGCTCGTTATTTCGCTTCACTCACCGTCCAGCAACCAATTTGGGCTCTCCACCGACTCGATCTCATGGCTGATCAAGGATATCATTGTGTCGTCCGGTACGAAGCTGCCGCTATCCATGTATTTCTTGACGTCCTTACCCAGATCTGTGGACGTAACTTTTCTGTAGAGTCTCGTCTGTCGTAAATGAGTGACCAATACTTCCTTCAACTTTTATCGAATCGTACGATCGCGGGGGTCCCATTAAAAATTATTCGAATGTTTCGTCAGAATTAGCAGTATCTCGTGATAAATTGAGATTCCTTCGAGCGTATGATGTGAAAAGAAAGAAAAAAGTACGAATGAGCCGACGTTTCATCTCTTAACGAAGCTACTCGCACATGTATTCAAGATTAATAGATCGACGATAATCTGAAGTGTCTTCAATTACGCGGCGCGGAATCGGAAATAAAAGGAACGCGATAAAACAGCGCGATGATTGAAATGGATAATTCAAAGATGCGTGTCATCGCGGGTACCGGACGTAATGGGAAATCAATCGATAGTCCTTCGGAATTTCTCGACAGCGGCAGAGTACGCTCTTATCACATAAAGTTCCGATCTCTTGAGATAAAGAATCCTCGGAAGATAATTGAGATTAACGAGGAGCCCAATGGCAGAAAAACAAATGGGCACTTTAGTCAGGAAAACGGGAAATTAATGCGTCGAACGGATATAATGAAGACCGACCGGAGCCGAAAAGTCGACCTAATTGTACAATCAATCGGCGCGTTAATTGTTGTAATCTCCCGCGACGCTCATGAGGCATTTCTCGTTGCGTACGTACCGGTGCCAGTGGAGACATGGAAGCGCAGCCTGTCCCCGCTGGAGATGTGAGCGACGTCGAATCGCTCGACGATCCTGGAGGAAACGGTGCCTTTGCCAGAGGCCGGCGCGCCCAATATTACGGCCCTGAAGGCCGCGGCAGCGGCGGCGGCGGCGGCGGCGGCGGCGCGGCACATGGAGATCGCAACCATGAGGTAGAGCCAACGGTGCAGCCCGCGCAGCTTCTTCGTGACGATCAGCGATGACGACAACGAGAATCAACTGCGGGTGCGAAGATGCGACTCCTGACGTTTCACAACGTCGTCGGCTCGTCGCTGAGGCCGGAATCTGTGTGGCGTGTTGGACACACGCGCTGGCTCCCCCCATTCCCCTCTACCAAGCGGACTTTGATACGACGAGCCGATGATAAGGTGAAACCAACTGGCGAGTCGCCCGCGCTTCACTCGCGCGACGCACTGCATCGTGATGCAATCGGACACTCGATCTCGTAATTGAGGGTCACATCGAGTAAGCTCACGCAAGCGTTTGCGAATGACGAGCAATGAGCGAGCCGTAACCTTGTTCTGCCCGCGACGTCATGAGCCACGTGACGCGCGCTTCCACTGAGATGCTACAATTCGAATTGTGATCTCATTAGAAGCGGTTAGTAATTAGCGTGATTACCGTAATTAGAGAGATTGCAAATCACCTTGGCTGGCGTGAACAGCGTAGACATTGCAGGATCTCAAGTCTGCTTCGTTTTCGAAAAATTTGTGAACACTAGTGCGATAAGTCCCAGCGAAAGAAAGTACTCTGTTTCAATCTAACGCTTATTGTTATACCAGTGTGCACCTCTTCATAAGTAGTTTAGTAGTAGTGGTTCTTTGCTGGCTCCGGACTGCATTCAGCTTTGTTCATACGCCATTTTCCCGTGGTCAATGATTATGAAGGTAAAAGAAAAACAGGGACAACGCGTATGCAGTCCCCACGATCAAAAAATATACGTAATTACAGGAACCACATCCAACCGCCACGGAGGCGAACAAAAGACCCTCTTCATAAGTTTGTCGAAGACGAATAGGACACGTCACTTTATCGATATATCGACATCTATCGTGTATCGTAACGATAGATCGTGCGTTCCTAACGAAGTTAGCCGCAAGTTAGCCGTATTTTTGAAAAATGTCGCGTATGATATTTCATGAATGTCACTAAATATCACGATTCTCAGCCAATTAAATTGCCCCATTGATGAAATATCGTATATACGATATTTTTCACAAATTTTCGAGAATAAGAGCTCCGTTCCTGCGCCAACCTTGATCGACTTGATCGGCTGGTCATTCCAACGGAATTAATCAATCGCATCCGTACGTTGATTAGATTGAACAGGTGCGATTGGCCAATTCCGATGGAATAACTAACCGGTTATAAATCAAGCAAGTTGGTAGAAACGGCCGTCCTCGCGTTGGCCACGCTGACGACGCGACAAGATGGCCGTGCGAAATTGAAATTCGAGCAATTGCAGGCGCTTTTCTTTCGAATTGTCCGACGTTACAGGCATATCGCAGGAATTACGGGACCCGGAATCAAGCGCTGACTGACCGAATCCGCAGTGATGTCCGAAAATTTTTACGAGGAGACGATTCGCCGGATTAACCAGGCGCAGATAGAGCTGAAAGTCCGTTTGGAGCAAGTGTCCAAGTTAAGAGGTGAGTAATCGTCGGGTCAGATCGTTTCGGAATTTCCTCGTTTATAAACCGCTCGAGGCTAACCGATTATCGTGTTCAATCGCAGTCGATTGTGTGATACTGCAGCTGGAATTGCTGCAGCTTTACAAGCCGCAGTGCCTGGAGATCTTAGAAATGCTGCGAGACGTCTCGGCGTTGCCGCCGGAAAGACCCGGCGATAATGGTGATAATGGCGATCATGGCGATAATGGCGGCGTTGAATCACGCAACAACGAGGTATGAAAATTACAGTCATCATGTGGCGCGCATCGTTTATGTTGAAATATATTTATTACATTTGAATATATATATATGTATGTATGTATGTGTGTGTGTGTATATATATATATATATATATATCGGACTATGACACATCGAGCATGTGTGTACGTGTGTATGTTTGTTAATCCGTCCCAGCGAGAAACGGCTCATCGTTCGACGTCGAAACGACATCGGATCGATGTCGAGAAGTTCAAATCAATTCGACGTCAATCGACGAGTCACTTCTCACTGGGGTAACGCCGTACAACGTTCGATACGATAGAGTATACAGTAATAGATATAGAGATTTTGCAAAGATAGACTCTTTGGAAGCTGCGTCGAATATTCTTTCCATTCTTTTCTCTCTTTCTCTCTCTCTCTCTCTCTCTCGTGCGCGCGCGCGCGATTTCTTCCCTCTCTTTCTCTGCTTTTCGCTTTCCCCGAAAGTCACCGCGTCGCACTCACGGCGAGAAGACGCGCGATTCGGAAACGTTTCGTGCACGATTTGCCGAGACTGTGGATAATCATCATACATGCGGAGGTCACGAGATCGCGAATGAACATTCGCTCCCTTCCCTTTCCAGCTTTAGATACTTAACAACGATTCACATAGTCATATCGTACGATATCTCATTTGCGAGGCGCTCGTCCGCATTTGTGTCATATGTTGGGCGTCGGTTACGGCTCGTTCATTATTGTCTCTACCTATAGTTCGTTAAGTCGTTGTTCAGTCGCAAAGGAGAAGACAGTATCGAGAGCGGCGGGGGGGAACGGGTAGGGGGAGGGGGGAGGAAGTCGTTCAGACAAGAGCGGCGCACCTCGCAAATAGGTAATAAAACGCGTCTCGTCTCGAATTTTCGACTAATTAACCGCGCATCTCTCCTACATTCAGGACTCTCGAATTCTGTCGGCGAGGAATCGATACGTGAATCCGTGAAAGCAGCGTCGCGTGCGAAAAGAGCTGTCTCATGTGTCGGTTGTCGTATGTGTATCATCGCACCGATCACACCAAGAACAGCACTTTCAAGACCAGACACGTGACCTCGAATCGAGAGCAGGCTAGCACGCGATACGCGAGCTATACGCTCTTCCTCAACCACGTCGTTCGTTTTCAAGACGACCACTCGATTCGAGAACACCGAGTCTGTGTATGAGCAGCCTCCCTTAATCCCTCGGCAGGCAGTCCCGAGGCGAGTCCCTTGGGCTGTCGTGGCACGAAACGAGACAAGTTGCAGTTGCGGTCGACAAAGAAATATCAAAAAATAAAGCCTCTCGCGCTTCTTGGATAAAGCGGCACGACTATGGAATCGCTTACTCGTTGATGCGCTCTGCTCCTTTGCCTCCTTCAATGAGGTCAGAGCCCAGCTAAGAGTCCAACGCGACTGGACTGAACGCCGTGGTACTCGCTGAGGGGTTAATATGCCGGGGTGATATGCGGTAATCTCGAACGACGCCTCATTCGACGACGGAAGCTTCCTCTCGACATTGCGCGGTTGACCGACGCCGAAGAATGCCAGTCGTTTTTCATTTTTACGGGTCTGAAATGTTCTGCTGCAGTTCCGGCGAGTAAACAAAGCGGCGCTGCATGTATATGTCACGATAGTGTTGCAAGCACGATTCACGCCCAGAGCTACATTGCATCGTCGAGGGCGGTGGCCGCGTCTGCACTATCAGATAGGAAGTCTCCTGGCACAGCTGGTCCCTCTCGAGGCTGGAGCTCGCTCCGAACCTAGGCAAGACGATTTGTCCTTCCTTGTCCAGCACGTCGCACACCGCGTTGGCCTCTGCTACGTAGTTATTGAGACATATTAACAATCTATTCTTGCCATGCTCCTGGAAAAAACAACAGGGCCTCAGTATTCGAGTATTAGAGATTGTCAAGAGAAGAAAACGAAATTGGAGATTGTTAATCAGAAGTTCAAGCTCGGTCTGTCTTCTAATCTCTGATATCGATTGATAGTCTGCCACGTAGTGGCTACATCGCGTTCATTGCAAAGTTCCTATAGCATATAACGAGCGAATAATGTGTGGACGTACGCAGGCTTTGCAGATCTGCAGCTTCATGCAGGGTGCGAACAATCGAAAAGCGTTCTCGTTCAATTTGTCCGCGACTCGGCATTGCAACTCGATCGCTCTCATTTCGGGACAGTCTCTGGTCTCCTCGACGGCTGTGACGAGTGAAACATTAATGTTGTAATGTTAGTAAAACATTTTTAGTTAACTCTGAGCATAAGGAAAGAGGACTATATCTCGCGACAGAAGATAAATTATTGCTAGATTTTTATCAAGGATAAAAGCCGAGTGAGGGATCTAGTTCGCTGGATTCGAGACATAAATTGAGCGATGTGTGTATAATTTATTACTCAACCCTCTTTTCTCGCCGATTATACTTACCATCCCCTATATTTTTGTTGACACTATCGCGTTTCTCGTCGATTTTGTCATTAGCACCACCATTGCTATTGGAATTTCCGTGACTGTTGTCACGAGAATTCGACGTCAAATTATTCTGCACCTCCCTCTGTGTCCTCTGCGCCTCCTTTTGAGCTGCGATGTTGTTTCTGAGATCGCTCAACGCCTTGCGCATCTTCTGCAACGAATACGCCGTTGCCATCCTCGTCATTAATTTGTCCTTCACCTGTCGGGTTTTTACGGATTTTTGTACATCTATTCTTTACATGTTGTTATTATTATTATTATTATTATTAAATTCACATTTTTAGATTATCTTATTAAAGGTCACGATTGTAATGCAGGGAATTTTAAGAAAACATAAAATTTAGTTATCATCGTGTACAGAATCTTTATATGTAATTTAGTTCAGTCATTTCTTTTTTCTATAGATTACGAATTATTATTAAAATCATTAAATGGATATATAATTTAAGGTCATTAAATTAATCACTGGAAGGTTCGTAAAAAGCAGATTTTTGTCAAAGCAATTTTGTTCTTAATGAAAAATTTTCAAAGATGAAATTTTAACCATTGATGAGTTAGTTCGAAGTCTAGGAGGAACTACCTTCTGTAGATCCGCTTCGTCCTCCAAGTTGGCATATCTCAAAGCTTCCTCGATAATCAAGTCCTTGATGTACTTCAACTTTGAGTCCATCTGGTCGAACTCGTCCTTCCGTTCGCTCTCGTCCTCTTTCGATTTCAAGTTCTCGGCCATGTTCTGTCGAGACATTTTATCGTTAGCATACGCGAACTTTCCAATTATTTGTACAATTGTTTACGAAACTGTACGTCCATACCTCGTAATAGCGTTGCAATATCCATTCGTCGTCCTGATTCTGCGTTCCCTGACCAGCCATGAAAGTAGCCTTCTTCTTTCTTCGGTCGATGCCGAAGTATTGCGACCAGTCGACGCTCTTTTTCTTCACTTGGACGAATTTTGACTTGGCCGCCTTCGTTGCGTTCTCTTTCGGCAATGACGTCGCGTTCACTGGAGCATCCAGCGGAATATCCAATTGCATAACCATCGCACTTTCATCGTGACCGTGATCGTGAGCTTGATCATGATCGTGTATGTGTCCTTGACCGTGATCCTGCGCATGATCCTGGTCCTGATTGTGGTCATGTTCCTGCTCCTGCTTATGCCTATGATCATGATCGTGATCGTGATCGTGATCGTGATCGTGGCCGTGGCCGTGATCGTGATCGTGGTCGTGATCGTGATCGTGATCGTGATCGTGATCGTGATCGTGTTCAGAGTGGTGAGTGCGATTGTGGGCGTCTGTAGATTGCGTGCCGAATAAAGCTCCCAGGTCTTGAGCAACCTTGAAGTATATATTTAGCGATATATTACGTCATTATATGTTACATCAAGTTACGTTAATAAGAATAATAATACCCACGGGCGGCAGCAACGACCGCGGAATTGAAGAGCTTATATTAGTAAAAGTGGAAGTTTCCAGCGTTGCGTAACCCTCCCCCTCTCTGCGAAGTCTGTCGCAGCATTACAAAGACAAACGAGAGACGATGTTGGCCTATTGTAGCGGTCAATATGTTACAAATACAATGTTTATTATTTGCATTTAGTAGTGTCGAATACTTCAGCTAAATAGTCATTTTACCGTCCGCCACTACTAAAAGTAAATAATTTCATACTTTTTTGTAATACATTATCGACCGCTACTAGACTAGCGTTGGCTCTTGTATATTTTTACCCTGTTAATCATATATCTTGAGATTCTTTAATTTTATTCATATCGAAGTTTCCTAAATTTATTTTTTTTCCTAATTTATTTGTCGTAAAAGTGCTTTTGTTTCGGCTACAATTATGCAAGTTATGAAGTGATTGCATCTCATGAAACTAAACATGTGACATTAATTATCTTACGAAATTAAAATACACGGTAACGTGTATTTTTAATTATGACGTCGATAATCGTTCTTTTTATAATTCAGATTTAATTCTCCCAATATTTCGTAACTTCCACTTTCGCCGATATATCTTCGAACTGTCTTGAAAAGTCCGCATTTCCAAGATCACGTGCTCGCGAGAAGATTCTCGCGAGCTTCCAACAGCTTTTACAATGGTACACGTGATCCTCTGTTTTAGATGACTCTACTTGAATATGGACTTGAAAAGATTCGAAAGCAAGCGCGTCTAATAGTGCTAATTCTAATGGTTCTACTGAAGCAGCAAAAGCAGCGAAACTCAATTTGCATGTTGATTGACACGCGATTTAATAACGACTCGTAAACGACTGTTCAATTTCGCGTTACCGACTTAAGCGCCGCTTATTATGAGACAATCTTTTCGACGATTTGTATCAATCATCAATCAGAACCGAAGACTTCTTTTGTCAGGAGAATCGACACGAACTTCGACATGATCTCGGTAAACACATCGTATAATGTTAAAGATGTAATATGTCACATTGCCACATGACGATACTGAGCACACATTTCGAAAGATTTTATTGGATATTATAAACAGATATACATGAACAGACATCATAAGTATAGACGGACAGATAAAGTTGCCATTTGGCAACATCCGATTAACGTTGAGATTAATTGAACCGGATTTTTGCGCGACGACTGCGTGAATGAAGTGCCACTTCATACGAGCCATTTCGTACCAAGACTTAAGATTCAACGGATAGAATTTTATTGACTCATTGTTTTCGACCTAACGATTAAATAATGGCTTTCGATTCCGATGATGGTCACGATTCTCTTTCCTTCCCGTATCTATCTTTGTTCTTTCACTCGCGCGTATCATCATCGAGGGCAAATAAAACAACCTTGGGGTCGGTGGTCTTCAACTTGGTCTGGGGCGGTCTGGGACTTCTCTTAGCAACCGGATAGCGCTTGGAGAACTTGCGATAGCCACCGAACTCACGGCCGATCGGGTATCTTCCATTCACGTTCCTGCGCTCAGCTGGCGTGAGATACAGAATGCTCTGATCCTGATCGTGACCCATAAATTCGTTCTCGTTGCTGTCTCTCGTCTGGCCCCTCATCGACGAACCCTTGCCGTGCAGCTCACCCCAAGACATTGGTCCTGCAGTTCTGTCGGGCAAACGTTTTGCTTTCGAATGCGAGATTTCATCAGCGAGCGAAATAATTGTGACAGATGTTATGTTTAAATACAATTACATCTTATATATTATATATATATATATTATATTATTAATATAATATAATTTTTAATTAATACAATATAATTTATTATTAATTTAATTTTACGATTAAATACGATATAATTTGTGATATTATTTTAATTTCGCGTTATTGCTTGCGATGAGTATATAATTATTTACGGAAAAAAATTCTATAGTGATTTTAATATTTTTAATAATTTTATAATAATTTTGATAATTTTAATTCCGGATGCTCACGTGACGCTCACGAGGAAAAACGGCAATTTGAAATTAAGATCAAACTTTTTATGTGACTCGACCTTTAACATCATCGAGTCAGAAGTATACTTACTCGTATACTTTGTTCCCTCTACCAGCTCTGGATCTGTCGTAAAGCGTTTGTAAAGCGGCTAAATAATTGTCGCTGTCTTCCATCTCGTTCAGACCGTACGGAGAATTGTCCAGCGACTCGTCCACGATCAGTTTCGCCAGGTCCTTGTTGTCGATGTTCATCCAATCACCAGTTCCGCCGCGTTTGCGGCTGGAACTTCGTTCGCGCTCGCGGAAGATCGAGGCCACGGGCTCTTCCTGCAAGCAACATCACACATCGCACGTGGTTCAACCACGTTCCTGTTAGGAACCAATTTTCCCTTCCGCTTGGAAAGGTTACCGTCATTCGCAAAATGAAAGTCCCGACGCCGCTATTCGGCAAACAAAATGGTCGCGTCGTATATATCCCTGTCTATCCTCTTCGTTAAATAATAAATCGACGAGCTCACCTGCTCGGGCATGCTCTCTAAGTAGTCGAACACCTTTTGGAGTAAGTGCAGATTTTGGTAGCCATCCCCCACCGTTTCCAACTGGCCATTGTTATCTGAAACTGCAATAATATTGGACTCGTCCATGGACTCTCGTGTTTTGATCCTCATCACCTGGAGCTCTCAAGAAATTCAAGATTCAAGTAGTAAAACGAGCTCGTTTTCAACGAGCAGTCATCTGCACCGCCTCACATGTGCGTTTGAGTGTGTGAAGTAACCAATTTTCCATTGCAAATTAGTAATTAATCATACTCCATTATGAATCGTGAATGAAAAAAACGAGGCAAGAAGTATCGTTTGCAAAGAGAGATATTCTTTTCTTTTTTCTGTCTAAAGAGTTCCTTGATCGATAGATCTCGCCCTTACCGCCCGGTAGGAACTCGATCTCCTCGTCCTCCTCGTCGAGGTCCCGGTCGAACTTGCGGTCAGTGTTGCCGCCGTGATACTTGAACGAGTGGAGATCGTTGTAGTCCACCGCGTCCAGGGACCTCTGCTTCCGCACGACGGCGTCCAAAGCGCTCCTCAGGGACTCCTGGTTGGATTGCCGGGCGGCGGGGACCAGCGCGAGCGCGCCGGTGCCCAATACCAGCAGCGACAGCACCCATCCTTGCGATGTCATACTCGCAAGCTGATCGTAGGGAGCAGGGACGTAGAGTCATGCGAGATTGCGTGTGATACGCACATATTCTAACGATCGATTGCATAGAATTATTTTCCGACGGGAGTGTTACATCAGGTCGCCGCTGGCTGCCGAGGCGAAGCGAGGTCGAAAAATGAAATTACGGTTCTCAAGTCATTTTTGCTAATTGGATCGTAACGTTTGTTCTCTCTCTCTTTCTCTCTCTCTCTCTCTCTCTCTCTTCCCCCCTCTCTCTCTCTTTGATGCGTGTTCCTTGATTCACTTCGCGAGAGACTCGGGTCGATCGCTTTAACTGACGCAGAATTAAGCGGGAAAGCAACAAAGTAGTTATTCTTTCTTCTTACAACTACTGCGTTCTCATGAACATTAGTTGTCGCAGCCGTGTTCCGTATCGTTATAAATATACACACACCTATATTGATCACACCTATTTTGTATACTACATCGCGACGATATCGATTTTGTTAATAGGGTAGCGAAGTCCTTCGGGCAGCGAATGAAGACGTACCGATGAAATCTATGACGTAACGCAACTGCGACTGACACAAGCGGATTGATGGGGACGGCTAATTTGATCTGATATTCGCAGAAATTATCCGAGCTTACGATAATTAGAAGTAAAAAAGCACAGAGAGGAAGAGGGAAGATTCAAAGTGCACCGGAACGGCGTAATTAAACACACAAATACTATATAATATTATTATGTTGCAATGTTAGTATAGCGTACGTTCGGATCGATAAATGTCGTGTTATTGGAAAAATGTAATGTATATTTGCAGATAATATATATATATATATATATATATTCAAGTTTCCGCTGACGATTTAATTGACATTTGACTTAAAACTGCGTAATTGTCTCCCTCTTGAGGGACGTTCTGATTGTCGAAAGCGTTAATGAAATTTGTTTAGCACGGATGATCAACGGACAAGGTCACAGTCAATAATGACCCAGCGGCCTGGTCGTCAAAGACTAACAGATGGTCCGGGCACGAAACGCTCGTCCGAATCTTACGGACCATCCTCGTCTCGCGATCGGCCAGGCAACAATCTTGATAACAAAGATGTGGGAACGATATCGAAGCGATAAGAGCCGCATAGTTTGACGATTGCGAGTGAACATTCCGCGGCTGCTGAATGGGGTCGTTCGCGAATATGGGCTGCGGAATTGTCATTGCGATTATCGACGTGACCGTCATAAAAGCGCGAGCGCGCCTTCGGCGCCGGAGATTAATTAATTGAACGAACCTTCGACGAGGCGCGCGGCGTACCTGATTTTCAATGTCTCATCCGCGTGACACCCCTTGATCCTTCGGGCGAACTGCCAGCGAGTATTTTTACTGTAACAACGAACGACGGTTTACGGCGACGGCGGCAACGACGATTCCTGCGTGTGCACGGGACTCCGTCCTATTCTCGCGCGACCACCAATGGCGGCGACTTTTATATAGGGCGATAGAGGACGGATCGATAGAAACGCGCATGTGGAACTATCCCGTCGGCAGCAACAAGTAAAAGCGACCGGGGTGTGCCGCGAGATAGAGAGAGAGAGAGAGAGAGAGAGAGAGAGAGAGAGAGAGAGAGAGAGAGAGAGAAAAGGAAAGGATGAGAGACAAGGGATAGGGGAAACGAACGGATCGGAAAATTCTGCGTGCTCTCGCGTAACATCTCCCGATCGAAATCGTGTCGTGTATTCTGAAAGAAAAAAAGCCGGGAAACAGACGAGGCCGTTTGAAACATGTATAATGCTTTGCGTAACGCGCAGACGTTCGTCATGGAACATGTTTTAATTTTAGATAAGTGTTTAATTTTAGATAAGTGAAAAGCCTTACCGCGACGCATAGTGTACAAGCAATAAGAAGATGCCGCGACGATATCGCGTTTCATGCGAAATTAATTAATCGCGAGGAGGCCAAAAATGCGACTGTGTTATTCGCATTTATTACGAACATTAATCGACGCGCAGGGAGGTGATGGCAAGAGGCGGATGAAAAATGTTTTCTAAATCGTTATCCGGAGCGCGTCGATGGAGCACGTGCCTAAAGTCGTTTCGAATATTCCGCTGCGGAACGCACATTTTTCATTTATGAAAAGATAACGCGAAAGATCATCTATTAATTGCAATTACGACGCAGCTGGTACTTTATATTTATTACGGCCGGTACATTTATTTGCGCGTTTAATTTGCAATTTTACACTTACGAGGAAGCAATTCGATAGCGGCACTTATGGAAATATAAATGTAATTACATGTAGTAAACGAGTAATTATGTCGATAAACGCGTAGTGGACGAACCAGCGAGGAGAGAAGTATTCGCACACTTCATCGCTTTCAGAATAATCCCGTGTGGGAAATGTTGCAATTTGTTCGCTCTCTTTCTTCCTCTTTCTCTCTCTCGTTAGGTATGTCGCTATATAAATAAAAGTTGACGTCCGATAGACATGCCTTACAGCGATATTTCTCTCTCTTCTCTTATGCAAATTTATCCTTTTGCACACAATACATCGAGCGTCATTTTGACATAATTATCGAGATATAATTTATTCAATATTTTCTGACATAAAAGATCTCGAGCGCAGACCGATGTAGATACAATTAATTTCTTACTGTTCTCGAATGTATATGTTAAACATCGATATAATTTAATAATCTTAGTTATATAACTTCTAGATTTATATATATATATATATAAATCTAGTGTAAGAATATATTGGATTAAATAATTTCGGATTTTTCAAGTAAGATAAATCGATTGTATTTCTACGTTGTTATAATCTTATGAAACAATGTGTGTGTGTGAAAAATGACGGGAGATCATCGATCGAAACGACGCATACGTTGTATCACAAAACGCAACGATATAAAAATGCAAGCGTTCCATTTCCTTACGGATTCCTGAGAAATCCGAAGTTACACAATTTGATATCTCGTTTTCAGAAAATTGTCAATTCATCGATATTTCAGTAATGAATTATTATAATATTTTGTCATTAAATTTGGTAGGAATATATAATATAATCCAAAATAGAGCACATAAATTCCAAAAAAGAGAAAAATAAAAAAAGAAGAAAAGAATATTTTTCCTTCTTCACTCTCAGTACGATTAATCTTCGCGAACGATCTTTTTTAGTTGTCAGATTGGCACCTTTGTCGTACGAACAAAAAGATATCTATATGATAGCGCGCTTATCCGCACACTGGCGATAAACGGATGATTTATCGGCCGATAACGTGATAAACAGCAAAAATGAAGGCGTTATGGACAAATGTGAACGGGAGGCTCAGTAGACAGTGTTGTCATCGTACGCCTTTTCGCGTTTCTCGGTGCAAGGTGGCTCGGATATCGGTTTTATTTCTTTTCTTTCTGCGCTAAATTCACGAAGCACGAGTCGCGTGCGTGTGCGAGAAGAGGAATTAGATCCATTGAATCGAGGATTTGAATTGCATCGCAATCCCTTGTACTTGTGTCTCTCGTGACTACGGACGTCCACCTTGGCAGCGTTCATGCGTCGCGAAAACAGAGCCAATCATGATCAGGAATTACGTGAGAGTGAGGCCGAAGCCTCGTTCTTAAATCAGGAGATCATGACTGGTATCTGACAAGAAATATTAAAATATAATTGCCTGATACGTTGTTTGTTACGTATCGTGTCAAAATATATAAAACCGTAAACATTTTTTTGTCTTTCAGACACAACGGACGCGGTAACGCAGACGATAGAACTACACGAGAATGCACCTGTTTTTTATTCCAACGCAACTATCATCACCATGCAACCAGGAGGTGAATACATAATATATTTTTTAGTTTCATGATATATAACTGACACAATAGATAGTTTCCGGAAAAGTAATTGTTTTCCCTTCTTATGCATAATTCAGCGAAAATAAAATTTATCGCACGTTTGACCGTTTCGCAAGTGCCGTTTAATATAATTTGGATAAATTTTAACTTGTAACTTTAACGCGATTTTAACTCAAAAATAATTTGTCGCAAGAGAAATATTTTTCTAAATGAGTATTAGTATCTAGCAGAAATTATCACGCATTTCCCGGAAAAGGACGCCGTGAATGAGGAAGATTCACAAGACAAGGAGAAACGAGATTTTTTCCGAATCTTTGACACTTCAGAATTATACTTTCGTACATAATTCCACTGTTCAATGAGTTTAACCAATTCGAAGTGACGTTATACGCTACGATAAAATCTCGATGGCACGAGAAAATCTCAACAGCGATAACGAGCAAAAACGGCTATCAGCTTTTAATCATTCGAGCGATTAACCATCATTTTTTTCAGCAGGTCACACTGGAGTTCCTCGAAGACCCATCCCCGTCAACACCTTAGACTGGGTCTCCACCCCAAGGACGCAATTGAACACGATCACCGGCACGCAGTTCCTGGTCGGCGTCGAGCAGTTGGAAATTCAGCAAGTTATTGATTTGAGTACTCGTATGTATTTAGCGCATGACGCACTCGTCGCCTTATATGACGAGAAAGGAAAAACAAATGTATTTTATTTAATCCAAGAAACAATTATTTCTTTCAACTTAATTACTTTTTTTATATACACATGTACACACATCCACAGATGCACATTGAAAACGTTAGATATTATATCGTTTTATATTATTATATCGTTATTATATCGTTTTATATATTAATAATGTGCAATCGATGATTTTGTGCTTACTGGGCAGTGCTCGGCGGAATGGACAGAGGAAATCAGTACAGGGTAAAGGTGCCTCGAGCGGAAACGCTCTTTCTCGCCATGGAGGCCAAGCATGAGACCACGTCCAGGTTCTTCGGATGGTATAAGGGATTCGTGCTGAATGTCTTGGATCAATGTGGCGAGACCGCCTTCGTGATGAGAAAGGATCCCAGCTGGATGCACATGCCCGGATCGCGGCAGGCAAGTTTACGAGCGAATGAATGAAAAACGTCGTAGTCTCAACTTCTTTTCTTTTGGCCATCACATATCTACTAGGTCGGTCAGCAGATTCGCTTCGATCTTCAATAGATGACGTCATACACACGTGATACAGACAATATTGCTGGTTGTACACCGCATATTATACATCGTCATGAAGCCGTCACCCTCACGACGTCCACTCCGTCAACGAATAATTCGTTTTCCTTTTATCATAGATTTTCCTCCTTCGGAGATCGAAGCGAACTCTTTGATTGGCCTAATAAGACAGTTGGATAATTAAAAGTTTTCGACCAACCGCACCGTTTCCAACTATGTATTTTTACTTGATGATTAATCCAGAAAACGGGAACGCATTTAGAGGAAAAATATGATTGCGCAAACAACGAAAAATATGTTAAGATAGAAATCAAAAACTAATATTACGTAAATAAATAATAATTGCTAATTGCGCGTTTATACGTTCCAAACGTAAATAAGCAGATAACTTACCTCACTCGTTATTCCTCTGAATACGTTTTCGCTTCCTGAATTAATCAACAGTCATGTTTTTATTAATGTTTTTATTATAACGTATATGTTTTTATTATGTTTTTATTATAACAGTTATGTTGATTAATCCATACAAAATCCATACAAAAATATGCAGCTGGAAACAACACAGCTAGCTAAACAAAAAATTTCAGTATTTACCAATCCATCAACAGCAAGGTGGGATTGACTATACACCCATACAGCACAGAAGTTGCAGCAACATTGCTGCAATGTTGCAACAATGTTGCAATGTTGTAGCAATATTGCAGCAATTTTGCAACAACAATGCTGCAACTTCTATGTTGTATGTTAATACAATTATAATATCAATCGTTATTGATAACAGTATGTGCGCAATTCGCATAAATGACGCTGTCTATTAATACCGCTAATATACAGCGGTACATATTTCAAAATATTTCAGATGGATCTCAGAATTTCGCTAACCATCGTATTCTCAATAAATATTCAGGTGTCAAAAATCCGAATCTGTATTGAAACCTTATCAAGATGAACAGTTGCAATACTTGGGCTTTTTCATATAAAAATCATAATTTGCACTTTTTTACTTTGTTCTATTGTACAAATATCCGCTTGTACAAAAGAGGTAGGATGCGCGAATATTTTTTCACTCATTATATCGCGCTCGATACCAAGGAGAACAAATGCAATAAATCGTTGTTATCATATTATATGTCGGCATATTAGAGCTGAATAGGAATAAGAAGCGTGACGAGCGAGTTCATTCACGCTTTCTCACACATGACAACAATGACTCGCAAGTCTTTAACACGGGACACTACTGTCGAACAGAGAATCACGGTGGAGAGCGCGAATCTCATCGGCAGCGTTGAGGAGAATTTCAGCGTAATAGGACCGAGCTTCACGGTCTACGACGCGTCTAACGCACCGCTCTGCAAGATATATGGGCCCAAAATCTGCGGCTGTTGCATGTACAAGGAGTCGTTATTCCAGGTAATGAGTAAACGGCTAAATATCACTGCGATCAAGGGTCGTAACCGAGCTTTTTCTGAGGATTGCGATGTTTTCCGTCTTTCATCTTTCGTCTTTGATTTCAGGTGATATCGATGGATGAGACGCTCCAACTGGCATCCTTGATGCACCAGTGGGATCATTTGAACGTCGATTACATCCTGCTGCTCACGTTTCCGATAGACACCGACGTGAAGCTGAAGAGCCTGCTTTTGGGCGCGTCGTTTCTGATAGTAAATGCTTTTTCATGTATTCGATGATAATCGCTCTCGGTGACTCCTAAAAGACTGAACGATGCTGCTGAAATGTGCATACTTATTCGTGTTGTCACAACTGCAACTAATTCTCGTCTCGTTTCAGGAGTACCTGTATTTCCAACGGATTAGAAGAGCATCGAGGAGGTAGAGCCAATGAAATCAGCTTTAATCGACCGATTTGTTATCTGGGTAACCGCTATTACCTCGCTTTTGCTCTTTCGAAATAGAGCAAACGTGTATATAAACCATATGTTGCGGGCGAGCTGAAAAGTCCTATTAAAAGAACCACTTGACGTTTATATAAAGAGCAATTAAACAGTGCACGGTTGTATGAAATATTGAAGTTAGGATTAATATATATATTACGCAATGCAATATTGAGAGAGGATGATAAGTGAGCAACGATATGTGTGTAAATGTGTGCGTACATATACATCTGCAGAAACATCTTTAAAAGATAAGTTTTTTTAACCGATACGTAAGTGGCAAGAAATAAGAATAAAACTTACTAGACATCGAAATATGATACTAAAAATATACGTCTTTAGTTTACATCCCAGATAATGTGAACATACAAGTTGAGTCAAACGCAGTTCTAAAAAAATTTTAAATTTCAGTGAACATTTGCAAATATTTGTGCTCGGTTACCGGTTGTAAAATGAATTAAAACTCGCAATATACCGGGTGCACGATTTATCTGAAGACATTGAAATATCTCGAGAACTATGCATTGGATAAAAAAAAGTGGTTAATGAAAGTTGTTAGTCTCGAAAGGGGACATCCAATGATACCAATGATACCAAACTCGACCTCCCACCCCACCCCCTGGGGGTGGGGGTTGGGGGCAACTTTGAAATCTTAAATGAAAACCCCCATTTTTTATTGCAAATACGGATTCTACGCCACAAAATACGTAAATTTTGTCCGAAATTTTTTTTTTGATTCGTGATAGATGGCGCTGTAATCGCAAAAAATTATATTTTCCGCAATTCTCCAGAAATGATCACGGGAAGTATTAGACCGTGATTACAATGGTCGGTGGATTGGTAGAGGTGGCCCGATTAATTGGCCTGCTAGGTCGCCTGATTTGACATCGCCGGATTTTTTTCTGTGGGGTTACCTAAAAGGTAAGGTTTATCAACAAGTGCCAACAACTCGTGAAAACATGGTAGAACACATAAGAAACACTTGCGCTGAAACTCCCGCAGATATGCTTCTATCTTGTGTACAGTCATTTGAAAAAAGGATCAATAAGTGTATTGAAGTTGAAGGTAAAAATTTCGAACACTTACTCTAATTAATTGAATAGTGAGAGGCAAGGGGATTCACATTAAAAAAGCACCCCGATCTGTGAGAGGCAAGGGGACTCACATTAAAAAAGCACCCGAAGGGAACATAAAACTACTACGTCCTCGTCGTTGTTCCTGTGTAACGCTAAAAGTAGTTTCTCGGAAAAATTCAAGGCTATCTATCACGAATGAAAAAAATTGTTTCAATAAAAATTTCATGTACAATCTAATTCTGTAATGAAAAATGTGGGTCCCCATTTGAGATTTGAACGTTATCACCCACCCTACCCCGAGAGGATGGGGGGGGAATAACTTTTATTATGTTCTTTAAAAATATTGAACAGGTATTTTTTATTTCTCAATCCAATGATCATTTCTGGAGAATTGCGGAAAATATAATTTTTTGCGATTACAGCGCCATCTATCACGAATCAAAAAAAAAGTTTCGGACAAAATTTACGTATTTTGTGACGTAGAATCCGTATCTGCAATAAAAAATGGGGGTTTCCATTTAAGATTTCAAAGTTGCCCCCAATCCCCACCCCCAGGGGGTGGGGTGGGAGGTCGAGTTTGGTATCATTGGATATCCCCCTTCGAGACTAACAACTTTCATTAACCACTTTTTTTTATCCAATGCATAGTTCTCGAGATATTTTAATGTCTTCAGATAAATCGTGCACCCTGTATAACGCGAACACCAACAATCCGTATCGCGAGATAGCGAAACGAACCCACAGGAATCGTATAATGATAACGCTTAAATCAAGACATTTGAGGAATTTGGAGGTAAACGAGGTGGCGACTGGCGACTTTTTCTCCTTCGATCGTATAAATTTATGTATGCAAATATACGTCTGAAGGCAAATAAGCCTCAATATTTATAAAGTTATATGTATCTGTGTATGTACAAAAAGGCATACAACATTTTTAATAGGCAGTTTTTGCAATACCGTAAATACAGTAAACATAAACTGTAAACATTATTCGTTCAGAAATAACGTTGCAATAGTACGCGACCAATAACATTCACCATCTATATCTGAAGGACGTTACCGTATTTGAGAGACGATATTGCAAAAGCTCCTTGTGTTTATATAATATAAATTGTACATTATCTATCTAAATTTACGCTAAAAGCCAGTATCGCATAATATACAAACGTTCCATTGCAAAGTGTTCCACGTTAATGCCGTTTCTATTTTAGTACTTGTGCTCGGTTACTAGTTGTAAAATGAATTAAAATGCTTATTTTAGTTACGGGTCGATGTCGCAGTTACCGCACAGTACATAGACGCAGCTGCTGGCAGCATGACCATTAATCCGCTGTTGAACCGGTTGGGGACCATACGTGTGTAGCGCACCAGCATTACAATACGCCTCTCTTCTCCCCTCTCCTTTCTCTCTCTCTCTCCCCCTCCCCTTTCCCTTTCTTTCTCTCCACGCCCCCGTCTAGAACAGTTCTTAGCAGCTAACAAGAACGTGAACAGCGCTTCTAAAGCACATAGGGATATGTTCTTGGCTCGTAGGAGATGCCGCTCCTCAATTGCGCGTCACATCGAAAGTGAGAATCGAGATACGCTGTACAGCGTCGGAAACGAGACAAAATTTCGTTGGTCGGTCGTATACCTCATTGATATCTCTGTATTAAATTAAATCGAAAGTTGTTCAATGTAATGTGTGTGTGTGTGTGTGTGTGCTACACATTTGACGTGGACATGCTTCACGTATTACGCGCGTATGTATGTGTCGTATGATATAAATACTCCACCACATTTTCGTCCAGCAGTATTTCGCGTCTGCTGCGTCGCGTGTATGTTCGTCAACTGGAGCTGACCAACCACACCGGAAAGAATCACTCGGTGATCACGAGCTTTGACACTGTATGTGAATATCGACAATCAGCATAAGTTAATAATATTGGGTGAGTGCAAAAGTTCGTGCGAAGTTTGTGAGTAAAAGTCACACAGTGATTAGGTAAACAAAAATCTTTATTCAATCAATGATATATTCTCCATCGTTTTCTATAATCTTTTCTCAACGTTCTGGCAGCATACGGATGCCTCGATCATAAAAACTGCGCGGTTTAGATTCGAAGAACGAAGAGACGCCGTTTTTTAAGGCCTCCAAAGAGTCAAAGTTTTTTCCATTTAAATAATTTTGCAATGACCGGAACAAGTGATAGTCAGATGGTGCGATATCAGGAGAATACGGTGGATGCGTTAAGACATCCCATTTCAGGCTCTTCAGTTTGCGCAGCGTCTTTTTCGAAACGTGTGGTCTGGCGTTGTCGTGATGAAAGACGACTCTCTTGCGATTTGACAAAATCGGACGTTTCTCTTTTATTTCTCGATTCAGATTGGTTAATTGGCGACAGTACTTGTCCGAATCAATCGTTTCGCCAGCGGGGAGAAGCTCGAAATAGATTATGCCCTTGCAATCCCACCAAACAGAGAGCATCACCTTCATCGGGTGCAAACAGGCCTTTGGCATTGCGTCACCATGCTCACCTGATTGTTTCCATGTCCGTTTGCGCTGAACATTGTTGTAGAGGACCCATTTCTCATCGCCCGTCACTAGTCGATCCAAAAACGACTCGTTATTGAGCCGCCCGAGTAAAGAAACGGCTGCAGAAATTCGCTTGATTTTGTTCTTCTCGGTCAAGCAAATGGGGCACCCATGTATCGAGCTTCAAATCGAATCCCATCTTTTTTAAACGCTGAAAAGCGGTTGATCGGTCAACGTTTAGTGCTGTAGTAACTTCTTCTGTTGAAATTCGCGGATTATTGAGCACTAAAGTACACAAAACATCGTCATCAATGTCAGAAGGTCGACCAGAGCGTGGCTCGTCTTCAAGGTTAAATTCTCCGCGCCGAAATTTAGCAAACCATTTTTCCACAGTTCGTTTAGCTGGTGCTTCATCCTGATAAACATCCTGAATGTTTTTTACGGCTGCGGCAACGTTTATTCCCTTCCGAAACTCGTAAAGCATAACATGCCGTAAATGCACCTTATCGATACTCATTTTTAAAGTGATATTTCTCGAAGCAGTTTGTATGAAAACAAATGATTTTTTTTTTAATAACAGCTGAAGACGTCACCTTTCCAACATTATATAATATGTAGATGGAAGTATTAATGACAACACTTTACGACGCTTATAACTCCATCTATTGAAACTCCGCACGAACTTTTGCACTCACCCAATGATATAACAATACAATATGTGCGGTGATTCATAGTATACATCGTGACCGTTGGAATCTATTGTTAAGTCAATTATTCTTCGGCGAAACATGCACGACTCGAGAATACCATGGAAGTAGAAGTGCTATTTTTGCTGTCTCATAACTTATGGAAGACATAATAGAAGCGAGACTTCTCGTTGGAACAATTAGAATCAACACACAAAGCTTCAATATTGAATGATTTTCCACAAGGCTTAAGCCTTATACTTATATACTTCTTGTTTTCTACTTTTTCTTTGTATCTCCTCACTTATATATATTTTGTGCCTCAAGTCAGAAAATAAAGAGTAAGAAATAGGAAGCAAAGAACATATTAGGTCAGGTCTTTAAATCCATATAGCAGAGACAGTTGGCTTGGCACTGCAATAAGATGCCGAAAATAATACTGATAAGATTCCTGCGATACTGGAAATGACGACGATGTAGCCTTTGTCCACTTGTACACAAACTGCAAACCCGAGTGTGTTATTTTGACAGGTATAAGCTGGAGCTTCCTTTACGCGTATCTTATCGTCTTAAATCACGTTGTTTAACGCGTTTAAACGCGTCAAACGATATCGAAATGCATAAAATGACGTGATTTCAGACGACAAGAAACGCGTGAAAAAAGCTTTAGCTTATACGTGTCAAAATAACACGCTCGGGTTTGCATTGTGGAAAATGCTTGTCATCCAGCTGAAAGACGGAGGACACATCAAGGTCAAACATTGTCAACGTTGATTTCGATGTTCTTCCATTGCGCTCATCAACAACACTGCAATGTTGCAACATATTGCATATATATATAATAAATAAAAAAAAATATATATATGTAATGGCGCTGCAATTGTTTATGCTGTATAGAAAATTATCCGTTAAGACGTTCACGTCATTTTAAAAATAGTATATACGAATGCGAAAGAACGATACTGATCAATATGTGTACTCCCTTTCCCTTTATTGTTTACAGATATAGCTTGAACTTTGACTTGTCGCTGCAGACGCGCGATTAGATATGGATATGCTCTCGCTTATTGGTCTGTTGATTCTACTATATTACTTCATCTATATTATTAGTAGTTTCGTCCTCGATTGTGATATAGCACTCGCCCTCAAGGAGAAATTCGGTCAACCTATCTGTGAGTGTCACATTTATTCTGGTATATTTCGGCGTGCGAAAAACAACGAAAAAATATTTTTTTTATTTTGCTAACATGCATGCGACGTGCGTTTAAACGGCAATGATCGATTCTTGATTCTGCTTCGTATGTTATGTTATCGTAGCCTCATTAAAAGACAAGAAGGTATGGATCATCGGAGCGTCCAGCGGAATCGGAGAAGAGTTGGCGTACGTGTTGGCCGATGCAGGATGTAAATTGATTCTGTCCGCCCGGAGAATCGTCGAATTACAGAACGTGAAGAAGAAATGTTTGGAGTGTAAGATGAAATAAAATAAGAATAAAACAAGATAAAAATAAAACAAAATAATAATATGCGTTTAGAGAATACGATAAGATAGGTAAAAAATGGAGTAATTGTGTAAGATGGAAAACTTCGTAATCGTTATTACAAAATTTAACACTTATTTTAATACCGCAGACTTTACCATCTGCAGCGTTAAAATTCAAGGACGATACTTTATCTTTCTTGTTCTAATTTTCGATTTTATTTGTATCCGTGTTATCGCTGACAAAACACGATATTTTCTTCTCAAAATATGTGTATCCGACAGTCGAAGTTTATCTTCTGTAATTAATTGCTAAAAAAGAAACTGCTATCGGACATGGATGTGCTGCGAAGCTGGTCAAAAGTCGCCAAACTTGTTCCTTGTTTCTTGTGAATTCCGAATTTTTTTCTCTTTCAGTAAACAAAAATCTAAATGATGATGATGTGGAAGTATATCAGTTGGATGTGCTTAATTTTGACCAGCACAAAAAGGCGTTCGAGCATGTGATCAGCAAATTCGGTCAGGTGTGCGCTCTTCTACATTTTATTCGACTTTCCAAGAGAAAAATTAAATCAGATGACTTTTGATGATTTAAGAATTCAGATTGAGATTAGATAAAGAGACTCCCAAATAGAGATTTGACTTCGAAACGTGATCTTATTTTTTATATTTAATGCGTTTTTCAGTTGGATATACTGGTCAACAATGCCGGACGTAGCCAAAGAGCGCAATGGGAGAACATCGAAATCAACGTTGACAAGGATATGTTTGACCTTGATGTGTTTTCCATCTTATCGTTCAGCAGGATGGCAGTCAAGCATTTTCTACAAGTGGGCAAAGGCCACATCGTTGTCACTTCCAGCATCGCAGGAATTTGTACAATACCGTTTTCGGCATCTTATTGCGGTGCCAAACACGCGCTACACGTAAATATACACTTTTAAACATGATAATACATTTTTTTACCGTTCATATGTGGTGTATACCGCTGTAAATAACTATATCATTATTCGCTTTAACTCGTTACGCTGTAAATTAATTACATAAACGTCTCCGCAGCATAAGTCTATTTTCATCGAGTCTTATCGGTAAATGGCAGAGCATCTAAAGATTATTTATTCAGATAACTTGATATCTCGGGCTGCCAGACTTGTGGTGCAATTAACGTTTATCTTGGCTTTCCGCTATCTTGATGCAAATTTTTTCTCCTTCAAAAATCGCATATACGCATCACTTGATTTTCCATTATTGCTTATGCCATTCGTTTTGTAGGGTTACTTTAACTCATTGCCGCTAGAACATTATGATAAGAATATTGACGTCACAATGGTCTGTCCGGGTCCGGTGCAGACCAATTTTCTAGCTGAATGTTTCACGGATATGTCCGGCCAGGTACGCAGCATGAATCGCATGTACGCGCTGATTGAGTAGCATTTAATTAACTAATTAGCAATCGATAAATCGTGGCATTTTCAGAAATACGGCGTGAACACGGCGATTGATCATAACAACAAAATAAGCGTGAAGCGTTGCGCTGTACTGATGGGCGTCGCGATGGCGAATAAAATGAAGGAAGTATGGATCACCAATCCATCCGTATTGCAAATTTTGTATGCAGGTTATTGTTTTCCGAACGTTATGTCATGGTAAGTTTTCTTTTTATACGTGACATTTCATCGTGTCTTATAGCATTGTATTGCCGTATTAACAAAGTTTTACATTTTCTTCACGTAGGTTCATGAACCAGATAGGTGCGAAATACTTGATGAAATTGCGAGACACAAACACGAATAAAACTTACGTTGGAGAAGACAAGAAGAAGTGATTGTATATGGCGTAATAAATTTTCTATCTTTCCTAATTTTCTACCTTTCGTACTTTCTGGATGTAATTAGATCAGTCAATGATATATGCCTGACGCCATGTGTGACTGAATATTTATTTATTACTATGAAAACAAAATTTATTCAACAAGTTCCACAGAATGCAAACTAAGTTTTTTTTATTAATTTTTTTATTTTAAATATTATATGTGAAGTTGAGAACTGATGAGTGAGCCTACAACATCAAACCAATATTAGCTTCTCTGAAACTAATTTACTGATTGACTATACTTGTAATATTCTTAATTTTAGCAACAAGACGTCAAGCAAACATAGTTTTGCAAAATTAAGATAAATTTACATATAAGTGTTTTAAATTAAAATTTAAATTTATAACAGATTTAAATTTAATTTAAAATTATAATTTGGTCAATCATTTTGGTTTTCAAGAGACTTATGTGATTCCTGATGCACAAGAGTGTATTTTGTAACAATATATATTATCAAGAGTATATTTTATAACAATATGTATCATCACATGAAAAAGAGAATAAATAAAATAAAGTATTGATACTTATTAATGTCTTACTTAATTTTATTCTTGAATTAGAGAAAGATGGTGTATTTCAATTAGTTGCTTTGTACACGATATTCATTCAGTTAAATTAATTACTTTAAATCTATCTGGAGTTTGCGAGTTTCATGAGCTGTTCTCTTGCCTTCTTACCTCTGAGAATAGCTTCTTTGAACAGTGAGCAATAGAGCTCTATGGCGCACAATGAATCATCATTTCCAGGAATAGGGTACGTTATCAAATTTGGATTGCAATTAGTATCAACGATACCCACACTGGGTATACACATCTTTGCTGCATGTGCCACCCCTGTATGTTCGCTCATGGCAGTGTCGAGCGTATTGAGAAAGATACACAGGTCGGGCAATCTTGTTATGGTTTTAAACTGATTTGTAGAATTTGGGAATATGCCTTTTCTCCAATATCTCGTGTGCGAGAATTCTTTGCACTCTTTGGCTGTTTTGTCTACCAGATAAGTTGTCTGAGGATTTCTCGAAATGAATAAGATTATACCGTCTCTGAATGCGATATGAGCGATAAAGTTCAATGCTTGCCGCAGCAGTTCAGCTGTCTGATCCAAGTCGATGATCAGATGACCCATTCTGGATCCAAATATAAACGTCTCCATGTTTTTATGCAACAAGGTCTCCTTGTGACCATAATGAACCCTAGCATTATATAGATCCTTTACAGTGAACAAAGTATGCATTTGGAAGAAATCCGGGTGTGTCAAAGGGTTCAATGTGATCTCTAAGCTTTCTGTAATATTGAACAAATAAATGATAATCATGCAACTATTACATTATAATTACTAGATAAAGAGCGATGATAATTCTTACATACCAACTTCTTTCACGTTTGGCTGTGACTGAGTAGTTAGCTGACATTGTCGAGGATAAGTATTACGTGAAGATCGTAGACACTCCTTCAAAACTGTAAGCAATAAAACGCATGACATACTTTGGATGTAACGCATGCACAATGTATGTTAAAAAATTCAACAACTGAAAGAAGGTAGAGTAATTACGATTCGACGAAAGAATTCGTCTCCCAAATATTGACATTCTGCTCTGCTCTGCTGCGTTTTATTTCGACAATATTTTCAGGAAGATCGAAGAGAGACAAATAAAGTTAGCAGCGCTTAAAATAGGTTAGATTAAAGCACACCATTTATCCCTTTTAAGGCCCATCTACAATGACTGCAAGAATCAAGCGTGGTCTACAATGGCAGTAAGCAGTAAGAAGTAAGCGTAAGCGGTAAGAAATAAACCAATCACAGTCGATTATGACAAAAATAATCAACTGTGGTTGGTCCATTTCTTACTGTTCACGCTTTCTTCTTACTGCTTAAGGTCATTCTACAATGAGGTTGTAGTAGATGCAGTAGGCAAATTGACCAATCACAGTCGAGTTTTCTTCGATCGTAAAGAGAACAATCGATCGTGATTGGTCAATTTGCCTACTGCACACTACTACAACCTTATTGTAGAATGACCTTTACGGCTATTGTAGACCACGCTTTAGGCCTGGTCTACAATACGTGTCGTAAGTTGTAAGCCGTAAGAATTGGGGAATCACAGTCGATTATTACAAAAATAATCGGCTATAATTAGTCAGTTCTTACGGCTTACAACACGTATTATAGACCAGGCCTTAGTTGCACTCTTGCATTAGTGCACTAAGCAATTTTTCGTCGATTTTTCATAGAAACAAAAGACTGACTGACATTTGGCGAATTTTGATCCACATTTGTGCTACTTCCTACGCCGTATCAACATCCTCGCGAATACAATTTCGATATTTTTCAAATATCCCCACAATATTCGAGTGTATCTAGTGGCGATTTAAATTTCGCGGGTCGCCTACCGCGCGCGTAGGAAACTATCGCCTGTCACGTTGGCGACTCTGGCCGCCTCGGATTTCGAGGCATTCGGATATACCTTCGCGGCGTATGTCGACGACACACATCTTCGCGATTTCAACCGGACGATCTGCGTGTCGTTGATCCATTGCACGGCCGACGAAGCGGTAGACTTCGCGAAAGGTACGTCCGCGCCAAGTGCGCGTACACGAACTCACATCGCGGGGGAGAGCGTGCGGCTCGATGCGCCTTGCAAACGACACGCGTCGTTATCGCGACGCGGTTTAGCCGCACACGGATATTTCCATATCTGGAATTCCGCGAAAGAGTCGCCGCGAGAATTCCGCCCGCGCCTCTGCGACCCATGTGCTCATTCGCGATTGTTCAGATTGTGTCTTTCGCATGCACACGCGACACGTCAAAGATTATATTCTCCGCTGTTATTAGTGTGTTGCCCTCTCTCACCTCCCCCACCTCTTTCTCTCCCTCGTCTTCTCCTCGCACCCACAACGTCGCCCCTTTCTCTTTCGCGTCTCTCTCTCTCTCTCTCTCTCTCTCTCTCTCTCTTTCTCTCTCTCTCTCTGTTGTCTTTATTCGACTCGTCGCTTCCTGCTAGCGGACACAATACAAATGCGTCTGTTTGTCAAGTGTGAAAATATTTGCTCGCGGCAATAACCCTCCGCGAGACAATCCGTGCATCTCGTGACGTTTACCTTATAAATAGCTGTCCCTCTCGCATTATTCGCCCGTTTTTTCGGCAATCGTTCCGTTCGTGAGACTCTCCCTCTCTTCCTCCCTCTCGCTCCAATTACGCAGTTCTCCCCTTTCTTTCGACCGCTCTCCCTCGCAGTGACGGAGCCGCCGGGCGCTAAAACGGAGTCAGTCGAGATTTTAGGATCCCGAGGACCCTCTGCGGGGTTGAGTATGGGGGGGTTTCCTGTCTCCCGCAGTGAGGCTAAGTTCGACCGTGAGCAGGGCAAACAATTCGAAGATCCCGCCACTGTTCTTTCGCGCTGTCTTCGTCTAATTTTGCAGTGTTGTATGTGTGCGTGTCTCGCTCGCTCCTTGTCATTGCACTACGAGAGAGCGAGTCAGCGTATGACAGCTGTATAAATTATTTTTATCGCCACGACCACTTTGGCGAAACATTTGGCCGTCGCGGGTACTTCGCGAGCGAAAACGTCGATATTGAAAAAAACTGCGAGTGACGTCGCAACTGCTTTCTCTGTGCTTCTCTTTTTCTCTCTCTTACCGCTCTAGCGAAACGTCATACGATAGAAATGAGTTCATCGGGAAGCAGTGATGTAGCGTGAAACTCCGCCGCCGCGAGCTCACGAGAATTCGTCGCACTGTCCGATTGTCACATCTGTCAATAGATGTTCGATTCGCCGAGAGATTCGAGCCGCTAGAAGCGTAAATCATGTAATAATGTTACATCAAACACGACACTTTATTCTTGCAGAATAATAATGGCTACCGCACAACTGAACAGAGCCAGGACTGTGAAGAAGCTCGAAAAACCACGGCCGCTTAAGCTCAACCAGCGCAACTCGACCGTCGATGGGCGGATCACGACTGGTAGGATCTTTTTACCATCTCTTTTACACATCAGTTTATTCCTCCCCAAGTCAGTTTAAGGATCGCTGCACTCTCTGTGTTTCTTCTGTATTTTCTAGTAGAGGATATAGTATCCTTAATCGACAATGTTGCGATGCAACTGACTAATGGCTTCCATGACCGAACGCTGCAGTTGAATGTAATCTCCATGTGCAGTCACCTGAAACTTTACGCCAACCAATTAGAAGCTATTTACAAAGGTACAATTTTCCGTTGTTCTTGGTAATTACCAGTGTGACGATAGTAACGATGAAAGTGTTACAACTGCACGGTGAAAAGCGGGGATGTTTGATTCTCGACAAGAGCCGACGTTGACAGTAACCGTACGTCGTTTTGTTCGCCCCAGATCAGCTGGACAGAGCCTTTGTGGCGATCCGGAATGGAAGTCAAGACGACAAATTAGATCTGACGACCAGGGTTCATCTGCTGGAACTAATAGAGCTGCGAGCTAAACAATGGCGCCACACCGATTCGATGGACGTGTACTACATGCAAAAGTTGTCACATTTGGACAATGTAGGTAAAACCACCGGCGCTCTTCTACATTCCGCTGGCTTGTTCGCGAGGCGCTCACGAGCGGTGCGCTTTTCACTAGCAGATCGAGACGGTACCCGACACGCCCACGAACTCCTTGTCGTCTCCGTTGTTGGCAATGACCTCGCCTACCTCGGCGCCGATCCTGGGGCCCGGTGAAGTGATCAAGAATAGTGGCAAATTCACGAAGCCCACGCGCATACCGGGGAAAAATTATTGCAAAGACGAAGTCGTCATTCGCAACAGCGACTCGGGAAAAGGTAATTCAAACTAATTCACTGCCACTCGTCCTGCTCGAAATTTTACTGTACATTAAAAATCGGTATGTCCGTTGTCATTGCAAGCGATATCTGCAAGTTATTTGCAGCCGATGCTGCCAGGCCGACTAGAATAAGAGCCTGAGAGCCTCTCTTACATTAACGGCCACGCGATTGCGATTGTCAGTCAACTCGAGATCGTTGTACATACTCACTCATAATTCTCCGCGATCACGGTTGTTTCTACTGTTAAAATGATTTGCACGAAAATACAGTGATGGGAATAAAAGGGCGGCGGGTTCACATGATAGAGGAGCTCAGCCAGACGATCATCTCCTTCCAGCGAGGTAAAGCAAAATGATCCGCCAATGGCTTGTCTCAGCATTGTGTGCTCATGCATCCTAAGAACGATATTAATATTCCGATCAGAGGGCAGAATAGCCCATTGTTCCAACGATACCTGTCTAATACCTCGCTTGCGGCCGCTCGAAGAGTGTCGAATTCAAGGCATAAAATCGGAAAGCGCAGAATCCTCGGCGGACTTGTATGTCGGGTGTTGTCCGAACAAAGCATCGCACACGCGCGAGCGCACACGTTTTGCAATAACAAAACGTTACAGCCACTTTCCTCATCGTTTTGTCACTTTTAACTTGCATGACGGTACCGTCTAACCGACGCGACTGAATCGTTCCTGAGAGTTTAGCATTAGTGTGTCTCTGGCCATGACGAACCTGATGCTAATCGAGAAGTGCGGGGCGCGTTGGCTTTCTTTTGGTGTGACGGAGAGAGGTTCTTTTGGTGTCACATCGCGATCTCGCGCGATTTACGGTTTCTTTTTTTTCCCCTTTTTTTACCAGCTATTGTATGAGAATACATCTCTCTTCGATACCAGCCCGACCAGCCCGGCGTGTGAATGTTGTACGTTGCAAGTTGAAGCTGCTTCAAGAGCCGAGAATTTAGAGATCGGATATTGTTTAGATTACACTTGACCACACAACAGGTCTCGATCAGTCGCACTCCCCTAAACTGGAAGGCTGGCAATTTGATTAATACCTCGGTGCATTTTTGTTCATCATGTAACACACATGAGCTGAGGCCTTTCTTCTCTCTCAAGTGCCTCCTTCAAGGCGTGTCTTATTACTTATCTTGCTTGGCGATGTTTTACACGTAACAACACTCAGTATTACACGCGTATTTTTAACATATTAACCGTGCCGTTAGACTTGTGTGAAGGATCTTAACGATGACTGTCACGCGTTCTCACGACTGTCACGAGCGTAACGGAAAAGACTGTCGCTGATACTCTGTATCTCTGCTTTGTAGTAAACCCTGGAGCTAAAGAACGACTTGTCCAAATCACGGGAACGTCCGAGGACAAGATTCAGTACGTTTCAATAGATTTACTTAATTATAGATTTATTCGCACGTTAATTGGAGCGCTAATCCGTCGCGAGCGTCTGTTCAATGTATGTATCTCTCTCTCTCTTTTTCTCTCTTGCCTGCTTTCCTGTGCCAGTTACGCGAAGGACTTAATCAAAGATACGATACAACGAAATGCATCGCCAGTGAGACTGGAGCAGAGCGGCGGCGAGAAGGGAGCCATGGGTGGCTCCAGTTCTTCGCTGAACAGCAGCGCGTCCGACGAAAGCAACAGGCTGCAACACAACCAACAGCACAATTCTCGTCTGCGATCATCTCTCCTCCACAGCTTCTCCACCAACGACGCCAGTATAGGCGAATACAAGTATACGGTTACGGTCGGTAACCAGTCCCTTAAAATTACGGGCTGCAATCTCGATCTCGTTAGGGTAACGTGATCTTCCTATTATATTTCATATTATAATCTGCATTACACACACATGCGCGCGCGCTTATCTTTAATCCGCTGCTCTTGCTTCGAGAGCCTATAAAATTAACTTAAAACAATCAAGCTTAGATTTCATTTGGCATCTAATCTTATCTATCTTTCTGCTTACTCCATATTTTATTCTACTTAATTTGTTATAGCCTTTTTTTATTCTCTATTGGTAATCGTTTTATTGAGAAATGAATAGAGAATCTATTCTGCATGATGTTCCCCTTCATTTATTTCACTCACGTATAATTTTCATACAACCTTTCATTTAACGATTTGACACACTTTACAGACGGCGAAATTAGTGTTGGACGAACATTTTCTCGGCGAGTCCGACAACTTCACCAGCGGTATAGAGTACTTCAACTATGAGGACGAGCCCAACTTCGCTATAACTTCCTCCACCCCCAATGTTCCCCGTGCGCCGTTGGGGACGGTCAATATGAACACTTTAGGCCGAGAATTGAGTTTGGATAGCGCCGCGACCTCGGAGAGCGAAGAGACCTACAAGCCACGCCCGATCTCCGAGGAGCTGTATTCGACTCAACAAGGTAGACTAACAAAGAAACTTTGTTGATATCGTGTTTATTCCTTCGACGATCGATCGAGATGGACCATACCTTAGCGTTTCTGTTGATACTCGAACTTTTCGACACGATACTTGAGCGCGAAGAAATTTTAATTCATATCTCCATTTTTGCTCGACAACTCATTCGTATCTTAATAAAGAATAATTTAACGAGACTCTATCACGCTTCGCTTTGCCTCTGATCACGTGTCGTTTTATCGAAATAATTTGTGTGACGCAGTTCCAGAAGCAAGAGAACTTACGTACGAGTTTTTGTTGCTGTGCGCCACAGGCCCCTACGCGAAGCGACCTCCCGCGGATTGGGCGCGCATACAAAAGGAATGTCCCAATATAGTTCGTAAGGTACCGCTATGCGACAGGAACGCTAATCACATACCGTGCAACACCTTTCGTGTTAATTTCCCCTGCAACGCCGTGGTTTAATACCCCCTTTCTCTCCTCCTCGTCCCTCCCTCTTTATCTATGACACTCACCACTTGCCAATAACGTAATAATATATTCACTGAAACATGTCGCGTGGTGATGAATGCGAGCGTGGTGATAAGATTGTGATTACTATCATTGCGTTTCTTAACTGCACGTCTAGACGCTAGGGCGGAAGTGAGATCGCCTCTGACCGCTGAACTCTACTAATACCAAATGAAGAACTTACGCATAGTGCAGTCTCCTTGTACAGAGAAGTTACAAGAAGATGTAGAGAGAGGGCTAGGGGAAAGAAAAAGAGAAGTAACGTCGGGAAGTAGTTTTGTCTCCTTCTCCCAGACGCGAGTGTTAGCCCACAATTCTCGCCAAGAGACCAGCCTCTTACGAGTAACAAGTAATTAATGTTGTTCTCTTTGGGGTTTTCTAATTCAATGGTGCAATTTGTAATCTGATCAACGAACGAAACACGCAACGCAACATGACATTCACATACCGATCGTTCCTCGGATTATTGGAACGCCGGTACAAATCTAACACGGGATCCGCTGGCAGATTAACGGTGATAAACCTGTTCGGTTTCCACTCAACGTAAAGATCCCTCGTAGATTCTGCCGAGCACCTCTTAGTCGTGGACGATGCCAAATGGCTGGGTTTACTGCTAACATTTTGCTTACTGCGCGCTCGCATGTATGCGTGCAAATGTTTTAATGGAATATTAAATGAACTTTTGCACTCTCGGAGGGAGATACAGCTACAGCTCGAGGGCTCAAGAGAGCATCAGTAGTTCTCAGTATTTCCAATCGCTCACGAGAGCGGCTTTTTCATGATGATTATAGGACACGTGAATCTCGATGTTGTTTCGCGTTTCGTACACGACGAAAAAAGCTTTAGAAGATTACGATCCTGTAATTAGAGATTTTTGCAACAGTAGAGGTAGTGATTCTTTTGTAAGAATTCTCAACTCAAGACCAAAGATTGTAAGCGAGTCCCGTGAACACACGAATGTTCCTTTTTTTCTTTTGTTATTTCGTGTTTTTCCTTTTTTTTTATTTTCTCGACACGCTCACAATTATTTTCGCGCGTACACTTTATGTACCAAACCTGACTGATTGAACTCGATTTCATATTCCATATGTGGTGTAGCTTAAAGGAGAAACTTCGCGTTTTGTCTCGCTCGATGGAATATTAAACGAGAGAATATGATGAACTTGTTGCGCGAGGCGATTTACTCTGTTGGATATTTTAGTGTTTACTGTTTATCACGCGATTTACTCTGTTAGATATTTACTGTTTAATGCATTCACTCTTTGTTAATGAGCGTTAAACGGAGTCGTGGTAAATCGATCGGGTGAATCGTATTATTATCGCGGTACAGCATCGTCGTACTTTGAAAGTTATATTTGTGTAAAAACTCTGTCTTTTATAGATATATCATACGTGTTCTTAATATTTTTTTTCTACATATGTTACTTTGCTACATTGTTCATATTATAGTAAGAAGATTTTATTTTACATTACGCATTTCTGTTTCTACGCAATTGTGTTAAGACATTGTGACGTTAAGAGTGATCTGACTAACGAAAGCAAGGAAAAAAAAATAAAAAATCGAAAAAAAAGAAATAAAAACGGGACCCAAGATGGTTCCGTCGGATCCTACACGAAGGAGATTATAACGAGGAAATAAGACTTAGTGTTGTGTATCGGATTCACATACACGCTCTGTATTAATAATAAATCGTACTGCGAAACTCACCCGAGTCTTGCTCTGTGTTCGCTCGCTCGTATGATCATCAAAGAAGGCGAACCAAGCTCGGCGGATGTGTAATATAATTAAAAAGGAAAAAATGAGGAGAGACTTACGTTCTATCGCCTGCATGCGCCCATGCGTGAGCAATACTTAACACACACGGCTTCCCAACACCGAAGCATGCCGCTTGTAACATAACGAGGTGCAAGGTAAGGGACATACATGTCGCTCGGATAATGATATGCCGCGGTCACTCGTCGAGGACTAATTATTTATTTTTGTTTCTAAAACAGGCACCGATTCGCTGGTTCGAACCGGAAGCGTATAAAGCCAAATTAGCAGCCGCTGGCCCCGTCGCAATATTGCCGATCGGCGAAGCGGAGACCGATCCCGAATGAAGAGGGCCGAATCTTCGCCTCCTTCGAAGGATTCCCTCGCGAACGAATGTCCTCTCTTCTTCCCTCCCTCGCCCGATGTTGGTTCGTCACCGACATTCGTAGGAGAAAATTTCACCCGTCCCCCCCCCCCCCCCCAAAGAAGAAACGCGACGCATGTAGAATAGCGTTGGTTATATTTGACGATTGTAAGGCGCGTTTTCTTTCACGTGTCCTCGAATAGAACAAAATTGTTTCTTTTTTTTTCTTGCTAAATGATATTTTGTTAACAGTTTCTTTCCTAAAAGAGAGAAAAAGCAGCGTTAAATCTTTCGCGGGCATTTACGGAGTAACGTTTAAATGCAAGGAGATTCGATACACGCTTCATGCAATTGAAATACGCTAGTCATTAGAGTCTATCGGTTGGAAGGTCATTTTTTACGCGATTATTTTCTTTTTATTTTCGATCGGATACGCCGTCGAAATATAAACCGCGCCACAATTTTGTACTCGCGAACGAATTTAAGAACGAGTCGTCGGTATTTTGGTTTTTGGTCAAAGAGAAAGGAGATTTGAATTTGTGGAAATCATATTGAAAGACAGCTATTAATTTTTTTTTTCGTACGCTTAGTTACTACTAGAATTAATAGCGTTAGAAAACAAGAAAACCGTAAGATCGAGCGTTCGATGGTTACTGAGTAAACCGGTTTTCGGTCTGTTTCTTTTTGCAAACGTATTCACGCGGAAGACCGTGATGAATTTACTATTCATCCAATCGAATCGGAATAACGCCCAGTGTTCTCGATCTTGAAAAAAAGATTAATCGTGAAAGACTAATATATATATATATATATATATGATACTTTAGGAGAATGTAAACACACATAGAGACACACACACACACACACACACACAACATACACGTCACACACGCGGTAAAACGCGTCGCGAGAACAATTCCGCGTTTTTGTAATACAATTATAAGTATATCGTTCCGCAAAGAAAAAAAAAAGCGGTGACTTCGAATCTCGCGAATATAATTAAAGGAGAAATAACGAACGAAAGAAAAAAAAAGAGATCGAACCGTGATTTAGCATAGTCTAGTCTCTCTATACCTATTACAACGTAGGAAACTATCATTTTGGTATTTATTTACTCTGCTGTGACGCAATAACCAAAAAGGAAAAACCGTAAAAAAAAAAGAGAATTTCCGAGAGTTTATATTTTATATACGGCTAGAGACACGAAAACGTTTGCGCCATGTGCGACACACGGGACTTGCCTCGTGCAGAATCGCCCAATCGATGGTTGCGCGATTGTTTTTCTTCTCCTTTTTGACAGAATCCCCGCTCCCCCAAAACGTGCCAAATTCGTGTCCTTCGTGTATCGGAAAATGGCCGAACTGACGAGAAGACCGGAAGATTTGTTTTTCGAAGCGTATACGACGAATGAGAAAGCCTCAAAGAATGACCGCGCGACCGATTGATCCTGCTCATTGGGCGATTCCGCGCGATGTGAAGCGACCTGTCGAAGACTTCGTTTCTCCTCATTTTCTACGACTTCAATTCGTTCACGTTTCACCCTCGCGATTTGGAAACCAAGGAGCCGGCAGTGAAGGAGGTCGTCACGTCGATGTCGTCCGTGTTCGGTACTCGCATCGAGAGGAGAACGTTAACATTGTTGAAACATTATTGTAAACGTTATTATAATATTGTATTATTGTAAAACTCGAGCCGACCATTTGGTTTCCGAATCACGCATAAGGAACTCGCGCTGCCTACCCCGTGTGTCGCACGCAATCTCACCGCACCACGAGTCCAGGACGCTGCGTTTTCGTACAGTTTTTACACAATTTAATATTTATTACGGATTTACATCACTCTATTCTCACGATTAAATTATATAATTTATTTCTATATCGTCTCTAACTAACTGCGCAGTAATATGATGGTACTATTGTATTATTGTACTTTGTCGTTTATGATAATAAATCAACAAAGTCAGACGCGCAGACGAGAGTAATTCTGTATCCTCTGCTCCTGCCGCTACATCGCTTCTTCCTTCGTTCTCCGAACGTCACAGGGGGGAGAGAGAGGAACGCCGCCTTGAGCTCCCAGTTGTTGTTTCTTTTCTTTTTTTTGGATGTGTTGAAATAAAGTCGACCACCGTGCGGGGATCCGGCACTAAGACTCTTTTATTATTCCAATAATATGTATATCGAAGTGATAATCACTGAGAAACATACACGTGTGTAATCCTGCGTCCCGCTGTTGTGCGCGCGGGCACGGAATTGTACTAAATATCAATTGCACTCTTAGTCGAGTTCTCGTTTGTAGTAAAAGTTAAAAACCTATGGAGCTGTGCTCTGATTCCGCAAGGCTCGCGCCCGCCGCTTGCGATTCTATCTCATTGCGGTATTTTTCTCTTAATTCCCATCCCCCCCCTCGTCGCGCATCATCACATGACACTTACATTGCTATTATATTCATATTGCGAGTGGCTGTGAACGGCTGTTCCACCTTTCCGCTTCGAATTTAATTACCCCCCCTCCTCCCCTCCCCGTTTCACCCGTTCGAGACACCGAGATCACCGATCCCCAAAACTGAAGTTATTCCCCTCCTCTTTCTTCCGCTCTCTTCGCAGCTGTCAACGATGCGGAAGTCGTATTCGATGGATCTTCTCTCACGGTAACAGCAGCGAGTAAGAGAAGTTTCACACAATTTGTCTTTCGCACATTACAAAAGTCATGTCGCATACATCTCGCGCGCGAGGACCGCAACCGATTCGCGTATCCCGACGAGCTCGGTCTTCGACGTGCTTTCTCGAACGCGAGAGAAAGGGACCTTACAAGTCGAATATCACGTTTCGTTTACTCCGCGAATAAACGTAAAAAAAATCATCGTAGCACACCCGAATCTGAGCACGCACGTCGTCGTCTGAATCGCCGAACTCGACGATGATCGGTCTTCGCGTACTATAATATACATTATTCGCTCCTGTTACGCGACGTGTCTACGCGCCGAGATGAGAAAAGTGCATACGACGAGACAAGCGCCGTCGCCGACGTTTGATCTTTCGCTTTCTTCGGCGAGGATGCGCGCAAACTCTCCGTCGTCGTCGTCGTCGTACATACGTACGCGTCGTGTCGTGACGTAATGTATAATTTAGCATTACAAATTCATTGAATATTATCTACCTGTATACTTAGTCGTATAATTACATGTACGAGTAATGATTCCATACGTTTTATGCACATGTGTAACAGTAGATTCGTCGGAACGTTATACATTCTCCGAGATAAATAGTGCGAATAGCGCAATAGTAGCTTCACGTCTCTCTCCCTCTCTCTATCTCTCTAATTCCTTCTTATCGACGCTTCTAACTCATCTTCAGCGGATCGAGAACAAGCGGACTTGTACAAGCTTAACGTAACAATAATCATTTCTGTGAATGCAAGCAGTTCCCACTTACGGAGGGAATTAATAATAATTACGTAGCGACGTGTAAAACAAAAGCAAAGAATATCAACGAAATAATGTATCTTACATACATACATACATATATACATACATACACACACACATATATACAGATATGTGTGTCTATGTGTGTATATATTTAAGCACATACGCCAGAATGTCTCGATTCGACTGCGAAAATGGGAAGCTTAATGCCTACGCCTTCTTATCGTCAAGTGAGCATAAAATATACGTATACATATATTATTATATATATGTATGTATGTGTGTGTGTTTGTTATGTGCTATCTTCCAGTGTGAGACGCGAAATATGCAGATAACACTAAAAAAAATCAAAGAATACGCCAGTTTCTCGTTTATTATATTATTATTATTATAGCGCCTAGACACATTGTCTTATAAAACATAAATCGCTAAAAAAGCGACGATTCACTTAAATATATATAAATATATTCATATGTTCCGTTGTTTTTTTTTTATGTTATACGTAGGATTCAGTTTTGGGGAACGGTAATATTGGGCTATATTCTCTGGGCGTACATAGCGAACGTTAAGTATATCCTTTTAATCCCAAGTTTCGTTTTCTCTTGAAGTGGCGTTAGGTATAACGCCACTTGTTCCAGCTTGGAAATCAAAACATACTTAGCGCTCGATATGCGTCCATCATGGGCCTCTGAATCGCATAATTTGTCTAATCGTCTCTCTTGATCCAGTTTTCTCGTTTTTTCCTTTTCTGCTTTTTTTTTATATAAAAAAAGTAGTGCACGATATCGGTAATATCCTATATATATATGTTTTCATACGCAATGTAAAATGTGAATGATACTTGATGAAATGACATTATCATACATTTATGAGAGAAACAAGTGTACGTGTATGTACTATATGTAATGTTCGTGTATGTGTGTTTTTAAGGAAATATAAAATCCAGCTGCCTTCTCCAGTGTTTATTTTTTTCCTTTTTTTAAATATGAATGCGTATTTGTGAAATTGTGTTCGTGTTTACTCACGAATCCTTCTATATATACATAATAACGCAGCTAACGCTTCATACATGCGTCATCCTTCTTCGCACCCTTTGATACTGCGTCTTAGGATTTAGATGTTTTTCTTTTTTTTTTTCCGCACAAATTCGGTGCTATATTTTCCTAATTCACACGTACGTAAATATAAATTTCTACCTAATAAACAAAACAAAGTTACGATACATGGCCCTCGCGCTCGCGCAAAGACTATCCCCCGATCGTGTTTTGCTTTCTCACGCTTTCGCCATCTAATTTGTTCGTGATCTCGCTCGGGAGACAGACGGCTGTCGTACACAGTATAGACGAACTCGGCGAAGTGACGCAGCTAAAACAACAAATCTGCTTCGGTGGCAAATGCCAAGCACGTAATCGGCTACCGGGGTGTCGACGAATTTTAATTGCACACCTCTAGGTATATATATAGTCGCCTTTCGTCGACTAATTTATATGATCGCGCGAATATCCTATAGAAAATATGTTCCCACACTCTCACATTTATATTTTGCTATTGTGTATTCGTGTAAAAAATTCTGAATTTCTCACATTCTTTCTTTCGCTGTATTTATTTTTATTTCTTTCCCTTTCCTCTCACTTTTTCTCCTCTCTCTCTCTCTTTCTCTCTCTCTCTCTCTCTCTTCCTCTCTTTCTCGCCCGATCAATCTCGTTTAGTTTTCCGACTTTCCTAAAACGCAAAATTCACTAAATACAATGTCAAAGGGAGACATCTTCTCGTAACGTACGTGACGACGAACTCCCACGAAGTTAAAAAACGTAGTCGGGCCCCGCCATGTCTATTGCCCATCTAAACTTGTCCCTCTGGGTCTTGTTATATATTTTTTCAACCGGCACGTTGTGCTTCTTACACCTGAGGACAAACATAATATTTACAATATTACATACAAAAGACGAAGGCAGGGATGTCTCGCAAAAAGGTGTCGCGTTGATATGCACACACACACACACACATATATATACATTAAGTGTATAAGATGTGAATGAATTAAATATAATGAAGTTACTAAATACCTACCATGCGACGGAAATTCTAGGATCAAGATAATTCAGCTTGGAGGTACCCAGCGCGATCTCTTTGTTCTCTTCTCGATCGGTTGCCTGGACCTCCAACTTTGTTAATTGTTCTTTTAATCGTTCTAATTGTTTCTTCTTCTTCTCGTATACTCTGTAAAGTTATCGTGAAGATATCGTTAACATTGATATGAACGGGCACGAGAAAACACGAGAACGCGCTTAACGTAACGCGTTTAACGTAAAGTGTTTTCTGGACGTAGGACAAGCGTATCATCGATCAACGTACATCTTTTCTTTCACCGAACCGTGCTTCGCATCCCGTTTGGCATCCTTCACTTGCAATTCGGCCTCGGATATCGTCTCCTTCTTAGCCTCTATCTTCGCCTTCAGGTTCTCCATTGACTTTGCGTGCGTCTTTGGTACGGAACGCTGATGGTTACACAGTATGGCGACGGCGCGATTAGCTCTGTTATACGACAGGATCTTCTCCGCCTCCGTGTCGTTGGGATCCGTGAGTTTGTCCAATTGTTGTTGCAGCGTCCACGACGCGTTGTAAGTTCTGAATACTTTAGCGGTGAGACCTTCCATCAGTTCATTCAGATGTTTGTTCATAACAGTAGTGTTGAGCCGATCGAATAAATCATCTCCGGGAGATTTGTTCTCCATAAAAAGTTGAAGGTTCTTAAAAACGCGTTTCTCCACTGGCACTTCGTTATAATACCGTATAGAATCTTTACCTGTGAAATTAATTAATTTCGTGACAATTAAATGAGACTGTAAACTATAGAAACATAACAAAATCAAAGTTTTGTGAAGTTGAAGGAAGCTTAGAGAATACAAATCGAGAGTAAGTTCTTGCTCTTTTCGGTTTCAAGGTTTCGATTTAATTATTTAATTTTCTCAATTTTTAGATTTACTTATTTATATATGTTGAATGTGTTTATATACTCAACATTAAAATATTACAAAAAAGAAATAACACGCAATTAAATCTTTGTCTCGTCAATCATTGTTTGTTTGTTTGAGGAAAAAATTGTCTTAAGGCTCTCCAAGAATTATATACAACGAAGGTATATACGAAATTTGTAATATAAGAAATCTCTTTGTCTTCAATAAAATATTTTTTGAGATAAATAATATCAAGACAGAAAATCGAGTCGATAATTACCTAAAAAGTCAAATACAACTATGTAGTCTTTCCCATCTTTTTGCTCGTGCAGCTTTATATGTTCCACCCGCAATGAGCAACAGCCTACAGTGTCCGCCTGATCCTCGTCCTTCTCATTACCAGCCCTAAGCGCCAACTTATCGATAAAGTACAAGGCGACGGCGCGTTGCCTGATGCGCATTTCCTTACTCTTCCAATCTTCGCGGTACTCTGCGCGAATTTTGTCGATTGACTGCGCCAGTTTCCGCGCTGTTTCGTATTTCTGCCAGTCTTTCTCGCCCTTGAGCTTGCTGGACGGGTTCAGCATCACGTACTTCACCTGGCCTTGAATATTCTCCGTCCAGGAAGCGAGCCAGGTGACGTTTGGATCGTGTCGCACCTCTTTCCACTTGTGACCAGCTGGCGGCTTCGGTATGTTGGAGTTTTTCGAGCAGTTGATCAACACATCCTCCGGCAGCACTCGTTTCTTCAGCTTGCCCATCTTTGGATGCTCGCCACGGCCACGGAATAGGCCTGGTGGCTCGATCTTGAAGTTACCGATCTTCTCCTTGTGACCATCGATGACACAGAAACCGTACTCCTTTTGGGTCTCCTCATTCTTCTCCTTGATCTTCTGCTTCTCCTCTTTCGTCATCGCTTTACGCTCTTCGCTCTTTTGCAAGAAGTACGTGTGCATCTCCTTGAAGTTGCACTTGGACAGATCTGTGATTTTGGCACGCTCCGACTCGGTCATTACATCTCGCCAGTCGCCAAAGAAGTTACTGTTAAATGCAGGCTTGGTGGTATAATCGTGGTCCAACATGCGCGCATAAAAGGTCGCGACTTCCTCTGTATCTTGGCTCAGTTTCATCTCTTTGCCATTGTAATAGAATTTCACCGTAGGTGGTAGAGGCTCATAGGGCGGAGCGAAAACTGGCCCTTTGTGCTGCAGGAAGTGCCATTTTGTGCCGTCGCTCTTCTTCTCCTCTTCCCACCTAAAAAGAAATAAAAGAATGTTCACTTAATATTGGACTACCATTAAATATTATAGAAAAACAAAGAACATTAAGCTTCACAATGAAGTCACTCAATTGTTGTGTTGGCTAAATATATAAAATCGAACGCTAATAACGTGACGGTCATAACCTTAAGATAAGCTCATTTCCCTTCGTCATGTGAGTATAACCGCAATTGTTCCCAACACCGAATAAACGCTTCATTACTAATTGAATCACTAAATTTCTCACTGGAATTCTCATTATATGATACTGTCATTATTTTTTTTCATATTGCAATACATAAGTAGAATCGATACACGATACTGCGAGGAAGCACAACGTGGAGAAACTTAACGTAAAGTTAGGTTTAAGAATAAGGTTAAGTTAGAAGAGATCACGTGATCGTCCGAAGGTGATACTACGGGGCTCCAATGAGCACGTACCATTTCCAAACTTCGGGCTCCTCCTCCTGCTTCTTCTTCCTCGGGCTGGGAGTCTCTACTTTCACCGCTTTCGTGTTGTTTTTCTTCTTCTTTGGTTTCTGCATCAAACATTTCAATGATTAATATCCAGTTTAATGTATACAAGTAAAGTGGATTTTTCCGGTGTGAAACAATTTGTATTTTTTTCGCAATTACGATTACAATAACATGTTGCGCATACTTCTTCGGGCTCGTCGGACTCTTCGTCGTCGTCATATTTCCGTTTCTTCTTCTTGGCCTTCGGACTGGTTTTCTTCGGTTTCTTACGCGTCATCAGCGGCATGTCTTCCTCGTCGTCCGAGTTGGCCTTCTTCCTCTTAACACTTGGCGATACCTTAGACCTCGCAGACTATGTTAAATGTGTATTCAATCGAATTATAATTGTAAATTAACACCGATCAAACAATAAAATAATAAAGAAATAATATTCAAACATCAGTGCGATTAAAGCGATATTCGATTCATACCAGTGGCTTGTCCTCCTCCGAATCGTCTTCAGTCTTTATCGTAGTGTTATGGAGATCCGAGAGTCTGGTATCGTTCCCGTCCGTCGAATCCATGCTAGCCTCTTCCTCCTTTGGTTCTTCCTCGTCATCCTCTTCCTTGATGTAAAGCGGTTGCTCGCCACCGCTATCATCATCGTCATCTAGATCCAATTGCGTCATCGGTTCCTGCAAAGGAGTGTTCTACTTTAGTACTTCGTTTTTTATCTCCGCAAAAGCGCACAATCGCAAGCGGATAATCACTTCTTTTATCTGCAGCTTTATGTTCGGGTTGATGCGCAACCCTTCGTTAATCGCATGATTTATCTTCACCATCGGCTCTTCTTTCGGCTCCTCTTTTATTTTCACCTCCTCCTTCACATCTTTCTCCTTTTTCTCCTTGTCCTCGCGATGCTTAGCTGCGAACAAAACGGCACGATTAAAGAGATCGAAATAAAACGTATGCGTGCAATAATGGTGCAACACCATGCACGCCCTTGATGGATCAACTTACATTTGTCTTTATCGTGCCGATGGCGGTCTTTGTCCTTGTCTTTCTCATGGCGATGCTTGTCTTTACTGGACGACGAGCTGTGCTTGTCTTTATCCTTGTCCGATGAACGATGTTTTTCCTTATCGCCTGAATGAGAAGTGGAATGTCTCTCCTTGTCTTTATCCGACGAGTGTTTTTTGTCTTTCTCTTTATCCTTTGAGATGCTTCTATCCTTGTCCTTATCTTTATCACGCGAGCTAGAATTCAAGGAACTATGTCTATGCCTATCCTTATCCTTACTCTTCGAACTATCCTTGTCCTTGGTCGAGCTATCCTTATCCTTGGAACTGCTATGATGTCTAAAAGAATTATTTGTGTATTCGACGCACAGCAATAAAATGAACAACAGTATATAATTTTCACCTGCCCTTCTTACCTGTCCTTGTCTTTGTCTTTAGAGCTTGACTTATGATGATGTTCCTTGTCTTTGCTCTTGTCCTTATCCTTGCTAGAGGAACTGCTGCTGCTGCTTTTATGTTCCTTCTCTTTGCCAGATGAACTCTTCTTCTCCTTGTCTTTATCCTTACTACTGCTGTCATGCTTCTCTTTATCCTTGATGGAACTGGAACTATGTTTATGTCTGTCTCTGTCTTTATCCCTATGTTCGCTTTTGTGATTCTTTTCTTTATCCTTGCTTCTGTCTTTGTGATCTGACTTGTGAGACTTTTCTCTATCTTTGTCCCTATGTTCGGACTTGTGTTCCCTCTTTTTGTCAAAGCCATTGGACATCCCATTGATATGAGTATCTATTGAAATCATACGATGTAAATATAAAACTTATACCCAACATACACACATGTACGTAAACTTATATATATATATATAATCAAGGTTTTTCTAGGTTTTGTCATTGTCAAATTGTACACACTACATATTACCATGCACACACACTACCAATTAATAGTATGGTTGTATATGCTTAAACAAGTTTATTTAATAGAGAATTTATAGATGTATAACACTTATGGAAATTATTTATCTCTATTAATTAAAACAGCACAAACTTTCTTAGTTACTTGATATATAGTGAGACATTATGAAATTCATTTATATATTTACCGTTATGTAACACTTATGGAACTTATTTATGTCTATTAATTAAAACAGCAAAATTTCTTGATTACCTGATATATAGTGGGACATTACGAAATTCATTTATATGTTAATAATACAGTCTTGTGCAATACAAATTTACATCAAACTTTATGTAAATTTATGTAAAGTTTGACACAGCAAGTTAAGCCAGAAATATAGCAAGATTCGATTTACAGAATTTAATATTATAAACAATATTCCGTGTATCGGTGTGAACATTGATAATCTAATCTCTGAGAAAGTGGATTCAGCTGAAATTTTAAAGGCAAACATGTGTTGTGAATTTTCTTCTTCTGAAAGAATATTTAAGAATGCGCGCGCTTTTTTAAGTTCGAATCGCAAGTGATCGAACCATTTTCGTAACATCGTTCGTAGGCATCCGAATAAATATGAAATGATGTCGCATTGCATCTCATTAAACACCGGGAAATTGGAAATTCTAAAATCGCAGCTAGCCGAAGAATTTTTTTGCACATCATCGCTACATCCGGTGGATTCGAGAAAGAAAAGGATGAACCGCCGCGCAGGAAGTAACCACGGTTGGGGCCGTGTCGCTCTCGAACGCATGGACGCACGTGTCCAGAGAACTCCGGATCAACAGCGACAGCGACACAGGATGCTCGCTGTGACGATCGTCGCAATAACCGCAAATCGCATCGCCGGAATTCGATCGTCAGTCACAACACGCTCGCTTGCTAGCTAGCTAGTTCGCTCGCATGGTGCGGTGATTCGTTCGCGCGGCCGAACGAAAGTACTCACCGTTATGATTCCCGGCCGCATTAGCGATCTCTTTGGACCGTTGCTTATCCTAAAACAGAGAAAGTCCATGAGTCGAAGGACTCGAGAGAGAGAAGAACAAGGGAGACGCGCTCTATCTCCTCTCGCAGCCTCGGCGACGCGTCGACTCAGTGTTAACACATCGAGCCACGGAGGCATTCTCGGCTGTCTGGCGCTCGCGCCACGCACGGCACAGGACTTAGCCGCAGACGCCATTTTGGGACTTAGAAAAATTTCGCGTCGTCGATGCTGTAGCGTGACCAAGAGGCGAGAGTGCTCACGCGACCGAATATCGCAAAAACGTGCACCTACGTGAACGCGTAGGCTCGCGTATACGCGAAATATACCACTCACCGAGTCCGTGGTGGCCAGCGACGCCGCCTGCTCGAGCTCCATTTCCCGACGCAGACGTGTGTGTACGGGAAGGCCTGTGGTAGATTCGGTCGACCAACGCGGGCGAGAGAGGCAGTGGTGATGAAGAAAGAGCAGCAGCAGCGACGGTAGAGGTAGCAGCAGCTGCGGTAGCCAACGGCAGTGCTCCGCTGTCGCGAATTACCTGGCGGGATTCACGTAGCCGCGGGCGACGTCCGCCGCGCACGCGATCCAACCCCGGGTATTTACAAGAGTGTCGCGTGCGAGAGCAAGAGACCTGACTTCGCGGTCGTACACGAGAAAGAAAGATTTTGCAGACCGTCCAGCAGTGCCCGCCGTGCTTCGGCACTCTACACCTCCACCATCCGTCCTATCTTCCCTACATCCACCGTGCGACTGGCTGTGGACGTCGCGCGCGACAGCGCCCCGCGACACAGTCCAAGTATCAGAAACGCGCGACTGCGCATGCGCCCGTTCGCTCCGCCTCTTCGATCTCCGAAGAGTGTTCTCTCTCGTCGTGTCCGCCAGACGCGATTCCAAACGACACGATCCCCGTGCCTCGATTCCCGAAGTCATTCACCGGCGGAGTATCGAAACCGGTATAGTTTCCACGAGTTCGATCGCCCGAGACACGGGCTGTCGCTCCGTGTATATGTGTGTGCGCGCGCGCGCTCGGAAGCGTTGCTTCGTACACACAAAGTCTGAAGTCGGTCGCTATTGCGCGCTCGAAGCGCACCACTCGCCCGACGCGGCAGGTTTGAAAACGCGGGCGAGTTCAAGCAGTTGACTCTCTTTCTCTCTCTCTCTCTCTCTCTCTCTCTCTCTCTCACTCAGCGTAGACTCGTCAGGAGGGACACATTTTCTGACTCGGTGGCGTTTGGAAATTCGAGATGTTTATGTCGGCTCTTCTGGAAATATTTCCTTGCCATGAATTTACTCTGAGAGGAAATTTACTTGGGTGTACTTGGCGACGAATGTACGAAGCCGCGTGCATGTGAGAAGACCTTGCGCAGGTCGTCATCGCGTGCGTTTCTACGACAAAGCGCAAATGCGAACGCATGATGATGACGGAATTATATAGACTGTGATTCCTCATTAAACTCACCGGTCGGTCTCCCGAGTGAGGGAATCTTATTTTTTTCTTTTTTCTCTCTGAGTCAGCTCTTTAGATCAACGGCGGAAGAAGCAGGAAACGGCAGGACGTGACGTCTCGTGTGTGAATCAGGAAAATGGAGCTTTGTCGTAATTAAGGTCTTTTATGACGAATGCTCTTATCACTGGCAGTTTCGAGTAAATCGTCGATATAATTGTAAGATAAATAAAAATACAGAGTTTCTTTTATTACGATGAAGCTTCACTGCGAAAACGCGATAATTTTGTAATTACCCTCCCCGTTTTGATTTTGCTCGAGACGTTCCTCGTCGTCCTTACGAAGCGACGTCGTTACCTCTGGTCGATTCAACTTCAATTCGATAAACGTCAAATCGATTCTACAAAGTCGATTGACATTCGATCGAATTATATATACATTACGTTTGATCGTACTTGTAATCTCTGTAGCATTGGCGCGAAGAAATGTATCTTTATTCTTGTTACATTGAAAATACAGGCAAATGATTCTCACCGTGAAATGATCTCTCTGCGAAATGCAATCTGCGAAAATTGTTGCGTTTGCACGAGATGCAATTCTTTCTGATGAAAAAACATGTGAAGGGTGTGTGTAATATTGTATGTACTACATGTGTATAATGTGATTTACATAAGAGATCGAGTATATGATAAACTTCATCTATTGTGTATAATCAGTCAAAAAATTGAGATTACAGAATGTTTAGTGAGAGAAACTGTCTTGCATTTGTCGTCTTAATAGAAAAACAATTTCAGAAAGGAATCACTGTTTTGTTACAATAATCTGACTAATTAGCAGAACGCAAGTTTTTTTATTACGATATGTTAATATCTCTGAAAAATTCGTTGATACTCATGTCACGCCTTGAGAAAATACTTCAAATCGATTTGCAATTCGATTTTCATAAATTAAGCATATATATTTATAAATTATATATTTTAATTAAGCATATATATAAGCATATATGTGCACACATATATAAGCATATATATAAATTATATGTTTTAATTAAACATATATATATTTACAAATTATATATTTATAAATTAAGTATTTTACAAGTTAACCCTTTGCGGTCGAGTGTCGGCAAATAGCCGCCCAAGCCTTTTTACCGTTGTGGACGCGTGTCGGTATATAGCCGCCCAATTGAGTTTACAGCTGCGGAGACGTATTATGAAGCGGCTCGCGTACGTCTATCTTTCTGAACGATAACATACGCATGGGTATAGTAGACTAAAGAGTCAAGTTTCCTTTGAAAGAAATTTGAGACCAACGCTCGCTCGTCGGGCGGCTCCGACCGCAAAGGGTTAAATATACATCACTTCGTTCACTTTTATTTAAATACCTGCGTTTGCGGCATTTTCTGCGGCAGTTATTGTAACAAAACAAATTTCTTTTCATAATTGATTATCATATAGCCAAGAACGGAAGTTAAAAGAATGCTGAAAAGCCGATCAACAATATGTCAGATTGAACATCCTTCATAGACTCAATTGATACTCCACAGATACTTTTAATTAATTTTGTTTTCATCATAAGTGGCTCCGACAAGTTTTACACAAACTTCACGCCACATACTCCGCCTTTCCCTCGCTGTTCCAGACTGTCTTCATCTTTCGAAATGCGAACACTGCATACAACGCTGCAAAAAGATATCGTCGATATAGTGTTCGAAATTCTAACTTTGTTTGGGGTTTTTAACTATACTCACAAGTGACATCCCATTCCGACTGCGAGAGGGTGCCGATTTTACGATGATCAGGCAGGTTCTGCATGTACTGAACGGCGTGCTGATAATCCTGCTCCGAATTGCCGAGCAGCGGCACCTCGTGAAACGGCGGATACGTTTCTAACGCTTGCATGTTACCCAACAGGGATCTGCCTTCGTCCTTGAAACGTTCATAAAACGTATCGAACCTTGAGACAGATAAATTTCGATGAACAATATTACATACACGGAAACAAGACGTAATGCTATATTTTTTGTTTAACAGCATATTTGAATGTATCGAGCGGAGAATCATTTTGCGTCTCATATCTGCAAGGAATTTATGAAATTGATATGGAGAAGCATCCCCCACGGTCGTCACTCACATAAAACGCGTGCGCTTCCTCAACGATCTTATTTTCCATGAGCAGAGCAGTCTCGTCAACCATTAGTCGCCGTCGTTGTAAACTGTGTACATTACGAATAAATGCGACGTCTTCTCTTACCTTTCGAATGCTACCAACTCGAGACCGTTCTTCAAAGCCAATTTACGTAGGGTGGGCAGATGCACCAAGAACTCTGGGCAATCGACCACTCCCTCCAGGTGGAAATTATACTTGGCGCCGAAAAGCGGCGGTCGTTCTTTGTCTTCGCATAAAAAGTCGATGCTATACACGTCATTGCCGAATTTGTTGTCGTCGCATTTCTGCCACCGGGAACTGTTGCGTACAAATCAATGAAAAAAAAAAAAATATATATATGTGTATATATATATATATATGTATATATATTCTGTATATATATATATATATATGTGTGTGTGTGTGTGTGTGTGTATGTATATATCATTTTCTGTATATCGATAACATCTCGCAGACTCAAACGTACACCAAATCATATGCATCCGGAATGGTGCCTACGAAGAAGCCTCCTGGCCTCAGAGTCTCACTGGCGTTTCTCAGCATACATTCCGCCTGTGACAAGGACTCGAAGCTGTAGTGGAACGCAAACTGACAGCTCACAAAATCCAGCTGCATGCTGGGATCCTTATACTTCTCCCTCAAACGAACCTGAAACACTGCTGTTTAACAAAACTCCATTGGCGAGAACGTTTCCTCGCTGAGCAAAATCGCGACTGACTTTCCAATTTATCGGATACATATGTATGTCTTCTACCTTTGTGCAGTCTGCTGTAATGAACTCAGCAGTATAAATAGGAGCAAAACCTCGGTCGTTGGAACTCCTACTCGTCATGTCATTGTACCGTTGTTGACATTGCTCTAGGGACACCTCCGCTATATCCGCGCAAATCAAGTGTGTGATGTTGGCTTTCTTCCATTTGAGTAAATCACCACCCTTCCCACAGCACATGTCCAATACCCTCAAGGAGGCACCGTGATTTTTAGTTTGTTTCACTTTGCCTATGTACTCATCTGTGTGCGAAATACATATGATAAATTGGTATTCCCATTTTGTAGAAATAACGGATATTACATTCTTAGAAACTGATAATCACTTATGAGCATGCTTTTGATCCAATTGTTGAAATTTCTCATATATACAATCCGACTTTGATTTCTTTGTCGTAGACCTTTCTCCTCCAACGCATTATAATGTTCAGCAACTGTTCGGGAATGCAGCCGATCCTGCATGGCGGGCGGTCTGGTTTCCCGGCACTGGCGTTCTCGCGGTCGGCGAGGCGCACGATCTCTAGGCGAGTGTGGGCGAGTGCGTGACCCTCAGTGCTGAGAGATTCAGAGAATTTCCGGGCGTGCGCATTGAGCAAACGCTGTGGGAGCCTCAGTACCGTATTAATTTAAAGGTATTTTATCGCCCGTAAGATACTATGGATTGAAAATTGCAATCGCATATACCGTAACAACACGAAGCGGCTTGGCCGCAACACTGGAGGCCCGACAACCAGTGTTGACAACTCTGAATTTTAAAATCCGTCAAATGCTTCTCCAAAAAACCCCAGAAATAAGCTAAAATTAATAAATGTGTGTGTGTGTGTATGTGTGCACGCGCGTTATGTATACGTGTGCATATGTTTTTAAGAAAAGAATTAAAATAAATACATAATTAGTTTTATTGTTGATTAATTTTATTCATAATAATATAATTATATTATATTATTGATACAATATCGCTTTTATATATATATATATATATTTATATATATATTTTTCATATTTCATTTTATTATAAGCAGTATTATATACGCGGTATTACCTACTTTCAGCAACTGATGTCTTCTTATTTCTTTTAGGAAAATCAATCTTCTTTTGACAAAACGATGAAGTAAATGGAGCTGATGCTCTTATATGTTTTCTACTTTTCGAATGGTTATCAATGTCAGTCAATTTGGCAGTAATAGTGCATTTACACCACTTACATGTTGCTCTTGTTGGGTCATCATCAATAGGTAAGAGCCAGTCTTTGAATTTATCTGACTTTAACCAAGCCAGACGAAATTTTGGTTTATATTGTGGTGGCATCTACATATATTGGGAGTATGCAAAAGTTTCCGCCGTTCACATCTAGATGTCTCCAATTATATATTTCGCAAACATTGTTATCTATATTCTTCATATTCTTTGTTTGTTGACATCTGTCAACAATAATCAGAGAAAAAAGGTTTTGTTTTGCGAAAGTTACATATCTTTTTACACCGTTAAACATGTCGAAATACGAGCCAACAAAACGACATTTGCGGGAAGTTTTACTTTTCCACTTTAATGTGAAGAAAACTACCGCAGAAACTCATCGAATACTTGTGGACGCTTATGGTGAATCTGCTCCATCAGAACGAACATGCAGAGAATGGTTTCAAAGATTTAAATGTGGTGATTTCAACGTTGAAGACCGTTGAGCGATCCGGAAGGCCAAAAGAATTTGAAGATGCCGAACTGCAACATTTATTGGATGTTGATTCGCCTAAAACCCAAGACGAGCTCGCAGAAGCATTGAACGTTGACCAATCAGTCATTTCCAGACGCCTCAAAGCTATGGGGAAGATTCGAAAGGAAGATGTGTGGGTTCCATATCAATTAAAAGAAAGAGACATTGAGAGGTTTAGTTGAGAGATTAGTCACGTGCGAAATGTTGCTTGCTAGACAAAGATCAAAGTCGTTTTTACATCGAATCATTACTGGTGATGAGAAATGGGTGTACTACGACAATCCTAAGCGAAGGAAATCATGGGTTAGTCGTGGAGAAGCATCAGTGCCGAAAAGGAACATCCATGGATCGGAGATTATGCTCTGTATTTGGTGAGATCAGAAAGGCGTTTATATTATGAGCTTCTCAAACCAGGCGAAACTATCACTGGTGATCGTTATCGACAACAACTCATCAAATTGAACAGAGCAGTGCAGTTGAAACGACCACAATACGCCGACAGACATGGTAAAGTGATATTTCAACAATGTAATTACGACAATGCGAGACCACACGTTCACAAATCAGTCAAGGAAACATTGGAATCATTCAAATGGGAACTTCTACCCCACCCGCCGTATTCACCAGACATTGCTCTTTCTGACTATTACCTTTTTCGATCAATGACCAGCAGCTTGGCAGATCAACACTTCACTTCTTTCGAAAATTGCAAAAAATGGATCGACGATTAGATCGCTTCTAAAAGTGAACAATTCTTTTTCAAAGGAATCCATGCTTTACCTGATAGGTGGACAAAGGTTGTAGCTGCCGAAGGACAATATTTTAATTGATTTCATTTGATTGATTTCATTTTGTTCTATAAATAAATGAGTTTTTCAAGCGAAAAAATGGCGGGAACTTTTGCATACTCCTAATATCATAAATGTAGCAAAATTAATCTAAGTTAATAATAGCAATAATATAAGGTATATAAAATAATAGTGCAGAAAGATATTAAAACAAGTAATAATACTTACGTTCAAGTCAAACTTATGAGTTGAGAAATAAGCTTTGTACACCACAAATAAATGATCAAGTATTGTTATTTCCTATTATCTATTATGTAGATAGTTCAGTATCCTCGCAATCTTAGGGCTCTCACAGCTAGCGTAACGCGACACGCGATATGCAACGCGTGATATCCAATAAGCGTACAATTATCAAAATAGCAGAACGATCATTGAATATCGCGCGTCGCTTGTCGCGTGCCGCGTCGCGCTGGCCTGTGAGAGCTCTAAAGGCTCGTCTACATTAGCTGTAAGAGTAAGGCTGTAAGGTTGCAAGACACGAAATGAAATATTTTCATTCGCTGACAGCTTACGTTACAGCCTTACAGCCTTACTCTTACAGCTATTGTAGACGAGCCTTAAAGGTCATTCTACAATACGTGTCGTAAGTTGTAAGTCGTAAGAATTGGCGAATCACAGTCGATTATTACAAAAATAATCAGCTATAACTGGTCAGTTCTTACGACTTACAGCTTACAACACCTATTGTAGACCAGGCCTTAGGCCTAAACACAATACGTCGTATGTCGGAGTCAGATGTCGGAACGCAATTCATAGTCCAATGAGAAAAACTCGTTACCGGAAAACAAACTCTCTTATTGGACCATCAACTAAGTTGCGAGATCCGACTCCAACATACGACGTATTGTATTTCAGGCCTTATGCTGCTTCCCCGTGCGACGTAAACCCAGCGGCACACGATGCTTGTTTTCGTGCTGGATTGCTTGCTGGATGAAAATACTGCGTTTTGATTGGTACATTTCCGAAGATGGATGAAAATGCACCAATCAGAACGCAGTATTTTCATCCAGCAAGCAATCCAGCACGAAAACAAGCATCGTGTGCCGCTGGCTTAAGATATGTAACTTGTGTTAAACCGCGTCAGCAAATCAAATCATTTCAGTTACGCAAATCTGTCTAGTGCAAGCATACATAAATTTAATCATGCAATGTTAAAGTAATATATATTATTTAATTATAATTAACTCTTTTCAATAACAATAAATCACACCTAATAACGCCTCATTCAAATTTAATAAAAAAAGTTAACTTATTTTGGAGAAAAAATCCGCCGTTTCAATTTTTAAAAAATCCAGAAAATACGTCAACAGCTAAACCACAATTTTTGCACGTTAAGCGTTATTTAAAAAAGCTAGAAATGACGGAAAATAAGCCAAGTTGGCAACACTGTCGACAACTAACGGTGTGTTGGATAAGCACCTTTCTCGAGCATGTGCATCGAGCACACCAAAGAACACACAAATGTGCGTGCAAGAAGCAGTGCTGTCAGGTGCAATATATTGCGACGCTACAGCACATGCGTGAGATGACGTAGCTCCCTGTTTGAGTGAAAGTCTCAGTATCGTATCTTTTTTAAAATATTATAGCGCCCATATTATACTATGCATTGAGAATTGCAATCGAGTAAATTAGATAATCTAAATCGTGGTTATTTTAATTGATCTGATAGTAATTCTCAATCTATAGTCTAATATGAGTCTAATACAAATATTATGTAACAGTTACACAGTTGAGTGAAAAATTATAATGTTAATGTAACGTAATTGTTACTTAGTATCCACTGGAATTATAATGTTAATGTAACTGATATTTAGTATCCACTGAACAATATAATATAAGATAAGGCACTCGCGCAAGAAACACGGGAAAACTACACTGGAGCCTGGAAGACAGCTGTACCGCGATTCTGTAACTCGTTAGTGGAGTTAACGACAGTTTCGTTATTGTTGCGCAGCTTTTCTACGGTATACAAAAGCTGCGCAACGATAACGAAAGTGTCGTTAACTCCAATAACGAATTACAGAATCGCGGTACTGATCGAATAGCGCGGGCTCCTTCATGGACCCTGCGATGCGCTTTATTGCCGTCATGGGCATAGAGTACGTCATCTCACGCATGCGCTGTAGCGTCGCAATATATTGCACCTGACAGCACTGATAAGAAGACGGATGATGCATTTACAGCGGGACTTTGCAGGGAAAGGGGCCGTAAAGAGGGAGACGAGGATGAATTCTGATTTGACCCTAAGGGCAAGAACATAGGCTTTTGCATAACACATAATACATAACGCAAAGAGAATAAACCAATTAGTTTTCTTCATTTCCCTCCTCAGGACAGCTCTGGCCCTTAGGGCCAGAGCACAGACTTCTGCATAACGCATAATACACAACGCATAAGAGAATCAACCAATCAGAGTTCTTCATTTCTGTCCTGAGGAAGGAAATGAAGAAAACTAATTGGTTTATTCTCTTATGCGTTATGTATTATGTATTATGCAAAAGCCTGTGCTTTTGCGCTAAGAGTAAGGGCAAGAGCACAGGCTTTTGCATAACACATAATACATAACACATAAAGCCAGCGGCATACGATGCTTGTTTTCGTGCTGGATTGCTTCCTAGATGAAAATATTGCGATTGGTATATTTTTGGAGATGGATGGAAATACACCAATCAGAACGCAGTATTTTCATCCAGCAAGCAATCCAGCTCGAAAACAAGCATCGTGTGCCGCTGGCTTAGGAGAATAAACCAATTAGTTTTCTTCATTTCCCTCCTCAGGACAGAAATAAAGAACTCTGATTGATTGATTCTCTTATGCGTTGTGTATTATGCGTTATGTAGAAGTCTGTGCTCTGGCCCTAAGAGGTCTCCATAATCTAGCTTTTGGCGAATTTGCATCGTACTTTGTATCGTCTAACGATTTTTATTGTTCTTATTGTTATTTAGTAGGTCCAAAAATTAAAATTAGGTTAGATTGTGAGTGCCTTATCGCAGCGATTTTCAAACTTTTTGTTTATGAGTTCCTCTTTATACAGAGTGAAGCAACTGGGAACCTCTCAATCAAAGACGTTTGTGGCGTTTCGCGAGAGATCGAACGACTGTTTACTGTGATAGTAGGACAGCACGATTATATATCAATTGGTCGCTCATGCGGATTATGTGTGACAAACGGGAGAGTGGGAAAAAAAGAAGCACGAGGTGAATGCATTTTATGCTTCTTTCGATATTTCAGGAAAATAAAGTAGAATTTGTTGCACGAGAGGAATCTCGCGTATACTCGACTCGTGCATTTATTTGCCACAATGTTGCCACTACACGAGCGACGATTCGCATGAATGAAGACGTGAATTTCAATGTATGCGATTGCTCTGCAGATGTTTATAGGTGGGAGAAGCGTCTAGAGCACGTTGTTCTTTGTACAGACACTGTACAAAGTAGTGTTACTGATTTGCACCTATGCAATGGGACATTGTTATGAAGGATGAAATTATTGTAAACTACCTGCAGCAGTGTTGTTCTCTGCTAATCAGCAACGCTTACGCTCTCATCTATTATCTGATTTAGATTCGAGTTGAGTGATGCTCTTATCTGGCGGCTTATCTAAAATTCAATAAGAATCCAAGATAAATAATATTCTGTTTCGTTGCTATCACCAAGCACAGTAAAAACGTTTATTCGTATTTCGATTGCTCCAGGAATTTGCTTGAGAGAAACTGAAATAAAGAACAGTGAGAAACTCTTTTGTTCATCTTATCTATTTGTCGAAGCAAGGGTGAAATCGCATGCATTGCATTATTATGGACAATTACTCGACACAGAACTTTGACTCCTGCATGGTTGCTGCAGCAAATCAGCAACATGACATTTCCCAATCTGTGAACAGTCAGTCACAAGCTGAACAAGCACAGACTCAAGGGAACCATGATGAGCAACAACAACAGCAACAGCAGCAGCAACAACAGACAAAACAAACGCATCAGGATCAATCGAACACTCAACAAAACATAACTCTTACTCCCGTTAGATTACCTGCTATATTGGATGGAGAACACTTTACAGTGACTAAGGTAGAAAACAGTAATGTCACAGTTCGTTGTTCATATTGTCACAGATGTTTGAATGGAAACCTGAAGTCCACTGGGAATTTTCTTAGTCATATAAAGGTAAATTGTAATACATAAAACTGAAATATAAAATGTATGATTTTTATTAGGTTTATTTTTCATGAATAATGTTATTTTTACAGCGTGTGCATCCATTACTAGTTGATAAAATTAAAGGTAAATCTAGTCAGAGGAGGCCTGCTGTAGTCTATGTCGACTCAGCATTAAACGACAAATGTTCTGACAATACACGAGTAAAGCGCAATAAATATAAAACTGTGAGTATATGATTTGTTGCTCGTACTTTCGTTCGTATTACCTCGATCTTAAATCGAAAACTCGACGAACGTATCTTTTTTCCAGGATGAATTTGTGATTAACAAGGAGGAGTCTTACGATCAACCTTCAGATTGGAATGACTCGTTTACTCGTCGGCATACTGTTGAAGAGCAAGAGCCAGTTACAGATCAGATGCGTGTCACCACTCACAATTCATTCGTAATGGAGGACGAATACGACGCGATCGGCCGAAACGTAGCTGCAAAGCTCAGGAACATGCGTATGGATCAAAGAATAATAGCAGAGAAGTTGCTGAATGACATTTTATTTGAAGCCCAACTTGGCAACCTTAGCAGAGAGTCGAACATTCACGTATGAAGAATAAGATGAAGATATCTCGTACAAATGGCTATGCTTTGTTTTGTGCAATTTGAGTTTTTAATAAAATACAACATATATGATATATTTATATTTTATATATAAATTATATATGTATATATGTGTGAGGTACATATATACATATATATGTGTATATATATATATATATATATATGTCTACATACAACGAACAAAGATTAGTGCATTTGTGCGAATCAATGACTCCTGGTGAAAATTGAGCGATATTAGAGATTGCAGTTTTGTCTTATTGAAAAACAAAGAAACTGCCCTATATGAATATGAATCATCAGATATCTGCGGTAAAGTGTATAAAGAGAAGAAGAATTGATATTCTCATAGATATTCATATTTAGAGAGTGGTACTTATTATGTAAGCATATATAAGACCACTCTTCTTTTTATACAAATATGTAATATTGTAAATATATACTTATGAATATTGTAAAATACACAGTTAAGGAGCGGAATCTGCTGCCTAGAAGTAGCCTGTGAATGAATGACCGTTTTCTACATTGAATTGTTCAATTGTACGGTAGTATATATTGTAGAATAGTTGAAATTGTAATTTATAACAATATTACGCATAAATATACATTTTACATACGATTATGTATACGCGGAATACTGACGAACATTTTCTCTCAAAATATCTTGAACACAAAGCAGTCTAGACTTTTCAGTAAAAGTCAAGTAAGTAAATAGCGGAAGTCTCGGGATCGTCGCGCGGGCTTATCCGAACGGCAAGGCCTCCAGCGATCGTCAGCTACTATATACTCTACATTTCTTTGGTTTATACAACGAATGATACACCGCGGACGACAAGATGCACAGCACCATGCAGCAAAAGATCACGTAGACCACATAAGTGTACCAGAAACCGTCCCAGTCGGCGTGAATGAACCACGTCAACGTTAACGCCATATTTTGCACAATCACGAACACATAATATGGTATTGTCCACTTGTCGGCATACTTAAACTTGACTCTATACTCAATCAGACTGAATATGTAGACCAAGCCGAGCCAGAGATTTACGAAGAATGTGATCACGTCGTAGTACTTGGCGTAGTAGAAGAGGTAGATCAGCATCACAACATAGTGTACGGCTAAGGTCGCCATCACGTACACCGGATAGAACTCGTAAGCCACGACGATGGACAACACACGCGCCAGGATGAAGAGAACCCACCAAAGAAACGAAAGGAATTTGCCCACCGGGTCATCCTCTTCGAGACCCTTCTCGGAGTATTTGCGCGTTGGCATTTTCAAGCTTTGCGGATTGTTCGTTACGGACTGCTGATTCGTTTCAGCATTCGCTTCCTGTTGCGATTCCCTGTAGACGGAGTCGGGTCGTGGAGGCGCGGGCGCGTCCGGTATCGGCAGCGGTGCGACCGTCGTAATACCGCGAAGTGGCGTCGGCGGCGGAATGACGTGCGCGTTCTTCGGTGGCAACGGCGGCGTCACGGAGATCTGACGGTCCAGGGGATTACGTGACTCATTTTGTGGTGCCTGCTGCTGCTGTTGCTGCACGTTACCGTAGACTGTGACCTCCTCCAGTTTCGTTTCATTATCTTCCGCTGGTGTGGCTTCGGATAATGCATTCGTTTTGTCTTCTTGATCTCTAGTAGGCAATGCGGACTGCAAAGGTGCCCTTTCTTCAAAATTCTCTAGTTCCTAGTAATTGAGAGAAGAATTATATAAAAAAGTATATGATAAAATAATCATATTATTAATTAATCATGGGTAATCAATAGGGTGAGCCAAATAAAGTGTTACAGTCTTGAAACGGCTGAATGGATTTTAATGTTCTTGGATTCGGTTTTCTCGGCCCAATATGCCTTTTTATGTTTATTTTCATTTTTCGCAATCATTTCTTGTGGGATGGAGGGCATCAAGCTTCATTTTTTAAATGGCATCCAAAAAATTTTAACATTAGTGGATTCTAGGTTGAAAAGGAAGTCACTTTTCGAAAAATTGTCTTCTAAAATCATTATTTTCAATGCTAGAACTATTAAAAATTGTTCAAGGCACGGAACTCGGAAAAGTTTGAGAGATAATTGAGGATATGTAAATAAGCGATATGAAATATGAAACTAATTGGAAACGCATTATGTATGACAAAATAAAAAAAAAAATACTATTACTTTCACACTTCAACTCATGTAAAGCAATCCATTTTGATACAAAGAGATCTAAGATGCGTACTGTTAGTTTAAAAGTTGAAAAATTACTTAGGTATAATGGAATGTAACCATACACACATACATTAGCATACACTCAGCAGAGTTCATAACTATAGGTATATATAACGATTGAATTCTTCACAATGTCAATATTGATTAATAAATACATTGTTTTACATATACACTTATCGTTTCTTTTCAAAACGTAAAATTGTTTAATATTACAAAATTTAAAAATATTTAGTTAATTATATGCTAATATTGCTGTATTTAGTTGAAATTGAGTGTATTTCTTCTGTTTACATACATAAAAAGATATGTTGGTAAAGTGCAATTGTATAATAACGGTATTTTTCTTTAACAATATTTTTCTTACATCTCATACGTAATGCGTTTCTAATCATCAGTTTCTTATTTCATATTGCATATGTACAATATTGAATATGTACCTCGATGCAGTATTTTTTCAGCCACATTGCCCATGGTAGCTTTCTGCCATTTAAACGTTGGCTTTCGAATCTTTGGAAGGAAGCTGTCTGAATGGCCAATATTATAACAGACATGAGGATGCAAATCACTTGCACCATCACTGCGAAAAGTATATATACCATTTAGGGAATTTGTTGAATGGTTAAAAAAATATTTATTTATATAAAGGAATTAATCCACTTACCTGACTGATAGCTGCGGTGTAAAGGATTCTGCAGGAAGAGCAAATATGTCTGAAAAACAGCCTGTGGAACAGCTTGGAACCATGCCTGTAGGAAGAAGTACAGTTCAATAGCTGCAGGTGCTGCAGCTAGATTCAGTGTTTTGATTCTTGCATCTCCTGTTAAGTTTATAGCATCTACTGATAGTACGATCAGTCCTGCATATCTGTAAGAAAATATGAGTTTCCATAAACACATACAAACAAATAAAAATATTGTTATATAGAATTATTTGTGTTTAAGATTGAGTTTTACCTATACAAGGCGAAGAATACAAATCCTATGAGATGGCATACTTGGAGGCCGAGCCAGCCAAGAACTCCTTTAGACACTTTATCATTGTCTGTCATCCACCAGTCTGGCCTTGAAACTGTCAATATAAAATATGAGACTGCCGGAGCGTACATAATTGCGAGGGTGCAGAATCCCCATATTGGATTGTTTTCCTTGAGGTGTTGAATAGCTACCACCAAGTCAGCAGAAAAATGCACTATATATACAAAGCAGCTGATCAATGCTGGTATAAGGAAGATCAGGTATATCTGTTCCGTTGACTTCAATGGAACCTTCATGCAACACATGGATTTTCTGTGGCAGAGTGTATTCAAGTCTTGTGCCATCTTTCAACTATTAACAAGTCAGTTTCATCTTTCTGTTCAGGCAGCATGTGTGTGTCTAACGACAAGTTCTGTTCCTGATGAAAAAGGCACACAAGGAGATTAACACAAAAAGAATGCAGAATAATATGAAAAGAATTTGTCAATTGATTTCTTGTCAAATATATGTCCATAATTTGCATGTGTTTAAGTAAAAAATATTTTAGATTTTTTACTTAAACACATAACACTTATAGAATATTTTACATTTATATTTTAAGTAAAATTTTTCTAATATAACAAAAAACTTATTATTACGATAAAAACAGGATATATTTATAAACTCTAAAGTCCAGAAGAATTATGATACTTTACTCACCACAGCTAATAATCAAATGTAGTCTCCTTGAAGGTCCAATCTAATTGGTAAAATCATTTCAACGATATGTTTGCATTCTTTTATCAAACATAATCGTCGAGGTTTCCACATTCGATGAAGATGCGTGCGACATATGAACACGTTAGGATTGTAGTTACCTTTATGGGAAAATAACGAGGTAGATAAACATGCTATCGTTACTTGATAGATTAGTCAGCCGTGTCGAACGGGCATGACGATATCTTGATAAGCTTCCATTGCACAAGAGGGCGATAAAACGTCTCCGAAGTATCGATACCTTGTAGCTGTTATTATTATTATTACACAGATTGGTTATGGATATCTTTTTATTCAGGCACGAATACGCGCGATCGTACTGCGTGTGCAAAATACACACATGATAAACCCGTTACAGCATCCATGTAGGCGTACGCATGTAGTACTCGTCTTGTCGAGCATCTAAATAAAAGCATCGACTTGCCGCATACATGTACGGTAGATCACTCACCTAACATAATCTTGCGAACGACCTAACTTAACTTAATTTGCATCCTAACCTGATTTACTACAAAAAGAAAAAATGTATATATATATATATATTAAAACGCAAAAAAAAAAATATATATAAATTAAATACAAATATACTAAACTGAATTTCAATGTACAAAAAATGATGTAGAAAACAAATTAGATATTTTATTTATTTGACTATTTCAAATGAGAATCATATTTGAAAAAAGTTATCTCTTTATGCTGAAGTTATCTCTTATATTCTGAATTCATTTTAATACTGATAGAATTGTAAAGAGAAATTAACTAACAAAATATTAGATTTACATTAAAAAGTGTGCACCTTTCTGCATCGAGTAATAAAGTGTTATTGTGACTATCAAAACTCATTATTTATTGTAAAAATGAAAAAGAATCGGATTTATTAATTAAATTTTAATCAATTTGAGTCTTCGTTTTAGAAATACGTTCGTTTTAGAAATACGATTTCATTGTGAAACGCTGTCCTTGTAAAAAACATTTGCACACTTACACAAGATTGGTTTTATTGACAAAGTAGCATTTTATTCATATGAAAAAGTAATACATTAGGACCTGTGCTTAAATTTCTTCTTTTCAGAATCATTCGAAGCGTATGTATTGATAATTAGAAGGCCTTTAGACACTCTATGTGTGTCTCTCTATTTAAATATATTAGATTGCGCTTTATCGAAATATGGTTTAAGTATTACTATTCGTAATACTTAAAATCATGCACATGTTCCTGTTCGATTCAAGATTCACAATTTACTACGCAAAGTAATATAATCTATTTGAGTTCTGTCAAGTTATAAACTTGTAAAATATGTGTTATAATCTGTATTATGCAGCGACCAGCGTCCGATATTCTTCAACAACACGCTAAAGTCGCCACTCGATATAATTATTGTTAGTTTGATGTAATTCATTTTTATCAAGTGCTTTTTACATTTATAAATGTTGATTCTCATAAATATGGCTTGTTTTCATCTCACTGATTTTGTTGAACGCATATTATGCCTTCAGTTTCGAATATCAAGACCTCTTGCTTTAAAAACTTACAAGTAAATCTATTACTAATATATAAGAAGGAAAAGTAACTGTTTTTTTTTCCTTTTCAAAACTTATATAAGATATTCACTGTTAATTCAATTGATATATAAAAGTGGATTGCAATTTATTACTGGTCAATAATTAATTAGATGCATAAAACAGCAAGAAAGAAGTTCTAGATTCATGTGTCTAAAATATTTCGAAAGAGAGATCGAAGAGGATGACAGATAAGCGAGGTCCGAATCAAACCCATTGTACATGGTGCAATGTAAAAGCGCATCAAATACATGTGTATGTGTGTATGTATTTCAAACATATAAACGTACAATTTAAAGGCGAGCGAACGCAAATTTTGATCCCTGTTTACCAGAGCTCGCCATCCTTTTCTTTAGCTGGCACCTCGATTACTCGCGGCTTATCGATTATTCTGGCTGTGCGATTACCCTTTTCCACAATACCAATAATCCAAGCCTGATAACCTTCTTGCTTTTCGATATCTTTGCAGTATGCTGCAGCCTGTGTAATAAAATACGTTTGATATATATAATAAATTGAATCGGAGTATAAGTTCAGGGAAAAACATTTGCAAAACAGAACTTGTAAAAAATATCGTAAAATATTTTGATCGAAAGACGGTTACTCTTATTGGTAACAACATATCAACTGAGATATTTTGAGATCCCAAAAAAATTCGATGCGCACAAATAGTTTGTTATGTAGAATGATTGTATGAAGCTAGCTTAGCTAAATATCATTTGATAATTAGTCATATTGCAACTTCCGTTTTTCTACCTGTCGTTCTTTAGAACATCTTAGAAGGACTACAAGATGGTCTACTGTATCAACAGGAGAATCAATCCATTGTTTGATAATATGAACACATTTTGATGAGACGTTGGACTAACCTGTTCCCGAGGAAGACAGATTAGCAAACCGCCGCTAGTCTCAGCAGAGTGGCCTTGCAACAGTTGGAACATGTTACCACAAGCCTTCGCCACCGCTGCCATCTTTGCGATAACAGGTAGATTATGAATAACAAAGGAAACTTCGTTCTTTTGATGCTTGGCTAAATTCTGAGCATGTCCAAGGAGGCCAAAACCAGTGACGTCGGTAGCACCATGTGCATTATATTTGTGCATCAGTCTAGCAGCTGAAAAATCAACATCATATCCTCGTAATTTGCAGGTTCCATTCTTTTGTCAAAAAAGAAAAAAATTTTTGTACTGAGGTATCACGTACCTATCCTGTTCAACCTGGCCATACTGTCCATAGCACGTTGGTAAGCCTTTCGGACGTCGTCTTCACTGACTACGAGTTTAATTCGATTCCAACGATCAGGCTGATCAAGCCATTGATGAGCGTTCACAGCAACTTGCGTCCCAAGAGGTTTTGTCAAGACCAATACATCACCCACAACAGCATTATCGGGACTAAACAGAGAAGGATGTCAAATAAAGATATCTTTTTCAAGTTGATTCTAACAAATTTGTTTGTAGCACTCCAGTTGCAGTTATTAAAATTAAAAAGCATTAACAGGTGCATATATGTTGTTGGTATTTTAACTAAAAATAAATTACTTTGGCACAAAATGTAAATCAAGAACGCAATATATTATAATTTTTTTCAAAACATACACAATGTATTCATTGGGTTGGCAAACTGTAGTAGCAACTCCACCTATAGTGCACCAAGGATTGACAACTGTTTGACCACCTGTTACTGTTGTACCAGCTTCTATTGCAGAATCTTTGAATCCTCTCATGATCAACGGCACAACAACGTCGCGTTCTTTTTCAGTCATCTTGGTACTGACACCAAGCAGCATCAGCATATTGTCACAATCCGTAACACCCATTGCATACAAATCGCTGATAACGTTCGCACATGCTATTTTACCTGAAAACATCCTCAGATGGCAATGAAAAGAAATAGTATTTTCTCAATATGTTACAGATGCAATTTGCCCGTTTCTTCTGCTATGACATTTCGTGCACTTTTCATGACAACACACATGATCTTTCTTACCCATCATATAAGGATCATCAACAAGTGGATAAAAGAAATCAGTCGTCTGTACCAGGCTCAGTCCGCCATGTCTTAGCGGTGTGACAGAAGAATCCATTCCAATGCCTGAAACAAAGTTTCTCATAAACTTTTGATAAAAAAGATTACTAATAACTTATAACCACTAGTAATCTAGTAAATATTCATAACTTGATAAAAAATATATGTTGAACATCTTTCATAATATATTAATAAAGAAAATAAGTACCTATAATTATTTATTAAAATTAATTACAGTAAAAAAATAGATTTCCTTACACAAAAAATAGTGTAAAGAATTATCATATATTTGTTATTAAACGCAGTTAGACGCAGAATATTATTCATTATCCCGAATAATATATTTTCCAAAGATTATTCAAACAATTAACATTTTCAGATTGAGAACACCTGCATCTCCGAAAGCGTGGGAGAAATTGGGCGGGAGACGACACGGCCGCCATGACGGCAGGACTGTTTCGAAATATGTTCTGGCCCCGTGCAGGTTAAAAAAAAATCTCAATGGTTTTGTTTGACGTGGCAATTCAGAAGATCACGAGACTACGATTGGCGTGTAAACGCATCATAAAACCGTATTGTCTCGACAATACTAAAATTTAAAAATATTGTCCACGTGTCGCAAGAAGCGATTGCTTTCGCGGAAATGATACCAGCCAACAAAGGTACAAGAATGGCGAAGAAAGAATAGACGGCGTCAAAGATGTCTGCTCGCTAGCTCGCTCGCTCGCTTGCTTGCTTGCTTGCTCGTTCGTTCGTTCGTTCATTCGTTCGTTCTCTTTCTTTCTTTCTTTCTCTGTCTTTTTCTCACGCACGCGCGTCCAACAAATGGCTCGCACAAATGTCGCATACTTCACTTACCAATGCGCGGTATTGCCAAATGCATAAAGTGGGCATGATCATGATCTTGTGTAGTCCCGTCGTCGGCCTGAAGTCCCTCAAGGAGTTTCCCAAGAACCTCCTGAGGGACCTTGCACCCTCATCCTTTTAGGTCGGCGAAACGGGTCAGCCTGAAGGCTGGTTCAAGATCATGCGCCACTGGATCGAATGGCCTACGTATCGCTAAGGCGTTCGGATTTCCGCCGAGTTCGAGCTGAGCCACGGACAGGGCGTCCTGTGCCACCGGGGTGCCCTGCAGCTCCGCCATCTTGTTAAAAAGTCACACAGCTACTTTTCCGCTGCTCTGCGCGATGCGGCTTAGCACGTTGCTCTTGCTTCGGGATTCCTGCTTCTCGCACTCGTTCTCGCCACCCGGTGTGCGTATTCTCTCACACCTGGTGTTCGGCCACGCAAGTCGTCACACTATCTGAGTATGGGTACCGCAACGCCGTCGAAAGACAGCCACTGGATTTGCGCGAACTCGCAGCAAATAAGAATTATACTGTACCGCACCGGCGTCGACTAACCGGGACCGTGAGCTTCAGCAAAATGGACGTCTTACCAGCGATATCGGCCGAAGCAAGTTGCGAGGGCGCGAGCGAGCCCCCACGATGCCATCACCGTGTCGGTCCTTGACGCTGATTGGCCTTTTCGAACTCGCGCATGCGTACTTGGCAGCGCCAGCGAGCCGCTTCTCAGGAGCGTAGCGCTTCGCGCATCGACCACCCATCTGAAATGCGCACCTTTGTCGTTGGACTATACACTTGACTCTGGCTAAGTTCAATGAGACGTTCTAAAATTTTCCTCGTGACGATGCTTTCGCAAGTCCGCTACGAACCGCTGCGTGGATTTGAAAGGGAGCTCGAGTATCTTCGATTACAATGTTTCCGCGGGACATAACGGAGGAAGATGATTCCAAAAGGTTTATATATCCGATTGACACGTTAGCTAACTAAAACGCTAAAATAACCTAGTTTTCATCAAGATGCAGCGGTCGATCCGTGGATCTAACTTGTAGATTTGATTATTGAAATTTATTTTAAAACCATCGATAACCGTATCGACGAAATAACTAATGAATTGATGCAATCGGTTACTCTCGTTACGAATATCGCAACGGTCAGTAGTCGGTCTGCAAAGCCTCTTTCCGTGAACGTTGTTCACGTTCACCTACGTTCCCATCCATAAATCAATGTGTTCGCGCACACTAGGCGGTGTGCTTTCGGCGATGCGGATGCGAGAACATTCATATTTAATCCGCATTGATCCTAAACTCCTCGCGAGCCTCTTTTACTTTGCACCGCAGGCGCACGGCGGCAGGCCGAACTCTTACGATGCAACGACGAAGACGACGATAACGACGATGACGACGACGACGACAACGATGGCGACGACGATGGCGACGACGACGACGACGACGCAATACAAGCAATCGAAGAGTGTATATGAATGTAGGCGTACGTTGTGTGCATATACGCGTACGTATGCCACACTCTGGAGATGTCGGGCGAAATCGTACGACTACGAGACATTCCGAGTCGTGAAGCGATCCGCGTCGCTCATTGGTCGTTTCCCGTGTTGGTCTCTCTGTCATTTGACTTAAATGCACCGCGTTATCGCGGCGCGCCAATCAGCGCGTCGACGTGTCATCAGTGGCTCTCAACCAGCTCGTTTCTTCTCGAGAGTATTCTTACCAACTTTTCATGAGAAATAAAACAAGCTCTTTTCCAAGAAGGAACAAATACGTCAATCTCTTCAATTGTCTCGCATTCGCGATACACTCGATTTACTCATGTCGACGGGGAAAGAAGTTTCGTTGCGCGAGAGGTTTTTACCACGTTTAAATACAACATTCATCGGTAACGGTTTGTTCATCTTGATTTGGCTCGATCGCGAGGAGATAATGCGTCAGAGGTCCCGCTATCGCCGCGAGAAAATAGATTTGCGGCCTGAATAATTATGCATAGGGTGAGTGCGAAAGTTCTGACGGGTCTCGTGAGAGAAATACAGACTGAGTCGTTTCGTCGGAAACCATGAATCTACTCGTTCTACCGAGTAATCTTGTCGCATTGTCTTTTCTTATCTTTGCGGTATATTACATGTACATCTACATATTCCCACAAATGCTGTCATAAAAATAGATCACTCACGACATCTTTGAGAGAGCCATCAAGACTTTCGCACTCACCTAATAAATTGCAAAGAGGCGGCTCCGGCGAGAAGTGTCTCGTTCGAGAAGGAGCGCCTCTCCGAAATGCCGAGAGCGCACGAAATGCATGCAGCCACGATCGTCTTGGAATGCTGCCCAACTGATCGAGAAACTCGCCTCCGTTCGCGCGACGTTTCCCGCGCAAATCGCCGTGACGGTCCGCTCTCCTCGAGTTCCCAGACAATCGTGCTGCGTCGTCTTGGTCATCGTTGGACGAGTTGCATTCAATCGAAAGGTATCCGCAACGATCATATTTCCGATGCGCTATTCTTTGAGCTTATTTCCCTCCGAACTTGCGGATCCGATTAATCACGAGTGACTTGCGTTTGTTTATTCGACAGGTTACCTTGCGCGACGGAGTACATTGTGTTTGCTGATTAAATATTTGCGTCGCATTCAGATCATGTCGACGCAACACAATGAAACGCTATCGCAGACGAAATTTCGCGTCTTGGATGAAATTGCATGAGAGATGCTTGAGTTTTTCCGCACCGACATGCCCGGTACGCAAGGTTAGGTTATGACCAAACGAGTAAAGAATACGAAAACAAGGTTTGTCGTTTTTTATTTTGCTGCAAAGTAGGACTTCTTCCTCTGAATTCGCTTTCCGAGTTCGTTGCGTCGGCTTTGCCTTTTGGCGAGAGATCAACTTTCTTCACAATATATAAGTAGAACAATAAGCGATAAGCAGTACATATTTGCATTGTGAAAGTGATCGAGCACACGGTGTACTGAGGGCTACTAGTTGTTTGCATTACTAATATAAATTAAATGCATGCTTTTCATACAATCGCCGCTGCTACGTTTCGATGAAGACAACGATTAATATCTCTTGCTAAGTAGATTATACTAACTGCTGTTGTCTGTAAAAGGTGTTGTGGCAAAGGTGAGCGAAGAATTATAACGAATGTATCCGTGTCGATTAATAATTAAATTTGTAACGTCAGCGTAAAGTAAAAATTATCTCGAATATATTCATATGGTCGTCTCATGCGTTGAGTCCTTCATTATCGACTGCAGTTAAATATATCGATAATAATGGTGCCCGCTTATCGAATGAGGCGATTGCTCGACAGTCGATTCACAGTGTATAAGATGCATGACAATGGTTGCGTTTCAAAATTCACTGTCAGTACTGAAAATATATAGTATATGTGACACAAACTATGTATTTTCAGCATTGGCAGTGAATTTCGGCACGCAGCCAATACCACGTTGCAAATTTAAAGGGACAGATTATAAGTATTATACGGTAAGTTTTACAATCGCGTAAATTATCGGTAGTTTTGGAAAGTTGAAGTATCAATAAATGTTACGCAGCATTGCGCAGATTACAAATTTTCTTTATAACATGTACGATGCGTTTTCAGATAACTTCGATCGTTAGCGAATGAAGTGCATATCGCCACCATTAACCTCTCCTTAACCATGAGAGTCGCTATCACGGAATTACAAATCACAAACTTTGCGGTACGAAACCGATCTCTAATTGCAAGCTTCGCCATCATAAAGCCAGTAACGGTGATACAATGAGAAATTAATGAAATCGGAACTGTCTGCGGAATAACTAGAAGGACAGAGCGCTTCCTCGACGGAGGCAATTATTGCATTCTTTTGCCGTTATCATTATCTTTCAAGGTATCTTCTTCCTTGTTATCGCCCGGCCGTTATTTTGTTAATTCGTTGCTGGTACATTTTATTGTTTTATCTCTCATTACTCCCCTCACTGCGTTGTCATCGTTCTCATCATTTCTTCGCATTTGCCCGTGTCGTATATTGCTTCCTTTCATCTTCCAGCCCATCGCTAAGTAATTCGTATTTTTCGCAGACACAACATGCGGAGAGCCAGGACGCGGAAGCGAGACGCGCGGTGTGACGCGCTTGCCTCGCTCTCTCTTTCTCTCTCTCGTCGTGGCGACCTCGTCGATCGCATCGCGAGAGACGGACTCAGTCCTCAGTCTCGCTCGCGCGTCAGACCGAGCTGGTATTGTGTGTAAGAATGATCGCGTGTGTGTGATCGCTCGACGAAGGCACCTTCACCTCGATTTCTACTACGACTCCCGTCCCGGCTTATCGCCGTCGTCGTCACCGTCATCGTGATCGGCCCCATCGTCGTCATCGTGCTCGTGGTCACGCTGCAGATCGATCGGCGACGTCGAGATGACGTCGTGGCGTCCCAGCTGAAGCGCAACACCCACTGAAACGTGCGCTATTCCCAAGCAACAGCAGCAGCAGCAGCAGGATGATGCAGGAGAACGCGACTGATCATTCCTCCAAGTCGGTGCTGCTCAACACCTTTGTTGTGAAGAAAAAGAGGTGCCGCGTGTACTTTCATCGCGGCACGCTCATCTGGGAAACGGAGCGACCACCTTACAGTAAGCGAAACAATTGTTGTATTATTTTGTCATGCACGAGGAAGATTTAGGCGAATTGGAAATTCGGTTCCTCGCGTAATAGAGTGGGAAAGTACAGAAAGGGAAAAGGAGAAAAATAAAAAAAGCAAAGAGAGAGAGAGAGAGAGAGAGAGAGAGAAAGGAGTATGTAGAAGCGCAGTATCGCGAAAGTATCCGCGAAGGAATCGGATCAAGGCTATATTTTGATTGATACACACGGTCAGTTTGATCTTTCAGCTGGCGAGAAAACTCGCCTCGGAGCCTGTGATGTCTCCTCGAAGACGGAGTGATGCACAGCGTCGCATTAATCGTATTGTCATTTCGTCAGCGTAGCGCGCTTCCGCTTGTCAAACACTTAATTTTGGAGCCGCGCGCAATCTTCTTTTCGTGGGCGGTAGGAGCTGATGAGCGCTGCGCGGGTCGAACGCGCGTCCGCGGATTCGATGAAGTTCATTTGCCATAACGGATGTGGACAGACCGACAGAAGACGGATCAATAATTTTTCAAGTCAACGAGTTACACGCGCGCTCACCTTTCGCCGTTCTCACTCCTCCGTTTGTTCCTCGTACCTGCGCTGCATCTCTGATCCTGCCAAGTTATTTATTCCGGTTCCGCTTTGTGTTTACCGAAAATCGGAAAATGCTAATTTCCGTTTAGCCGCGTGACGGTCTGTTTAAAATCGTTGTTTGTCGCTCACAAAAACACGTTCTCCATGAAAGATCTCCGTGCCGACACGCGTTTTACCGAGTAAACTCAGCTTTCGCTCTCGGAGTTGCTCTATCGGCAATCTACACATCCGAGCGATTCCAGCGAGCGTTTAAATCCGATCGTTATCGTTACAAATTAAATATCATTACGTAAAAACTCGTTTAATGCATAACCTCGGCCCGCGACATAATGTAAAAACATTACGTGTTTTCTGCGCTCGTAGTCCTGTAAAATAATGAGTGTTCTGTTTGACACGCAAGTCGCGGTCTCTCCCTCTCTCTCTCTCTCTCTCTCTCTCTCTCTCTCTCTCTCCCTCTTTTTTATCTTTCTCTTCTGTTCCTTAGTTGACTACTCGTAAGGTTTTCGACCGCTTATTGATGTAACTCAAGCGATTCACTCTCTGACAAGGTAGACGAGAAGTGGTGAGTGGTGGCATGTTAAGAGTCATATGACGATCGGCGGCAGACCTTGACCTTCCGTTGCTACAGCATCTCACGGAGCAGGCGCCGCGCGAGAGTACCGATCGCAACCGCTATTAAAAAGGAAATCAAAAGTTACGAATATACAGCCGTGTTATTCCTCGTCTCGTCTCGTTTCGTCGCGCTGCGTACGAAATATTCGCGCGATTGAAGATATCATTTCCGAACTTGAATCTACGAAATCAACTTGGAAGAGCCGCAACACACGTCGACATCGAATCGAGCGGTCAGCAGAAGGAAAGTAGTCGTGCTTTTGCTCTGGATGATTCTTCAGAAGGTATTTGCCATTCAGCGGAAAAATGTTTCTCTCGAGAAGCGCTGAGAAGCAACTTCTCCCACTGGCTACCACGTGAGTTCTGAGATTCATTCTCTGGACTATGCAACCCCTCCGAGTCGCTCTTACGTTAGCGTTTCTTCTATCGGATTTTGGATGACCCGCTGCGCGAGGATAACATTAGATGGGTTCTCCTCGCGACGAGGATCCTGTTCCTCGCATTCGTGCTCGTGCCACACGCTCAGTATCTCACGCCGAGACCTGAGGACGACGGCGAATATCAATGAGTTTTCGGCGACCCGCTCACGTAGACGCGGGAACACATGTCGATACGCGCGCTCACAGTCGTCGTAGTCTTGTCCTTGGATTTCATTTGCATATCGTTCTACTTCCCCGGTCAATCCGCATATCGTTCGCGCTGTGCATTTTAAGCGGAACAGCGATGATTCCGGGACGACGACGGCGTCGGTGTCGTGTAACTTAACTTTACAACCGCATCTTTCAGCGCGCGTTGAACAATGGAGTTCTTGTATAGTCCGCTCGCGTAGCGCTCGAACGTGCTCCTCTGACTGTGACCGACGTCGACCACCGATCCGACGCTTTACGATTTCCCGGTTCACGAGGAAGACATCATAGAGGAGGACGCTCGCGGAAGTGCGCTTTCACGGCCGATATCCTGTGTAGATTGACTGTGCTGTCTATTCAGCCCGCTGCGATGCTCCCAAGGTCGATCACGAGTCTTCCTTTGGCGTAAACTCGTGGAAAGTGTAAATTTCCCAAACCTATTTATTCTTATTATTTTGTATAATTTCCCAACTTATTTATATCAATATTGGGTCCATTAATCCATCCTATAATTCACCCAGTGCCTTTAGATGTTACTTGATTAGCTCTCTCTCTCTCTCTCTCTCTCTTTTTTATGCGTTTAAATTCTAACTTGCTTGTAACCGGTTAAATCGAGTCCCTGCTGATTATTCCTGTTCTATATATTGTGTATCCAAGGATATTTCAGATAAGTACTTCCCGCGAAAAACGGTTAAATATGCTTTAAATACAGCATCATATTTGTTTTTTTATATAGACCAAGTTAAACTCGAATAAGAACCAAGTTGGATGTTAATTAAAATCTTATTTGTTATATGAAATATAAAATCAAATTTAGATTCAATTTTAGTTAGATGCATATCAAATATTAATAATCTATATGCACCTAGACAAGGTTAAAGCAAGATCATATATAAATTGAATCTGGATGCATATCAAGAACACATTTGAATTAATTACTTTTTAATTTAATATTTGGTTTTTATTCGAGTTTAATTTGGTCCATATAAGAGACAAATATGAACTATATTGAAAATATGCTTAACTGTTCTCCGTAGTTGGAAGTTTCTATTTTCCACGAGTTTACCTCGAAATACAAGATTCAAGATGAACCCACTGCGTCATATCGACGGTATTTCCTGGTAAAACATATCGTTCGCGATAACGACGATAATTACTTAACATGTCTCGGATGTTCGGAATGTTAACAGAGTTATGTCGGTTTATTCCTATTGTTCCTTCACTCATCGATTTTTTCGAGATACCGGCGAAATTTCTCACAGGCTAAGCTCGCTCGAGTCACGTCTCTCCTCATTGATTTAGGAGTCGCCCGACGAAGGCTTTATCGACAGTATCTCTTCCAAGACACTGACCCGTGAGCGAAGGTGGCCCGAAGGTCCTCGGGAGTCGACAAAGTTCAAGCTAGACCGCCAGGACGGCTCCGGGCTATGCGTGGCGGCTGCGCGTGTCTGGCAGCCTTTGTCTCGCACGCGAAGCTTTTTACGGCGGATCTTTCGTCGCGCTTGTGTTAGCCGGAACTGTTCGCGGAGGATGATGTCGATGGAAATAGTATGGCTAATCACGACGACGATGACGACGCGACTCGCCGTCTCGGCAGGCCGGCTCTCGGCAGCGGCGGCGAGGTAGCGCAACGCGCGCGTACTCAATTGCATCTTTCACTTTTCATCGAGCGGCAGTCCGGTTTGGCGGACAAACCTGTCTGCGGGCGAGAAAGCACCGCGCTACATCGGCGTCGGTGCACTGTCCTGACCCTGTGACACGCAATTTGTACTCGTTTGATCTCTCAACGCACCGCGCGCGCAAGCGTTATTGGAAATGCGGCGGCGCTCGCCTCTGGCTGAGTCGCGGAAATTACTATATTGGATGTCGATAAAAATGTCAAGGATTATTCCAATTAACTGCATAAGCAGGTTTCTCAGTCGAGCGTTTGAAAACGCCGGATTTCGATTCGCATTGCCGACGTAGGCGCATTAGCCTTCGCGACGTGGGTTTTTATTAGGCCTTTCTCGAGATTTGGCTAATCGTAGAATTATACGAGTATACTTTTTATCGCTTGAAGCTTGAAGAAAAGAACTTAATTTCAAGATTTCTCCAAGATGAAGGATCCTCCTATTAATCCCCGAGATGATCAGAATGTTCGTTTGGTTTCGTGAATTTTCGTTACTGATTTCACTCAACGCAAACTTCGACATCAATGCAGGTTGTGACGCCACGGCTTGATTTTACGAACATCTCACGAGCGCTTCGTCAACATGTCGTTTTAATCAGTGTCAACCGAAAAGTCGATCCAGCATGTGTTTTGTCGATAACTGATTTTGACTGTCCATGCTCTGCGATAATATTAGCTCGCGATATCATGTTTAATTCGACACGAGAAGAAAGAAGAGGAGGAGGAAAGAAGAAGAGGACGCGCTCGAGCGAAGCGACGCTTGTGCGTCTCCGGCGGAAAGATACCTGAGTGTAAAGATAATTATTCAGCTGTGACGTCATGTAACTAATTGCCGGCTGCCGCTGCGAAATTTCGCGTGTTCATCGCGAATGTTCTTACGTTGTATTGTCCAGGAAGAACCTCGCTCGCGGAAGAATCCGTTTGACATACACGCGTTCAGCCGCAAAGCACATCGTTACTCGCCGCACATGAATTTCAAAATGATTGGATTGAACATAAAAGTCATGCGCGGTTACGTAAGTTCTTAGCGAATGTCCTCGCAGAAATGGCAGCCTTAAATTTCTCAGCAACATGTGTGTCTTATCATCGACGCGACAGCAGTTATTTCTTCTTCCTTTCCGTTGTCCGAGGATAAATGTAAATTAGAGCTAGGCATCTTTAAAAGCGGATTCGCCGACGATGAATCGTAGCGTCGTTAGAATAACCAGATAAGAATTTCATAATGATCAGTTGTCTTATGTTTCATATTTCGAAAAATATCGACCCGACCGCTCAAATTACTGTCGGTCATGGGCGAGCTGGTTATCGTGGAAGAAGAAGAGTGAAAGAAAAAAATAGAACAAGGACTAACGCGATTTACGATTCAAATGTCGCGATTTCACATGACTATTTTTTTTTTATTTCTTATTATTTTTCTTATTATAGTATTTTTCTTATTATAGTATTTTTTATTTCTTATTATTGCGTTGTTAGATCAAAGCGATGCCGAGTAGGCTGAGCAAAGTCGCACTGACAACGTCCGGAGCGAGTCGCTTCGCAGCGAAGCGAATAGCTTCACGCGGAAGAGGATGCCAAGGAATCGTCAGAACGCCACCGATGGAATCCACAGAGAGCGACGAAGCGTCGAACTCACTGCGACTTGAGAACTTGAAGCGCCGTGCTGCTGATCAGCCGAAGCCGATATATCGTGGCGCCGATTCTCATGTCGTGCGATAATAATGCTTGCAGCGCGTGTACGATGTTTGAGGAAGCGTGCACGCGTCGCATTTTATTAAGGTCGCGCGACACATCGCCATCGAATTATCGGACCTCGCCGAATTGGCGTTAACAACCGTTTGTTAACCGGGTCGCCGGCATGGTAATCGCTTCGACCGCCTCGCGGAACGCTCCTCGCGACGAACGCGATGAAATCGCTGTTAAATGTTATGTGTCTGCCGTGCCGCGTCGTCTGCGTGCGTCACATCTCGTCGCGTGCATCGCGCGTCCCACATGCATATCCTTTCGCTCGATGTCTCTCCCTCGTGTGCGCCCCTCCGCGAAACATTAGCTTTCGCGGTTCTCCGCCGGCTTATTTTTTAATAACGGACTCTTCGGCTAATTTGAGATTAAATTTTCCTCGATGGGAACGGCGGAGTCTCGGCAACTTTTGAGATATGAGGGAGGGATTACCGAATGTTGAGTTTGATGAGAGAATTTATAGAAACGACGGACAACAAGAGGCAACTGTAAGTCTGATTTGCATATATTAATCAGGCGCGATGTAATGCAAAGTAGATCTGTAATGTCGCTTTTACATATTTTCTTTTATCTTAATAAAAGAACCTTTTAGAGTCATTTAAACAAATATTTAGAGGAGCAATGCTTTTCACCTTGAATACTCAGAACTCTGAAAACTCGGTTGCAAACATATGCACACATGTGATGTTGAAAATTTTGCTCTTTCTTAATTTCGCCGTGCGACGCGTCAATGTTGCTCGATGTACGCCGGTTTCATTTTGTTTATTTCGCGTGCGAATAAAGCACAATTATGAGTCGCCGAAGTGATCGTTAGATACACTGTGTCGACGTCGTCGAAACGATATCGTCTTGGCGGCGGACAAGCGCGAGATAATGCGTCGATATACGAGCAACGTCGTAACAATTGTTATCTATTCACGGAGAAAGAAACTGATAAACAAACGCTTCGTGTGTAAAGAATGACGGAAGAAAAATTGCTCAATTGTCGACAATTTGGCTTGCTACTATTTACTACGAGCATTTCGCGATAATAATAAGGTAATATTGATGGAACTGTCAGCGAAACATGTTCCTAATCGAGCGTTTATGCCAAATATAGCATTGTAAAACCGTTGGAAACGTAATTTTATAATGTTCGTGTCGACGTTGAGCAATCATTAATTGATGTTCTTCCACGCATATGCATAATGAGGGTCCCCGGTTCTATTGTATTATCTTTTAATGATGAATTCTCTTCGACCAATTTGAAAGGAGATTTTAACCTCAGCGACGATAATTCGCGAATTGCAAGCAACTGACAGAGGTAGCAATATATAACAATAGACAATTATAAGCAACCGATGCTCACACTTAATTCAAGTCTCAACCGCAAAGATACAAAATGTTGAAAGCTGGATGATTGAAGAAAAACAAAACACCGTCTACTTCTCCTCCCCCTCCGGCGTTTTCGCCGAGGAAAGAGAGTCTGCAAATCGCTCGGAGGATCTGCTGTTGCGAAGTAACACGAATTGGGACATGTACATGCATGTTAACAAGATGATAAATGCATTGTGAATTGCGTGAAGAAACGTGGAAGCGGCGTTTCGTTTTTCCACGGCTCGGCTCGATCTCGCTGGGAAAGGCAATTTGACCCGCCCAACTTTCCTACTGACAACTACGACATCGCGCTGCTGCGAGCAAGTGCACCTGCACTCGTGCTGCATAAGATTCACTGCAAAGGATTGCACAACGTCTTACACGCCGGGTACCGTTCTTCTCATCGGCTAACTGCACGTGAGCGGATCATGTGCGTTAATATTAAAAACGTAACGGAGCAAATCAGCGTTCTATTGTTCCGGAACGCGAGCTGAGATCATACGGCGTTAATAAGCGGCGCAATGTAACAGGACAAGGCCAAGCCGAGGCGCGCGAAGCGCTATCGTGCGTAAAATTTCAGCCTTTCTTATCGAATCTCGACGATTCTTATCGCGAGCCGCGGCCAAATATATCGCACTTGCACGCGCGTGTGTGCGTGCGTGTGTGTGTGCGTGCGCGACTATGTGCCTATAAACGCGACGGTCATATCACGGCGATAATGAAGTTGCGTTTCTTTTTGGCACATTCATGGCGCGTCAGATAAGGAGGATTCTCCTATCGCATCGCACAAATGAATGTCTCTCCGTAATGACAGGGGGCTCTCCGGGGACGAGCCTGTCTCTCCTTTTCGATTCACCACAATCAGATAACTGACCTGTCTCTCTTCCTGCCCGCAGCCAGATGGACGCTACCCCTGACGGACGTTTTGGCGGTCCGCTACGGGGACGACTGGATACCGGGTGTCAGCGTTAAAGAGAAGCAGCCGCCGACACAGCCGACTTCGCCCACGGTATGCCCGACGAATTTTATCTTGCACTACGCGGTGCGTACGGCGAAGAACAAATGGAGGCATCACAGTGTCACGATGAGCCACACCGACCCGCGGCAGGTGGCTTCGTGGGTCAAGACTATACGAAATTATCTGCTCGGTGAGTCTTCGTCGCGAGGCGTGAGGCGGAACTTGACGCGCGCGCTGAGAGAACAAATTGAGGAATTCGAGGAAAATGAGGAGGATGCGAAACACTCGCGATGGTAATGGATGCGCATCGCGTGACGAGGAAAGTGGCATTTTTGCGGTAAATGCCGCTGTAAGTGTTTGTCGTGGTAACCTTGTTGTACCACGTGTAACGTTACTGTCGCTCCTTGTTGGAACAACAAAGGATACCAAAGTTGGCTGGAACCGGAAACAATTATAATTTGCATTCTTTTTCTCTCTCTCTCTCTCAGCTCGCGCCACAGTCGCGAACGCACCGGCGCGGCGGTGTTGCATCTGCTCGCGAAATCGCACGCGGAATGTGAAAGTATCGCAATCAGGATCAATGCTGGAATATATTTTATGCGCTTGGCTTCGTCCGCAAAATTCTCAAAGCGACTTTCGGATTTCGAAAGCGACGCTGCACGTGATATGCAACGAAACTCACACCGCGGTGTCTCTATCCCGGAATAAAGCAATTGTGCTACGACTCTCCGAAGAACTGAATTTCAGGGATGAATCGCGCGCGCCGGAGGATCGAAACGGGACACCCCGTGTGCGCGGCGGAAAGTGCACGCTGCGATTTGTTGTTTCAGCGTAATCTGAAAAGCCGAAAGTAGCCAACCGCCACGTTGGGCGCACATAACGCACCGCATCTCTGTCCGGTGTGTTGCACCACGTCGTGTTGAGCCGCGTTCGAGGAAACTCGCCGATGAAATGGCGATGGATGATAAAAAGGCGTTGGGCATTAGTCGCACGTCTACGTGGTATGACGTAAGTTCTGTCATCGGCGACCGTGGCAAAAAGGTCGATTCTCGAGAAAAACAGGCAAATAATGCCCGAGCGAATTCTCTCCGTCGACAGGGAATGAACTTGACACATAGTTAATAGGAACTCGTTACTGCATTACGCAGCCAATTTCGCGCTCGCGCGCAAGTGTGAAACAATAATTGCTTCGCGAGTAGATAAAGAACGAAAACACATTGTCCGTCTGGGACCGGATTCGTCTATACGTTTACACGCCGACAAACAGGAATCTTTCAATCCTCCGTCAGATCTTTTTCAGGCAAGAACGATTGAGACGTGATGGCGACGACGGATTTGACGGAGGATCGACGGAGTCCTGTTGTCGACGCGGACGACGCGATTCTCCTTGCGAGGCGACGCCGAGGTGACTCGTCCTTCTTAGGCGCGCGGAACAAAATTCCCAGGAGTAAAACTGGCTGCTTCCGAGCATGTTCAAAGTCAGAGGCTCAGTACGCAAAGTTCTAACGGTTAGCCAAGCCAAGTTGGGGTCGACGTAAATCATGATAAAAGGTTCGCGGAGCGCAAGAGTATACGTGGTGAGCCTAAAAAGTCCATGAGGGCGAGTGCATTTGTGACGACGAGGCGAGAGTTTCCGTCGCGGCACGCTCGTGGTGCTCCTGTTTGTAAATTTTGATGGTTCCTCACCCCGTGAGGTCTGGCTTGTCGTGTTGAGCGAACGCCGAAAACAGGACGTGGTTTCTCGCGGTCGCTCGGTACATGTAGCGTGGCCCGTCGCGCGCGCGCTCGTGTCCCGAGAGAGGACAAGTTTTAATGAATGTCGAGAAAACAGGGATAGGCGGGCACTAAAGTAGCCCTGTCGACCGTGGCGAACGAGCGGCTACGGTATTGATCCGGGGGGGAGGGGGGGAGTTCGGCGTGCCGTCGGTATAACGTCGCTTTCGTGAAAAACACGTTCGATTATTGACGCTACATCCCGCCGGCTTCGTCTCGGCGTCTCGGGGCGAGTTCGATCGTGGGATTCGCCCCGAGCCGGCATGATTGCGTCGTGAACGATGTTAATTAAATATCGGACCGCTCGGCGCGGATCTTTTGAGGTATCGCGTGATCGAACGAGAGTCGGATTTAACTTGGGCCGATCGTGCTTGCTTTTTACAGGTCTGACGCACCGGCCACGAAAGGTCATGCTGTTCGTCAATCCCATAGGTGGCAAGAAGAAAGGCGTGAGGATCTGGGAAAAGGACGTCCAGCCTCTCATGACCATCGCCGGTATCGAGACGAAAATGATCGTGACCGAACGGGCCGGTCACATACGCGACGCTCTGCTCACGACCGACTTGAGTGACCTACATGTGAGTTCTCGCCGCCGAGTTCCGAGCCGCTCGTTGTTGCCCCTTGCTTTTGCGGAGTTCAAGTTTATAAAGCCGTGACTCTGATCAAAGCTACATGCGCGCGATGGACGCTTGTGGAAATCTAGAAAGAAGTGTTTACACTCTCTCCCTTGGATTTATTCATATAGTTCTGAATTTATAGTTCATTATAGTTCTGAAATTATATTATTTAAATTATAAATTTGTGTCTATATATATATATAAAATATATAAAAGAATATATATATATTTTTTTAATGAAGAGAATACATGATAAATTACGATAATAAATTTTATGAGGTAAAATATAATAATACGTGACGAATAAATGTGTGAAATTTTGTACATGTAATTACATCGCTTAATAACTTAATTACGGGTCATATATCATATCAGTGAATTATAAAATATATATTATATATTACAAATTATTACATAAAATGTGTAATTTAGATGTAAACGCTGAAGAGATACAAATCTGCCCCAGGCTTGTACTTGCCGAGGAAGTCAAATCCTCTCTTCCTCGCATACTTGACTGCCGCTGCGCGTTTCAGGCGGTGGTGTGCATCGGCGGCGACGGCACGTTTGCCGAGGTCTTCAACGGGCTGGTGCTGAGGGCGGCGAAGGATCAGCAGATCGATCCGAATGACCCTGACGCGAGACTGCCGAGCCCCGCGCTGCCTGTCGGCGTTATACCCAGCGGTAGCACCGACACGTTGGCCTACAGCCTTCACGGCACCACCGACGTGCAAACCGCGGCCATACACATCATTTTCGGCGACTCGACCGGCCTCGATATCTCGTCGGTGCACAACAACCGGACGCTGCTCAGGCTGTACGCCAGTGTTCTTAGTTACGGATACCTGGGCGACGTGATCCGTGACAGCGAGAAATTCCGTTGGATGGGACCCCAGAGATACGACTATTCCGGTGAGGACTATTTCCGACACGAGGATCTCCCTCGCTCGCTCGCAGCTACAATAAATTATCAAATTGTACGCTTATAAGGCTTATAAACGGTGCGATCTAGTTTTCCTTCGTTAGACAAATATAAATATTCAGGCACTCGTTGGTTCAATGTCATACTGATTTACGGCACATTACCGTTCATTGAGCTCGCGATTAACATTGTCGACCTCCTTTGATGCAGTTCTATTATTTTACTGTCTCAGGAAGATTCGTTGCACAAGTTTTCTTTTTCCTATGCTCTGCGTCAATATCAGATTGGCTTCTCTTTTTCTCGTTACACGTCAAAGGCTCTTTTTCCCTGTCTTGTGAAATGAATGGATGGATATTGATTAAATTCTGATGGATCGTTACGAAATCCGTTTGCGCTGGGAACAAACGACAGGTATAGATCGTTGCGGGAAACAGGAGAATGAAAAGAAAGTTTCCAGTATACCTCGTGGTCAATCCATCTATACTGTTCAACACAAACAACGAAAGAAACTACTTGTCATCGCATAAAGCAAGAAGAAAATTTGCATATTTTTTATCTTCCGTCATAATACATTTGCATGTATATTATCCGTTTTTATGATTGTAAGCACATTTGCATGAATAATTTTGGTCATATAAAGATCAATAACTCGATTCTGTTGAACTATTTGAAACGACATTGAATGAATTACCCTTTAAATTTCAGGGTTCAAGAAGATAATCGCCAACAGGGGCTATGAGGGTGAGATTGAATTGCTGTCGGACCCGTGTCATCCGGCGGGCAGCACCAGGTGCATGAAGAACTGCTCGCGCTGCCTGCAACACATGCATAACAGCGTTCCCGACGAAGAAATTGCCAGTACGTGTTATGAGATAGGAGAAAAATACGCGATTAAATCTAGTAGACTTGCATAACCACTTACATAACATTCTCACGATGTTGTTTGCGCAGGATGGGTCACGGTCAGAGGGAAGTTTTTTATGGTAAACGGGGCGAACGTGTCCTGCGCGTGCTCGAGGAGTCCCATGGGCTTCAGTCCTCACTGTCACATAGGCGACGGCTGTGTGGACGTTATCTTAGTGCGACACACGTCTCTGATCAACAACATCAGGCTGTTACTCAGGCTCTCCAGCAAACGAAAGACTTTGGTACGCGCGACAACCACGGTGGCTTACTTGATTTTGATTGAGTGACCCCCATTTTGCTCTTCTTCTTTTTATATACACTGAGAAGAACTGTTTTGTTAAATTACTGTTTGTTGTTTAACAAAAAAAGCAATGCTAACGAACAGTAACAATATGTGTGTGAAATTATTATATCAAGAGTACTGCAGTAGTAATGATACAGCAAAGATAATTAAAATATAAAATTGAGGATTGAATTTTGAAGACATGGAGATGAATCCGAAAAGTTCAAAAACGAGTAGAAAATTTAGAAACGACTTTCTTGATTGTGTGTAATCATTTCGCTACGCGGGAGCAATTATGAGTAACAAATTTTCTCAGTGTAGTCGTTAGATCCGTCATTGATCCCGATGGAATGACAAATTCGGCTCGGGGAAATGCCCCGAGGTCGACTTGACGAAAATCGAAAATGAACGAGCGGAACTTTCGCAGTATGACTTGCCGTTCGTTGAGGTCTACCGAGCGAGAGAATTCACATTCCGCGCCCAATCGACGCAGCACCTGCAGTCAGAGGATGGGATCAATCACCTCGGCTCCCGGATCAGCGTATGGAACTGCGACGGCGAGGTGATCGACAGCACCAACGTGAAAATCAGGCGAGTAAATAGACAGAGTTGCGATAAATTCTCCGCTTCTCTCCCGTGTCGCGAATGCACGCATATGTGATTGTTTGCGCTAAATGTTCACGCATACGTGTGCAGGGTACACTGCCAATTGCTGAAGGTCTACACGAGACGCATCCAAGAACCGGTTCGGGAGACGTCCTGCTTCTCCGCCATGTGAACGAGGTAACCGGAGAACAAGTTCATCGGCCGGATCGTGACCGCCGCCGTCACCATGGTGCTCCCGAAAAGGCACAAAGTTCCTCTGTCTTGCCCTCTTACTCGGTGTCGCGATATTTCACGGCACGACCGCCGACTCTTCAGGCTTTCCTCCTCTTTTAGAGATACACAGACGACGATATTTATATATTATTTTATGAATAACGTTAAGAGTGAATCTTTCGGAAATCGGCACACCACGGACGCAGGAGCGACCGTGCAGCGCGCATTATGCGCTTCTTTGCGTCCATCTCCTCTCTTCAAGAAGAGTGGAGAGGAAAGGAGAGGAGAGGAGAGAAGAGGAGAGGAGAGGAAAGAAAACAAGACAAGAGAATCCGCTTCTAGTGTATCTCGTGAGAGCCTCGCCCGCGTCGATCACGTGCAGTTGCCGCACTTGACCGGAATCGATCGAGTGATCACTACGAAATAAATGGCGCAGGTGATCGATTAAGAAGAGAAGAGAAACGACAGCAACAAAGTATCGTGAGCGATATACATACGTACATACATATATACCATGGTTTTGAGACGAATGCACGAAACACGGCTGTGCATTTGGATTTATTTATAATTTTCTCCAACCGCGTGCTCCTCCTCGTTGTTGCTCCATTTTGACGATTGTTTGGCAACTTTTTAGCGTGCCGTTCCCAGAATACCGGAAACATTCCACCTGTTCGCCAGAACCGCGATGACGACTGAGTAATTTTATACGCGCTAACATCATGGTGCGCTACATTGCGTTGCGGGAGCTAAAAATGTTATCCAACGTCAACGTTGACGCTTTCACGAGAGAAGCCGACGAAGGCGGCGACACTCACGCGGTAACGATTCCTCTCGTCTGTTGTAACGTGCGAGAGTTCGTTAAAAATCGCGTTACACAAAGACGTGACGCACTGACACCTACGTGTCGCGCAACATCTCTAGCAGAAATTTCTTTTGAAATTACCGTCCTTCGCGCTGTCTTTCTCGCGTTGATCGCGTGTATATTTCTTTCATAGGCGATAGGTAGATCTTCTGTGGCGATTTCAGGGACCCTACTCTGGCCTACGCGTTTCAATCGCTAAATATGCCTTTCTAATTTTCAGGCTAGAGCAACATGTTAACGTTCGTACAAAAAAAGCGGATCTTGAGAAAAGATTATCAAAATTAAAAGATCATACTGTGGATGTTCGCCATGCGTCTAGAACAGGATAAAATTACGCATACAATTTTGTTCTCCGAAGGAGAACCGGAGGAGTTATCTAAGTGCAAGAGAACAGTTTACAGCTCGGAAGATAGAAAGTGTGTCAGCCAAAATATTAATCCACCGACTGGAGACACAATGAGGCTTCTGGGTGCTCGCCATATTGGATAGTGACGTCACACGTGAGAAATGACACGCTGAAAATTCTTGCACGCCACTTCCAAATAAGATATTTGCATGAAAGAATAATACGGATCGCTAGAGCGTGCTTGTAAAATGCTTCGAGCGCTACGCTTCTTTCTTGATAGTTAATCAACTATGTATGAATATCGAGTGATCGTAATACGAGACTTAGTCATGCGTAGGCATTCCATATGATCTATATATCGGAGTCGTTTTACGGCTATTTATCGACTTTCAACAGAGAAGCATAGTGTTTGAAGCATTTTACAAGTATGCTTTAGCGAGGTTCTCAATTCCTTCCTACACAAGTATCTCTTTACTTGGAAATGACACGCAAAATTTTTTGGCGTTTTCTCGCTTCTGAGGTCATCATTGAGTTCCGCAACGAGGAACCAGGAGCCTGAGACCCAAAACAGTAAATCCAGGATAGGGTTCCAGCTCCAGAGACTGCATTTGTTGTTTCTGCGATACAAGGAAGGAGGGTGGGTGATACAACGGCCTTCTACATTTTTGTAACGTACTTCTACGTTTTTGTACTTAAAACTACGTTTTTTATCGCGCCACGCGTATACCGCGATTTCCAAATCGTTATCGTCGCTTCGATTCATCGCGCTCGTTGTTGACCGTAGATTTTATTCCGGCGATGGTGACGGACTCGCCGATTGTTAGCGAATGCAATTACGTTGCGGTGATGATTGTTTTTATATAATTCGAGTGATTTCCGCGGAATTGATCATTGAATGTGAATGCGAACGAACGAATGTCTCGCGCGCGTGCGCGGGACCTGGCCAACGGGTGAGACTCCGAGCTCTGTCGCGATGTCTCAGTGAGACGCTTCTTGTAAAGACAATCAGAGTGCACAGAATGGTTGAAACGTAAGCGATGCTTAGAGCCTAAGTTACGAGTCAACGCGATTATGTCGGTTCCTCGGTAGAGCCTCTCTTCCTAGCAGTATTCGTCTTGATTCACGAAAATATTTAGATTAGCAGTATTTGTACATTAGTTGTATAGAACGGTAGCGAGAGAACAAGGTAAAGACGCAAGCGAAATTAGTGCGACACTTATAGATGCAGATACCGATTTCTCTCGGTCAAACGAATGATGGTGTCGACGTGGCTTTTTGTAAGCATCACCTCAATGATCATGAAATTTGTAACAATAGTTGCGCAAGAGCGATGCTTTTATTCTCGATGTAATCCTAGTCACGTTACTGCGTTAAAAAAGACACATTGGATATATTTACATCGCTTTACCAGCGTTTTTTAGATTGCACGTTTTCGAAAAAAATGGTCTGTCCTGTGACCATTAGAGAGGGAGAGTTCAGTCATCGCGTAATGCAGAGTGGAAAGATTTTCGCCTCTCACACGTCCACGAACAACTAGTTAAGCGTTCGTATGTATCTTGATCGCGTCGCTATTTCCTGTCACGGAGAAATCCCCCGTTGGAGTCGCAAGCGGATTTCACACGACGACACGATATGTTGAATCATTTATTACGTTGCGAGGAATACGTGTGTGTGATACAACGTCGGTGCGATACAAACGGCACTATAAGCACGTCTTGTCAACTAGCTGACTTATCAAAGATTCATCATCGAGGGGAGAAGAACGGAACAAGCTATAACGCGATTCGACCAAAGTGGAAACTCGCAGGACGACACAATAGGCCTAACTTAGGGCGAATCGTCGGGAACGCTCTCCCGTTGACGTTGAAATTCACGACAGCATGTGGATTTTACGTCCTTTCTGTTCGTTTGTTAAGTTACGATGTGTTGTAGAATTGACTAGGGACAGGAGTTGTTCCAACTCTTTGGTAAGTTAACTACTGATGGTTAAATATGTCATATGTCTGTCTCCGTTTAAATTGTAAGAAAAGTAAAGATAAACGTATGATTTAATTATTAGTTAATTTACCAAGGAGTTGGAACAACCGGCCCTAGATGTAGGGAGTGGTCATTGCTAAATTTGTATCTTTTTCCCAGTAGTTTTTCTTTCCCGTGACACGTCATTCGCGCGACTAAAGCCGTCAGTATCTTCTTAAAAAGAGCGGCTTACACTTAACGCAATTAATTAACAAAGTAGTCTCGCCGGCAGGATCACACGGCATGCGCGCCATAAAAAAAAATATATATATATTGTACAGATGTATACATACATATATTTTTTTTTAATCGCAATGTATTTATAGAAAGCGAATAAGAAAGGAATGAAGAGATAGGAAGAATGAATGGGAGAGAGAGAGAGAGAGTACGGCTAAAATCAACATGACGACCTATCGACGACGGTTCTGTGTGTTACCGTTTTAATTCTTATCGTCTGAGGAAGATGCACCAAGTGACACGCGTGTGGTGTCACACGTAATAAATTACATTAACTTTCTATGCACCCCGTGTGTTTCCTTCACTATCCCGAGGCAATCCTCCTTTCACCATCATGCAACGCATCAAAGAGAGATAGCAAAAACAATCGCGATTGGGATTATATAAGATCGTCAACGAATGGATCTCCAGTGATCGAATTGCGACATCAGTCGTAAAAACGTATTTATATTTGTATGTACAACGGAGATTTGTCTATCTACAACGTACGCACACGCGTCGAACTATTACATACCAGTTATATTACACATTCCGAACGAATCTTTTAAGAAAAAGCTAACGATTCTGTACCTTCACAATCACTCTTTGTACGACTGTAAGATTTCGTTCTCACGTACGGTATTTTCAATGTACAGTTGATCCTTAATGGAGGATGATAACTTAAACATCACCGGGATCATGTTCAAGATTGGATTCTGTTTCTGCAAACATCGGATCCAAGACAACAAGGAGTTCTTACTCGACGTACCGGTGGCACACATCGCAAAATATGTACCGTCTTGTTGTTCGTGAACGCTAAAAGGCCGGATTACTTCTCGTTTGTCCCAGAATGGTATCCTGATGTCTGTGACGTCTGTAACAAAAATATATATATGTTAACATATTCTGTTTACTCTGACAGTAACACCAAGCACCTCTCGGATATACTGGTGCTGGTTCTCCCACTCAAAGTTACACATGAAAATCATATTAAAGGTGAACCAATAAAAAGAACAATACTTATAGTCTACTATGAATAATTCAATAAATATTGAATATACTGAAACTAAAATTAAAATGTTGAAGTAATTGTTCCATAATATACATACATATTTAGATTTTAAATTTAATTAAAAATTTTCTCTATCTTTGATGAATCTATTTCTTGATAATATATGTCCAATAGACGTATAATCTTATTCAAATACAAAATGAGTATGTCACTGTCAGAGTTGATCATACATTATTACTGAGCGGTAACTCACCATCGAGATCCCTGTAAACATCTTTCACTCTAGATTCACCCCGCAGCACAAAGTAATCTATACATTGATCCGCCACCCACACTGAATATGGGCCCTCCACATAGATTGGGTTGCTAATGGGCTGCTTCTGCAGTAATTCCCGCTGTATGTTGCTCATGCTGGACAAAATCCACGTATCCTCAGTAGAGTCTTCCACATCCTTTGTCCTGTACTCTGTGACTATGCTAGTGACGTCTATACTGGATAACTTGTTGACTGCTATTCTAGCGAGCACTCGCGGATCTTTGGGAGCTGGTCGTGAACATGGCCATGGATTTAGATTGGAGAATTTTGGCATCCAGTACATCATCCGCCAGAATTTCTTCAGCACTATACTTTGAACACCGTAGATGTTCAACAACATCTGCTGCATCTCTACATCTGGTATGACAGAGTTATCCTCCATCTTGCAGAGCAGGTCAATGCCTACATATTGTTGCTTGGGGTAATGCATGAATAATGTCTGCAGATAGTTGATTGGGACAAACTTGCCCTTGGGCAACACATCCAAAAGAGCCTTGTATACAGCTAGGTCGCGATTCACCCCAAACTCATCCATATATTTGAGTGCAACCTGGATGAATTCCACATGACCGCGCCTTATCTCGTTTTCTTTTTTATACTCCCGCAGGACATCCAGAAAAGCTTCCTTTTCCTTGTGCTCCACGCTTTCAAAAGAATGCAGTATCAGTGCAGATGACTTAGACTTTTTTTTTTTCTTGTCCTTATCCTTGTCATTATCATTCCGCCGGCACTCGCTTGTGTGGATAGCATTGACCGTTCGCGCCGACATCGACGTACCTTCGAGCCCGTGAGGTGGTTTCTTCAGCAACATGCCGACGTTCGACCCGAGCATGCTCCTCGTGATCCGAGAGAGCATGTTGATTGGTATAGCCTTGTAAGCTGTGTCTAGCACATGTCGTTGTGTCTGCGAAGATTTCACTTTCAACGGGAGCCCACTAGTGCGAGGTTAGGTTCTCCAAAATGGAGCAAACTTCTTTGAGAATAAACGATGCTTGTCGGATGAGGTGTATTGATATTTTTTTTTGACTTGTCAGAGAACCGATTATCCTTTTGATGTCTACAAATTTCAACGGCTCCTATGTGAAGTTTTTGAATTTTATGCTTACATGGGAATACTTCAGGACTTGTATGCATCTATACTCACTTCACTTTACACAAAGACTGCCTTTTCCCGATAAAGACGCTTTCGGAATATCATTCATTCATTCATTCATTCATTCAATATATGGCTCTGAGCAGAGTTATTACACTCCTTCTCCTACGCCAATCACAACGATTTTGGAAATAAAAGAGAAACAGGGACAACGCGTAGGGCAAGAGCACAGGCTTTTGCATAACGCATAATACATAACGCATAAGAAAATAAATCAATTAGTTTTCTTCATTTCCCTCCTCAGGACAGCTCTGGCCCTTAAGGCCTATCCAAACAAACTTGCATAAGCGCGTAACGCATATGCATAAGGAAATTGACCAATTATGATCCGTGTAGTAAAAAAATATCTTTTGTATTAAACATACGATTAGTCAATTTTCTTATGCATATGTGTTACGCGCTTATGCAAGTTTGTCTGGATAGGTCTTTAGGGCCAGAGCACAGACTTCTGCATAACGCATAAGAGAATCAACCAATCAGAGTTCTTCATTTCTGTCCTGAGGAGGGAAATGAAGAAAACTAATTGGTTTATTCTCTTATGCGTTATGTATTATGTGTTATGCAAAAGCCTGTGCTCTTGCCCATAGGCGAGAAATTAAATATACGCGGTGGGACATATTGTAATAATACAGATTCAGGTGAAATGAATACTCCAGCATTAAATGAATACTCCAGCATTAAAAAAATTACTGCAAGAAATAAAGTTGTTGTTATTATATACCATATTGTATAATATTAAAACATACGCGCAATAATTATCTATAATTTGCATATATGGGCGTTTATGTAATTATAAGTAATATAAAAGTCATGATAAATTAATGTGGCCGCACGTTATCTCTGTCGCGTCATTGCTAGAAATCATCCAAACTCTCGAAATTATTTTCTTCCCGAATTATGAATATAAAACAATGAAGAAAGGAGAGGAAGGGGGTGAAAGGGGGGACGGCGTCGTCTGCCTTAAGCCAGCGGCACACGGTGCTTGTTGTCGTGCTGGATTGCTTGCTGGATGAAAATACTGCGTTCTGATTGGTACATTTCCGAAGATGGATGGATTTAATATGTACTTTTATTTCTCCTGCTCCCCCCTCCCGCTCTTTTTAGACCTTCGGGCATAGTCTGGCATAGAGATAGTAACTGTGGTTGCAGCACGGACATAAACCGCCTGAAAGTGGATGTAGCACGGACTTCCACCACATGCAGATTTTACCACCAAGACCTAAAAGTGGATGTAGCGGTCGTAGTTCTCCTCTCAAAATGGATGCAGATGGCGCCCATTTCCAGTGCGAAAAATCGGTGTCGCCGAAAACGCCGTATTGGCCGCTCTCAGTTTCCTCTTTGTTATTACTTTTAAACATGCAGTCGTTCGTTGAGAAACGTTTACAAGGGTTACCACGTGACTTATGTCATGTGACATATGTTTGGTGCAACATGGCGTCTTCGGCTGTCAGAATGCGACGGATCAGTTCATTCTGAAGCGATTTCCAACATTTCGCGCGTTCGACAGCTCGTCACAACAAGATGCCCGTCGACATTAATCGGTTGACGGAGGGCTGGCTGGAGCTGGAAAGCGATCCGGGTATGTCAGTAGTCTTGAACACCTCCGCCAAAATTCTGCGCGTCACCTAGCCTAGAAAAACCGTCCGGATTTCTCGCACCTAAAATCCTGACGTTTCCTGCTCACGGCTGCTCAGGCTTGTTCACGTTGCTGCTGGAAGACTTCGGCGTGAAGGGCGTCCAGGTGGAGGAGATTTATGATCTGCAGAAGTCATTGGAAGGTCCGGTATATGGCTTCATCTTTCTGTTCCGTTGGATCGAGGAGCGACGGTCCAGAAGGAAGGTCGTCGAACAAGATGAGAGTTTCGTCAAGGATGAGGAGATTGTTAACAATATCTTTTTCGCGCAGCAGGTCTAGCATAGTTTCTTTTTTCAAATGTAACTCGTTTAAACCATAGTAATATATAATACACAATGTATGTTGAAATATGAAACACACATCTTAACCCTTTCATCTTTCAATATGTTTTTAAATCATTGAGAGAGTATTTCAGTGTTCAATAGTAATCTATTTCAAGATAAATTATTCAGAATAGTTATTGTCTACTGTTGTTCAGATAACAACAATAGTAACAATAAACTTCAGGTAAATAGTAGATTTTGTATTTTTCTGGAATATCTCCTATAATAGTAAAAGGATTAACATGTAATTTCCAACACATGACTTTAAACATTACAGGTCGTCCCCAACAGTTGTGCCACCCATGCATTACTTTCCGTTTTGCTGAATTGCCCAAACATCCACCTGGGCACAACTCTGTCTCGATTAAAGATGCACACCTCAGGCATGTGTCCGGAGAACAAAGGTTGGGCTATCGGCAATACACCAGAATTGGCTTGTGCGCACAATTCACACGCAATGCCACAAGCGAAGAGACGACAAGACAAGAACACCGGCGTCTCGACGGGTAGATTCACGGGCGAGGCGTTTCACTTCGTGAGCTACGTGCCGATAAATGGCAGACTTTTCGAGCTGGATGGCCTGAAGCCCTATCCCATGGATCATGGTCCGTGGAAGGAGCACGAGGAGTGGACAGAGCAATTTAGACGCGTGATAACCGACCGTTTGGGCATGGCGACGGGCGAACAGCTACAGGACATCAGGTTCAACCTGATGGCCGTTGTGCCCGACCGGCGTCTCGCCATCTCGCACAAATTGACAATGCTGAAGACCAACAGGCAGATAGTTTTGGAAGCGTTGCAGCAGTTGGTAAAGCTAAGTCACCAGGATGGCAGCGGCGGCACGGACAAGAGCTCGCACGACGTTGACAAGGAGAAGCAGTACGACAAGAGAAACAAGACAGAGGACGAGAACGGAGTATCCGCCAAGACGGAAATCGAGGAATCGACTGCAACGATCCCCACCATCACCGTGGAGAGGAACAACGACTCGACAGTGGGAATTGACGAGTCGGTCTCCAGCATCTCGTCTGGCAAGACTGAATCCAAGTGAGTACCGACTAAGCACTTCCTTAACGGGCCGTTTTTGCTGAGTTCAAAAGAGTTTCAAAAAGAGGCGGACCTGAGCGCTCTAACCAATTTAATAGAGCGACCTGCATTCCATTTTAGCGGCATGGAGAAGGTGGTGATGTGCGCCTTGGACTACGCTACGCCGCTGCGGATTCAGACGTCGCCAGCCCACAGCTCATCCAGCACCGACACGTCATCCGAGATAGGCTCGGCCTTCAACTCGCCCACTCAAGGTATAAACGCGTTGTCAGTCTCGCACTCATCGCGAGACAACGCACAACCGTCTCGTCGTGCACACCCGCTTACTCCGGCAAAATATCAAGGTGTTCGGGCACATCATTCGGATCGACTTGATCTCCTCGGAGCCCGACACGCTGTAACAGATGTAGTAGTGGGAGTCTGAGCTTGAGTCCTTTATCTTACCGACTTCGCGGCACGGTTTCTCCTCTTCATCTTCCTCGTCCTCCTCTTCTTCCGTCGAATCTTCGCCGTGCTCCTCTTCGTCGGTCTCTTGCCCGACGAGTATCGTCGTCTCGCCCGTGGCTCGCTCGCCGCCCCTACAAGTCTTTGCGCTTTCTGTGTCGCAGATCCTCGAGTTCATGTTGAAAGCGGTGTAAAGCGGGCACGAGTGTTCTACTATCGCGGCGGTCTTTGGGTCGCACATGTAATACTTGCCGCAGTCGGTTCGGTTTGGTAAACGCACGTTCCTCGTGCACGCCAGCACGCTGACCGACCGCGGCTTTAGTCGCCGAGCCACTGCCTTGTACTTGTCAATCGTGAAGTATCGCTCGTTTCCGAGGTCGTCCGTGATCTTTATCACGTTATCCGCGTCCAAGCCGTCAATTAGCAACTCCAGGCTATTTCCAGTCGGTACGGTCATCACGTTCTCCGGCTGAGAACTCTGCGTAGTCGCCATACTCGGCTTGTCGCTGTTGTGCGACTCGTTACTCGCGATCACGAAGCTGTGCACCACGTAGTTCAGCGACACGTTCTGCTTGCGGTCGTGCGTTGCAAGCACCGCGATAGTCCTGGTTGGCTCCACGCTCGTGTTGTTCTTTAGTTCCAAGCCCGGTGGTATCGCAACCGACAGTTCCTTATAGACGTGCAGTCGACTCATCAGTTCGTGCAGCAGCTTATAGTGGTCGTTGACGATGTTCTTGTACCTCTGCGTCGAGGCCGACGGTGCTCGTCTTCGATTGTTGCTGTATTCATACAGGTACTTCTCCTCTTTGTGATATGACACGTTTCTCACGCCTCCGTCGCCGGACAACGTCGTCTTCGTCGTCGTGGTCTCGTGCTCCTGTGACTCCTGGAACTCGATTAACGGATATGGAGTCTCCGCTTCGGTCGTCAAGTCGGAAGTATCGTCCTCTATCACAAAAGACGAGTCTATCGTCTCGGAGAATTCCGTCGGATACTTCGTGTATCCCGGGTAACTGGACTCCGTCGGGTCTATCGACTCGGCTGAGCCATGATACCTCTTGGTCACGAGACTCGGATCGGTGGAGAGCGTGTCGCAGCTCCAAATGTCGCCAGGGACCACGCACACCCGCAGATACGGCTGGAATACCTGAAATCGGTGGCTGGAATCAGTGTCGAGCATGCTCTTCGAGCGGCTTGTCCAACGGCACCGTTGGGGAGTCCCGACAGGGTCGGTGGACTCTTAAACAGCTTCGTTGACTTGTTAGTTTCTTACCAAGCCGTCCGTGCACCTGGACGGCACCCATACGTAGCCGCCGCCGGGCAGGTTCACACAGTTGTAGAAGATCGTGCAACTCGTGCGATGCGGTTTCTTCGGCTCCGGGCACCTCGACGAGGCCGTCAGGAGGACCAGGCTGCAGCTTAGGATCGACGAAAGCCACATGTCGTGAGCGACGTATTCGGACTGCGTTCTTCGGGCGATTCGGGCTCGTCAGTCTCACGGTCGGACTCGTACTGTGTACTTTTCGCGCGTACGTGGATAAGCCGAAGCAGGTTTCGTTTCGCACCTTTGCGCGTACTGTTACTTGACCTGTCCGTTACGTGGCTGTCGCTCGTCGTTGAAGGTCGAAGCGAGCGATGGAACGGAGGATCCGCGAATTTACACGCGGTGATTAATTCTGCCGCGAGCTCGGTAAGACTTGAGATTGCTGAAGAGGAAGGTGTTTACAAGCTGTACTGTTTGCTTTCCGTTAGCTTGGGGATGGAATTCCGGCCAGAGCAGTCCCACGTCGACCAAGGACTTCAAGAAGTTCGTTGTGATCAGGGTTGCCGGGGACGAGAAAAATGAAGCAGGCTTGAGTGGGTATCAAAGATGCGCGTGTAACTTGAGAATTGATGACTACATCGCATGCTAATCTGGATCATTCGACTCGCACAGGTCGTTCTCTGGGGAACATCAATATAAATGGCAAGAGATTGGTGTCCGACAGCGGTCACTTGCACAAGAAGGTCTGCCTGTCGGGTGAAGTCAGAATCCCTCACGCGAGAGTGAAAACCAGCAACGGCGACACGGTGACGGAAGAGAAGAAGGTCGAGAAGATCGACCCCAAGCTGTGCTCCAAGTACCCGGAATTGTTCGAGCCGCACACGTTCGCGCCCAAGGACCTCTTGGCGCTGTTGAAGAATCTGGAGCATGAGATCAGCGTGTGCGAAACCAGCTTGAAGGACGAGAACGATAAGAGGAACAAGTACAAGGTCCGTTTCTCAGGAGGGCGATGGTTCTGGTAACTATCGTGTAACGTAATTTTAGAAAGAGAGGCGTCTCTCCCTCAGGATGCAGCACTATCGCAATAACTATTATTGTTATGTAGTATTGTTAGTCTCGAGGCATGCAGAAATAACGCGGCTGATCTTGCAGATTGACGACTGTCGACGGACGCATAATTACGACGAGTTTATCTGCACGTTCCTCTCGATGCTCGCTCAGCAAGGGAAATTGGCGGAGCTGGTTCAGCAGCATCTGGCGCTGAAGAAACACACCTCCGTCTCGGTGAACAGAGTTCACAGGTACGTTCATGTGCGTCGTCGTCGGTCGAGAATCGGAATCTGGTCCGAGTTGTCTCTAAAGAATTCAATTCGCCCAGTCGAATTTATTACATTTCTTAAGCTTAAGCTCGTCGGAAGACGGCCAGAGGCTGACGTAGAACCTCGCTGAATTTCCAGGTCCTCCAAGAAATCCGACACTCGCCAGAATTCATCGCGCAGGCGACGCGGCAGAACAAAATGTAAAAAGCGCAAGTAATCTCCCGGCGCGTAACTCTAGAGACTTGAGGGGAGTATCATTCCGTTTGTCGGATTGTTTGCAGCATCCAGCACCGGTAGTTTCATCGTCGTCAAGCGAAGAGGCCATATATACGTACACATAGTTTCTCCAAGCGACGCGCCAGCGTCGCCCGTTCCGCTCAAGAGTCGACGACCTCTCGTCGTCGGCACACGGTGCGCGCATTCTAGCTTCTTTCATTTCCTTTTGGCGCAACGCGAAGGGAGAGGATGCTCTCTCCCTATCTCCCTCAAGGCGCGAGGGCACGATTTCGCTTTCGTTTACGAATTCTCCGTCTAATCTACGAGCACACGACAAAAACAATTACTTCTCTCGCAACTTGTACAAATTAACTTTACGCGATTGTATATACATATATTTTTTTATATTCTTTACATCACCGCGCGCGCGCTATTTAATTGTCCGATCGATCGATGTATTCGTCGCGCCCCTTTTACTTCTTTCTCGCGGGGCGCTTGTGTATCGATGTTTTCTCGTCCGATATATCCCATATTACATTTGTCGCGTATGTGGAATACACGATCTATTACGAAAAATATTGTGCGTTGTGCTTCATCATCGTTCTCCCGTCGTCTCCCTCCTCGCCGCAGTCGCAGAGCGTGAATCGTCCTCGTTGTGGGTGGCGGGAGGAAGGGAAAGGGCGTAAACGCACAACACGGCGGCGTTGTCAAAAACATTGAAAATATTTATTTCGGTATTCATATACAAGTACACTACACGCGCTGTGGATATGTCCCTTAATGTCTAAATACTTACATCTCCGAGCAGCCGGAGAAAGGAGAGGGGAAACCGAAGCTTAAAAAGATCGGAATTATACATACATGATTATCGCGGACGACTTGGTTATATCGATCGCCTGAGTCGCTTTTACATACCAGTAATAGTGCACATAGGAACTGTATAGTCGAAAACGCGCGCGAGTCATCTCACGGAGGGGGGAGGGAGTGAGTGAGAGAGTAGGAAGAGGGGAGGACTTCGGCGTACAACTCAGATGGGACACGGGGCAGGGAAAAAAAATATGTCCATTCCTTCTCCGGCCGACCTTGCTCCGCGGTCCTCGTAACTGCTTTTTGGCAAAGGTGCGATTTTATATATGTACAAGAATATATATATATATATATATATATATATATATATATATATATTGGCTCTCGCGATCGTCCGAGGCGAGCGAGGCAAAGGTGCGCGAGTAATGTGTGTGTGTGTGTGTGTGTGTGAAAGAATAAATCAGGAATAGCAAGAGACCGAGTCGTCGACTCGCTGATTGGAAATTAGCGAATTAGCTCGGCAGAAGACGATCTATTTACATACACACGGTACAGCGTCTTCGTTCCTCTCGCCGTTGGCCGCCAGGCTTCGCGCCTCTTCGATTCGCGAGACACACGCGGCGACTGATTTCGTCATTACAGGCACTCTCGGTATTTTACAGCGACGCGATTGCGAGCACGGTATCCTACGCTAAATCAACTACTTCCTCGTGTCCTTTACAGCGCGCGGAGCTCGCCGACGGTGGCTTTTCTCACTTATTGCTACTGGCTACGTTATTCCTCGCGCGCACGTCGACGACGGTTCAAAGCCCGTCGGGCGTCGCGGTCGTCCTCCTCGTCCCTCGGGCTCGCACGGAATCGTTTTACATACAAGCACACTGTACAAAATGTGGAACATTCACGCTGAGGAGCAACGTAGAAAAAGAAAGAGGCGAGCGGGATGAGAAAGAGACAGGAGGAGGAGGAGGAGGAGAAAGAGGAGGAATACAATACGAGATCCTTTCCGCGTGCGACGCCCGAGTCCATCTCTCTCAATCTGCGCGACGAACGCGGCCGACGAGACTTGAACGCGGCGTCTCTTTTTCGTGCGCTTTCAGTTAAAATCGTAAGCTCGCCAATTCTCCACCATCATCGGTTCGCGCTCCGCCGTAACATAGGCGATTAGTATACAATAAATAGGGGATGATGCGCGGGGTCGCGGCTTAAAACGTCGTCGGGTCTCGCGCCTTTATCGCTCTACGGTATCACATGTGGTATTAACAAATGGTTGATCGATCGGGACAGCGGGACACTGATCGACAAAATTCTCCCGGTGATTTTCTCTCATCGATTCTAGCGCGATTACACGCCGCCGTTATTTCCTTCTTGTCGTCGTCGTCGTCGTTATCGTCGGAACGATAAATCTTCTCGGATGCTTTTTCTCTCGACCGTTTGTAGTGAAAGTCGGACGCGCGCGACCGGTTTGACATCTCGTCGTGATCTCGGCGAGAGATTTCGATCAACTTTGGTTCTGTGCTAATTGCCGTGTCGGAGAATCGGCGATACTTCCGCTACGACCGACGACTCCCATCGTCCTGCCTCCTCTCTCGAGGAGAGTTCCTTCGAGTCCGCGACAATCGAGCGCTGTACACGCGTTTACAGAGTTCGCTTTCAATGATGATATCGAAAAATACATTAATTTGAAAAATATATGCATATATGTATATTCGAGTGTATATATGTATATTTCTTATAGGTGTATATATGCTATGTATATATATATATATATATATATATATATATATATATATATATATATTACATACACTTATAGGCTTGCTTAATACTTTAACACTAAATTTCGCCTTCCGAGATTTTCCGCAATGAATATTTTACACTTAGACTCGACAGACAAGCGTTCTCTCGTCCGGCGTTTTGTAACACAGATGCACTTTCGTTTCGTTTATACATATACATATATACAGACGCGTTACTACTACGTCGACGTTGTAGTACAATCAATAGCAAAAGTATAAAAAAGGAGACAGTCGCGCAAAGTCGGGCGAGAACGGAGCCTTCTTCTCGATGGAAAGCGCAGCCTCGCTATTCTCTCTCTCTCTCTCTCTCTCTTTTATTCTTTTTTCCAAGTCCGGATCAATCAAGGACTCGACTTTGCTCTCTCAATCTATAACTCGAAACAGCATTCCACTTGTAGTTTCGTGTAACACAGAAAATATTTGGTGATCTGTCGACACATCCGAGTAATCGTCCGAAAGTTTCTTCGACGAGATTATCTTACTCGACCCGCATGTGTCGCGAATTATAGATCGTCCTGAGCAAATCCGGCGTCCAGCACGATGAGAAATCTGAGGATCGGTGGAGCTTCGCGAGAGTTGCGAGACGCGATAGCGAGGGCGAATGAAATAAACGAGAAGCGAATTCGGAGCGGGAGACACCGATGAACACTGCGAATCTTCGATATTTCTGACTTCCGACGGAGAGGTGAATATTGTTCTCGGGAACACGTTAAAGGTCAACATTGAAGATTGATAGTGGACAAAAGCTCGATCCTTTTGACGATAAATAAATAATTGTGAACGCGACCGAGCCTCACCTCTCAAAGCTCCACCGTGCGAGGTTGTCGGCGCCCGCCGCTTTACATGTAACAATAGCGAAGAAGAAGAAAGGAGATGATAAGGGATGACGATGGCGGAAGAAGAAAAGGGACCAAAAGACGAGTAACGAGAAGAAAAGATCCCTGCTCCGTACGCGGGAATGGAATCGTTTATACAGTTACGTCTGAGACGGTAGTGAGATAGCCGGTTGCGCGACCAATTATTAACCGGGGAGTAAAAGCTCGGGGTGGTGAAACGGTAACGCTGTGATCGTTCACACCTTCCTGCATGCAGGATATTGGCTCGGCGCGACTCGCCTCGCCGCGATACGATTGCCCGGATCAACAAACCTCGCTCTAGTAAGGATATAATGCTGAATAATAGAAGAACGATTAGCCTACGAGTCTTACAACGTACAACTTACGAACGCTACGGGTTAATCGCGTCGCTCTTAACTCCTACCGCCGCCTCGGTACCAAAGTGGAGACAAAATCGCCCTCCGAACCTTCGACCGGCGAGCCACCGATGACACGCACGCGCACACACACATTCGGTTGTGCTCGGCAACTCCGCGAACTGGCTTCTCCTGTCCGTCGTATCACAATAAGTTATCATCTTCAGCGGAAAGGAACGATCGCAAGGGTTCCGGAAGAGGGTCCGACGGAGTCTAGCCGGTCGAAAGACCCGAGGTGTCGCGTGTAAGATGTCGCATTCACATGAGATATGACTCGATCATTGACGCGAGATGACGATCGATCCCGCGGCGAGCAGATCGGTAGTAATCTCAGCGGTTGTAATTCGCGCCGAGCTCAGCTCGCGATGTCGGTGATCGTCCGATGATTGCCGACGATTGCGCCCGACTAGAAGTTCGCCAGTGGCGTTCCGCCGCGTTGATTCTTCTCATTAGCGGATATTAAGCGCTTTCAATTCCTTCCTTCTTTCCCCCCTCCCCCCCCCTCTCTCTCGTTAATCCATCATATATCAACATATTTTCTTCAAAAGGTGCAAAGACACGTGTCACAGAAAGACCTCGGCAGAATAAAACAACGTTTAAAATCAGTATCTACAATAATTCCGGAGAAAGCCAACAAGAAATTAAAAGTCCACGTAAAACTCGATCCGGACGAAAGCAAGCAGTCGCGCGACTCGCGAGTGTCGCCGATGGATTCACCGGTCGAGGGTGAACAACAATCGATCGATCACTACCCATCTGCTCTGTCAGGCAACATCCGTCTGAAAATGAAAAACAGGGAAAAAGAACTCCTTTCGCGATCGGTCTCGAGCGCTGCATTCAGCTCGACGTCGTCAACTCCTCCCGCGACGATCCGTGGATCCGTCCGGTCGTCCATCGAATGCGCTTCAAACGACGACTCCTCCGCCTGGCCGCCGCCACCGTCGTCGTCGTCGTCGTGTCTAATATCCCAAAGAACCTCGGCATTCAGCCGGAGGAATCCAGCAACGAAGGGCTCATACGCCCCAACTCACAGGATCGCGGCGCGCCTCTCACGGCCCGTTGACCGCGGCGGCGGCGTTCGACGCCAAGCTGTGCACCGTCACCAGGTTGTCGCCGGGCGTGACGGGCTTGCCCAAGCGGAATATCGACTGTAGCGACGCTACTTCGGATGCCAGACGGTCGAGCTTCAGTTTTACCTCACGGTCGCTGTCGGACACCGCGGAAACATTCGGACCCGTCCATTCGGCGCCCAACGAGATACCGGAGTCGCGTTCGTCGCTGGAGCCCTCGTTGTCCCATGGTGGCGACGCTCGCGCGCCCGGCTCCTGCTTGATACCCTGAAGAGCCAAGAGCGCGCTCGCGGCGTCCTTGTCGCCGATGCGCGACTTGTGCCTGAGCTTGTGCGGCAGGCTGTTGTTGGCGGCCGGGTTCTGAGAGCCGACCACTATCTGAGGGCTCTCATCGCCGCTGCCGGACGACAGCTCGAAGGGCGACTGCGCCCTGCGGCCGCGGGAGAGGTTGAGCGCGCTCGTGGTGTCCAAGTGCATCGCCGTGTGCGAGTACGGGTACTGGAAGCTGTCGGTCTCCGGGTAAGCCGTGGTCTCCGGCACATAGAGCTGCGAGGCGGGCGACCTCGGCGACCGTGCGCCGCTCACCGGCTGGTGGATCACCGACGTGTGCACCGGGCTCGGCGTGCGGGTGTAAATGAGCGCCGCCGGAGTCGGCAGCTTCGCCCGCTTCACGCTCATCGTCGGCTCGCTCGGCAACGCGGCCAGCACGTGCTCGGTGTTGATGATCGCCTCGCCGCAGATGCCGTATTTGTCGCGTATCGCTTCCAGCTGCGCCTTCAGTATGTGGTTCTCCTTGCTGAGCTCCATCACCCGCTGCTCCAGCACCATGTCGTTGAAGCGGCGCTTCTCGCGCGACCGCTTCGCCGCTTCGTTGTTGCGCCGCCTGCGGTCCCAGTAGCTGTCGTCCTTCTTGTTGTCGGGGATGAACTCGCGCTGCTTGCGCTGCGTGAACAGGTCCTTCCGGATGTCGAAGTTTGACGAGTAGTTCTCCGGGTGCTGCTGAGGGTCGTGGTGGTCGTGGTGGTCGTGGTGGTCGTGGTGGTCGTGGTGATCGTGATGGTCGTGATGGTCGTGATGGTGCTGCTGCTGCTGCTGCTGCTGCTGCGGCTGCGGCTGGTGCGGCTGTTGCTGCTGCGGCTGCTGCGCCTGGTGGTGGTGGTGATGATGAGTGGGCTGGGGCTGCTGCTGCTGCTGCTGCTGCTGCGGCGGCGGTGGTTGCTGCTGCTGCTGCGGCTGATGCTGATGCTGCTGTTGCTGTTGCATCGCCGGTGGTCCACCATGGTGGCCAGGGTGGGTCAGCGGCGGCAAGGGTCCGTGCGCGTCGTGCCCGGCGTGGCCACCGTGGCCGCCGTGCGCCATTGTGTGCGTGGCCGGCATGTTGCTGCTGTTCAGACACGCGGTCTCACCATTGATGGGCGATCCACTCTGGCGGGCGACAAACTCTGCCACCATAATTCGTTCTCTTAGTACATCTGCAACCGAGCGAAGGGAGAGAACTTGTTAGTCGAAGGATTCGCCCAGAGGACAAGAGTATTGAAGACAAGCGAACGAATTTTCCCCCCAACAATTGGAGCGACTGTTCTCGCTCACACGGAGTGAGGAGCTCTTCCGCCTGAATCGCCGAGTGAAAGTCTTCACCTCGAGCTGAATGAGTGAGCTCGACATGAGCGCTCAATCGTCGTTGGAATAAGCTCGCTCGCTCTCTAATCGACCGAGAAACACTCGCTTTTGCGAGTGTCTCTTCGAGCGAGGTTTCCCTCCGAGACGTTGAAAGAGCGAGTGGAAACGCTCGGTTCAGCCGGATACGTAGGTTAAGATAAACGTGAGCGCGATTCGACACGCGAGTCAACGCGCAATCCGCGCGCGCTTATTAGCGGCGATGACGAAAGTCGCGTCGCGTGCCAGGCGACGCTATACGTCAGAGGGTCGACGACGACGAATGGTCGCTGCTCAACGATTCGCGTACGCGAACGTGCGGGGAAGGGTTTTTCATAAGAATCTATAATAATTTATAATAATAAGCATTCGTCCCCATCTCCTTCATCCTTTAACGAAGACGATCGTTTCCGGTATCGGCGTCTGAGGCGGTCGACGATGCTGACGATCGTCGCGAGGCCGCGCACGTATTCGACTCGAGACGACTCGAGGACGATCCTGTCGTTGTCGATATGATTCTCGACGACAGCGGCTTCGGAGAGCATTGTGGCTGAAGAGAGCGCAGAGCACCGCGAAAGCGAGCGGCCAAAGATAAAGAATGCCGAGAGTTCGGGAGACGTGCTTGCACTGCCAACGGACGGGCGAAGAGCGCGTGCGAGAGATGTTGCAAAATAGCCTTGAGTAAGGTCGTGCTCGCTCCAAGGTCGAAGATGTCGGTGAACCCGGCGAACACGGCCGCGAGCGTCCGCCGTTCGCGCCTTCGGCGTTTCGCCTTTAGCTCGATTTAACTCGGCTCGATTTACGAGGTGACGGCTGCTGCCGTTGCCTCGATAGATCGTCACGCTGAGAAAATCATGTTTGTTATTTACAATTGTAGAGTCGTGTGATGGAAGAACCATGGTCGAGGCAATTACTTTTTGCAGCAAGTATTGCGTATCGTGACTGCTACGTTTTTGTTAGAACAGCGAGAAGACGTACGTGTAGTGTTGAGGCGCAAAGATAATTATAATTTTAGCAACGTTGTTCCTTTCCTCTCAGCGCAACGCAATTCCGTCCGAATTCCGTCGAAGGAATCGTCTCACAACATTATAGATACCGCGTGATAAAAAGAAAAAAGGGAAAAGAAAATAACGCAAAATTATGAGGAAAGATGAGGTGCCAGCGAGAGCTGATCGCAAGGTGTCGCGCGCGCGATATGACTCGCGAAAGAAAATGAAAAATCGCCCGGAGATCCGACGATGAAGCGGATCGTTAGCGACATAAATCTTCGCGAGCTCACGTTCGCCGGCTCTAATTGGCTCTCACGAGAAATCGAAGCGTCGCGGCCCAAGATCGACGGCACGCCAATTAGCGCCACGGTTACGGCCTTTCTTCCCTCCTTCCTTCCTCCGTTTAATTAAAAAAATCCTCCAATTCCCCAATGGCGGAAATATCGGGACGCTAGCGTGACTCGCGAAGCGCTCGTGTAATTAAGTCGTCTCCTCCTCCTCCTCCTCCTCCTCCTCTCGATCCGCACCGCCGTGCGATTATCGGCCGTTGGATGTCCGCGATTAAGTAGCCCGCGAGAGCGTTCGTTTCCTCCATCCGCTATTTGCGATCGCTTATTTTTAACCCGCGATCGCGGATGAAAATACTCCGTCGCCTCCGCTACCTCCCCTCCTCTTCCTCCGGCTTCGCCTTCGACGCGTACGTAAGCTTTAATCCGATGGCGCACAACGCTGCTCGGTTATGCAATCACGCACGTGCGCTCGCGGAGCCGCTCCACGTGTTCCGTCTCTGGGTGTCGGGAACCGCCGCGCCGCCATCGCTGCTCCGCCGCTGGGACACGTATTTATCCGACCTTCGGTATTTATTGCACAAGATCAGTCTGAGGAGCGCATTAGCGCGCACGTACTAATAACGCGCGCGAAGGTACGCCCGCGTAAACAACGTTGCTCTTTCCTCCCTATTCCCTCCCCCCCTCTCTCTCTCTCTCTCTCTCTCATTGAATCTGTCGCGCGGAAAATTTCACGTGCGCGAGCGGCGGTGGCTAATCGTATCCACGCTCGGCCGCACGGCTCCTGGAAGGAATTCTCTCTTAGAGAGATAAGTCCCGTTATGTAAAACGCGCGGCGAGATATTTTTGTAAGTGTGCGCGCGCGCGCTGTGTCAGTCTCATCTTTATCGGCCGGTTTCGATAGTCCGGCGTATTTCTGGTCTCGTAATGATACGCGCGTCGCGATGGCTGAGAGAAGAGGCCCGGTCGGAGAGGGGGGTTCGGGCGGATTAATACATGCCAGTTTTGGAGTGTTCTAATGACGAAAGAAATTTGCACATTCCTCGGTTCTTCTCTCTCTCTCTCTCCCTCTTTCTTTTTTTTATTTAAAAGCCATTTCGCCATTTTTTTAAAAGGATTCTTTGCAACCGCCCGCCACGCCACGGTTTCTTTGCGCAATTCCGTGCGCGGTCTTCTTCTTTCGCTTCATGGACGGATGTTTTTCACGCAAAATATCTTGCAAAAAGGAATATCTCTCGCACGCACATCTATGTGTTGCGCTACGCGACCCTGTCCTCTCTCTCTCTGTCGTTGAGAGAGAGAGAGAGAGAGAGAGAGAGAGAGAGAGAGAGAGAGAGAAGGAATCTCGCGGCTTGAGATACGACGAAGCGCGCCTCGCCAGGCTCGTTTATTATTGCAAGCATGTATATATTATACGTACATACATTTCACAATAATGTCAACGAAATATCCATAACAGGCACGCAAATACTCTTCCGTTCGTCCCGTCCCGTTTCTGCTGATTACGGCATTACATCATAATTGACGTAAGCACGGGAAATAATCTCGGCGATAAAAACACTTCGGCGATCTTCGCTCATGATCGCTCGCGCGAACTCGACATCCGCGGCGACGCGGTCGGAAAAAAAACACAAAGTTGAGAGAATCCGCGCGTATCGTCGCAGGATCATCGCAGGGCGTCTCACGAGTGTGCGCGTACGTGTAGCCGACGACGACGACGACGACGAGAAGCGGAGAGATGCAGCGGTGCGCCGTCGCGTTACGTAAACGGCGGGATGGCCCCCGTGCGTTTCCACGGGCACGTGCATTTATGGAAGCCCCGTCGTCGATGACAACTCCCCTCGCCGTCGCCTGTGTAAACACGCCGGCGCAGCCGCCGTGTCGTACGTGAACCTTGTCTAATCACGTGCTCGGGGTGTCGCTGACGTCTTGAAACGTGCACTCGCGACCTCGTGGCGTTCCGCCGATTTAACGGCGGGGGCCGTTATGCTGCGTCCCTCTCCCCCTCCCTCGTCCCCGCCGGTCCCCCCAGGTGAAGTGCGCGACGCGCAAGCGAGCCTCTCGGTGAGTTGTCGCGTTTAGCGAGCCAACGGGCCGCAAATAACGGCGAGTTTACCGACGCCGTGGCGATCGAAATGTCCGAGGCAGGATCGACCGGGACGCGATAGTCGAGTACGCGAGGTCTCCAGGATCGCCGATATGGAAATATCACGCTCACGTACACACGTGGTGACACATCGCCGTGAGGCAGCGGTTATTTAATCCGATTTACGTAACGATCGCTGCTTTGCAAAAGTTCCAGAAGACTGAGTCATTAATTCCTCCGCGGCTCTCATCAACTGGGTCGCGGTGTGACGCGCTTTTCACGAGGCGCCCTGAAGAGGCTGCGACACCGACACGACGCCTCGTCGCAGCGACGGAGCGTCCGAAAGTAAAAATGTCCGGTGACGTGTCTAGCTTCTAACTCGCGTCGTATACGAAGTTCGAGATCGGTTGTTCTCGGCCAGCCTTTTGAGCCTCCCTCCTCCTCGTTTCTCCTTGCTCGCCATGCGATGTTGCTCGTCGCGTTTAAGCTTCGCGTTTGAATTCCTCCTTCGCGTACCTCGTTCGCGACGAGCCGCTTGAAATATCGATTTAACATCGATGCGTGCGTTAATGAATTCATCATGAAACTTTCATCATGGCCAATATTGATTAAATTCGTGCCGCCGAAAGTTTACGAAGAGTTTTACTTTCAGTTTATTGTTTGTGTCATTTTTATTGCACGCGCGCGCGCGTGTGTTTCTGAGGAATTTATTTCCATCTCAAAATAATAATATGTCAACAAGAAGAAATATCTTTCAGTTACATAGCGAGAAGGATAAGATAAAATAACGCGAGGTCGAAATATTAATAACTTGAGAAAGTTAACGACGAGTCCTATCCGCCTCCTAAGCGAGTCCTCGTCGCGCGATTTCTATATCTCGACGAAGGATACGGGCCAGGAATTTTGGAGAATGTTCCCTCTTTCTCTCGCTCTCGCATTGCGACACGATCTGATCGGTTCTCGAAAGTCCAGAGTCGCTCGGTCCTCGATATATCAGCGTACGCGCACGCGTTCACGACACGGCCAATGAATTATCGGGACACGATACCTCGTCGAAATTGAGCAATCCCTTGGAATTTCCAGCCCTCCAATTGCATGCGATTTCGCGTGACTCATGTTGCAAAGCCAGTCATGGGGAAGAGAGAGAGAGAAGGAGAGGGGGGGCAGGGGCGCGATCCGATCTTAACAATTTTCCCCCGTGCGGAAGCCGCCCACGCGAATCAATCGCGAGACTGTCGGGGAGGGAAACGCTTGCGCGACTGTGTATCAGCTGTCGAATCACATATTACGTACCAAATGAGGGCGAAAAGCGCCAAGGCTCGCCGCGCCGCGCCGGCGAACGGGAGAGCGACGTACGTTGCACTCGCCAGAGTATCGCGCAAAGTATCCGCGTAAGTAAACGTCAGAAGGACGCACACGCGCTCGCGCAGCCCAAAAGCGCGGCGCGCACTTTCGCCCACGCGGGCGACTCTTCCGTAAACGTTTCTGCGCTTTGAAATTATCCCGAAATACCCCCCCGGTCACTCGTAAATTCCCGCCGGCCGACGTGAAAGCGCGTCTATTTCAAGCGGCGATTCACACCTTCGCGAGACCGCGTGAACACACACACTCGTCGCCGTCGCTCGCGCCCTTCAATTTGAAGTCCGATTCGAGAGCCGCGCGGATCTTTCCACGGTCGGCTGACGAAAGAAGAAAGAACCGAAGAGAGACGCGTCGCCTTGCGTGTATCGTTTGATGCCCGGCGTCGGCCAATTAAACGCGTAAACAACGTTGTTGACTCTGCTCGGCGGTAAGCTAAGCGCGTAGTAGGCAATTCCGCGGGGCGAATCGCGCAAACAACCGGTCCCGACTGACGCGACGGATCGCTTTCCGTTCGCGCCAACGGCCAGACAACGTGCGGACGCGTTTCGCGTCGTGTGACGCATGCGGAAACGCGGCGGCGCGCCGCGTGACGTACGCCACGTGTCGCCATCGGGGGAATCACGTTCTGTTGTTCCGCCCGCGAGGACGACGTGCGTGCGACGTGCGGCCCTTGAGTCGCGCTGGAACCGACGATCGGCGGAAGATCGCGCGCGACTGGGAATTTCCGCGACCTCCCATCTTTCCGCCTTCGATCGGCCGACATGTGCGATCGCTCGCACAGGAGGAAAACTTGGAAGGCGGTCGCAATCCGGACGCGAGCGCGCGTTGCGATCACGCAGGACGACGCGTGTCCTGTCAAGCGGGACGATTCGGATCGCGCGTGACTTCCTCGATAAGGAGACTTATTTAGCGAGGATTCGCCGGGAGCGAGAATTCTCCCGCCCGCGTCGGGCGATAAGTGCGCGAGCCTCCGTGGCTGCTGGAATTAACGAGCGAATTATTCGCTTTCGCGAGAAGAGATTCCGCTTAGCCGGAATTGAATGGAGAACGCGGAATCGCCGATTCCGTGATTCATCCTTAATACGAGTTCGCGGTGACGAGGTGCGACACGACGATGACGATGGCGGGATGAAAAGAGAAGAAGCCACGTGGAAGAGGCAGCCTAATATTCCGATCGTTCCTCGTACGTGAATCAACGACGTGACGTCAATGAGCGCGCGCACAATGTTACGCGTTAATTAGATTCGTCGATAAAAATGCCGTTCATGGAAATAAACGCTCATTAAATTCTAAAGCGTAAGTCTACTGATGGCGAAACGTTACGCAATCCCGATGTCGCGTTATCGCTACGTCGTATCGTGGCGTCGTTTGATTCCGATTCCGATTTCGTAATGCGCTTCTTGCCGCTTCGTGCGCGTCTAACGTCTCTCGTTCGACTGGAAGAAACATAAAAAGCACAGTCCAGTTTCTCGCCAACGAGAAACGTAATCAACGCGTGGGCTTGCACGCTTCCGACGATGATTCGGAGCGTTTGGCGAACGCGGTTGTTACACGGCGGGCGCGTCATCGCGAGATGGGACAATAAACAAGAGAGAGAGAGAGAGAGAGAGAGAGAGAGAGAGAGAGAGAGAGAGAGAGAGAGAGAGAGAGAGGAAAGGAGAGGTAGACTGAATCACGAAATGGACCGGTAATAATTTCGCCGAGTCATCAACGCGCGTTGCGTGGATTTTCCGGCGAAAACGTCATAATGTATATAGCGTTGCGCAATTTTCGCGTTCGCGGAGAGGCGGAGGACGGGAAGAGACACGAAGAGACACGTATGTGTGATACATTCGCGGCTTTCGCGTACGGCCATACCTGTTACACCACGTCCGCTTGTTCCGAAAATCATCGCACGTGTGACGTGTAGTAGCGCGATAGAAGTCATCCGAGCGCGCGATGACTTGGCTCGATATAATTTAAGGATGAGCTCATTGAAACGCGAGTACGTGTATATGCGTCTCTTCCTCTCTCCCAAGCTCTTAATGATAAAACGGACGAAAGGAAGGAAACGCGAATGGAAGTCGCCGCGATGCAAAATGGACAATGGAAGAGACTTGCTCGTAAAAGTCAACAAGACAAAAATTTTTTTTTATATAAAAACTACGAGACATTATTTTCTTTTATATATATATATAAAGAAATCAATCTTGCATCTTCTGCGAACCTTCGGAAACGATGGAAACGATGAGTCGTCGAAGGAAAAATCGAAGGACTCGCGACGCTCGGCGGAATGAAAACGCGCGCGCGTGCGCGCGCCGCTAACTCGATTTAGAACCACGCGATCGCTATTAATATTCGTCTGTTGTCGCTATTGTTGCGCACGATGAACGCAGCACGCGCGCACGATCCGGGAAAAACACGTTGGCCAACTGCGCGTGTTCCGAGCGCGCGCATCTCCGCAGTAATCTCCCTCTCGTCATTATCAATCGACGGTTCCGAGGAAATCTTATCTCACGGTGTCACCTAATTTTCCGGGAACGCGCTCGCGCGAGGGAGACAAAGAGGCCGCCAGAATAACAAGGAAGAGACAGAGCGAGCAAGAGTAATGAGAGAGAGAGAGAGAGAGCCGGAAAGAGCACGTTGTCACAGGCACGTGTTCGGCCGCGCGTTGCGCAATGCGCCAAGTCGCACGTGACCCGCTGCATGTCCTCCGTGTCGCTCCCGTTAGCGTGTCTCCCTCTCCCTTTTGCCAGCGATTTTCCGCGGAACACGCGGCGAGTTCGCCGCGCCGAAGATTAATGCGTCGCGCGCGTTCGCCGAGCCTTCCTCCTCGCTCTTCGCGGAGCGTTTTCGCGCGCTCGCGCCTCTTGGAAAGCGCGCGTTCTCGCCTCCAAGCGGAAGCTTGCCGGTCGCGGAGCGGGGCGTGAGTAATCGATTGTCCTCCGCAGAGAGAGAGAGAGAGAGGGAGAGAGAGAGAGAGAAAGAGAGAGAGAGAGAGAGAGAGACTCTCGGTTCTCGCGATTCTCCCGGCGGATTCGATCGCGGCGAGAAAGACGAGAACGCGCCGCTGCTCCGGGAGGTCAAACGCGACGGTCACGCGCGACCCAATCGCGACATTATCGATTCGCTCGCGACTGCGATTAGCAGCCACTGCGTACTTATCTCGCGCGCGGGCGCACCTTGAGACCGGACCGAGGAAATTGATATCGCGCGCGCGTGCGTGCGTGCAGGAATTTAGAGATTCGAAAATAATTGGCGTATTGTGCTGCGGCGAGAATGATGAGTAATTAGCCGCGATATCGCGCGTATCTCGATTAAGTCATCGGTCGACCCGACGCCCGTCTGTTTTTCTTCTGACGCGCTCTCGTTCGAGGAAACGCTCCCCTCGCGATGTGCATACGCGACGTACCCTCCGACTCGATCCGCGTGCGTCTTCCGGGAAATTTATTTACACTATCTCTCGCGGGCACGCATGGAGGTACTTTCGGAAAATCCGTCGCGATGGGACGGAAGTCTAAAATTATTGAACGCTCGCGACGCGCTGCAGGCTGTCGCCACCGGAGAGCAACGTTCCGGCCGGCGAGGAGGAAGGAAGAAGAAAAAGAAGGCCCCTCGTGTCGCGCATAATTTACGGGCATTGTATAGCGGCCGGACGTGGGACCCGCGTGAAATATGACGGATTCGAAAAATAAATCCCGGCCGGCATAATAAATACGACGACGACGCCGCGGCGTGGCGCGGCGTGACGATCTTGGAACGCGACTATCGGCCGCGGTATTATTTGCGGAATGCGCGTTTCGGAAAAAACAGCTGAATAAGAATGCGCGCGAACGCCTGAAATAGTCGACGGGTACGACGAACTTAAGCGCGCGCGCGCGCGCGCGTCCGTCCATCGCGCATAAAGGCATGTGCACAATGCCGTAGGCCGGCCACCCGATACCGCTCCGGCCGTGCGCGCGTGTGTTACGATTGCGGTCAGTGCTCACGTAACAGAGAGCCACTGATACCGTTATCGGCCTTTGCCGACGGAGGCATTTCGAACCGGTCTCCGATTTCGTTTCCCGCTCATTATGCAACTGGCCCGCGATAACGCGGCCGATCGTCAGCGGAACGAAAAGCGCGCGCGCGCAGGCTTCTTCGCGATTCTCAGGATCTCGCGAAACCTGGAGGCAGCCTCGAAAAAGCCGAGAGGCCGAGGTCCGTCGGACGGCGGCCCGGAAACGGCGAAGCGTCGGAGCTATCGATCGGAGACACCCGGTATAGTCGTATTATAGTCGCGTTACAGAGGCACGCTTTGTCGTTACGTAATCGTGAGTCACGCGGCTTGATACGATTCAGAGCGGCGGCGGCGGCGGCGGCGGCGGCGGGGCCGGGGGAGGAAACGGGAGACGAAATTACACGAGACGAGCGCGTGCAGAGCGGCCTGTACGTTTTAGAGCGCCCTGGACGGCCCTGGATTTATCGCGCAGCTGCAGCAGGTTGCCGAAATTTCGACTCGCGAGAGCGCGAGCCTTTGAAACTCCAATACCCCGCCCTGCGAGAGAGCCCACGTGCGCGCGCTGACGTGTGGGCTCCGAGTCGCACGTAATCACCCCTCTTCCGCATTTTTTTTAGTAACGAGATTTTAAGTAGCGAGACGCAATTATCGACGCACGTGGCGACGTGTTTTGCGTACGCCGAGCCAAGTGTTCAATTAGCACGCGCAAGTTCGTGGATTCCCAACGCTTGATTTACCGTTCAACAATCTTTCATTCGCTTCTCCGCGCGCGCGCGCGCGCGCGCGTGATGGCACGCGAAGGTTTGTTCCCACTCTGCAAGAGCTGCTTCCGTCGAAAATATACGAGCTTGAGAATTTGCAATCGATGAGCAATTTGTGATAAATTTTCTCTGTTTCCCGAGCGGCGCATTTTCGCGTGCGACTGTTCGCGAAGACGGCGGCGAATGCGGTTGAGCAATGCGACGGAGAGACAGGTACACGTGGCACTCCCGCCACGGGGAAGTCGCACGTTCGCGTGTCCTATGGGGTGCGTGGTCGGATGTTTACGGTTGCGAGAGTGACGGTGGACGCGTTTTAAACGGCGCCGCACGTTCCGACGGGCGCGCGATCCACGTGAGATTCGCGCGTTCTTACGACGCGCGCGCCGACCTTCCCGCTACACGTGACGCGAGGCTAACGAGCGAGGCCTGTGCACAAAAGCGTTTATCCTCGTTACATAATGCGCGCGCGCGCGCGCACCGCGACAATGACGCGACGTCGTGACACGATCGACATTCTTTTGTTACGCCGGAGAGAGCTCCGGCCGCGGTCGAGCGATCGATTCGATTCGTCGCGTCGACGCTCTTCGCTGCGGGCGCGTGTGCCGCCGCCGGCACACGCAAACGCAAACCGGTGAGATTTCTAAGCGATTTGGTAATCGTTAATTAACGACATGAGAAAATGCTCGCAGTTGCACAACGAGAAGTGACGCTGGGACAGAAATGAGAAAGAACTTCAATGAGTGGATACAGAAACACAGATGTCGGTTCTTGGATATTTTCTTCCCAACGTCCCCGGGAGATTCGACGGATTTGGTAATTCATGGCAGAATGGTGATTTCCGGCGGTTCGTTAACGGTTCGGTCGGACCCAATGTTCTCGCCGTCTATTTCGGAGGCGGATGAAGACTCACGCGTGCGAGTTAGCCGGAAGTCCGCGCTTTACGTCTCCAACGAAAGGATAATTTACACGGTGCTGCTTCTTAAGTTTTCGAAATCTATCGTCTACAAGTTTTTACCAGCGAATTCGCTTTCTTCTAGACGCTCGGTTTTCATTTGCTAACGTCTGAAATTAGAAGACGCAGCGTCTGGTGATCAAAGTTCAACATGTCCAATTTCGTCGCGACGACTAGTAGTAGACGTCGCGGCGTTTTCTAAATTTTAGACGCTAGCGAATGAAAAATCTATTGCCTAGAAGAAACGAATTACGAGCGAATTCTAGAATTCGAATCTGCGAATCTTAGAACTTGCTCCTAGCGAATAAAAGCAGCACCGTGTAAATTGCCCTTAACGTTACTTATTCCCATCGAAGCGCACGAAATCCGACGAAGGTATCGCGATACAATTTGGGCAGTTACATAAACTGCTCCCCTCCCCTTCCGTCCCGTCGAGTCGGGAGTGGATTCTTCGGGATCCGAGGCCGGCCGACCGGCCGGCCGGCGGTGTGAAAGTCGCTTAAGAAATAATGCGGTGCGTGATGCAACTGCTAATACATAGCGCGCGCGAATGCTCGCTCGCTCGCTCGCTTGCTCGCTCACTCGCTTACTCGCGCAATTCGCGCGGGTTAGGTTCGCCTTGTTGTGGCAGTCCCGTCCGCCACGTGACTGCAACACGTGCAGGCTGTTATGTTAGACCGTTCACCTTCGTTGCATAATACGAGCGGGGAAAAGGTCACCGCGAACAACGGAGCCTGATATTTGCTAATATGATCGATAAACCGCGCCGGCGGATCGCGATCGTCGCGGAATTCGGTCGCCTCGATTTCTCGCTGCCCGCCGACGTGAGCCGCGCCGCGCCGCGCGCAGTGCCTCGAATTAGCGCCGCTCCGTGACGCAATTGCCGCTACGGACATTGCGCTATTGATATCTGCGCTGCTTGCCGAATCGGCCGGTTTGTCTCGAAAGCGCCTTGGGAAGCCGGATTCGTATTTCGTGCTCGCGGAAACGCGAGATCGCGGGAAGCGATCACCGTGATTCACCGCGACTGTGAAGGCTCTCGATTATTTCAATCCAAAGTCCGTCTTCTCTTCCTTTTCATTCTCTCGTTTATCTCACGAGAACGAGAGAACCCGGTCGCTCTTAACAATCATTCGGTGTCCGCTCTTCTCGCGAGGCTCGGCGAACGTGTTGTCGAACGTGTAAGTCGCGCGTCTCATTGCCGCGGGAGTACTTGAGGTTTAAAATTCTATTGTCGTCGGTGTTGCCGTTCCGTCGATATCGTTTAAATAAGAAATAAAACGACGACCGAGAGAATATATACAGAGGTGCGCGGTCTCTCTCTCTCTCTCTCTCTCTCTTTCTCCTTCTCTTTGTAGCTTGCGGTAATCGATGAACGGCCGATGACGCAACGTATAATCCACAATGTCCATACGACGGCGCGTAGA